AAGACGATGGCCTTGCTGGCACTATGCTGTGCGCCCAGTCTACCTATACAGGACAGGACGTTTGCAAGGGCAGGTAGCTGAAGAAAGGTAGCTTAGTAGAGTAGTACTATGATTGTATATGTTGTTGTATGTGTAGTGTGTGTGTGTGTGTGTGGTGTGTGTAGTCTGGGTGTATGTGTGTGTGTGTGGTGTGTGTACTGTGTCTGGGTGTCTCTGTGTACTGTGTGTATTGTGGATGTGTCTGGTGGGGTTTGCGCAGTGCAGTGTGCAGCTTTGCTTTAAAACTTGGTTTGTGTGTATGTAGTATATGTACTTGGTGTGCGCTTGCTTGCTTTCTTCTTGACCTGGGCCGCACACGCCGTGAACCAAAGAAAGTGGCTGCAGTGGGCACAGGACCACAGCGAAGCACAGCAGAGTGACAAAGCACACCACCATCGGCGTGGGCAGCGACCACCCACCACCAACCACACCACTAGGGGTGACTGCCTGACGAAGAAGAAGAAGAAGAAGGAGAAGGAGAAGAAGAAGTAGGCGCGCGCAATCTCTCCTGCCCTCTCCTGCACCCGCACCTCCTCCTTTCAGTCCCACCCTCTCCCCCTCCTTCCTCCTTCCCTCCTTCCCTCTCAGCTCCCCCTCCTCCTTCCCTCCCTCCTTCCCTCCTTCCCTCTCAGCTCCCCCTCTCGCTCTTCATTCGTCCGTCCCTCGGCTACGCCAGATGAAGACCCTGGCCCGCCTCCGCCGCTAGCCCAAATCCGCCTCTCACCATTTGAACCGCTCCGAAGTCTATTCTTCTCCCTTTTTCTTCTCCATGTACCATGGTAGAATGGTCAACGACGCCACCAATACAAGTCGTGTTCAATTTCCCCTTGTCACTACGCCCACCATGTCTGCGACTCACCACCCCGTCGGCCTTGCCTTTGCCACTGCCCTGCCCAAGATCGAGGTATGTACACATGCCGTACATAGCACAGCACATATTGTAGATGGGTTGCACCTAGGCGACTGTCGTCAGCCTGCCAGCCTCCTGATTTCAAAGCTAGGCCGCCAAGAGCGCATAAGCTTCCCTTCCCAGCACTGCTAATCCAACCGTCGACTCAGCTTCATGCACACCTCACGGGTAGCATCAGTCGCCAGTGTCTACACGAAATATGGCAGACAAAGAAAGCCCAAGACCCCAATCTTGCTTTGCAAGACCCTTTGATTGCCATTCCAACGGGAAAGGTCGACTACGACATCAAAACGTAGGCTCGCCCTGTGCCGTATCAGACTGGTGAGAGCTGCCAGGGCCGTACCCAGGATCATCGTGGTAACCACGCAGCACCGTTCGTCGATCCATCAAAGATCGTCAGTTACGGAAAGCTGGCAAGGGCATGGATGGCAGCAGTGGGCCATGGTCCAATGTTGGTTGCCAACCCTGGTCTCTCTAGACTGGGTCACCTGATACACGACTTGCTTTTGATCACCACTCGCCTCAAACGGACTACCAAGGCTTCGTCAAACATTGTTTCACGCTCCGCACGACTGACTGACATGCCAGGTTCTTCCCTCTATTCTCGTCATACATTTACAAGCTATGCAACGACCTGCCCAGCATCGAGTAGGTGACTCGGCTCGCGAAGCCACGCAGTGATTGATCAGCTCCAGATTCTCGACCCGGGCTGTGCTGCAGGACTTCCAAGCGGATGGCGTGGTCTATCTTGAACTTCGCACCACTCCAAGGGCTATGCCTAGTGCTGGACTCACCAAAGACACTTACGTCAAGACTGTTTCAAACATCCTCACTGCGCATAATCGCGCTACTGAAAACTCCATCCGAGCCTTTCTCATCCTCTCCATTGATCGACGCAACTCCGCCTCAGAAGCCGAAGAGGTAGTAGATCTGGCCATCCAATACCAGTCCTCTGGCGTTGTTGGCCTCGATTTATGCGGTGACCCTGCTCAAGGCGATATCCGCATCTTCGGGCCCGCCTTTGCACGAGCAAAAGCAGCCGGCCTGAAGCTCACCCTACACTTTGCAGAAGCTGAGGCGTCCGCCTCGGACCTAGAGCTGCAGACGCTGCTGTCGTGGAAGCCTGACCGGCTCGGCCACGTTATACACGTCAAGGAAGAGTTCCGCAAGGTTATCGAGGATGAGCACATCGGTGTGGAACTGTGTTTGAGCTGTAATGTGCATGCAAAAATGATCACTGGCACCTACTCTGACCACCACTTTGGCATGTGGCGGCACACCAAGGTCCCGGTAGCGCTCAGCGTAGGTCCACTTGCTAATTCCAGCTCTTCTGAACCCGACTGACGACCGCAGACTGACGATGTTGGCGTCTTCTGCAGTCCCCTGTCTAAAGAGTATTACCTTGCCGCCCAGCACTTTGGCCTCAGCCAGAACGGACTCCAAGCGCTGGCCGAACGAGCTGTAGATTGCATCTTTTCTGGCCCCGCCGAACAAGCGCGTCTCAAAGACGTCTTTGCAAAATGGCAAGCCAGCAGCCATGTCTAACGGCTGCCGAATCCACCACAGTGTTGTACTCGGACTAAGGCAACGCTCACCCAACGCATCACCGTTTGACATGCTTTTTCCCCGCCACATGTGCATTATTGCATCCGCATAGATTGAAAGTCTGGATAGCACGTTCTCCTGCCGCTTGTGTAATTGACTCTGAGCTTCCGATTGCTACTTCACATGCCTCGTCTTCACTACACATGTTAGTACATATTGACACGGAGATTTGAAGTTGAAATATATAAAGCAGACTATTCTCATGAAGATCAGGTACCGAAGTGATAAGCAGCTTTTAACAAGACTCGAGAAATGTTTTCCCTAATATTACCTTTCTCCACACAATTCCTTTCCAACTACCATACAAAATATTTTTTTCCCCGCCCACCCCCAAACACAAAAATATAGAAAAACACTGACGACATATACAAACATTTCAGCAAAAGACCTCCCCAAACCCCCCTCGCCCGCCCCTTCCTAACCCCAAATCCCTCACATCCGCTCAAAAGCACCATACACCCCCCTCCTCATCGCCAAATACCTCTGCTCAAAATCCTCCTCCCCGCCCTCCCATTCCTCCCCATCCTCCTCATCCCCATACACGGCCCCATCCCGCATCCCAGCACCCCCACGCCCCCTGCGCTGATTATTCTTCCACTCGACAAACGCCGCGAACTCGTGGGCGTCGAGATCGCGCTCGCGTTCGCGCTCACGTTCGCGCGTCTCGCGCTTGCGGCTCAGGAGAAAGGCGGCAAAGTCGCGGCGCAGGCGCAGCTCGTCTTGGGCTTCGCGTTCGCTGGTTGGGCGTTTTGCGGGTCGGGGGTCGTGGAGGCCTGGGGCGGCGAAGGGGGAGGTGCGGGTGGGTTTTGGGGGTGGGAAGTGGGTTGGGTTGAAAGGGTTGGGGTTGGGATTGGTGGGGTTGGTGGTGGTGGTGGTGGTGTAGCGACGGTGGAGGGATAGATCTGGGCGTGTGTAGGGCGCTTGTTGTTTGAGAAAGGGGTCGGGTCTGGGAGGGGGGTTGTAGGGGTAGTCGTCGGGGTGTGGGTGGTGGTAGCGTGGATGGGGGCGGTCGTCCACGTCGTCGTAGATGTGGCTTGGGTGCGGGTTGTGGAAGCCAGTGTGTGGTTGTGAAAAGGAAGGTTGATGGCTGCGACGCTGTAGGACTGGGGGCCGGCGTTCAGGCTTGTCGAAGATGGGGGAAGACGCCGTGTGTGCAGATGATGTGGTGGCGTACGAGTCGGTGCCGCTGCCGCGGTCGAGGGAGTTTTCTCGCGACATGGCATGGCCGGTATTCGTCTTCTCGCTGCGTCTTCGCTCTTTCTGGTCCCTTGTCGGTGAGGCATTGTGGGCGGGACGGCGCTCGCGAAGCTCGTCGTAGTTGCGCACCCGTTCCTCCGTCACCTTGTTCGGGTCGATGTGGATATGGATGTTGGGCTGGGCTTGTGCCAGCCGTGGCGAGCTCTCTTTGGACGAGAAGGAATTGTGTCTGCTCAGAGGGGGAGACTGGATCAAAGCAGAGTCTCGACGTTTCCGTAGGGCTTTGCCACGACTCCGGCTCCGGCTCCGGCTCCTACTGCGGGACTGATGGTGCACCTTGGCTTTGTGGTGGGACTTGTCTTTGCGTGACTTCTTGTGCTTTCGCGAGCGTCCTCTTTTCTGGCCTTCGATGTAGCCATAGCCGTCTTCGACAGTGCGAATGCGAACGTGATCGGCGCTCGAGCTAGCCGAGTCGGACTCCCACCCACCGCTATCTGTTGAAGAGGTTGAGAAGGAAGACGAAGATGAAGATGAGGAAGGTGGATGGGTCGGTCGCTTTGCCTTTTGTGCCTTCAGAATGCGAGGGTCTTCATCGTCAAAAGAAGGCATTTGATGAGGCCTCAATCCCTCTACTGGGAAAGAACCAGGCATGCCAGGGACCCGTCCGCTGCTCTGTTGCGGTCCAGGCTGTGGTGGCGGTGGACCTTGATTTGGATTCTGCACATGGGGCGGAGGTGGAGGTGGTGGAGCGTCCATCCTCCCTGGTTGTGGTGGTGGAGGCGGAGGAGCGCCCATCCTTACCGCGTGTGGTGGTGGAGGTGGAGGAGCGTCCATCCTCCCTAGTTGTGGTGGTGGTGGAGCTGGAGCGTCCATCATTCCTGGGTGTGGCGGTGGAGGAGGTGGTGGTGGTGGAGGCGGAGCGTTCTGCCCTGAAATAGGACCTTGGCCGGGATGCTGGTGCATACGTGGGATTTGCTGCGGCGGGAACTGGCCTGGCATCTGCTGGCTCTGATTCTGCGCTGGTGGTGGCGGCATAGACCTTGGCTGCTGTCCTCCACTCACATTCTGCTGACCAGGGAAGGCCTGTGTCTGGGCCATATTGTTCGGCTGCTTTGGCATACTTGGGTTTTGCATGCCGGTAGGTTGTCCCCCGGACTTGCCTTGCTGGGACATTTGCAAAGCAGAAGGGCCAGTCTCGAGAATGACTTTGACGCGCTTCAATTGCGGTCTAGTTGGCATCCCCATGAAGCCGCGGTCTTCATGTGATTTGATCTTGACGGCTGCGATTGTCCACTGGAGCTTCTTGTTGTCTTCTTGAAGCTTTGTATTCTGGTCTTTGACAAGGTCGATGATGTTCTTCCGGCATTTACTGGAGGGAATCTTGTCAAGAGCGGCAGTTGGATCTCTTTGGTTGTCTAGTATCTCAAGCAAAACTTTGCGTATCTTCTCGGTTGAAAATGGCTGCTGCTCCGGCCGAGCATTTGCCCAACTATCAGAGTTCCTGGGCTTTTCAAAGGTGAACATGGCCAATTGTGGATCAAAAACCGTGAACTGACTCTGACTGGCTCCCTTCATCTGATTGAGTCCCGATGGTTGCTGTTGACTATTCATCCCACTGGGGCCAGGGAACTGTTGTTGTCCATTTGGTACCTGACGCGGCTGGCCATAATTCTGATACTGAGGTGGAGGTGGTGGTGGTGGTTGTCCGCCCATGGAATAAGCTTGATTCGGATCTTCCATTGGAGGATACATATTGATGAAGTGTGAGAGCAAGAGAGGATTGCTTAAGCTACAAGTCAAGACTGCGTACACCTTAAAAGAGAAGTTTGCCTGGTGAGAACGAAAGGATTGCAAAGAATGACTGTCAGGACGAGATAGTTCTCTGAGACAAAGATAGCCCTTCTTCAGGAGATGTATTATAGAAAATTGTCTTCTTCGAGGGTGTATTCATTGCCACGCAACACCTTTGCAGTTGACGGTGTCATTACATCTGCATGCAGACCAGCATTGGCATACTTCGTAAGAAGCATACCCTGTAATCGAACCATATACCTGGATCAATATGAGACGGCCGTCGATTGGATACCATCTAGCGCGTCGAGAGCCTCATTTGATGATTGGTTTGCAGTCTCACCGGAGCAAAGCCACCATGCTGACGGAGCGGTAGAGACTGTAAGCATGCAAAGGCCCACTTTGGTGCGCGAACGCACGACAGAGGAGTCCTTCTGAAGTCTTTGAGCCTCAATTACTCACCGGCGCTGGTTGGAGTCCGCGTCCAGACTTCCCATACTGCAAGCTTTGGGAGGACTGGTAGAGGCTTCGGGATACTGTACCCTATGAAGCGTGGCTTTGATGACAAGTGCATACGACATGCTTTGTTTACATTTGAGTGCATCTTGCGTATCCGGTGAGTCCCCACAGGTCTACAGGTACAGACTGTTGGTCGTGAATTGACTCCTGGTGGTTGGTATGCAACTCGAAGGGATCTGAATAGAGATAGATCATAGTAGGCGATGACGCTAGTGGCCCCTCTTTTTCAGACCCACTAGGTAACCTCAACTCCATCACCTACTCGCAGACGCCCAAAAGAAGGCAAACAACCACCAAAGCCTCCACGGATTCAGGCGCAAACTGGAGTGCATGGCCAGCATACGAGTCTGCTGGGATCGAGGCTTGCGATGCCAGTGACTGTCCTTCCCTTAGATACGGCAGACTAGAAGATCCTCCAAGCAGGCCGTATGTTGCGGGCCACCTATTACTCAATTGAAAAGTCTCCCCCCTTCTTCAGTCACACAGCATATGTTTAACTGTTTGTGCATCAAGGTCATTGCCACATACAACCAGCTTGTCATCTCAGCAGATTGCTAACGAGATAGCCACTGTCCGTAATGTTGATCTTGAGATTCAACGAACACGACATCAGCCTACGCCCTGCATAGCAACTGTAACGTAAGAGTATGCTTGCGTTCGCAGCAACCACCTAATCTGCTTACCAAACCACCCTCTAATGAAGTCGCATTGGCATGGGGCAGCCGACATCATCTGCACGTCGTCAAGCCCTCCAATCCTCGCCTACTTGTCGCGCCAGTCACAACTCACGATATATGCACAAAACAAACAATTCCCCATCAACCATCCAAATCGGTCCCACCGGTCTCAAGCTCCCCCGTCTTTCATACCGCTACACAGTTCTGCAGCAAAATCGACGTGGAATCATCACACGACGCGGCTGAGCCTCAGCTCTAGGGCCTCTATTCGCTACCGTAGAACCCACCCTGTTGCAAGACTCCATCTCGTAGGTACGCCAGGGTTATCCTCCGCAATTTGGTCGCTAGTGAGCCCTGTTTCTCGCGTGTAATTCGGTGAGAGGGGATGCTTCCACCGGATGAAATGTCCGTGCCGCCTTGGATAGTTTGCCCCGTTCACTGCACACGCATATCATGGTTCTTTGCGCACGTCCAAGGACGAAATTTTGACTAAGACATGCAGCTGGGTTTTTTCATTTTTCTTGCCTTGGGTTAGGCAGAGGTTTAGATGGAGGACCTCGATCTCGTCCTCTGTTTTCGATTGCGGCTGGCACTTTGATGCATTGAGGTCCTTCGTTGTCTGCCTCATCGTCCTTCACCGTACAGCTGTCAATTCATGACCAGGATCCTGCTTTACAATTTCGTTCGCCCTGTGAAAGCGTCACCACACACTTTTGAAGCTTCGTGGGCAGACTTTCGTTATGCCGTTCCACCATCTTCTCTTCTCCGCACAACGTCTGTTACAACATCCGCCCCAACACAACAACACAACCAAAACAAATCCCCCGCTTGGCTGAATATCACAACGTTCAAGTAGCACATACCACATCTCCCCCATCTCTACTCCTTCCCCAACCCACTCACTCGCACCACATAGAACCCCCCTTCGCCCCGCATGACCCTCATCACATCCACCACACAGTAACCCGGAGCCCCGCCAACGAACCCACACACTGCCACCTCACGCCCGCCCCCCATGCACCGTCAGCAACACGCATTGCATATCCAAGTGTCGCATAATCGTTGGCCCAATCCATCTCCTGTGATGCTATCAAACGCAGTACCAGCTAACTTACATCGTCTGGGTGTTTTACAGATCTGGAGATTGAGTGGGAGGCAAAGTCGTGGTTCTAACCAGTGGAGCGTTGGATTTTTATACTCTGGAGTTTGGGATTTGAGGTTTGTATGCTGGGATGGGGAGGGGAGGGGATGTAGTGTAGTGTACTGTAGTTAATCCCAGACAAACATGTCCCTTTTCCTTCTTTTCCTTCCCCTCTATTCCATCCCTTTCCTCTCTCCTCCCCTCTATTCCATCCCTTTCCTCTCTCCTCCCCTCTATTCCATCCCTTTCCTTCTTTCCCCTCCCCTCTATTCCATCCCTTTCCTCTCTCCTCCCTCCCCTCTCTACGCCATCACGCTCTCCATCTCCACTACGCTCGTACTTGACTTGTTTGCCCTTGTATGATGTAGGTAGCTGCTAGCTAGCCAGCACGATTTGTATTTGTGTTCGAGAAGTGGGTGGGATAGGGAGGATAGGGAGGATAGGGAGGATAAGGAGGATAGGGAGGATAGGGAGTAGGAGTATAACCATAATCATAATCATCATCACCACCTTATAGTAACAAAAACAAGCTCCATCTTTACCATCAGCATGAGCATTACCATGGCCATTACCATTGCCATTACCATTAACCTACTCCCCAACCAAAAAGCCCCCCTCCTCCCTTCTTTGGCCCGCAACACAAGCACCAAAACCCCAAACGAGTCTCACACACTAAACTTAGCATGGGGGTATACGAAAAAAAAAGAGAAGAAGAATGAGAAGAAGAATCAAAGCAAGAACACCAAAACCAAGGCAGACATGGGAAAAACAAAACATGTAATACCAGGCCGGGGCCGGGAAGACAATGGGGGGGAATCAAGTGTATTCATTTCATTAACCCAGTACCAAGTCCACAGACTCATCAGACTCAGACTCAGCACCAGCACCAGCACCAGCACCAGCACACGAACATAATCACTCCATACCCCGCCAACCCAGGGCCAAGAGTGCTAATAACAAAGGGAAAAACAACAACCAACCGTCCGCTACAAGAACAACGGGCCAGACAGCCAGCTAGACAGACAGCCAGCGACCGACCGACAAGAACAAACATCAACATCATATCAGTGCCTTTTGCACATCATCCACATTCCGCCTCAGCACATCCTCGAGCTTCCATCTCGGCGGCGAAACCACGGCACCCTTGTCGTCTGCGCCTGCACTCTTCGTCTTCGTCGTCGTCATCGTCTGCGCCTCGTCCGGGTCCGCACCGCCGGCCACGCCGCTGCTAAACTTCAACTGCAGCAAGTCGCCGACCTGGTCGCACGCTGCGAGCATGCGGTCCAAGTCGTCCTTGGTGTGTGCCGCACTGACGCAGAAGCGGGCGCGCGAGGAGACGAGTGGGGTGGCGGGGTAGCCGACTACGACGACGGAGATTTTGCGCTTGAGCATCTCGTGCGAAAAGGCGGGCATCTTGGCGGGGTTGTAGAGCATGACGGGGATGATGGGCGAGTCGTCGTGGCCGTAGACGATGAAGCCGAGGCGCTTGAGACCGAGGCGCAGGTAGCGCGAGTTGAAGCATAGACGCTGGAGGCGCTCCTCACCCTGGCCGGGGACGATGCTGCCGTCGATGATGCGGAGGGCCGAGGAGATTTGCTGGAGTACGGGGGGAGCCGGGGATTCGGCGAAGAGCATGGCGGCGTTGGAGGTGCGCAACTTGTCGATGATGGCCTTTTCGGCCGCAATGTAACCGCCGTTTGCGCCAAAGGATTTGGTCAGTGTGCCCATGAGGATGTCGACTTCTGCGGGGTCAATGCCAAAGTAGTCGCATACACCCCGACCGCGGGGACCGACGCCACCGACCGAGTGGGCCTCGTCGACGAAGAGGTGGAACTTGTACTTCTTCTTTAGGGCGATGATACCGGGCAGGTTGCACATGGTTCCCTCCATTGAGTAGAGACCTTCGACAGCGACGAGGATCTTCTTCCAGGGACGGTGGGTGCGGGGCTGACCTTGTGAGATGGCTTCGCGGAGCTTGCGTTCGAGATTGCGCATATCGTTGTGCTTGAATGTGGTGACCATGGCGCCTGAGAGACGAGCGCCGAATCGGATCGACGAGTGGTTCAGCTCGTCGGAAATCATGAGACAGCCCTTGCCCACAATGGTGGGAAAGGTGGTTGCATTGGTGACGAAACCCATGGAGAAGACCATGGAAGCTGGCTTGCCGACAAACTTGGCAATGAGATCCTCCACCTCGACGGTGAGCTCAGAGGTACCGCTGTCTGACCGGGGACTAGCCATTGAGATTCCGTACTTTCTGATGGCGGCTTCTGCCGCGTCGGCGCATGGCCCCTCGGACTGGGCGAACCCAAGGTAGTTGTAGGAGCTCATGTTCAGTGTCTCCGTCGTCGTGCCCAGCATCTTGAATGTGTTGTTCCCGTCGTCGGACTTGCGATCGAGTACGGTGATGAAGCGGCCCGGGACACCGGTGGTCGGCCGTGAGAAGCAGTCGTTGATTCGCATCTTGAGACGGCGGGTGTAGAAGTTGTCAAAGTCGCTGTTCAGGGGCGCATATCCATCTTTTTCCTGCAAGTGGCTGTAGTGCTGCTTCCTGAAACGCTTGCCAAAGAAGTCGCGCACATGTCCGAATACTATTAAGACTAGGTAGCTAATATATGTGGTGAAAAGGAAGTAATAGGGCGGCTCGTCCTCGATGGGGTCACCAAACTCTCCCTCGAACTTGCTCGAGTAGCGATGCTTTTGTGAGCCGAGGGGGCCGAATTGTGCGTGTTGTCGGGCGAGCCGGCGTTGCTCTTCTGGTGTGGGTGGCTGGAAGAGCGTCTTGGGCTCGGCGGGCATCTTCTCGCCCGTCGCAGTGGTCAGGCTGATGGAGGGGAGGGCCAAGGACGACGAGTTGATCTGTTGCGGGGAGGGCGAGTTGAGGAGGGCTTGTTGTTGGGCGACAAAGGCCTCGCGAAGGAGAGCGGCGTCGTTGCGCGCCTTGGGTGAGCCACCGAAGAGCGAAGTGATTTTGTTGCCCTTTGCGAAGGAAGCGCGGCGCACAGGCTCGCGCTTCTCGTTGAGGGAGTTGAGGGGGTCGAGGGGCGGATTAGGGGTAGAGGTCGCGAACGGGTTGAAGCTTCGAGTAGGCATTGCAGCAATGACTCTGGGGACTGGACGAGTCGACAAAATGGTGCTGTGAGAGGAGAAGGATGGGGGGGGGGAAGAGAAGAGGAAAAGAGAAGGTTGGCGGATCAGAGCTCCCGTCCCAAGTCGAAGTTGCTACCCAATGCAGGAGGCGCAGGCGCAGGAGGTGCAGGAGGTGCGGGCGGTGAAGGCCGGCGAGGAAATTATGGCAAGAAATATTATGGCTAGTTCAAGGGGGGGCGATCAGCAGGCGACTCCAGGGGACGGACAAAGTGCCAATTGGCAGTACAATGGGGGGTGCAATTATTAAAAGGTGAGAGAGTAGGTAGTAGGAGTCGTGGAGGAGGAGGAGGAGGAGGAGGAGGAGTAGGTGGGTAGTGTAGTAGAAGCGCGGCTGACGGGCAGTGCAGGCGTGAGGAGGGTGAAATGTTATGTATGTAGTCGTGTGTGGTATACTAGTGGGTTATCTGAGCTGATGGCGCCCATGCAGGCTGAGGCTGGCCGGTGGAGGGTGGAAGAGCCGGGGAGTGCCGGGTCGGGGGGATGAGGGGATGGTGTGCAGGAGCTCTCCCTCCCAGCTCTCTCGAATCTCGATCCGGGGCGAGATTGGCAAGCAAGACAGGGCGTTGCAGGCGGGAGCTGGCGGACGCTTTGCTGAAAACTAGGAGAAAGTCCACCTACGTTTGATGATCCGATGAATGGCGCCACAGAAGAGGATGAGCACAAGACAGTAATCTAGGGTGTTGTCGAGGTGTTTTGTTTGTGGGGCAGAGCTGGTCGACTTTGGTGGTTGCTGGGTGCTGGGTGCTGCTGTGCAAGGGTGGCTGTGCAAGTCTACTTTAAATGTGTATGTGTGTGTGTGTGTGTGTGTGTGTGTGTGTGTGTGTGTGTGTGTGTGTGTGTGTGTGTGTGTGTGTGTGTGCGACCACAGTTGACTGGTAGCGTAGCACAAGTTACAATAAGAGTATGTATTCCCGCCCGTTAAAGTTGCTTGCCAAGCTCCCCAGCGTAGCCGTCGTCGTGACGTCGACCTGCCTCTGCTACCAGGAAATGTGGCGTAGGTAGAGTGGTGTACATGGACAAACGGTCCGTAGCTGACAAAAACGATGATCTGGACGAAATCTACCTGCAGCAGGTACTCGACAGGCTGGCGCGAGAGAAAGAGACCCGCCGCTGTACTCTGTAGGTCATCTATAAACACCCATCACAGCCCTGTTGCGACGACGACGACGACGACGACGACTGACGACGACGACGACAACCAAGGGAAAAAGAGGCATCGCAGATTTGCAGGCACCGTCCTGGCAGCAAGATTGGGGTTAGACTGGCTCGAAGGAAATGAGCAACCCAAGTTCCGCGCTTGGCCCAAACCGACACAAGCCAAGTCAGGGGCACTCCGATGACCCCGATCGCCAGAGCCTTGCAAACGAGGGGGCCCGGTCGTCACATGACTGCACACTCACGCCCACGATTCGTCCGCCGTGGCTGCGATCAAAGCCCGATTCCTGGCACGTCATACGCTTTCTCATCGGCGACAATAGCCAAAGAAAGAAAGAAAGAAAGAAAAGAAGAAGAAAAAAACTCCACCCCACATTGGGATGGGATGCTGCAATATTTTCATTCTTCCCAAACACGGGCCCGATGTATCGCCATCCATCCGAGTCCAAGTCCTCACTTACCATCCATAGTATTGTACAATATTGTCAGCAATCACCAGTACCCACCCTCCCCAAAATGAAAGCCACTTGGCATACGGTAAGCGATGCAGCCCTCACCAACCTTTTACTTTCAAGCACATGACAAGTCACACACACACACACACCCAATAACACCTCCATCTCACCCAGATGTGAACTAACCTTGACATCCAACCTACCCATCTCGTATTCGCCCCTCCGTCTGCCGAACTCATGTTCTCCCGACACCGAAGCCATCCGGCCGACTCTCCAGCCCCAATAGGTAATACTGCATCTGCCACTTTTTTGCCATCCACCCCAATCCACACACAGCCGTTGCAGAAAACAACCAAGTGGAGAACACATGCAACCGAGCAGACAAGCTGAAACACAAGCACAGCCACAAGATAACAAGATCCATCTACTACTTACATACCACATCCCCTCGCACCCACCCAAAACGCAAAACTGGCAGATTAAACTCGAACGAAAAAGTGGCAGAGGAACGGCAGCCCTGCGCTCTCCCGTCGCCTCGGTGGTCCCGCTGACTGGCCACCGCGCCCAAGGCCAAATCATTAAAAGACAACGGGCACCATTTCACGCTGTCCGATGTTGCAAAATGAATGACCCTATCCTTTCAACCTAACCCATACGCTTGTTCCGTCCCCCTCTCTCTCGCTCTCACTCTCTCGCTTTCATTTCGTCTTTGCTCCCTGATTTGCGCCGCTGCAGGCAAAATGACTGCATCTCATTTGCCCAGCGAGAGATTGCGACGGCCTCGTATTGTCTGCAGATGATCATCTTTTCCTCCCAAAGCTAATCTCGTACAAACTTATAAGCTTTCGCTTTCCCCCCCCCGCCTCCTTCACACCTCCTCCACCCTCTCCTTCCACACGCCCCCTCAATCACCTCTTCTTTCCCTCACTTTGCTTCATCTCACAAACAGTCGACGCGCCCTCTATTTTGGTTGGTTTCTCTTGAATTTTTGACGACTGGAAACAGTATAGAATACTAGCTATCTGGCCTTGTTTACTGACTCTGCCGCAGCAGACAGCCTCAACGTTATAGAAAGATCCCACAAAAAGCTACACCCAGCACGCGCAGCGGCTATACATCATTCCACACAACCCCCACAGCACCATCCCCTTCAAGGTAAAAAAAAAGAAAAAGAAGAAGAAGAAGAAACCCAATCCACTATAACCAAAAATATTTCTTAATCCCTTCGCAACGACAAAAGAAACAAGACCAATTCAGAAACAACCAAAAAAAGAAACTATGGGAGGGAAAAAACAATAAATAAAAAAATAAGGTGAAAAGACAAGCTGCAAGAGGCTGGACAGTTCCATCTCAGCACAGCAGTCTCGTAATCCACCAAGGTGGTGGCGCAGGATCCACCAGTCCGCCTTTTCTCTGTGATAAAAATGTCTCAAATTTCCATATCCTGCACAACGCCATCAGATGAACAACCGGTCCCGGTACGGTGGTCATTCATGTTGCGTCACGAAGAGAAGGTAGGTGGGTAGGTAGGACACTCCTGCTCATGGACAAGAGGCCTGGATGCTGAGCTTGCAATATGTGCAACGATCTGAACCAATATATGTGACGGAAGAAGCCGGCACCGTAACTGCACGCACAAGCAGCAAGGAGAAAGTGCGGCAGTCACACAAGTCTATTTCAAGACAAGGTTCCTGCGCACCTAGCGCCCTTTGATCGGAAGCAGCGACAAGTGGGTATAATAGCACGCAAAAAGAACCGAGGAACAGTAAATGGACATGGCATGGGCATCAGAACCGACGCCTTCACATCTGATGATGCTCGGGCGACAGACTGGATGGGTCTAACGTGCCGAAAGACACTAGATTCTGCATGTCCAAATCATCCACGTTCTCGTCCATCATGGGTGATCGAAAGGGCATGTTGAGAGTTTGCTTGGCATACATGTCTGTCATGTGTAGTGCCTCCTCTGACATGCCGTTGTCTTGTGACATCGGGTAGACGTCTGCGTGGGTATCACGTCCAAACGGCGGGGATTGGTTGGCAATAATCGGGTCAGAGTGGTTCATGGCAGGCATAGGTGAGTGCGATGCACCCGTGTGAGGTGGCGGGCCCATGGGAGTGTGTACATAAGGAGGGATGTTGTACTGGCCAAAGTTCGACGCAGGAACGTTGTCGTTCGATGGGCCAGTACTATAGAAGGCCGGGGTGCCATAGTCAGACGGTGAGTTGGCGGTTGTGGCTGACATGGGGTACTGGCGATAGTCCATCCCATAACCTGCAGACGTGTCGATGCTCAGGTGTGGTCCGATGGGACCGGAACCATTCTGCGGGATAGGAGCGAAGATATCCGGGTTCGCAATGTACGGCGAAGGTTCTGGTTGGATGAGGAAGGATGGCATGGGGTTGCGGAGCATTGAGAAATCAATAGCAACAGGCACCGATCGGCTTCGCTGGCGCTTGTGACCGCGTGGTGGAAAAGGGCCAGGCGTAAGATGCGATGATTCGTGGAACACGCCCATGTGGGGATGCACAAGGTGGTTGGGTTGTGAGGCCGGTCGGTGGTTGATTGGCGAAACAGGTGCCGAGTGGGCAATGGCATTGGGGTCGTACATGTTGTGTCGGTTCTGAAACGACTCCAATGAGACGAGTTTCGCTAGTTGACCGCTCAGCACCTTCGGGTGACCGCCCAAGTGGTGAACCATGATGCTGGATGCTTGTTGGTCTTCGGTAAAGTCGCCGCATTGGAAGAAGCCGCCGGATCCAGAAGAGTCCATGAAGAAGTTTGGTGGCCTGTTGAGTTCGACAATGAGGCCTCCAGGGCGTTGCGAAGCTCCTTCGGCATTGGCTGTCATGTCTCCATTCTCTAGGCTGATGTTCTTGATGTAAGAGAATGGATACTCAATCTTATATCCCGCCGAGTCGTTGTTGATGTAGTATGTGATGCAGCACTTTTCAGGCGAGTAGAAGACGACCAGGTCCATGGCACTTTGGCCAACTCTTCTCCAGCTACCGACGCTCAACGAACGAACAGCAAAGTGATGAATCACTGATACTTGTTAGCTTTCCATGTACGGTAAACAGGTCAGGTGCTCTGGTAGTGACTTACCAACTTTGGAGGAACTGGTATCAGTGTTGAGAAGCATGCCACTGCCATATGGCATACCGCTGGTGCGGCCGAGAAAATTCGTTCCGATTGATTTGCCAGATTCCATGGCTTGCAGCGCAAGATATCGGCGCATCGATTCGGGAATGTCATTGCAGTCATCGCCATTTTCGATGCTCTTCTTGGCAATGTTCTTGATCTTGGCTCGCCTGTAAAACTGTTAGTGTTGAGCTGACCGTGGCGCTGTCTCGCCCTACCTGTTCTGAAACCAAATCTGCACGGAGCGCTCGGTCATGTTGATTTCCGCGGCAATCCTTTCGCGAGTGGCAGCCGTTGGCGTTGGGTTCTTGTTGAACTCTACTTCGAGTGTAACCAGTTGATCTTGAGTGGCGCGCTGCCTCTTCTGGTTCCTCTGCTGCTGGGTGAGGGTGCTCTTGCGTGGCGGCCGGCGAGCAGCTGAGCCTTGGCCGGGCGTAGTGGATTGAGCTGGGGGAGACGGGGTGGGCGACATCATCGAGGAGTCTGGAGTCTGCATGGCAGATGGTAGGCTCGAGTTGAGCTTGGATTGGGATGGAATGGGATGGATGAATGGATGGATGGGTGGGTGAGTGAGTGAGGGAACTCCGTGGTGGATACGAGTTGATTCGAGGGGGTAGGTGAAGCGAGTGGTTGGTGTAGTCAGGCTAGGTGGATCCGTCTATTGATGATCGTGAGATGTCGTGAGAAGCAAGAGTCCGGCAATTGTGGATGGATGAAAAGGTGGCGACGCTTAGCAGGGCTTTCGGCGGTATTCCTGGTGGAGATGTTGCGTGTGTGCTGTCGAGGCTCGGGACACCGTCCAGGCGGGTGCGTAGTTGTCAAGGAAAGAAGCTGCTGGCCGGGGAGCAGAAGTTCAAGATCAATCGTCCGATAGCGATTCCGAGTCAGAAGGTATGGATGAGGGGAGGAGAATTTGGCAAGGAGTGGACAGGCAGAGCCTAAAAAAGTATGGGGTGTGGAGAAAGGAACGTGGGCAGAAGGCTGAAAGGAGTGGCAGCACTTCGCAGAAGTCGACAGAGAAAGAGACGGAGATGGGGGGAGGATCACACCAACAAAACGAGGTGAAGATGCGATATCCGAACAGACGGCGAGGGTACTGTAGATGGGTGACCGTGGGGGAGCAAAAGGGGAGATTAACATTGGAAGGAAGGAGTGGGCAAAGGCGCGCCATCCCGATACGGCCGCTCCACCAAGTTTAGAATCCACCAGTGCGCACGGCTCGCCGTTTTGACGCCAGGCACACCAACCCACTACGCCCCGACTCGCCAGACTCGCCATGGTGATGCCGTGCGGAAGCTGTTGAGGCTGGCTTTGTCGCGACCACTGGACGGACTGCAGCGTGTGTTTTCGCTGCATCATGACTACAGTATGATGATGGTGGTGGTGGTGGTGGTGGTTGATGATGCCACACCACACCGTGTCTGCACAGGCAGGCTACAGTGCAGGTAAGTGTAGGTACACAGCACCACAGTTGACCACAGTGGCCACCCTACCTACCCACACCACTGCCCACACCGCATGCCATGGCCACTGGGAACCAACCGCAGCGCTGTCCTGACTGCATGAGCTGTCTGCGTTCATCCAGGGGAACCCGCAGCTAAGAAACCAGGCACGTCAGAGTCGAGCCACTCAGGGCCAGCAAGGCGACGGAGGGCGGCAGGCTTTCTCTCCTTTCCCAGGCCTGCGTAGGGCAATGCTTGCCGCAACATCAGATAGCGACGCCGCCCACCGCCCGCCGCCCCCATCGCCGTCCGCTGGCAGTGCGGCCGACGTGGGTGTTTGAGGTCGTGGTGTGTGCATGAACACTGCGAGCTCAAGAGCCGTTCGAAAAGAGGCGGCGGCGGTCTATTGTACACGGTCCGCTTTAGCGCGCTGCGTCAGGCACCCTCAAACGGAGCGCTCCACCGGACAGCATGAGGCGCGGCGGTTGTCGTGTTTGAAATGCCCTGGTCTCTAACCTAGTACAATGTCGTGGACGTGCGAGCGTGCAGACAGGTCACAGGCGGGCTGTTTTGATTCACAACGGCATGCCGCATGCAATGCGGGACATTGCACTCACCGTACCATGATATGTACTCTGGCTCTTCGTCTGTACGCAGTGTACAGTGTCCAGTAGACTGTACCTACGCGCCAGCGGCCAGGTCGGCGGTCAACCAGCGTTCAGTAACTGGCACGGGCGGCCGATTGCCCACCCGTGTCGGCATCGTCGAAACCTTGCGGTATAGAGTACCGGTACCAGTTGCTCCCCTCGTCGCGGATCCCTCGGGCCATCCGTGAGCGAGAGCGATCAAACAGCACGGGCACTGATGGTCGTCAGGATCCCACCCACACTGACACGCTGGTCGGAACCCGGAAGCCATGACACGACGTGCAAGTTATTCAGCCTTCATCAGTTGTGCGCTTTCGAAAAACTCGACGAGTCCATTTTGCGATAGCCACAACTAGGTTGTCAGCCATCCATTCGCCCTACAACTGTCGAGCTGTGGTACCGGCCACTTCCCTGTCAACTTGATTGCAAGGCTCACGCCAGGCACACTCGTATGAATGGCCAACGCACAACAAGCGAAAGACAACAACCAAGAACCCGGGAATCCACTTTACATTAACAATGCGCCCGCCCGATACCGCATCTGCCACAGCAGTCACTGTACAGTACAGCCGTCACTCACGTCTCCACAAACCCGTGGCAAGCGAGTGCTTACCCGTACCTATATATGCCGTTGTAAAGTCCCAAGACATCTTCAGGTGCGCGTCGCCCTCCGCATTAACAACGTCAAGCAACTGGAGCGACGTTCGTGGCCACCCCACCGATTGTCTCAGCGTTGCACCATTCGGAAGTAAATTGCGCCAACCTGCACCATCGATTGCTCCCCTAAATGCAAGCCAGGGTAAGACTGTCATAGGCTCATCCGTAGGTTCGGGACCATGTAGTTCTGGAAACATCCGTGACAAGCATTTGGTTTCCCCTTTGATGGTGTTCAGACATTAGCAAAGGACAGGCATGCATGTTGTTACTCTTTCCCTCGCCATGTCTGCGCCAACAGACTGCCCATTGGACATGGACCATTGCTACTGACATCAACGGCTGAAAATCATTTCGTTTATACCATGGCGGCTGATATGGCAAGGATTGAGCATGGTATCGTTCAGGATGAGTACTGCAGCTCGAGTCCAACAGATCGGAAGATCTGCTCTCGTTTCTTCAGGTCTAGACTCGCACCGAGCGTGAAGAGCATTTCTTTTATCCTGCCTTCCCACAGGACTCCAATGCGCCAATCCTGGTCTACTCTGGCTTTGAGCACGCCGGCAACATCGTCATCAGACGATAGGGTAGGCCGTTTCCAGTCTGGGCGCAGCTTCCTGACCGCCCACTCAACGTCGGTCGTGCTGCGTCGCCGCCACAGTTCACAGCCAAGTTGCAACTCGCTTTCGTATGAGTAGAAGTTGAAATCAAACCGGGAACAGAGCGCCAAGTTGGGCCCAGCCTTGACAGCGTAGGTAGAAGATAGATTTCCCATCAACGGGTTCAACGTAAGCGTCATGGTATACGGGAAGCCCGGATGGTTGGGTAAGGTTGTGAAGCGTAGGCCTGTACTGATCCCCCCGCTTTTGTTAAGTATGCCATAGTACAGTTCTGCTCCAGCACTGAAGCGACCGTGTACAGGATCCACCTCTTGTGCAAGCGTTGGCTCAGTCGGCGCATTCCTAGGATCTGGACCAAAATTATATAGCCCTCGTAGACCCAACAGCGCCGAGTCTGTGCTGTACATGTACTCGGTACTATACTTGCCAAAGTCGTTTTGTAGCAAGGTAAGGATCGTCCCGCCATTGTTGAGGTTGGAGTCGCTCACGGCAGCGATCCTAAGCTGACGGGTGGGCGTGAGGCGCCGCAGATACAGGGCTTCCAGCCGCGACTGCGGGAGAAATATGCGCCCGTACAGAAGGGTGTCTGCGTGTGCTTAGTTGTAACCAACACACATGGGGGCGTCTCGCTCACTCTTCCGATCGACTCGCCTCCCTGCCTGCCATATTTCCGACCACCACTTCTCGTCTGGTTTCCGCAGTTCCTTCAGAAGCTTGTATCCCTTAATCACCTGATGTAGATCGATTTGAGAGCTCCTGAAGTCCTTGCGCAGTGGCAGCGAGGAGTACAGGTATGAGACTGAGCCATCTACGACGCCTACATTGCCTAGCGTATACGAGGTCGCGAAGTTGGGTGCGGCGAGTGAGGAGATCTGGAGACGGAGACCTCTTGGTACATTGAAGTCGAGTAACGCTGCACGATTGTGTCAGTTGCCAGTCCCTACAGTGTGTACGGTATGCTGGATGTGATGCGATAGGTTGTGGGTGCGCCAGACCTCGAGCACTGTTGTTCAATGCGCCATAAGAATTATCGACGTTCCAGTGAGAAGCTTCATAGAAAGCATTCTGCACATTGTCCATGAATTCCAGCATGTCTTTGTCGTGCCTGTCTCATTGCGGTCGCGTCGTGTTCCATTGTAGGTCGCATACGTGCTGTTGGAGAAAGCACAAGGCCCACACACAGCGGAGCTACTGCCAAGTTAAGTGGTTCGCCAAATCTTCCCCGCCCAATTTTTTGGACGTTGCGACCGACCTCGAACTTTTTTCCTGCGCAGTCCTCCCATTCACCGAATCCACCACACCTACCGCCCAATATGCCCAAATCAAAGCGCGCCAAGGTCGTACATCTCACCAAGACAGACAAGAAAGGCAAAGAGTTATCGCTCAAGTTGTTTGCCAATGTCCAGGAAGCCGCAGACAACTATGGACACATCTTCGTCTTCTCGGTAGAGAATATGCGCAACTCGTACTTGAAGGAAGTGCGCCAAGAGTTCGCGGACAGCCGGTATGCCCCGTTCGTCGCATACCTCCAAGTGGTCGCTGACGTGTTGGCAGATTCTTCTTTGGCAAGACCAAAGTCATGGCCAAGGCGCTCGGTCAGACGCCAGCAGAAGAGCACCTCACCAACCTCTCCAAGCTGACTGAATACCTCACCGGCAATGTCGGCCTACTCTTCACCAACCGTGCACCCTCTGAGATCATCGAATACTTCGCCACATACTCACAAACTGACTTTGCGCGTGCCGGGGTTGTCGCTACACAAACCTTCACAGTTCCGGCTGGTGTTGTATACTCAAGAGGTGGAGAACTGCCAGAGGACGACGACGTGCCGCTGCCGCACAGCGTGGAGACTACGGTCAGAAAATGGGGCATGCCAACGCGACTTGTGCAGGGAAAGATTGTCCTCGATGCTCCCTATACCGTCTGTGAGGAGGGCAAAGTCATGAACAGCCATCAGACTGCGCTGTTGAAGATGTTTGGTGTGGCCATGGCGGACTTCAAGATTGACCTCAAGGCATACTACACCACTGCGACTGAGTCGGTGACTGAAGTCGGTGCCATGGAGGAGTAATCAAAATCAAAATCTTCAGGTGTGAAGAATTTGGAAGCAATTGCATCATGACGGCGTTGGTTGGCGTTGGGTTTCGTACAAGGGCAGAATGTGGCTTTTCGGGTCAGATCTACCCAAATGATGGGCTACCTTATGAGTACATTACAATATACCCAATCATGACTTTGACTCTTGGAGCGCATGGCCGCAGTTTGGGATTGCTCGCTGTGGCTTCTGGGCTAATATCCATTGACGTTGCGTCACTTAACCCAAACTATAGGAATGACGATTAACTTCGTCAATTAAACCCCGGAGCATGCTTATCTCTAAATCCATACTTAATCAGCTGCTTAAATAACGGTTAATACAGCACGTAGAGACTGTCGGATCTTATCAACTAGATCGATTTTTCATTTTTAAAGATGCGAGTCTAATGGAGCTAAGATTCAGACCACCACGCTGCGACTATAATATATTAAAGTCTATAATATATTAACACTGATTAACCTAGCGATTAATCTCCGTGCTCTGTTTTGTATCTCTTTTCTTTTTAATAATCTCACCCTCTACATTCTGGTTAAAATTATTGCATAGACATTACTGGCTTTTCAGATTATGTATATAAAGGCGCATACGAAGAAAAAACTCTGTGCACACTCCAACCCCAGACGTAAAGCTCTAAAGTTTCCGCATTCAAGCAGGCATCAGCCTTAATTCACTAGAAAAGACCTCACTCCTCGTATCCTGCTACTTCGCCATCTATACCACAACCCTAGCCATGCTACTCAGCGGCATCTGGATGGCCTGGCTGCCGTCACAAATTTTTAGACTAGAGATGGCGATAAAATTAAGTGTATTCATTCTCCTAATAAACAGAGGGAAGCATGTGAGCCTCGACTGACACACCTCCCCTACACCGCGCCCCACGGCAGCAGAGATGTTTTGCAATGGGAGATGAAGTGGCTGGTTCAGCACGACTCGCATATATTCGTAATGCTCAAGGGAGACAAGTTAGGATATGTGGACGATAGTTTGGAGAGCATAATAGATATTCATAATTAAGGTATCGGGTTCGGGGGCAGAAAGAGACACGGGATGTGCAATCCAGCGCAAGAGGATGACAAAGCGAATACAAAGAAGCCCACGGCCTGGGACACAGTCAAGAAGAATCCAACTCTGCCCAAACATTACATCACCTCACTGGTCCTTCCAGTGTGTTCCTTCGACTAGCCATCCTGTGATCTCGTTTACCCATTGTGACTTCAAGTGCCTGGATCAGGCCTCTCTCATCATACCTCACAAAGTTCTCGCCTTCATTCTTTCGCCCATACACTCGGATGGCCTCTATACCCACTGTTTTGAGTTCGTCCTTGTCGACTGCCGGCGTGCCTGGCCCTTGGAGATGTATGACGTGTGTTACATAGCTTTTGTACTTGCTCTTATCGACCGGATCAAAGCTCCCCTTGGATTCTTCGCCAGCCTTGGCGATCGCTGCGACAAAGTCCAGTGCAGAATAAGGATGAGATGATGGTCCCGTCTCGCGATCAATCGTCGCGTTAAGTATGAGAATCTTGTAACGGATTGCTGGATTGCTGACCGCTTCACCCACGCCTTTCAAGACGAGAGATGGTACGAGGGAAGTGTACAGAGAGCCTATACTGTAGATGACCGCCTGTGCCTCAGACAGTGCAGTCAGTACCATGGGATTGGCTGCGATTCGGATCTCCTGGCCGTAGGGGTTGATGTACCACAATCGCTCGATCCGCGCAGGCAGCTCTTCTTCGTCAGCTTTGGAGAATGTAATGTACTGCTTCCGAAGCGTAGGTAGCGAACCAGGAAGATTAGCGTCCTCGATTCGATCATGTTGTTCGGTCTCATCGATGTCAGGTGCGCCTACTGTTTCGAGCGCTGTTGAGATGGATGGGTGAGAAATCGAGTTCTGCCCGGTGATGACCTCACCATTTGCAAGACCGACGGAGATGTGGTGGGTGAAGTTAGTATTGATGGCAGGCAGTACTGAAGTGTGACTGGGTACTGAGCAGATGCTGGAGAGTATGTAGATAGCGGATTCGAACGAGCCCATGAATAGACGGGCGCTTCTTGTGTCAGTGACCCAAAAGTTGCACACTTTTTCCTTTGAAAACGTACCCCGTCAAAAACAGATTGCCAATACTGGCACCAGAATAGTCAAAGCTAGACGATGGTCTGCGTCGTTTAATGACCTCGTAAGCAACAACGTTGAGGAAGGACCGAATGACTTCTTTCTTTGCTGTCGATATATTGGTCCAGAGGTCGTGCTCGGCCTCGACAATCTGAAGCCATTCTTGTCGAGCGGCTACGCGTTCTTTGGGCAATCGATGATTGAAAAAGAGCTTGATCGCGGCCTTTTCGCTCTCATCGTTGTCGGGGTCATCTGGGATTAGACGGACAAGACGGCCTGAAGGAGATTAGACCCTGGGATGGATTAGAGAATGGTGAGCACCAACTTCGTACGTCACCAATGCCTGCGAGAGTCAGTTAATGTTGTTCTGACGGGAATGACCCATTTACCTGGTCCACCAAAGACGCGTATGAGTTCGGACGAGCTTCCGCCATTGTCGCTGATAGGGATGACATAGCTTAGCGGGCACTTTTTGTCCTCCCTGACCGTCTTGAAAACGTCAACGAGATTGTTGGCAGCACTCCCACCAGAGAAGACTACGATGCCCTTCGTTTTGAGGCTACCGTTGGGCATTTGCAATGTTGGTGCTGATGTGCTGTTGAGGGAGAGGAAAGCATCGTTATTGGAGGTCATGATAACAAAGGGATCGAGGAATGTTGACCTCTAGGGGTCCTGGAAACGTTCTATCAAGACATGGCAGTTATGAAAAGGTGTCATGTTCGTGCCATGGTTATGGTCTCTCGCGAGGTTGGAATAGTGGAGGCAAGAGTCATGCACTAAGCCTCCCGCATTCGTTAGGGCCATGATCACGCGTTGCTGCAATAGGCAATATCTCGCACTTTTGGGTTGCAATCAATGGATTTCAGATGGCATTTTTTGGTCAGTGTTTTTTTTGGGATGTTCTTCAAGGAAAATGTGCAGAGTGAGCCCTCAGCTCGAACGTGTTTGTAGAGAATTCGCAAGTGCTTCCAGTAGCAACACGTCTTGGTCTTCGCGATAGCACCCAGCCCCTTCATATAACCAATAATCGACAATGAATTCCCCTTTGTAAACCTTGGTCGGCCGTGAAACGACTTCTATCGTGACCTGTGTTCCCTCCTCCTTGTCATCCCCCACTGCCACATCAGTCCTGTCTCACACACGGCATGCCTCTACGAGTCCTTGCTAGCTGCCGCTTCGCGCTCCCTTCTTCGTGCTCGCTTCTCCAAGAGTGCATCTCGTCGGTCGGCCAACATCCTGAATTGTCGCTGTTCGACACCCATGAGCCAGTAGCCAAAGCTGCCGCCGATGCCCGCGAAGACGGGATAGACCCAAAGAGATTCCTTGTTGAAGAGCGGGCGCATCTCGATTCCGAGTTGCCATAGTCGTGCGGCGATGCCTGGGAAATGATATCGTGATTAGCTGACTGCCTACAAAGACCGAGGCCGTGGGGGAGAGAGGATTACCAAGTCCGCCCCAAAGAAGGACCTTGTGAACCATTGTGAGGAGATCTGCGGGTCTGTGATGGTCTGTCTAGTGTTTTCCGTACTCGATACCGGCGTTTGCAGATGTGCTGGTGTCGCAATTGGCGGCTGCTGTGTCGTGAAGTCGCAGTACCGCTGTTCCGGCGTGTGGTTGGCGATGGGTGAAGCTCCGCAAAGTGCCAAGACCCATGGCCCGCGAATGCGGAAGCAGCGACCGACCTCATATCTTTGCGTCCAAACTTACTGCTGACCACTCTCCTAATACAATAATGATGTGACTATACATGCCATTCTATGCGCATCCTACCACTCGCTCACACCTCGTGAGCTTTCACACCCATTTCGAGATTCTCCTTCGGATCGCTTACATCATCGCGCGCTCGCTCCCTCACTTGCGCACTGTTAGGTCCCCTGCATGGCTATATAACTAGTCGCGACCAGCTCAATCTAATCACCGATACTACACTATCCACTACCACCACCACCGCCTTCAACCATGGCTGAGGTTGGTCGCAAACGCGCGCTTGAAGGCGACGCGCCTGTAACTGTTCGAAAGAAGTTGAGACCGTCCGAACTTCCACTCTCACAGACCAAGCGATCGGCCATCGACAGTTTAGTGCACACGTTCCGCAAAAAGGGACAATATGACAGCATACGGAAGGAGCTCATGGCCCAGTATACCTCAGGTGTATGTGTTATCATCTGGAAAATGCTGCATAGCGCTAACCTGTTATTCAGCCTGCCAAAGACGAACTCGTCTCCGCCCTCCGAGAACTGGTAGATCGTGAAACCGACCGCAACCCTTCGCTCCTGTCCAAAGACCCTCGCATGGCGACCACCCTCATTGAAGGTGCTGGCGAACGTAGCGACATCTATGGTAATATTATGAAGACTGTTAATGGGCTTCTTGATAAGTTGATCGAAGAGCAAGGTTTACCAAAGATGCGAGAATATCGCATCCAGGAAATCGGTGAGGAGGCCGCTGCAGAAGAGCAGAAGCGAGGTAACAAGACTGAAGAGGAATGGGCACAGGAGGCTGAGGCCAGGCGACAGAAGCGCGAGGCCATTCGAGAGAAGGAATTAGAGCAAGAGCGTGAACGGGAGCGAGAAGAGCGTGCGAAACGAGAAGAACGCAAACGCCGGGAGCGTGAAGAACACGAGGCGCGTGAGAAGGCTCGTCAAGAAGAAAAGGAGCGGAGGCGCAAGGAACGTGAACAACGCGAGAAGGAGGAAGAAGAGCGGCGGAGGAAAGAGAAAGAGCGTGTTGAGAAGGAAAGGGAAGAGGAGCGGATACGGATCAAGAAGGAGAGAGAAGAGCACGAGAAGAGTCGCGAGGCCCGACTCAAAAAAATTCGTGAAGAAGACGCTGAGCGCGAGCGCCGCATACAAGAAGAGCTTGAAAGGGATGAACGAGCCAGAGGTGGACGTTCACGCGGAGGGCGAGCCCGCAGTCGGACTCCCGATCGTAGGGATCGTCGAGGCCGGGATCGCAGTAGGCGTAGAAGCAGGAGTAGGTCTCGGTCGCGAGAGCGCACTAGGCCGATCAGGCCCGAGGAAGTCGACGACGATCTTGCCTTGCAGATTCTTCTACAAGAAAGCGAACAGATCAAAAAGTCACGCCAGAGACCTATCCTCGAACGATCCGAATCTCTCGAGCCACCCATGCGGAAAGCGCAGCCTCCAAAGTCACTTGTGCCTCGTGATCCAGCCACTGTCAGGCTCGCGAAGCTCGAGAGCAAGGTTACTTCACCAGCACTGAGATCGCCCAGCAAGGGCCCTGGCTCTCCTGCTGCATCAGCCTCCGCAATGGCCCACAAGGACGAAGACACGCTTATGGAGGATGCTCCCTCAATCCACGATTCACCATCCAAATCCCGCTGGGACTACCCACCCGATTTACCAGCGAAACGAGACAAGACCCGTGGTCGCACTCGATCTCGCAGCGTCGCTCGAAGCACAGCAACCAGGAAGCGCAGCAAGACTCGCTCCCCATCGCGTGGTAGCCGCTACGACAGACGTGGTTCACGTGTCGAAGACCGCCGCTCGCGTCGTGACGATGACAAGCACTGCTATCGACCCCGCAACGACAGCCGACGCCGTGACGACAGAGGATCCCGTCGTAGTCGCAGCCGCTCCCGTGAAACACACACGAGCCGTCGCAAATCGCGCATCGACACTCGGAGCCCTTCACCAGCAAATGAAGACGGTACCAAAGATCGCTCCCGCTCTCGTTCACGAGGCGGCCGACGAGCACGTGATCGTACACCCCCGCCCCGTCGTCGCGGTGGCAGACACTCACGCTCCAGAAGTCCCGAGAATATTGATAGGTATGTTCCCGGTGGTGGAGTAGCTCCCCCTTCCACGCGTAAACATGACGACAGCCGTGATCGTGATCGTGATCGCGATCGTGATCGTAAACACGAAGAGGGCCGCAACCGTAAGCGTAATGATAGTCGGCCGCGCAAACGAGATGATAGTCGTGACCGTGAGCGAAAGAGGGGATATAGGTCACGCGACTACGATCGTTGGGAAGGGGGGAGGGAGAGGGCGAGTCGACGTCAGGAATCTGATTGCTACCAGCCTGGTGCTGCCTCAGCGGGTGCGGACAATAAAGATAGGGACAGGAAGCCTAGGGATCGAAGTCGGAGTCGCAGTCGTCCGAGGAGGGATGACGGGGACAGAAGGAGAAGGAGAAGTCGGACTAGGAGTCGTAGTCGTAGTCGGAGACGTTGAGGCGGATATATCAACAACAGCAAGCAGTCTGCATTGATTTTTTTTTTCTGTTTTCCTGGCTGCAGTCAAATTTGCACAATTTTCCGTCACGTTTCTTTCTTTTTGTTGGCGCAGAGTTCTTCAATGAGGTTGTTTTGCATGTCCGTGACATGGCCGGCACAAAGTACGATTACAGCGAGTGCAAATGGAGATGAGGGGTTCAGCCAGCCATGTATGCTGCGAATCTGCCGGTCAGGGAAGAGCAATGTCAGTGCCATCCATAAGCCAGTATCACCGTATACGCAAATCTTCCCAAGAACCCAGGTAAGCCTTACCCGTCGTCCAGCCAAAATCCAGCATGAATAGCTCCAAAGGCAACAACACAGCCAGTCCCACCTCTCACCCCAGCTCCACAACACCACAACGCCCCGCATCCCAACACTCCCCATCCATCACACCATGCACATAACCCTCACCCAGCAACTCCCACCGCCCCGCCCCGACCGCCCTGACAACAAGCGGCGCGCCCGCCCCCGCAACCAACGCAATCCCATCCCCGACACGCGCCTGCGCCGGCACCAAGCCCAAGTATCCCCTAGCCGAGCGCACGAGTCTGCGATTCGACGCCAGCGTAAGTGAGCGGTCGAACCCGGAGTTTGGCTGCGCGGAGAAGAGCTGTTTAAAGCAGTTGAGCGCGAATGTGAAGGTGGCGTAGGCAGATGTTGTAGCGAGGGTGCCGAGGTGGCGGCGTAGAGAAGGGAAGGGGCGGTGGTAGGTGTCCCATTTTAGATAGTCTGTGGTGGATAAGGGGGCTTCTTCGACGGACCAGCCGGCGGTGATGGTTTGCCAGTAGGCTTCGAGGATGGGTTGGCCGGTTGGAGGGTAGATTGCTGTTTTACAGTGTGCGTGGGTCATGTGTTCCCAGTTGAGTAAGGATTGGGTGTGTTGTCTGTAGAATTTGAGGGCGGATGGGATCCAGAGGGTGTAATCTGCGAGTTCGTCTTCGCTGTGCAAGAGGGCGCCGACATGGGAGATGTGGTCCCATGTATAGCCGTGGAGGTGGAGGAGGTGGCCGTCGTGTAAGCTGGCAATAGGCTTTGTGTCTCTGCTTGCATTTCGGGTGAGGAATTCTGAAGTGCGTGGACAGTTTGCTGGGCGGTCGCGCCGGTTGAGTGCTGGTGTGCTGGTCCATGTCGACCAATCTGGGACCCAGGATGGCAGTGAGGAAACTGCTGATGTACTTGTCCCCCGTGGCACGCCGAGTACATCCAAACTCCCCTCAGCTGTGATGATGGCAAATGCAATTCTGATGTACGTCTGATGTACTTCGGCCTTGTAGTCTGGTCGGAAATCGAGAGCCTGTGCATCAGTAGTAAGCCCGAGTAGTCCATACACTTTATCTCTCGGATTGGTAGCAAGTGAGGATCTACAGCGCAGCAACGTCCCAAGCGTGTCTCGCTCATGCCCTGAGAGCTTCGAAGCTCTGGCGTCAATGATACCCAGAGTTCTGGTCACCAATTGTACGTATTGTGCTGGATCCGGCATGATCATATTGAGGGAATTCAGGACGTGAAAAGCGCTCACAAAGTCGTCCCAGCTAGCCGATCGGAATCCGCACTTGACAATGACATGCGTCGCCATTGCTACTTCCTGTATGATCCAGACGCGAGCGAACCACGGATTTCGCAAGAGTGCAACCAAGGCCATGTATTCATCTGCGCCATCTCTGGGTAAGCCGAGCCGAACGGACAGAGGCTGTCGTCCTCCCACGGTGAGGTTAGCATCCTGCTTGAGAAGATTGGCCTGCTCTTCTACAGCGGCCAGTCGAGGAATAATGTCCATTGCTGTCTCAGTCTCTTTGCTACCATCTCCCAGCCAGACGGCCACCTTTTGCGCTTGGTGATATATCTTATGCATCATTGCGACTTGCGAGTTCTTCTCTTCCAAATCCGACTGATTTATACACACTGCATCTACCCAGAGTGCTAGCCTGGTGATAGATTCTGCAGAATCGGTGATGATTTGACGAAAGAAGCTGTGCAGAGTTTCGGTGATAAGTAGTTCGGCGCGCTGTCCTTGCCCGTCGAGAAACACTACGGGAACCGTTCCGTTCACGGCTCCCCAGGAATACGACAAGGCCGTGTATTCCGGTCCTTCCAACAGCGACACATGTCTGAGTCGACAAACGAATTCGCCAGGCTGACCGCTGGAAGGCTGAACTTCGAGAATGCGGATGGTGGGAATGTCGGTGGGAAGTGGTGCATAATGATAAGCTGGGAGGACCATGTTAATCACCAGCTACGAGCCCACTAGTCGATGAACCCCAGGTACACTAAATAAGAACTACTCAGGTACCGTCGCTAGCTTAGCATAGCTTATCTAGCAACTGTAAATAGCAGCTTGCGAACCAAAGTTCAACAATGAAGGCTGTGTTATAATCCGTTATGAGACTGAAAAAAGTCCAGAAGCAACGCAAGGCGTATAAAAGCACCAAGAGAAATTCAAATCACCTAAAAATCCCTAAAAATGTGCGAAATGCAAGTTGATATCACAGGAAGACCAGTGCCAACCCACCTATGCCGTAAATGACGGTTAACAGCCTCTACGCCCCGCATATTGTTTCACATGTCTCCCAAAAGAATGGTAGTTGGGGGCCTGTAATCGCTTCGTGTGCCCCATCACACCAATATCACAATCGCTGATACTGAAACTGCCAGCCTATAATGATATTGTGCGGGCGACTGGAGAATCGAATTGAAGATACCCATGTTGCTGCGATATTTCCAAGGATGATGCTAAAGATCTTCCGCTGACATCAGAGCGTATTGATGATAGATCGACTAGCACATGAGAAGATCTACCGGTACAGGTACCGGTACCGAGGCTGACATTTTGCTGATCCATCGCTTGAGAAACTCGAGATCTGGTCTCTGGTACATCTTTCCCTGAACTCATCATGGCAAGTGACGTGATTTTCAGGACTTTCATAGTACGGGGTACTATCTGTATTCTGCTGTCACGATTCTTCCCACTCGCACATCAGTCCGATGTGACGACCATTTATCGCGTTTCAGTTTCGATACAGCCAGTCTATGCTTCAGTGCCCACCGTTCCCGGAGAGGCCCCAGTTCCATCCAACCCATGATCTCTCACCCACCGGCCCGTCCCTTCTTCTCGCCACCCCGTCCCTCTTCTCCTCAGCATGCCCATATACTCCCGGACTTCGGCCGCCATCTGAGCACTCTCGCAGTCCAAACTGATGAACTCGGCGCCATCCGGAAAGTCAAAAATACCAAGGTAGCTAGTCACCATCTTGTAGCTCTCCCGCCACTCGAGCCACAAGTCGGTTGTTTGCGCTCGATACATTCGCCTGCGATTGCTGAGGAGATCATTCTCAGGACCGGGCGCAATTTGAATGCTGCCTTTTTTGAGGGTTGGTATGCGGTGAAGTGCGTGAAGGACTTTTGTGATATTTATTGCAAAAGGGAAAACGCCCGTGAACTCAACGGATGTGATAGCACAACAAGGCTGCGTTTCCCTGGCTAAGCGGACGAGAGTGAGACACAGCATATTGGGAGACTGTTGTACGTTGGAATCGTAGAGGCCGTTGGCAGCGATTGAGGACCCTTCATTGTAGCCGAGGTGATACCATGGCCGTTTGTGGATGAGCGCAGAGTCCCAGGGTCGACACTTGGTAGTCATGTGTTCGAGTGGTGTCGGGTCCGGTTGACGCAGCTCAATATAGTGGGTCTTCATGGCGAAGGTCCAGGGGTTGGAACACTCTATCTGCGTGTCCAACAACGTTGCGAGGGCCGATGGCGGTGCAGCAACGACTAGACGTGCAGGTTCAAGAAGTGAGAAGACTTGCGACCAGATCTCGTTTACTGCACGAGACAGTGGTGCATCCGACGTCGATACATGACGCAGTACGTATTCCTGATTCGTATGTACCACCACGCCCTTGATATGATACTTCAACATGTGCTGTTGCACAAATCGTTCAAACCCAGCAAACGACTTTGGAAGATGCGGAAGCCACAAGATGCGCGGTGCAGACTTCAAGAACTCGTCTCCGTCCTGTATGCGGCACAAGTTGATCAGCAGGTCGTCGAAATTCTCCTCGTATGCGGATGCAGAGCTGCTCTTGAACTTGCTGCGCATCCTGGTGTAGATCATGAACTCGTGATTACTTAATCTGGTAAGTTGACCTTGCATGCTATCAACTAATCTTGCGTCGACCGGCACCCACTGCGGTTCCGGATCCAACCCTATCCGGCAATATCGGAAGAGGATAGGGAGTACGATCTTGCGCCAGCGTCGTGATACTTGTGACAAACATTTCAGCGGGATCGCATCTGAAATGGTCAACTGTGGCGTCGGTTCATGCCTGAACTTGGAGATTGAGGGAGGATTGATGTCGAGATGCGACGCGACTTGAATGAGTATTTCGTTTGGGAGGGAGTCCATAGTTGTGTGAGGAGGTGAGACGGGTATCATAGCACCCTCATTCAGGTGTGGATTTCCAGGCAGTGAAGGAGAGCTGTGTGATCCGATGCCATGTAGGTGACGAGAACTATGGGCTGAGGGCATGCGAGTTCGCTCCATGCCGGCAGTGAAGCTGTGATTATGGGATTTTGAATGTGCATATTGAAGGAAGGAAGGAAGGAAGGAAGGAAGGAAGGGACGACGTTGAAGTGTGCCTAGTGCGTGCGTCATTTCCTTTTTGGGAATCATCAAATCTGGCAAGACACGAATCATTTGGGCTGTTCCTTGCCATGCTAAAACATGATAAATTATACGAGTAGGCCGATTCCTCAGTTAGCAGCCAGCTCTGATGGCGCCCTCTAACCAAGCAACGCCAGCCATGACTCCGTCTACTATCCTGACTGTCTTGCCCTCGTCATCACCCAGTTCTTCTACACATGCCTCTCTGACCATCTCATCCATGCCCGCCATACCTGCGCAACCAAGACAGATCGCACCGACTTTCCCCTTTTGTAGAAGTCTCTTGACAGCATCCTTCATTTTCTTGCGCACTTGCTCGGCAGGGGCATCATGCAAGTCTGTCGCATTGAGACCCGTAGTTTCCACTCCAGCAAAACGCTTACTTGCTTCAGCTCCCAGAAAGGCCATTGTGGCGTGTGTAAGGATGGACTCCCAGACTTTTCCCGTGCTTACGATTCCAAACCTCTCCTCAGGATGTATAAGTTGCAGCGACGTGCTGACACTTGCTTCGAAGATGCCTGTCACTGCCTTTCTCGAGTTTTTGATCGCGGGCACTTCCTTCAGTATTGGCACCAGCGGATGCTGCGAGTAGCATGCGACAAGGAAGCCATCGTGTCGGGTGGCTGCCTCGTTGAGATGGGTGATGCAGTGCTTTACCGATTCTGCCGCATCGTCTTCGTTGTTGATGCTCCTGGGACCCGAGGGCGCAGTGAAGTATTCGTGTGCGGTCTGCTAGCTGTTATTAGTTGGTGAACAGCTGTGGTGAGTGGTGTGGTTGACATCTTTGAACTGAAGGGCGTCGACGAGCGGCTTCAAGCCGTTGGTCATAGACTCGGTGGAATTGGGGTTGATGATGAGGATGGAGCGCATCTTGCTATATCTGGCGGTTTCACCGTGATGATACTCGCCCATCAGGCTTATTCAGAGGTCTGTTTTTCCCCGCGCGTGTAGTGACTTGTTGCCCCGCCTTTGACCGTCAGCGTCGCGTTCTCCCACCCGTGATGGAACGAGACTGAATCTGGCATCTTGGACAAGGGTCAGCGAATGACGTCACAAATAGATGATTGTATCGACAAACGCCACGCATGACCCAGTCTGCCACACGTCTGGAGCTTCATCAGCGGCTGAATACAAATACTCGAGCATGGCGAGATGGCTGGAGACAAGACTCGGTTTGTGGCTTGTGCTTGATGAGAAGAGGATGGGGTGGAGCATCAAGAAACCTACTCTACCGGCAGCCCCCTATTCTACAAGTATGGAAATCTCCATGGCCCAGGTCTGCCATGCGACATGCCAAATGCTCCATGTACTGTACTATTGCAGATTGCAAAGCCTCAACCGTCATCATCGCCATCTTCGATCACCAGCCCCCTTGTGTCGCAAGCTCGCCAGGCGCCAGGCCAGGGTGATACTTGTGTTGTAAAACGCCGTCGCGGCCCTTTTCATCTAGACTTCTCCGCACAGCGCACAGCTGTGGCGGTGTAGTGCTAGTTTCTACTCCAGTAGGTACAGTGCTAGTCTTCACTGGACATGCATCCAATCATCACCTTCAGGCTGATGACCGGTCATCTCCATGGCCAGCTCCTTCAATGGTCTTCATCAGCACTGCCAGCGTGCCAGCCTTCCCAGAACCTTCCCCGCGTGAGGCGGTGCAGACTGCATGTATTATAGTAGTATTGTACTCTACTATGTGACCGACGTGCCAAGCTGTACGGTCTTGGCGTATGACGTTGCAAATCGGGTGGGCGCACCTGCACCTGGCCACCACGCGCTTAGCCCAACCCTGCTTTGGCTGCTCATGTGCTGTGAAGGGCCAGAGCCTACCTAGGTATTTAATCCACCCTGCGTCCTCCCTCCACCTTTTGGACATCACAAATCAAGCCATTTCCATACAAAAGCTCCACATTTGCAGGCTACCTAAACACCTACACTCTCTCCACCAAGACTACTTTCCAAGAAACAAGAAACCAACAAGTCTCCACAAACGCAAGAATGGGTCTCATGTGGCATAAGGGATTCGGCGGCCGCCATGCTGGTACGTTAGTCTCTAGCTCTTGGCCCAAGGAGCCGTTGGAGCCGTTGCTTCCACAAGGCAGAGTGAATGCTAACGGTGCGTTAGGTGGTGGTATTGTTGCTGACAAGCACGGCATTCGTCGCGCTCCCATACGCCTCTCCTGCTTTGGCTTCAGCTGCTTCAGATAATCTCTACAGCATACCGTACTGCACTGATTCGACGACTTTGACGACATGTAAGATCGTCCACTGCCTTATCTCCAGCTCGATAGAGTGCTGACATCAGCGTCCTTTTAGTACTTCCACAATTCACCTAAGGCTACAGCGGCGTTGGTAGGGTCCAGTCATGAGTGGCATGTTGCCGCAATGCATGACATGTCTCAGCAGGCATAGTCTAGCCATGTTATATTCTCCATAGCATAATATACCCGTGAAACATTTCAAAATTTGTCATTATGTGGTGCGCCAACGTATGTTTTGGCTTGTCCAGACACACAGCAACACGGGGAGCCAATGACCACTGTGTATTCACACGAGAAGGTTCATAGTTGGCTCGGAGATGCCCCAGATTTCCACATTATAATGTACAAATAGCCGTGTTCCAGAAGCGTTTTCCAGCTCCCAGACGTCTAGTATTCGTTTCATCTTCTCGAACCGTAAGCCTTGCCATGAAGACCTGTCCAAAGACCGGCGTTTTGATGGAGCCGCAGCACTGCAACCCAAGCCCGCCTTGGTTCTACCTGGGCATTCCGCCTCCCTGTGCCATGGCAGCATTCTGCTCCTGGAACCGATCGCCCAGTCGCTGTGAGCCCTTCATGTGCTTGTCGACACATCGCATCACGCAGCTCTCTTCGCGCGAAGTGAGCGACTTGCTCTCGAAGCCGTTGACGCAGTGGTCAAAGCATTGCTGGACGAGGTTCGAGTACATCTGTGATTTTCTTTGGTCAGATACAACAAGCCAGAGGAGGACAGAGGGCGCCGTGTGTGTTGGTCGTACGTTCATAAACTCCTTCATCTGCTTCTTCTCCATGCGCGTCTGCAGCTCGCGCTGTTCGTTCTGGTTGAGACTGGCATGTGGGTTAGCCGAGTTGGTAAGGTAAGGTAGGGTATGGTGGAGGTGGAGGTGTGAAAGGTAGGGTGCAAATCACATACGACTCCATATTGTGCGTATCTCAATTGCTGTTTCCCAGTTCTGTAATGGCTGTGTATGCGTCTTCCGTAGCGTGTACTATCTCTGTACAAGTCAAAGTGGAAATCAAAGTCAAGGTGGCTATGACGTGTGTGTGTCGGCGGGTGCAAAAAGCTCGCAGCCCTTCCCTTCGCTCGACAAGAGCTTTCCGCCGAACGCGCAGGGCCAAAGATTGTGTGGGAAGCGAGCTTGGACTGCCAGGCGGTCCGTGGTCCCATCCACATCCACCCCAGTCCTGCCTTTCACCAACGACCCGGAAAGGAAGACTGTCCAGGAGCTGCAGCAGCTAGGACCTTGCCTTGCCTTGCCTTGCCTTGCCTTTGAGGAATCTGGGAAGGCGTTTTTTTTACTTTGTTGTATTTTTGAGTGGCAGCTTGCTTCCCCTTCGAGGCCTTGGTATGAGCTCGACAGGACCTTCTGGCCAGCCTTGTCGTACACGGTCAATGATTCCCAATATCACCTCATTTCCCGCTGGTGTCGCTTGTGCTTCGGCTACGGACGCTACTACGTACATGGTAGAAGTACTCTGTACGGTCTTGAGACCTTTCTACTCTCTGTCCGCGCCAAGGCCCTTCTTTATTCTTGGACTACCTACCACTACCTACCTACTCTTACACCCCCAAGCAAAGAAAAAATAGCAGAGCAGAACACAACACACACACACACACACACAGACACAGACACACAACGCACATTGACAGTAACCATACAACTGCATAGCAGCAACCCTTCTAACCCCCCTCCCTCGGCGCCCAGCATCGCCATCGCCAGCGCCCTTGACATTGCCATTGCCATTCCAAGCCATTGCCATTCCCATCTGCTACAGGTATTCATCGCGCATCGTCATAGTCATACCGGTAGGCTACCCGTCGGTTACGGCCGCCAACCGCCAACGTGAGCAGGATCGACGGCTTGCGTTCGCTACGCTATCTACCTGCTTGCCTGCCCATCTACTTGCTGGCCTGCGTTGCTTGCCTGCGCGCTGCTTGCATGTCAGGCGACGTGGTGCTGTCTTCCCTGAATGCTCTCGGTTGCTGCCGCAGCCATACATTGTCGTGGCTAGAGTAGGCCGCAGCGCACACTTCAACAAAGTAGTCCATCGTCGTCGGCCTGCCGCTTTGCTTCACCACCACCGCCCGCCATCATCGCCCTACCCAGCGCGCGACCACCCTGTTCCTGTATGCCCTGCGCCAACACGAGCCACAGTTCCAGGCGCGCTTCCGGTCTTGCCTTTGCGCCGGTCTTGCGTGTTTCGCGGCCCTGCGCAACCAGCCCCTAACCGCTGCAGCTACGCAGTCGCCTCTCCAAGTCTCCCAGCCTGTCAAAGCCAGTGCCGCCGCCGACGACAGCGACAACGTTGCGCCCCTCGCCCTCGCCTGCACCCTCACCGTCGTGCCCCACCCCGGCAAGTCGCCTGCGCGCTCTCTCTCTCCCTCTCTTTCTCTCGCCCGCTGCGATACGAAGTACCCCGCCGACGTGCCTGCGCTCTCGCTACGCAGCGTCGTTACGTAGCGGCCCCCATACTGCCGCCTGCCCACTGTCTGGACCCACCTGGATCTGGACAACACCACAGCACACAACACAGCACGTTGCGATCGCAACTCTCTGACCCAGGCAGTCCCGCGACCACATTGTCCGAGGAGCTGTAACGCTCGCCTGCCCGCCGTCATGCCCGTTGGCACGCAGAACAATTCTCATGCGCCGCGCGTGCGCAATGGGGAGCCCCAGGCTGCCCTAGCAGCTCCAGAGCCTGCATCCGCACGGCGCGATCTCACCTCGTGGTGGAGGCAGTTCAGCAAGCGTCCAGCAAAGAAGGAGGACGAAAAAGGTACGGGCTTCTCGCGCGCTCCCAGCGCCGAAGCTGCAGCGCCGTGGCGGCTTCTCTCAGGCACTGGCTATCCAGGGCGTGCCTGCAGTCCCCACATTTGTTTGTTTGTCGCACCCACTGACCGTTGTGTTTACCTACAGAAACTGCCCCCCAGGGAATATTTGGTGTGGCCCTCATCCAAAGTATACCCTACGCCAATGTTGCTATATCACTCTTCAACGAGCATGGCGAAAGCTACATATACGGCTACGTCCCCATCGTAGTCGCAAAGTGTGGTGTATATCTCAAAGAAAAAGGTCACGTCGCCTTCACCATGCTTGCTTGTGCGCGCGCTAACATTCCCGCAGCTACTGATGTGGAAGGCATCTTCAGGTTAGCCGGCTCGGAGAAGAGGATCAAGGAGCTCAAGACTGCGTTTGATACCCCGCCGCGCTATGGCAAAGGCCTCGATTGGACGGGCTACACTGTCCACGATGCAGCCAACATCCTGCGCCGCTACTTCAACAATCTTCCGGAGCCCATCATTCCACTTCAACATTATGATCCCTTTCGGCAACCCCTGCGGAACCATCAGGCGGAAGCGGTCGGCCCTATCGAAGGTCAAGATCCGTCGATAGGAGGATTCGACCCAGACGCTGCAGTACGGGTATATCAGCACCAGATCAAGGCTCTGCCTTCCCTCAATCGCCAGCTACTATTGTATATCCTCGACTTGCTTGCCGTGTTCGCCGCAAAGGCAGATGTGAACAAAATGACGACCTCAAATCTAGCCGCCATCTTCCAGCCAGGTATTCTGTCGCATCCTCAGCACGACATGTCGCCCGCAGACTATCGGCTAAGCCAAGACGTTCTCATCTTTCTCATTGACAACCAAGATCATTTCCTGATTGGTATGGAAGGCACCGCTGTCGATGAGGGTACCGTCAAGCACATAGAAAGTGGGCCCTCAACCCCACAAGCACGAACACCAACGACTCCAGGTCGCAATCCCTCTGACATCGGACGATCGGCTTCGACCACATCCAGTGCTGGTGCAGAGAGCTTGCGCATGTATGGAGGTATTCGTCGAAACGTCTCAACATCTTCGAAACGGTCACGACGCTCAGGAGCTGTGCCCAGTCCCATTACCCCTGCCTTTTCTACCCCAGCCACCTCGAGTGTTAATAGAAGTAACACTCTGCCTACCAAGCGGTCACCTGCTATCGGTAGTCCGCGATTCCCCTTCAACAAGGTCTCAGGTCCTTCTACACCCGTCGCCGAAGAGGTGAAGAGTCCAGTTTCGCCTCCTCAACATGCAGATGCCTCAGTGAGCGTCGCTAATACAAAGCAAGAAACGGAACAAATTACGAAAGACTCCGAACCGGCCCAGCCCGTACAGGCAGTCGTAGAGCAAGTCCAAGCCGTGCAACCCACGGTATCGGAGCAAGAACCAGCCGCGACCATTCCCAAGAGGTCCGCAACCATGCCGCCTCAAAAGATAGAGATGCCGGCTCCCTTTGCCCATGTCCCCGCTCGACCTCCAAGGCCAATGTCCGTCACGCCAGCTATACATGAGATGCCTGGAGGCTTTCCATTGCCGTCGCCTGGTGTTATCCCGCCAAGTGCGCCTGTCACGCCAGATGTGTCCGCCCAAATTGCACAGGAAATGCTACCCGTCCGCGCTTCTACTCCACTTCAGCGCAGTCCATATCCTAGTCCTCGCCGCAGTCCTCATCGCAGTCCCCATCGCACTCCCCAGCGCAGCCCTCACCATACTCCCACGCGTGAACGATCCGAATTCCTAGAAGGACCTATCGACTCTGGTCCCTCTGCTGAGCTCACGCCAGCGGTACGCACCTTTACCCAGATCTTAGCCAAGGTGGCGGCCTCGCCGACAAACGAAGCAAAGGATGAACGAAAACCAAAGAAACTTCAGAAGAAACGTGGCCCACTGGGTGCGATTACCAGCGCACACAGTTCTACTCATTCGCTGACTGCTGGGGATGTTGGTTTTGGCGGTTCTTATGTGCCTCCAGCTCTCGAATCACCATTGCAACCGCCACACCCTCCTTTTGCACACGGCCAGTCCCAAGCCAGCGGATCCAAGGAAGGCCTACACTCGCACAATGACACTGTATCATCGCGCCACTCTGGTATAACGTTGAAGCCCAGCATGTCACCATCGGCTTCTTTCAGATCGCATTCGACTGCCACGGAGCACTCCGAAGCCGAGCAGACAGATGATAATCTACCCAAAGAAGAAAAGCGCAGCTTCTGGAAAGGTCACAAGCGTGGTGAGAGCAGAGCAACGCCGACAGCAAGCTCTACGGACCTTCACGGCTCTGTGCCCGGTGGTGACAAGAGCATGAGCTCTTTCGCTAGTAGTTCAGGGAATACTGGAGGTGGACGCAGGAGCCTTCAGTACGATTCCAATCCCAGTCCTGATGCCTCGGTGGTTTATGGAAGTCCGCCAGACCACGACCGATCGGAGAAGAATGGCGTATTCGGCTGGTTCCACAAGATGAGATCAGACCACCAAGACCGGACGGATAAGAAGGAACGCGCCAAAAGTCCACCAGGGAGTTTTAGTCGCTTACCTCCGCCGCAGAGCCTCATGCAGCCATTGAATGATCCTGCCTCAAGAGGTCGTACTATGGAGACTTCGCACGTGACAGAGAAGACCGATAAGTCTGACGATACCACTCCAACTGGGTCAACGCCAGTTGCATCCACTGCTCCCGGAACTTCATCGTCGCCTGTACCTACATCTCCGCCTGCCTCTGTACCTGGGCCTGGCCCTTCACCTGATCCAGTACCAGGAGCTTCGGAACCAAAGCTGCGACATGGCCCCATGGCCCTCCGTAGCGATCTCCCAGCTGCACTCTTTGAGAAGCGATCGGTAGCGCAGTCTCCAAGCAGGAATCCTGCTTTGCCTGACGCGGTCACCCCTGCTTCACCCCCTACATCTGAAACTGCGCCAGTTGAGAACGCTCCCGTCAAAGAGGTGGAATCTGAAGCAACTACCCAGTCAGAGAGTGCGACGGCACAGCCATTTCAAACGGCAACTTCACCATCTGATTCGCATCATGCGTCTTCCAACTCAACTGTAACCATCACGTCTTCTTCTCAACCGCCGACTGCAACCACCACGGCGAATCCCGCGCCTGGTGAGAATGCGCAAGGTGCGCCGGCTACCTCCGCCCAGGCACCAGCTAAGTAGGTTGGATTTTTGGATTTTAGGTGTGCGGTTGCAAAGCGCTACGGTTAGGACGATTGAATGGTTATGGGTGATGATTGTCATTTAGATAGTGAGGTTTGACTGGATTTCATGCAGTGTGGATGTTGACATTCGTCTTTTTTTCTTCTCACATTTGGGCAATCCTGGATGAGTATGATGCAGCTCTTGTTCGGATTGGGAATCGTGCTGCTTTGGACTGGCGGTGAAGTTGTATGTGTGGGGGGGGGGGTTGTTGTTGAACACAAGAGTACCAAGCTAAGCCCTTTTTGTCTTTTTTTATGGAAAAATGGTGGGTTGATTGGGGTCAGTGGTTGGCTGGTTGGTTGGTTGGTGGGAGATGGGGGAGGGGAGGTTTACTTCTTCCTGCATCTTTTGCATATAATGACGGTTTGGCAATGTATCACTTGGCTGGATGAGCGATGAGTTTATGATGCGTGGGATGGGATGGAATGGGATGGAGTATGATGGGATGGAATGGGATGGAGTATGATGGGGATTGGGATACCTATTGCCTATTCGTAGAAATATGGACTGTTTTGCCATCCATCCTACTCCCCAGCTAATTGTTATAATTCAAAGGGAATTTAACCCAGCGGCCTGTGAAGGGCGAGTGCCGGTTTGAGCTAGTAACTACTGATGGATGTTCCAGAGACTAGATGAAGTGTTTTTCTTGTACTGTGTAGTGAAGGTAGTGTAGTGTAGTGTGCCATAGGCACATGCTGTCTGCAGTGTAGATAATCCTTCCTTTGCCGTGTGTTTGTGTTTGTTATTCATCATCCATTTGTTCTATGTGGGTTCTGTTTCATACAAGGACTCTGCACATGAGTTGAGATTGAGATGGGTATACCTGCCGGTATGCACATGCAAATAATACACAATACCTACCGATCAACACGAGTCACGTCACATCGCGCGCGCGTATTAGGTCTGATAATGTCAGGACAGGTAGAAACTTAAAGAACAGCGTATTACCTCCGTCTTGCTGTATACCCGTCACTGATTCGGTACTAATTTCCCTTTGCTTCTCTCACATTAGAAATTCGAATGCAGAGTGCCGTATATTTTTTGGTCTTTTTCCTGTCAGTCCCTCTATCTGACTACTCTCAGGCTTTGAGAGTGGACTTGATTTCGGTGGCATAGGTGATTGCTGAGCTTAGGAATGAATTATCGAGATAGAGCCCAAGTATATTCAGTCCAAACATGGCATCTACTTTAGTAGAGGATCATGAATAGTAGACTGAACACCTATGCTTGTCCTAGGTCCACGACTATAAAGAGCAAGCTAAAGGATGTGTCAGTAACAAGTTTGGAGATTAGGCTGTGAGCAGATCTTCAATGGCAACGAGGATCGGTGTCGAGGCGCTCTTTTTGCATCACAAAGTTAATATCTAACTGTAGGGGTTCTGCGACTAATGTACGAACCTGTGAGCTTCACAAGATGGCAATTCACCGAGGGACATGCCCGCCAGCCATTTCTGTGGTGTGCCAACAGAATCGCTATCGGCCTTGATGGAATAATTGTGCATACAATACTTCTCCTGAAATCCTATAAAGGTTCTACGATGAACGCTATTCTCTACAAATACATCGCTCTTTGTCCCATTGCATCTTCTAAACAGCAATTGAACGATTCTTACCATATATTCTCTCTACTACCAGTCTGCACAACGACTCGTCAAATCCATATCAACACTTACAATGAAGATCACTGGACCATTCAGTCATGCTACGATCGCCGCTGTCCTGATTCCTCTAATCGCGGGATCACCTCTAGCATCGGCACCAAATAGTTCACCTTGGGAAACTACCACCAAAGATATCCTTATCTCGGAAATCCAGCCGTTCAACCTGGCTTCCCACGTCGACAACTTGGAATCCTCGACCGGTCTCTCGAGCAAGCGGAGCAGCTGGTCCACTGGCGTCTGCAATCAAATGAATGTCCATTTCAAACCAGTAACAGGCGGCTTATGGCATTTCAAGGCTGCCAGATGCGACCGGACTGGAACCGACGTCAACACCTTCACAGTTGATTGTTTCGGAGGAAGAAACTGGATTGAAGAACACATCGACAAACCAGGCAAATGTGGGCCGAGAGAGTGGTGTGTCGACTTTCGTGGCATCAACAATAAAGGCGATGGAACCAATGACGTCTATTGTGTGAAAAGAGCCGATATCCACACATGGGTTGCCAACACCTTCGCGAATCCAGTGGACGACCACGTGACATGTAGTCGAAAATGGACGAACGACAGCCCACGGTCAGCCAAGGCACAATTGCTAGTCGACGTCATGGATAACGCTGGGAAAGACTATATTAGTCCCCAAAATGTCTTCTTCACAATCAACAAAAAGTGGGTTGGCAATTCCAAAGGCGGCGACGCTATTGTTGGATCTGGAGTGATAACTATACCACCTCGGGCAGATATCTACGCCTGCGTTACTGCGATTATGAATAAGGGTCAGATTCTCAACATAATGGCCGCTTTGACTTTGCTCTCTTATGTATAGGACCTGCCATTACTACACACAACACGACACAGCGCGCACGCTTACCTCGTAACAACCACGTTGGCACAGCTAGCAAACCCAAAGAACTGAACTGGGAGTTGCTCGTCGTCCTCGCCACAATAGACTAATCGTCCTCGCCCTTCCTATCCAGGTATAGCTCGAGTATTAGTAGCTTAGTAGCAAATGTAATATATCTTACTAAGTAAGGGGAAGCCCGTTTTTAATATATTCTATAACCCTTACCCTGTACCAACCCTTGCCCTACTCTGACCCTTACCCTACCACAACACCCTTACTCTAGACACTGTAACCCTAGGTATTTATACTTGCTTGTCTGTTTTTTCACGTAAGATACATGGCGTCAAGTACTAATTTGCTAGGCGGTCAAGGCACCCTAGTACCGGCCAAACGAACATGAGGTCCTTGCAGCCGAGGATTCCAGTAGCTGCTGCTGATGCTTATGCAGACGCACAGGAGCGAGTTGGCCCGACGTGAGCGTGCTAATGCCCTGCGCTGGTGCCGCGCAAGCAGAGTGTACGCAGGGTTCTCGCCTATAGCGATCCCGAGCTTTACGTGCCAACTTTTTGCCTGCTTGACCGGTAGGTACTGTTGGCCATGTGTTTTGCTCTGTCCAGCCTGGCGATGATGCTGCAGTGATGTGTGCGTGCATGTCCTGAGACTGGTTCCATAGCCGCGCAGCATGATCTGCCGCCCGCGTCGGAATTTATTCACAAATGCGTTGCTGGCCGAAGTGAATGGGCGGCGTGGGTGGAGTTGAATGGATGACGGTGGAGTTGGATGTTGAGGATAAAAATGGAGCGTGGAGGCAAAGCACGATCATCGACGGAGGCTATCGGCACGACGAAGCTACTGTAGAGTAGACTTTTCCCTCTCTTTCTCTCGAATCGAATCATGGCTCGAGCAGGGAGCTGATCGGGGCGGGTCTTCTGGCTCGTGTTTCTGCCAGGTGGTGCGTGTCGTGTCTATTATCAGCAGCAGGCTTGGTAGGCGGACGCCTGCTGGCTTTAGGGCTGCTCCTGCCTCCGCCACACACACGCAAACACACACTCTCACCTCCACCTCCACCTCCACCTCTCTGCCTCTGCAAAACCACGACTCTTCACTCGCTCAACTCATCGCTGACTGCAAACTACCTACCCTTCACCATATATTTGTGTATTTCTCCGCCCAAGTGTAATCAATCGACCTCTTCAACCCGTGCGGTTCAGGCTCGAATAGGAAGGACAATTGGTTTGGTTCGTCGCTCTGCTTCCTTGTGTCCCAGCCACCCGGAAACGACAGGTCTTGTGTAAGCTTCTCCAATTCGACCATTGCCCTTGGAACGACTCAACAACCCCGTTCGTCCATGGTGTCGTTCATATATGGGCCCCCAGACATCTCACTGGGGGGGCATGCATCATCATCCTTCCCTTGCATATCGTCTTTTTCCATGACGACTTCGGCCTTGCTTCTGCCCATGACGCTTTGCTAACGCGGGAATTCCCACTCAGTTGATTCTTTCCCTTGATCGAGATAAAACACTTCGACCATCTCGTCCCACTACACCCCATCTTCACGATGCGTTCTTTCGCTACTTTGGCCTGCCTGGCTGTCCCACTGTTCGGGACCGTCTTCGCCGAGGCCCCAGCCCCTGTCTCCAAGGTGGATGCCATCTACGCCAGCGCACATGAGGCATTCCAGGACCTTCTCAATGCGCTGCCAGAGGACTCGCTACATGCAGCATTGGACAGCCTGGAACACTTCAAGACGGGCGTGTTCGAGTCGTATCATCACGGCGTCGAACACGTGCACGATAAGAACCCAGCCCTTGCCACAAAGCTCATTGTTGCCGCTGTACGTGACCTGCAAAAGAGACAAACTCCCTCAAATGGCACCAACACGGAGACAACGGCTCAACCTCCTGCCCCAAGCACTCTGCCTCCACCAGAGAGCACCCAGGCGTCGCCCACCCCGCAAATTACACCATCTCAGCAACCTCCGGCGAGCACTGAAGCATCACCACCACCAGCTCCCACAGTGACGAGCAGCACTGGACGCGCCGTCATCATTCCCGTGGAAAACACCATCACTACCGGTGGCTCTACTGTTGTGCAAACAACTGAAATCCTCAGCGAAGTCACCGCCTCCGTCCCTGTGACCGTCGTCCGCACCAACGAACAAGGCTCCACGGTGACAACCACCGAGAACCGCCCTGCCATCATCATGACCACCACTGACTCTGCCGGCCGTACTCAAGTCACTACTTCTGCTGGCAACTTGGCCCCGACTGCTGGCGAAATCGTCACGGCGACGAATCAGCAGGGTTCCACGTTCCTGACCACGTACACGCCTACGGCTGGCAAAGTCAGCAGCGTCAAGTTGGTCACCACTACGGGCCAAGACGGGCAACCCATGACGTTGACGAGCTATGCGTACGTGGACCCGGCACAGCCGACGCAGACGCAGGGCTCTAGGCCAGATGAAACACGGTCGGGTCAACCGGGACTGCAGACTGCTGCTGCCGCTAGAAACATGGCTGGTCTTGCCGCCGTTGGTGGAGCACTAGCTTTGTTCCTCTGAGAACAGTGTTTTTTCACTACACTATTTGGCCTCTTTCTCATCACATTGAGCACGATTCAGTGAAGAAGATGCAGTACAGAAACGTCAGGTTGAAACGATCAAGACAAGGCGGATCCAAGGGAAAGATCATTACGCCACCCACGACTCTTTTTGCCTCATTACATTCCTTTTAATCGATTATAGCATACAGCATACAGCATACAGCATACACACAACCATCACGGCAGTACCAGCACCAGCAGCATCTCGACATTCCTTGTTTTCGAAACACAGCGCTTCCAAAAGATACCCAACACTCCTTTTATTTTTACCAGCTGGTAGTATCAGCAGCAGTATAATCATTGAATTCATGTACATCCATCAATCAGCCTATTAATGGTTTTGTTTTTCAGGCGTGGCTGTGTACTTTTTTGTTCAAGGGAAACCGGGGACTGGGGGCTTAGACGGGGAAAATAATTTGTGAATTTGTGGATCGTTTTGGGGGGGGGGGGGGGGGTGAAGACGAAGCGGATAAAGAATAAGAGACGGGGAGGGTACATAGATGTAAACGCATGACATGGTGAGAATGCAGAGAACACAGAGAAGGCAAAAATGAGGCAAGAATGTCACACAATGCGGATTAGTATATACAGAGTTTATGTGTTTACAGGTCCATCACATCACGTCATGTACAAACATCACAAGATATCTTGATATACCCACAAATCCTCCCAATTCCCAGCGCACATCCCTTGTTTTCATATGCGGCGGAAGATAAAAGACATGTATACTATATTCAAAGGGGGGGTATATTGGTACAAGAAAAGACTAGATGGATGATACAGTGCACCTCACAACCAGGACGGAAGGTCGCAACTCCCAAACATGTTTTAGCAGACTGTTTGGAGGGAACGGGGAATATGGGAATGTATGAACGTGTGAATGGCCCGATTGTACAGCGTGCTACACCCACCAGCCAACCCCACGCCCTCACCTAACCTTGACCGCAATAAAATACTCGACACTCTCACCCGCCCAACTCACACTCGCACTCCCACTCTCAAACCGGTCCTCCTCAAACAACCCGGCAATACTCTGCTCATTTCGCACCCCCTTCTTCGCAGCGCCACCGCCCCCAAAGCTCTCCAGACTAACGACGCGACAGCCAATCTTGAGGTCGAGAAACTTTTGCAGCAGCGAGTTGTTGAGGGATTCGCCAAAGACCTTGTTGTTGACGAGGACGACGTCTGCGCGACGCAGGACGGCGTCGATGGCGGGGGAGTCGAGGAAGTCGGCGTGCAGGAGGTGCAGGGGGCCGAGGTGGATGTTCCAGAGTCGGGACCGGGCTTTGAGTTCGGCGGCTTGTTGGGTGGCTAGGCTGGCGGCGAGGTCCATTTTCTCGATGCCCCAGGACTCGGCCCCGGTTTGGAGGGCGGCCTGGAGGACGACGTTGCCGACGCCGGAGCCGAGGTCGACAAAGGTGTGGGAGGAGTTGAGTGCGGTTTGGGCAAAGATTTTGTGGACAAACGGGGTGAGGAGTTCGCCGTAGGTGGTTTCTTTGCCTTTGACTTTGCGCAGCCGGTGGGCGTGGGGCGAGACGATGCGGTTGTAGCTCTGGGCTGTGATGCGCTTGACAAGGCTAAGGGGGATGGCGTGCATTTCGTCGATGATGCGCGGGATGGTGCCATTGCTGAGGTGGTCGCGGATCAAGGCGTTGAATTTGGAGAGCTCGGTTTGAAAGTCTTCGGGCGAGTTTTTGGAGACGGCACGTTTGAGGAGGCGGACGGTGCCTTCTGCGTCCGAGGAGAGGGTGGCGGCGAGGTCGGGCGGGAGGTAGTGCGTGATGATTTCCTCAATCGAGAAATATATATCGTTGAGGGGGCTGTAGCCTTCGCTCGAGTCGAGCGGATCGACAGCTTCGAAGCGTTCGGGGCGCGAGGGGGAAGGGTATTGCAGTTCGAGGATGGTGGGCGAAGGGCTGCCTGGGAATGCGGGCTTGTAGTCTTTTGCAAAGTCGCCCGAAGACATGTCGAGGCCATGGATAAGACGACCATATGTGCCCTTTTTTGGCACAGGTTTCTTGTCGCCATAGACGCCGTTGAGGTCGATGGCCTTCTTGCCGTCTGTCCTTGGTGCCGATGTATTATTTGATGTGCCATTCATCGCCCCATTCTTGTTTCCATGCGCGCCATTTTCAACTGTCTTAGCACTCGCATCCTCCTCTTCTCTTATCCTGATCCTCCTCCTCAGATCCGGCTCGAGCGTCCTATTCAGATTCATGGGCTCTGTACTACTGCTTCCCACCCTCCCCATCTTCAGCCTCTTGATCCCCGATCCAAGTCTATCTTCATCCTCCCCCTCACTCGACTCATCACTACTCGCCCACTGTGGCGTATCCGTCCCCTTTCTCTTCCGATTCTCCGCCACAGACGCCTTGCGCGGCTGCTCCTTGCCCCTTAGATGCGAAGATGTAGAAGACTGATATCGATTCGTCGGTGCACGCGGCGCGCTATTACTCCTCGCACCAGCCCCAGGCCGCACGGCAGACGATGTGCGTGGCGCAGGCGACGAGTTTGCCGTGACAGTAGCCGGACGCTGGACGAGGACAGTTTTTTGTTTGATCTTGGGTTTGCCTATGAACATGATGATGACGCAGTCGGTCGCTGTGCGCGCCGAGAGTTTGTGTCTAGTGTGAAAGTAGTAACTCTGCAAGTATACGTGGTAACGTTATGTGTGGTTGCTCGCGTGCCCAAGGCAAAAGAAAAAACGCCGCTGCGGTTGCGTGTGTGTGTGTGTGTGTTTGATGGGTGCAGGCAAAAGAATGGAAAGGGAATGACAAGGCAGCCGTGGAGCAGACGACAGAGAGAGTGTAGAGAAAGGGAAGGGAAGGGAAAGGCTGTGGGCGTGATTCAACCAATACGAGGGGAGCCGTCGCACGCGCAAAAGCAGGTCGACGTCGTGACTGCGCTTTCCCCGAGGGTCGCTGGACGCCACTGCACGAATGACAGGGGTGGGGCTCGCCTAATTCCCACTTGGCCGGGTTGGGCGGCCTTATAACCACACACGTGGGAGGAATGGTCGGCCCTGCATTTGGCCTGTCCTGGACTCCTCACGGTGAAGCATGATGATGGCACCCTTGGGCTAGCTTTGTGAGCCTATGTGTTCACGATAGAGAGAGTCCATGTGGAATAGATGCCACACTATCATCTTACCATCTTGTCATAATATCCTGGCCTATTCCGCAACATCATCGTTACGACCTTCCGTATGCACACCCCCAATCCTATACTACTAACTGCCTCAACTCGTTCGTCAAAAACGAAAAACATACCTTTTGTGCCTTGGTTGTCCAATGCCATTCTAAAGCCATACATCATCTAACGTTAAATCAAGTCTTGCAAATAATTGCATGCCACCCAACTGTCCACCTCACACTGCCCATAATGACAATCAGCAGACACAAACTAGCCACCACACTCACTGCCCCATACATATATGCATACCGTCTCTTTAGTGAGTCAATCTCGCTCATCCACGTCGACACCGTCGTCAAAGCGCCGCAGAACCCATCCTCGATGCCTTGCAGGACCTGACAGCCAATGATACCCCCTCCCATCAGCCCAGTTGTGCTCAACGAAACATGCTGTAGATCGTATGCCATGCCCAACACCGCTGTGCCGAATACATTCACGGTGAAGGTACCAAGTGGGAAATTGGGATTCGTCGCATTCAGCCAACAGGAAATGTAGTACCGAAGTAGACAGCCAAGGGGCGCAAATACGCACGCGAAAATAGCTTGTCCGCGCCAGGCATTCTGCGGTGGAAACACTGCCATGAGAACTGCACCGATCCAAGTGCCCCATCCCAAGAAAACAAACATCGGGTCCACGACTCGGCGCGTGAAGCGAAAAGGCAGCGTGGGTGTGTAAGGGTCGAGGAAGACGGCGAGATGGGACCCTAGTTTGAGTGCCGAGTAGCACGCTGTTACTGTTATGATGATGGTGGCGCAAATGGCCATGAAAGAGTATCCGCCATTTCGACTGACCGTATCATAGGTGGATGGCAGGGGTGTGTTGACCGGATAGGGGTGGCTAATGGGAGAGGGCAGGTCGTTTGATAGCGAGAGAAATACATCGCGGATAAAACTCGAGAAAGAGGTACATGAGCCGCAGAAGCCTGTAACTAGGCCAATATATACTGGTATCGTCTTCTTGATCTTGCCATGTCGAGCTTTGGCTTTGTGGTATTCTGCCGTATCAGGCTCTGCTGGCCGATCTAGTGGTTCTGGTAGGTTGGCCCCGCCAATTCCCCATGCCAGACGGAATAGCTTGCGATCCTCAGCGAGGAATCCCATGACCAGTGTGCCAGCGACGTTGGACCATAATTCGGAAAATACGACAGGTGCGCCGGGGTAGAATGTCAGTGCCTGTAGACCCACGCGTGCCAATGTGCCCCAGATGGAAAAGAATATCAGGTAGGATATCGTGTACAGCTCGGTCATGACTTCTGACGCTCTTTGCGCTTGCGGCGTCGGTTTTGACCCATGATATCTCGCCCCGCCCTCCTCTTCCAACTTCTCCTCGTTCCTATTTGGCAATGCCGTAATGTTCAAATGCGAGTCTGACGCAATCCCCGGGATGCCGATTCCTAGACCTGGGAAAGAGGATCCTCTAGCGCGCTGCATCTGAGTCTGATAACTCCCTGCGCGTCTAGTCTGGCCTTGAGTCCATGGCGGCTGCAGCGGTGGCTGGGGATTTGGCGATTGCGTATTCAGCTCGAGCAAATGTACCCACGACTCCGGAGCAGGAACCTGTTCGACTGCGCGTCCCTCTCCGGCATTCGACTCGGCTGTACTGCGTGATGTGCGCTTTGCGCTTCTCCACGTTCGCCTCGTGTCGCTGTTCCCTCGACTGCGCGTGTACGGGACGTTGGGGGCCGGCGACGCGGCAGAAGAGGGCGAAGGCGGAGCCTCGCTGTCTGTGCGATCTGTGCGATCTGCCTGTGCTCTCTCGAAATCGAGATCGAGGCCAAAGTCGTCCAGGCGTCGCAAGTCGCTATGGGTTCGCATGCGATGGAGCTGGCCCAAGGAGACTTCTGAGCGGAGTGAGGAGCGATGCGAAGAGCGCTGGTTGTTGAAGTGCGACTCGCGTTTTCCTACCGGGACATCGTCGTCGCCTGCGTCTGTCATTGTCCTGGCTCCAGCGCTGCTGGGCTAAATTATCGATATGCGATGACGTGCAGATGGCAATCCATCGGCGCGCTCCCGATCCAGTCAGTCCACGATATGGATCTGTACAATCAGCACGAGATGTCGCTATCGCAGTCCTGTCGCAGTCATGGTCCGGCGAAGTACATTAAGTACGTAGATGAGTAGAAGGTGCAAAACTTGGGACGCACTAGAGTTAGTGACACAAGCACCATAGAGTAGATACGAACTGGGCCGATTACATGGGCGTACTGCAGCAGCCTCATTCACTTGTTTACCTTTTTAGATTACCACAGTACTCTAGAGTGACCAAGTTTCGGCACAGCGAACCGCAAGGCGGGATTCTGCTCTGCCAATTCCTCCGAGGGAAGCAAGGATATGCCTGCGGGCCGTCTATGGTCGCATGCACTGTGAGAAGCTCTGAGATCGTGGGAGTCGGAGGCGCCCGTCCAGCGTTATCGCCGAGCCAAGGTCCCGTGACTTTCTATCGACATGCACCTGCCCCATTCCAACCAGCTCTCCAGCTGTACAGCCCCCATTACTTTACCAACTTGAAGACCCCCTTCCTTTTCTTTTATACTACTTTCAAGTTACACACACACACACACACACACACATAGCAATAATGGCATCTCTCAACCTCCCCAAGAACGCCCACATATCCACGCATCCGTGTCTCCAAGCTAAGCTCTCCCAGCTTCGGTCAGCAAGCACAGGGTCCAAAGATGTACAGACGCTGGTGCATGAAATCGCCCTCATGGTTGGATATGAAGCCCTGGGCGCTGGTTTGAAGGCACAGGAAGATGGCACAGTATGTCCTTCCTCTTTGCTTTTCTGAAATCCTGTCATCTCATCCTCCACCATGAATCACGTGAACACGCTCGAATCAAATCAAACCCACACCTCTATACTACACTACCACCCCTCTGTACCACAGACTTACCCGATTCCGTCTCAACTCACATATAACATACAGCCAATACTAGTTACCAAATTTATGTAAATACGTGTTGACGATACTCCACAGGACATATCCCCACTGGGCTACTCCTACCCCACCACCACCACCGCCCCCCACCCATCCTCGATATCCCTCGTCCCCATCCTCCGCTCTGGCCTCTCCATGATACCCGCCCTCGCATCTCTCCTCCCCCAACCAGTCCCCCAACACCACCTCGGTCTCTACCGCGAGAAATCCACCCTCCAACCCGTGGAATACTACAACAATCTGCCCTACCACACCCCACACTCCAGCGCCTCAACCAAGCCCCAGCCTGAACTAGCCATCATCGTCGACCCCATCATCGCCACAGGCGCCACAGCATGTGCGGCGATCGATACATTGAAGGATTGGGGCGTCAAGCGGATCATCGTTTGTGCGATATTAGCGACGGAGGAGGGGTTAAGGCGCGCGTGTGAAGAATGGGAGGAGGGTGTCGAGGTCTGGGTTGGTGGATGCGATAAGGATGTCGATGACAAGGGTATGATTAAGCCTGGTCTGGGAGATGTTGGCGACAGGCTGTTTTTGACGCTTGGGAAATAGAATGGGTATGAATGAATATATGGTGAAATGAAAGGAAATGAATGCAAAAGCTGAATCCTTCTCAGCCTAGCAAAAGTTGTGAAAATTCTGGCGAGAGAGAAGAAGAGCAAGTATCTCGCTTTAGCGTGAAGGGACTACAGATGGCTAGGAAAGAAAAGCTTGGGGCAGCGTGAAGGGCTTGCTACACCCGAATGCACAGTACCAGACCATATATGGGCAGGGGTATCATCAATATCCTCAAGTTTACACATTTCCATTATATTCGGTTACTGGTAGCTTAGCTCATGTGCTGATCCCACGTACTGAAACGTGGTTCACGCAAATGCGCTAACTCTAGACAACCCCAATTGGATCCTCAAAAGTCCACTAGAATTGTACAGTTTCTTTACTGACATTCTCTTCTTCAATTCTACAAACACTTCCATACTTTTTGAGTTCGGTCTAATTCAACAAAACTCGAAATGGCCTTCCTTTCACCAGATTTCCAGATCGTCTCAGACCTTCACCTGGAAACGCCCATCTCGAAGCCACAGTATGAGACCTACAACCTGAAGATTACAGCAAGCAATCTTTTACTTCTGGGAGATATTGGCCTCGTCAAAGATGACGGCCTCTTTACTTGGCTACGTCGATGTCTAGAACAAAACTGTGGTACTCGAATCTTCTTTGTCCTGGGCAATCATGAGCCCTACCAACTTACGCTGGACCTCGCGGTACAAAAGCTCAGAGCTTTCGAACACGTTGCAAAAACGCAATATGGGAGTCGCTTTAAATTTTTACACCGCAACCGTTATGACATCAACAGGGACATCACCATCCTCGGCTGCACTCTCTGGACCTCGATCCAACCCAGCCAATCTGCAGAAATCTGCAACAGAATGACCGATTTCAACGACGTTCGCGGTATTCAAAATTGGTCTCTGGATAGCGCTTTGGAAGAGCACCGGAAAGATTTAACCTGGCTTAATGAACAGGTACTCGAGATCGAAGCTTCAGAGCCGCATCGCCGTATAGTCGTTGCAACACATCATTGTCCCACCATAGATCTCCGGGCCAGCGATCCTGCTCATTACGGTAGCACAGTGAGCTCGGCTTTCACATCTGATCTATCTCATCAGCCTTGCTGGACATCTGCAGCCGTGAAGATGTGGGCGTTTGGTCATACGCATTATAGCTGCATATTTCGCGACGATCCGTCTGGCAAGATTGTGATTGCCAATCAGAAGGGCTATGACACTAGGAGGCTGGGCACCAAGGTCGTGGAAGTTAAAGATGGTGAGTGGCGGCTGGCTTGTACGGAGAGCAAAGCGAGGAATAGTATGGATCGCATGGAACGGCCTGGGATACGTCAGGTAGCGGAGACGAGGGGAGAGGATTCTGATCTAGTAGCAAGGAGGCCATGTGCAGTGACAAAAGTACAGGGAAAATTTCGACGCACGACCAAGAAAATCTTCGCCTACTGTCACGGATCTTAGAAATGTGGTAATCTTGACAGGTGGTTCACTATAAGGGTGGTTGCACTCTGTAACATACGTACATAAAATTACTATCTACAAATATCACTATGCTTGTAAAAAGACAGAGCTAACTTGTGGGTCATATTTGAAAAGTTGATATAGATAGTGGTAATATTGATTAATGTTTAGCGTTATCAAATGATCCCTTCTATCGCATGAGTAAATGAATTATATGCATCGCGAGGACTGTTCACGATGTTCTGCTTACCTATATATCTCCTGACTGCGACTACCGCTACAACCCTTACAAGTACATTCATTAGTAGCAGGACAATGATATGCGTGCGTAATGTGCATGGAATTGTGTATTTAGAGAAGTGTGATTTAGTCTAACAGTAGCAAGGTATTCATCTTGATCCAATACTAATATTAGAGGTCGATGCAGGCATATGTTACTATTTACGTTAAATGTACCTTCTGATTAGTTATCTCTTTCCGTCTGAAGGCCTATGGACCTTCCATTAGATTATAGCATCTGCTCCTTCCTTATATCTTCATTATAGTCATGTAAGCATGGCCATTGCCTTCTGTTATGTAGCTACGCTCTGGTCTTTATAGACGACCATCGTAACATTCCACACTTCGATTGAGCTTCATTTCTGGTTTCGTAACAACATGTATCCTCGCGAGCCAGAAGCAATACTTCGCGGCGGGCAATTGTTGCACTAAAGAAATCGAACCGCCTCATGAAACTCCAACTGCCTGCCCTGCGCCAACGGTCATACCGCTCGACATCATCGTCGAGCGAAAGCCGATGTCAGAAGACATCCTTAGACAAGGGTTGGACACGATTCACGCTGCCCTTAGCGTGCGAGATAACACCATTGAATATCGTGTTGTTGGTGCGGGTGCGGTTTGGGCTATGGGAATGGCATATAGGGGCACAGCGGACTTCGACATTGTCGTCCAGAACGCCGAGGCCATAAAGGCTAGAAGGATCCTCCTCCAACATAACAAGTTTGGAAAGTCGAGCCTTAACTCCTTGTTCATCCATATCGGCACTAAATACTACAATGTCGATATTCTCACAACTTCGCGATCACAACTTTCTATATTTCCGCCAGGCAGATACGATCAGCATGTCACCATGGCTATTATAGCCCCTATAGATAGTATGCTTGAGACGAAAATTGGCGCATATCGTAATCCGGAGCGGAAGGCTTCTAAACGATCTACAGACGAGAGTGACATAGCTTTTCTTCTGGACATAGCGGCACAAAAAGCAATGGCCTTCGGGTTTGATAGCATTGTTGAGCTTGACAAGGCCTTCAGCGCCTCATTTCGTAGCAGAAGGCGGGAGTGTGAGAAGAGTCTGGATCTTCTGGGTTGTGCGTTAGAATAGTCTGTATGTTTTCTAGGGTATGTATGCTCTCCTCGCTACTATATTAAAACGTTGTGGTTGTTTGTGTGTATACGCATGTGATTCTGCTGTAATAGTAGCAACGGTAGTAATGCAAGCTTTGGATTGCTCTATATCAAAAAGTCCATGAGCTTTGACCAAGTAAATAGAAAGATTAACTGGACTCAATCAATAGAGTAGGAAATATTTATACAACAAATTGTAGTAGCCGTTAGCATCTGCTAAGCTCTTCACTTCCCGATTTCTTTTTTCTCAAGTTCAAAGTACATGCCCCAGTGCCCCTTGCACCCTGGGTTGAAACCACTCCTACAACGTGTGCATTTACTACCACTATCCATGTACTCTCCAATACTCAAAACATGTCTGCACTGCCCACAAAGTACAGCTCTCATGTCTCTCTTGCCCAAGGGCCATGTTCCAGACGTATGATCTTCAAGCTCATTGTGGCAGCTGATACAGGCGTAGAACTTGTTGCAGCAAAAGTGCTTGATGGCGATGATATCGAGGGGTGAGTGCCAGTGGGCGCACTGAGTCAATGGAGTCAGGGAGATTCCATATACGTTTGGTGATACGCAGGAATCCACATTGGATCCTGATTCTTCTGCGGTGGTGGCTGTCATGAGTGTTTTTTTTTGGAAGACTAAGTTGTGACGAAAGTCATGCAATATGACGAAATGTTAGGGCTGAGCTAATGGGATCCCGGGCGATCAGTGGGGCTTTCTTGTAAATACTTTGCTTCCCTCTTGCAGCCTGTACTGCAACTCTAGAATGAGCTTCAGACAACATGGTGTTATGGAGCGGTAGAGTAGGTATTTGAGTGTACTTACAGGATGGATTGATGGAGACGGGACACGCACATGCAAGCTCCAATAGCAGAAGTAGAGCAAGAGGGATGTCTTTGTCCTCAATCGAGCATAAGAGTCTTCTCTAATTGAAAGAATCTACGTGGGGTCCATTTCCCCATTGTTTTTCTCTTGACCCACGCAGGCCACGGCCGTGACAGAAGAGAGACTGCCCGAGTTGCGGCGAAAACCTCTCCAGTGCGAGGGTCGTCGGTTGCCCCGCCCCCGCCGAGCTGTCAACATATCTACCCCAACTGCAGCTCGTCTCATCAACGCATTGCACTACAACGACAATTCCAATTTACTGCACACTCTAATCCCCAAGAACCCTTTAGAATACGCTTTCACAAATAAACCTCACATACAAACCGCCAAGATGGGTCGTCAATTCTTTGTCGGAGGAAACTTCAAGATGTATGGGGAACCGAAGCTATGCGCCTCATGCATAATTAAGAACAGTTGCTGACAGTGTCAAGGAACGGCAACTCCAAGTCGATCAAGGACATTGTCGAGAACCTTAACAACGCAAAGCTGGACCCCAACACTGGTACGTTACCGCCCATCTCTCTAGAGCGTCACTTCGTCACCCCACCGAAGGCTTCCTACTAACCTTGCAATTGCAGAGGTCGTCATTGCCCCACCTGCGCCATACCTCTCCCTCACCCGCCAGATCGCCAGCAAGGGCATCGAGGTTGCCGCACAGAATGTTCACGACAAGCCCAGCGGAGCCTACACCGGCGAGACCTCTGTTGAAGCCCTCAAGGACCTCGGCATCAACTGGACTATCATCGGCCACTCCGAACGCCGTGTTGTGCTGAAGGAGGACGATGAGTTCGTTGCAAGCAAGGTCAAGGCTGCGCTAGATGCCGGCCTCAGCGTCATCTTGTGCTGCGGTGAGAGCCTCGAGCAGAGGGAGAAGGGCGAGACAGTCAGCCATGTCACTTCCCAGCTCAAGGCTGTGGCGGACAAGGTCAAGGACTGGAGCAAAATCGTCGTCGCCTATGAGCCTATCTGGTAAGAGCTTTCCATACCTTCTTATTCCCCACATACAGATATTGACGAACAACAGGGCCATTGGCACCGGTAAGGTTGCTACCACACAGCAGGCACAGGAAGTCCACGCCGCTATCCGCGAGTGGCTGAAGAAGGAGGTCTCTTCCGAGGCTTCAGAGAAGACCCGCATTTTGTATGGTGGCAGTGTTTCGGCGAAGAACTGCAAGGAGCTGGCTCAGCAGGCGGACATTGACGGATTCCTCGTTGGCGGTGCTAGCTTGAAGCCTGAGTTTGTTGACATCATCAACAGCCATCAGGCATGAATACATGGCAGCGAAGCACGTCTATAGAAGACGTTGACTTGTCGGCTGGAAACAGACGATGACATGACAATGTCACGCCTGTATAGAACCAAAAAAATACACTGAGATGAATGGATTACCTCTACTTTGACATTGTAGACAGAGTTATTGTGATCGTCTAATTCATGATGCGCCGCCCATGCTGAGATCTTTTGTACAGCTGTATTGTCTCTCGATCGGCCTTCCCTCTGGTGGCATGACCCGCTCTACCAGTAAACATAAAAGCAAAAATAATCTGTAATTTCCAGATGATATATTCCACTCCTCGTGTCCGCCAATCCTCAGATCTATATCTTGATGTTTGCACCATGGAAAGGATCCCAAATACCCCTCACACTCTCATTGATACTCATCACCGGCCGGCCGTCCAGCTTCCTGTTCTTCTGTCCACTCGAGTCCCTCAACAACTCTGCCTTCTCCCTCACCCCCTCATTCTGCAGGTTCTTGACACATATAGCTCGTTGCGCGCCGTTGATGTAGTGTGCGATGATGACAGGATGTTTGCATGGGCGTGGCGAAACACTGATTTCGATCTGGGGATTGCGCTTTGCAAATGTGGGGAGCGAGGCTTTGATGAACGAGTTCATGCCTTTGGAACTACCCCATCTGTTGCAGTAGTGGAAGTCGAGACGTTTGCATTGTAGGATGAAGGCGCCGACGCCATTCTGGGGGTTGGTTAGATGCCGACTAGCAGCGAGTGATGGGATATGCATATTAGCTATGACTTACCTGAGGCTTTGCGACGGCTTTGAGGGCCGCTACAGGCATATTGGCGTTCAATGGCGGCACTGATAGTTGTTCCTTCACGCTTCCCCAATGAGGCTCAAAACTCGCTGTTGCTCCTCACGTGCCGCGAGCAGCCTAGAATCCACGCTACGTTGACTTAGTGCGAACTCCGCGTCGCAACTTCCTCGAAAACCAAGGCCCAAGCCTTACCTCCCCTTCACTCCCTCACACCCTCCCTCGCCCCTTTTTTTCTCATACCACATCGCCGTCTGGAGCGCATTCCAGATCGCAATAGCCAAGATGACGCATCTACTCCCACCGATGCTGTTAAACCTGTTCGCCCCGCGGCCGCCGCTGCGCTGGGTTGAGCCTACAGACCACGCGCCAGAGAAGCGCTGCACGCCCAAGATATCCGGCGTGGGGCAGTACCTACAGGCGATGAGAGACTACAAGGACCAAGACAACTACGTACCAACCGACAGCTGGCTGCAGAAGCGCGATCGCAAGAAGCTTGAAAAGAAGGAGAAACAGGAGAAGCTGCTCACAGAGGGCATTCAAAACTGTGAGGTTTCATCATTGCGCGCATGTCACGTACCATTTGCGCGTCGTCATTTGTGGCGAGTTTGCATGCTAACACTACAGTAGATAAACCCAGTGAAGATCCAAAAGTCCAGGGCGACGCCTTCAAGACACTTTTTGTGTCGCGCCTTGCCTATGGCGTTACCTCGGACGACCTTGAGCGCGAATTTGGCCGCTACGGTCCCATCGAGCGTATTCGCATCGTCGAAGACATCACTGCGCCACCCGATGCGCCACCCAAGAAGCGAAAGCGTGGTTACGCCTTCATCGTGTACGAGCGCGAAAAGGATATGAAGGCTGCCTACAAGGAAACCGACGGTATTAAGATCAAGGATCGTCGCGTACTTGTCGATGTTGAGCGCGGTCGCACAGTCACTGGATGGCGTCCACGTCGCTTTGGTGGCGGATTGGGTGGTCGAGGCTACACCAAAGGCCCTGCCGCTCGCGGACCTGCTGGACCAGGAGGCTTCGGTCCTCCAGCTGGCCCTGGCGGATTCGGAGGTCGTGGGGGTGGATTCGCTGGCGGGTTTGGCGGGCGCGGTGGAGGTGGTGGCCGTGGCGGCTTCGGTGGTGACCGGGGTTTCCGTGGAGGATTTGGCGGCGGTGGCCGAGGTGGCGGAGGCGGATACGGTGGTGGTCGAGGAGGTATCGGCTATCAATCCAACGGCTACGGCCCACCAGATGGTGCACCTGCTGGGCCACGCGGTCCACGAGGAGCTGGTTTTGGTGGTGATCGAGGAAGCGGAGGCGGTTTCGGTGGCGACCGTGGAGGCGATCGCTATGGAGACCGACGTTCCGGTGGCGGCGGTGGAGGCTATGATCGCGGTTCCAGCGGTGCCAACAACGAACCCCTCGGCAGAAGCGATCGATACCAAGACCGTGGGCACAGTGGAGGAGGTGGCCGCGATGGAGCTCGAGACGGCGGCCGAGAGGACGGGTCGCGGAAACGTGGGTATGAAGGCGACAGCTACGACGATCCGAGGACACGAAGGAGATACTAGGTCGAGTCACCAACGGCTTGACCATCTCACACGCAATGGGTTTGTCAAAGGTTACCTCCCTTTTCTTCCGCCTCGCCTCTTGAGGGTAAGATGAGCTTTTGCAAAGCAACTACTCTTGACAAACGCTTCGGGCAGACTGCAGTTTTCTCCGTCAGCCGGGCCTAGGTATGAGAGAGGGTAAGCTTGGACAACGGACACAAGCACTTCAAAGTCTCGCACAAGGTATCTTCTCGCTCAAAGGTATCACCCGATCACAACAGCACCAGCACCTCCACCTCTTTCATCTTGCCTCCTCTACACTACCGATATGGAAAGGTATATACCACCGTACGTTTGAACATCCTTCTCACGACAGCCAACCCCTCCATCCCCAGCGCCATCGGACCTCTCCACCACGGGCAACAGTATGGTTTTTCTCCTTCTTCTTTGGCCCACGAGATACTCGAAGCCGTAGACCAAAGGTGATTTCTTCTCCTTGCATGTTTTATTACCACACCCAGCTTTACTTTCCCCTCGTCTCGCCGTGGCAGGGCTTCCACAAGTCTGACCCACCACGCCCCTTTGGTGGCGCGTGCGCGCTGCCGGCTAGGTAATTTGCGTAAGTGGTTTTTTTTTTGTTAGTACGGGGTAGTGTTTTCTTTGTATTTTTTTTTTGCGGGAGGGGGAGAGGTGGCTGGGTATCTACAGGTAAGGAGTCGTTTCCGAACTTGATGATTGATTGTACTGTGATGGTGGGGGTACAAGGGGAAGAAGGATAGGTATTTTACAATTGATTTTTTTTGATTTTTTTTTGTCAGTGTGCTTTTTGTGTGAGTGATGTTTGTGGGTTTGTGGGCTTGGAGGTGAGGTCAGTGGAGTGTTTCGGATGGATGGTTGTTTGCGAGGTTGTGTTGGTAATGTATCGACGCGGTCACACTTTTACACGTTGAGAACTTTATATCCATTGATAAACGACGTTTGAATCAGTCAACGATATAGTATAGTATATATTACAGTGAATCATTTGTCACGACAACAACAACAGCATCAACATCAACATCGACATCAATAAGCACAAGAAATATCTCCTCACCCCCCTTAAACCCCCCTACCTACTAGTAACCGTCCTAAAGACCGTCCTCGTGCTCAACCTCGTCACATACCCTGTAATTCGCCTCTGCGCCGTAACCGTGCGCCTCGCCACCGTCGTCGTCGACAACTGCGTCTCCGTCTGCGTCTGCGTCTGTGTCTGCGTGACCAGCTGCGTCTGCGTCCTCGTCACGGGCGCTGCTTCCTCCGTAGTCGTTGTGGTTTGGGTAATGGTGATGGCGCCGGGAGCATCTCCAACAGTCGTGGTGGTGGTTGTGGTTACAGTTTGCGCGGGGTTGCCGGCGCCGTCGCCGGCGGTGGTGGTGACGGTTGCAGGGGCGATGAAGTCGGGGAAGCCGCAGGCGACATCGTAGTACCAGAATGGTTGGGTGTCGTCGGCAGTTACGAGGCCGTCTCTGGTGGGAAGAGAGGGATGGGTCAGATGGTGGTTTGTGTTTAGTTTGGGTTGTAGGTGCTTGGTGGGATTTGAGGGAAGGAGAAGGGGGATGATGTAAGTGTGTAGAATGGGCGATGCGATGATATTACAGCATCAAGACATCCAAACACCCCCAGACCCAGCTCATCCCTGGATAAATATCCCACTGGAAGAAGGAGCAAAGAAAAAGAACGAAAAGTTAAGGAAAACACTCACAGCGCCACTTCGAAAAACTCACAATACTGCGAGTTCGCATCCCCATAATACGACCAGCGAAAGCTGCGACACCGGGTCGCGTCGTTCTTGCACCAGGCCGCACAGAGGGCAAAGTTCGAGGGCCCGTTGTAGAAGAAGTTGCCCATGTACTGGTTCAGGGTATCGGGGTTGCTGGTGCCGACTAGGCCGCAGACGGTGGCAGCGGAGATTGTGGCGGGGAGTAGGAGGATAAGGGGGAGGAGGGATTTGAAGGACATGGTTGGGGGCGAGTGGGCTGTGATGCGTTATGTTTTTCCGGTTCTGTATGCAGGTGGATGGAGTGCGAGGTAGCTGAGAAGAGATGAGGTAGGGAGTTTGGAAAAGGCGCTGACTTGACTCGGAAACCTGAATACTGGTTGAAGGTAAGCGAAATGTGCAGCACTCATGATGAACACCGAGACTGTGACTAAAATCTGGTTGTGGGGTGGAGGTAGCAAGATGAGATGGAATGTTGTGGTGGAATGTTGCTGTTGGTGCTTGATGATGCTGATGATTTCTCTGGTCATACATGTGTACATGGCCATGCCAACGAATATTGCCGGACGAAAGCCCGAAACCTGTGGGTGTCGAGGGAAGATGTGCCGATGGCGGATTATGGAATATATGTATGTTATGCCCCCATCTCTTTAGCGTCCTTGTATCCCATTTCCCTCGCCACACGGCCGACCTACCACATCAAATGTCTCGACCATTCATAAGACTTGGACTCGTTCTCCGGTCGAATCTGCAGTTTGCGCGAGAAGTCATATGTTTGCATGACGTATTCCTCGCCTTCAATTTCTGGGATACCGTCGCCTGTTGTTTTCCTCAATCTCTCGCGTAAATGTGCTACATCTTCTGCGTTGGCGATGCTTTCAATCCATATGATACGTCCGTGGATCCAGTCTTTCATCGAGTCTGGTAGATGCGGAATCGAGCGGAGCGCGCACAGCTGGAAATAGGTGTGGAATAGGGTTGCTGTTCGAGGACGTGAAGTAGAATTGTTTGTTCCGGGAGCGGATCCTGTGGAGGATGGCGATGAGGAAGAGGAAGAGGAGCTTGGCGAGGATGCGACTGTGGAGCCTGTGTGGCCTTTTGTCTCCTCGTCGTAGATGTCATGTGGAATTATCTGAACCAATGCCACACTGTCATTATCGGCAGTCTCCATAGTGACAGATTGCAGAGCCTGTCCGAATCGTTTGCTCTCCGAAGAATCATCTCCAGTGGAATGATCAAAGTACATCTGTAACTGTTCCAGATAGCCTGTGAGTTGAGGAATCGTCCTTAGGAGATCCCTGGCCATCGCTATGATAATTTTCACCGAGTAGTCTTGTGACTCGCGCACATTGTCAGGCTGCAACAGCTGTTCTGAATATCCGAGTACCTGATATTGTCGGAGAATAACTTGGTGGAGGCGTATACGCATTGAGCGAATGTTGTTCCAGAGAAGAGCTGTGAAACGTTGAGGGTAGACTTGAGAGAATTAGCAAATTGATGAAACTTAGATCTTAGATTCAAAGCAGACTCACCATGCAGATATCCTTCGTGAGCAAACTCGGCGGCATCGTGGTCTTTGATATGAAATTCCTCAAACTGCCAACGCGTGGGCATATTCTTAGCGAATTCCCTCAATTTACCATCGAGGTCATCTGCCTTTTCGATGATAGCTGCAGGATCGTCAAGCTCTTTCGTAGTCATTGTAAGCTCAAAGTCAGCTAGCTGTGCAATGATGTCTAGGAACGTCTCATGCACAGTTAATTGGTGGACGGTCCCTCCAACCTGCGCCTTCAACTCTGCGAATCCAGGCGGCGGCGGTTCATTGTTAATCTGACAGTTCATGATGACACATTGTATCAGTGTGCCAAGGATACGCTGCGTGAAGACGGTTTGCTCCCGTTTCAGCATCAAAGACGCGACTGACACTGCGCCAGCTAGGTGTTTTGAACAATTTCTGGTGGCTGAGATGGACGAGCTGGTGATGATCTCGAATATAGCAGACATGACTATATGCAGTCAGTGCCTGTCTTGTATTAATTGTGGTCGCTCGGGTTCACATACTGATTGCCATTAGTGTGGCGTCTAGCGAAGCCCTCTTTGGATCGGTCAGTGCTCCATTGATACCACGAATTGCTGAGATGTAGCGTTTCGTAGCCTCGTCTGACATGCTCGCGTGCCCTGTAGCTTTCGAAAAGCCAGCCAACCCAGTAGCCACGATACCTTGTTGCAACTCAGGGCTGGCATACCCAGCTTGGGAGTAAAAGTCAGGCAGGTAATTCAGCATGGACAGAGCTGGAGCGTCCCCGACATAGTTGGACATGAAGAATTTAATGCCCAAATCGAGTGATGATTGCTGCATGACCAAGCCGTTTAAGCGCAGCGGTTTGACAGTCGTTGCTCGGATCAGGGCCCGCGTGGCTGAGCTTGATCTGCTGGGTAGAGCGGCAGGAAGGGCTGGTCCATAATTCACACGCTGTTTGCTCTTCCTAGCAACCTGTTCTGTCTCATCGTGGAAGATGAGGTCGGTGGGATCACGGTAGCCTGAGCAAGTGCGACCTGCTCGGATACACTGTCCACAGGAGGGAATTTGGTAATCGCACTGCCGCCCGTTAGCTCGTTGCGGGCTCGACTCATGCCATGAAGCTCAGCCGGCCATCTCATGTTGCCAACAGTCGAGGGATTTCCCAGAAGCATGTACCATGTACCATGCACGAGGTACGGTGCGACGATTGTCGAGCTGATGGAAATCCACCTACCCGATTCCGACGCTTTCTGCATTCTGCACAGGCTGCGGACGGCTTCCCTCGATAGACCATTTCGAAGGGTGCGGCAATGGCCCTGCATTGGGCTGCATCAAGTGAGGGGAGGTGCAGGATGCAATAACAAGCCTCGCGCCATCTCGCAGGTGAAGAGAAAAGATCGCAAGACCCCTCCCGCCGTGAAAAGCGGTGTTGATCTCCCAATCTATACAACCCTTTGGACTCTCTAGGCTGACGGGGGGGGGGCGGACAGAAATTGAGGCCACCCGCGGTCCAATGAGGCTCATTTGCCTAGACGGCAGGAGCCGGCGCTAGGCCAATCTGGGCCCTCCGCGGTTCCTGCACCTTTGCCAAGCCCGAGATGGGACGCGAACTCATGAGCACATGGTTGCATAATGAAGCAGGGGGGCATGATCTTAGAGTAATGGTAGGTAGTCAAGTCTCGGTACTTGACTGTGGTACCGGTAGATACTATAATAGAGCCCAGCAATGAGTGACAGACCTCACTCACTACTCTAGCATGTACATGTATCCTGACAGGCCAATCCATAGAGTAGTATTGTCCGGATGTAACATTCGCAAACAGGAACAGGCTACAACAGAACAGCTACCGGTACCGGTACGTACGTGAAACTTGTACCGGTAGGTGCTAGATCATAGTGGACTACTTACTCAACACATCACTCAATCATACACTCCTCACTCACTTGTAAAAGCAACCTATCTCATCTCACAAGACTCACGTGCTCCGGGGGTGTCATAATCACGTGATTTGCCACTGCCAGACCCAGGCTATCCCAATCGCACAAGGCATACTACGACATGATGGTCACGCCATCCGAGATAATGAGTAGTATTGTACTACTTGCAACTGCATATATCCCTCTCCACTCTTCTGACCAGACGGCCTGACCTTCCAATGTGCGCAAGTGCAAGTCTCCAAATAGGCCCCAGTAATCTCTTTCCCCTCCTCCATAAACCCGCACGGTACTCATACATGTAATCAGTACACTGCATCATCGACCTCGCCTTCAGCATCCACATCTTCGCCGTGAGCATCCTCTCCGTCCTCATCACCTTGGGCATCAACCTCCACCATCTCAACATCTTCGGCTGCCGTGTCGGTAGCTGGAGGAGACTGCTGCCCCTTGGCCACTGGGCGTTCCGTGACAAGAGACTTCTCCGTCTGATCTGGTACCGCAGACTGGCTTACAGCAGCTGCAGAGGTCGAGCCTTCTTTCTGTCCCCTTGGCCCCGACGTTTCGAGTGCATCCTTGGAAATGCTATACTGCTTCTTCGGATTATCTAGAATCTGCTGCGACGTATCTACTGGCATCTGCAAATGCTCGGCTTGTGGTGTGGCAGTCTCAGTGGCAGCCTCTTGCCTTGCTTCCGTATGCAATGTCGCATGCTGGAGGTTTAACTGCTCACGCCATTGCTGTCTCTCATGATTCTTGCTCTTCCTCTTGACATGTTCGCCAAACCAGTCGTCACCCACACCCTTCAAATTATCTCCAAACACCGCCCACCAGCCAGGCTGAGTTATGTAGCCACCGCCAACAGACTCGCGGACCGCCTTGACAGACTGCAGCCAAGAGAGAACCAGTTCGATCTCAAAAATTTCCGTCGTATGAGCAGCGCAGTGCAGATAGATGTCAGATGACGTGGCACCAGGTTGAAAAATGAGCGGTTGCAGAACAAGGTTCAGAATACGGTACCACCAGGGCCAGGTGATGGATTGGCCATCAATGCTGCTCCAAATCGGTAGTAGGGCATCTGGGTCATGTTTACCTGGTAACGGTGGTTCCGGGAGGTCTTGCCAGTCAAGAACCCTAGCTTCTTCAAGCGAGTCATGCGACTGTGGCGATGGCTGAAGCGGATTGCCGAAGAGGTATTTGTCTGTCGGTACGATGTAGATGTCCCAAAACATGCGTTTGCGATCCATAGCTCGGTGAATGTAGTCACCCTCACAGAAGCCCCAAATAGAGAGGCGAGGCAGTGGCGCACCAAATTCGTTAATGACGGGCGGAAGTTGTGGAATAAGCTTGACGATTCCGGCACTGACCATGGTCATAATCGCTGCAACTGGTCCATCTTCTTCAACTTGAGAGATACTGTAGAAGCGTTTGGAAGGATCGTCATTGGTGAATGCAATATCCATCTCTTTCTTGACCCTGACCGCAGACATGAAGTCACTAAGCTCGAATGGCCGCACATACTTCCTCGCGAAAGCTCTGGTGAAACTGTAATTACGTCCAGGTAGGAGGCGCTTGAGCTTCCTCATTCTGAGGCTGCTCTTCTCCACCAGGTCCCCAACTACACTTACAAGTGCATTCTGTCCCAGGTTCATGAGTTTATCATGCGCATGCTTTCCATCGTACAACGCTTGAGGCGTCGCAGTATTCGCTCGTATCCATGAACGAGCTTTCAGATTCTTATCTTCTAGAGACCATGTCGTCTTGCGAGCTCTGTGTAGCGGCGCGGCGAACGAGTGCTGCAGTTGGAGCAGTGTTCGAGTCCGATCAGCAACCCTTTCCTTGTACCACTTTGCTCTGTCAAGAATCGTGTACTCCAGCTCGTCAACTGCAAATTTCTCGAGTGCTTCTCGGAGCAAAGGCAAAGGTAGTTCAGGGTAAGCACAGCTCCGAGTTGCCCATTGTGCTAAGCTTTTCCAATCATATGTACTTGGATCTTCGATAGGGCTGAGTTGACCTTGTTCGTACGCATCCAGAAACAGCGTTTGAAAGTTCTCGGTCAGCTTGGTGATTTGTGGAGCCATTTCTGTCTGAATCCAAGCCCACATTTTCTTAGTCTTAGGCATATCGAACAGCTTGTCATTACTGTAGACCATCTCAACGATACTCCAATCCGCGACTCCCTCTTCTGCAGACATCAAGGTCGCAATGATCAGCGTGCAACATAACTTCTTAAAGCGATGGAGCGCATCTGAATCCTCTGCACTCTTGCTTTCTGATCCTTTCTTACTTCTCTGCTTCTTCTTTCGCTCGCTTAAAGGGCGAGACTGACCAACGCGCGTTCGTTGGCGATCGGGTGGAATGTAGATTGGATCGTTGGGATCTCCCGTAAGACCAGTTAGGCGTTCGAGGAGCGTAGGTGGAGGGCCTGATCGATCGAGCCTACGTCCGGATTTAGAGTTCTTCTTTGCCTTTGGCTTTGACTGTGTCTGATCATCACCATCCAAAGCTTCTTCAACTTCAGAAGAGGGTGATGTGTCACTCTCTGCGCTCATTGGAGTTTCGGAGCTAATTGTTCTACGCAGCCTCTTCCTGGATGTGTGACTCTCTGGCTCAGCGATTCTGACTCGCTTCTTGCTCTTTAGAGGCGCGACAGTGAATCCCGCGTCTGGTCCCTGTTCCACCGGCTTGTTAGAAGCCTCCTCGAGCTCTGCATCTGGCCCAGCCTCGGTTATGAGGTTCTTTTGGGCTGCTACAGTCGGTGATCCAGCTAAATCTTCATCGGATTCCTCTTCATCAGTCGTCAATGGGTCCATATCAGTATCAGTCTCATTGCGACCATTAGTGGAGCGACTGATAGGTTTGGTCAAAATGAGGGCGGGGTCGCCGGAATTCACGCTTGTAGCAACCCTACCACTTTCGGTGCTATCACTCTCTTCATTGACGACGTCAATTACCCCTGCAATGGGTTTAGGCTGGTATGGTTTGTCCTTGTCGTTTAAACTCGCAAGCCTTGTTCGTTTTCCTGGAGCTCCACCAGCCAACGCTGCATCTTTCTTGGTCGCCACTTCTTCGACTCTTGCATTCTGAGCTTTGCGAGCTTCAGCCGAAGACTTCCTCTGTTCGGCTAAGCGCTGTCGCCGCTGTTTCTTAGCTTCTCTGATCTGATCCTCCAACTCGCCTGGGTCTGGATGGAGGACAATGCTCTCGTCTTTGGGAGCCCGGGGTACAGGCCAGTACAAAGAAGTATCATCGAGGAGATGGCGAACTTCTTCTGGGAAGTACTGTTGAGATCGCTCGTGGGAAAAGTTGGTTATGTCGCGTGCCAGCTTCAAAACCTGAGGGCTACTGGCGTCCAGATGTGTACGTGCAATGATAGACTTTTTTGTAATAAAAGGTCCCTTCTTGTAGTTCATCCTGACTTGAAATATCATTCTCTTTAGACCGAACGCAGGATCAGTACACATGTTCCGCATGGTCTCATTCACCGTACTAGAAATCGGCTTCTCTAAACCCTTTGCATGCCCGTGGCGTTGATCCCAAAGCTTACTAAACGGTCTACCAATCTCGCCCTGATCAGGGAAGACACCGTTGCACATGTCAATGATGTCCGAGATGATTTGACGTCGAAAGAAGAGCGCACTGCCTATCGTTTGGGGTTTCTTGGTTCTCTTCCTATGTGCCCTGGACCGAGGCTTGTACATGACGGATGAGGTCCTCCTCAGCAGAGAAGTGCTGGGGTACGAGGCTGGATTAGAATTGTTCAAAGAAGTAGTATTGACAACGGGTGACGTAGTCGCGGATACTTTTGGACTATTGATGACTTGTGTTTGGCTTGCAGTATTGGAGTGCGAGCTTGGTCCGTATGGGCTTTCATAACCGGACGGGCCGGACGGCGCGCTCCTATTGACCACAGTCCACCCCGCCACTGTCCGAGGTGGGGGTGGTGGTAATGATAAGGTAGGTCCTGCCACAGCAATGGGCGATCTGTCAACAGTTTGCTCAACATGAACTTGCCTGTTGGTGTGTGCTGAGTCCGATCCAACCTTGGTGATCCGATCCAGTGCGGGCAATGTGGCACCATTCTGATCTCTGAGACCATCTGCTACAGAATCATCTCGCAACTTACGCTGTTCGTCGATGCCAAGGATGTGCAAATTGGACGGGGAATTTTCTCCAAGGTATGATGCAACAGCAGACGATCGAATGGTAGTTCCGTTTGGGACATGGCCATTGGTAACATGTTGCTGGGTTGCATTGGAAATAGCATCGAAACGCACTTCACCACTACGAGTGATGCTAGTCTCCACGTTTCCTCCGATGCTTGCTTCCTGAATAAAAGTAATATCCCGCTGGACAAGCGTGTGTTCACGTTCACAAGGCGGCTGTGGGGTACTAGGCTCAGGGCGGAACCAGTCAAAATTTGAAAGTCGTGGCAGTCTGAACGTGGCAATGAAGGCTTTGCGCGGCCGTCCCCGTGGGGCTTTCTGTTTTGACAAGTTATCGAAGTAGACCCCCGGCAATGAGCGCTCCGTGTACAATCTGTATTTTGCCTTGTCGCTGATCTTGAGCTTGTCAATTTCTGGGGGAACAAGCGTAAGATATTTAGAAGCCTTCTTCACAATTGAAGCGGTCTCCGGGTTTGAAGGTGCCGACCTAGCGGTCTCACATCCATGTGTCCCAGTATCAAGAGGTACAAGGTCTAGTGGCTGGTGTTGACCCTGGATTGCCTTACCCTTTAGCGCCGAAGGAGTGGCTGGATCCTGTACGTCTACGAAAGTGTTGACTTGTGAATGCACTGGTTGCTGGGCGTTTTCCTGGGCGATGCTCTCCCGATGTGTTTGAATCGTATTATCGACAAGGTCAGCCATGGGTAAACTCAAAATGGTTAGGGATGACTGCTCCTCAGTTGTCTGCTGTGGCGAGACAGTGCAACTTGAAGCTTTGAGGGCATGTGCGGCGCCTGGTCCCGTCGTAGTAGACTCTTCAGCGCTTGTGCTTGGCAGAATAGCAGAATTTGTCCGTCGTTTCTTGGGAGTCTTTGGGCCTGTACCTGAAATACTCGCTTTGCGCTTCGCGGGAGAAGCCGTTACCACTGATTTCATAGCCCCTTCGGCGGCTGATGTGGTCGGAGTAGTTGTATCAACTATACTTCTGGACTTCGCTGCCTTGCCGGCTTCCTGTGTAGGAGCGGCAGCCTCATCAGCTGCTGTTGATAATGAATCAAGCCGTTGAGCCGCTGGTACAGATGCGGCAGTTTTGTCTTGGAGAACCTGTGGAGAATTTGGTCTTTCTTCATGAATGTGCTTTGCTGGCCCTGTGGCCTTGTCGACTGTCGCAGTGCCCTGCTTGTCGGTCATCTCACTGGGCACAGCTGGCCCTGTAACGTGAGATCTACCAGCCTTAGCAGCTTCCTTCATGTCTTTTGCAATCTTAGCGGCCTTCATAACCTCATCGTATAGGGCGATGACTTTCGAATCCTTCAGTGCGATGCCTTCTCTACGCTCTTGGCGCAGACCCTCGATGAGATCCTGCGGCAGACGGCCATGATCGATCCACTTCAAGTCAATCCTCTGCTGTTTGCTAAGCACCGTCGGCTCAGATTTTACCTTCTCTCGCGTCTCAGTCTTGGTGGGTATTTTCGCAAGCCCACGCTGGACTCGAATCGCGTTCTCTTGCTTAATCCCAAGTCTGCCTCTGGGCGGTAGACCGGCCGCAATGCGCTCCTCGGCACTCATCAAAGGTGGCTTACCCCCTCGCAATGGGCCACCTTCAATCTTGTCGGGCAATGAGCACGGATCTCCAGTTTTTCGTCGATGATCCGCGATCTGCTTTGCTGCATGTTTGCTCAGGCGACCGTGCGGCTTCAGTCCCAAAGAGATACGCTGCGCAGGACTAAGTGATAGAATTGGGGCAAACTTCTTCTCATACATCAACTTGATACTCTGAAGAGTCGGTCTCCCGTCCATCTCACGCCCTTTCCTTTGAGGGCCACGTGGAAATTTTGGTGATGAGCGGGGTATCTCATCGATGTTCTGATGTCCTATCTCATGAGATATGGCGATGTCCCATCGCGGTCCATATGTGCGTGGATGTACGATTGCTTCGCGCGCCTCAGACAGTGTTGCGGAACCATCACTACGCTCAAGGTCTTTCGGATTCGTGATTTTGAAGCCCCAGGCATCTAGAACGTTGACACCTTCCGGTTTACTGCTCTGACTTGATGGATCTTCAACCGGCACCGTAGTCACAGAGTGACTGACACCGGCCCAGTGGACTACACCCGCATCGACAGCCTTTTGAAAGTTTCCGTGAGTCCTGTAGACATAATGCAGATACTTCTTCTCGGCAGTATTCCTCGAATCTCGTATGATGGCTAAATGCCGTAAATTTAGAGGCTGAGTCTTCTCCCAATCATCGGTTAAGCGAGTAAAGTATGATTCCAATGGTCGCCTCCAGAAAGGACCAACCATTCGGTCACGTAGTTGAGTTGAATCCCAACCGTCAGAGCCGCCAATTGCGACAGCGTCAAAGGCGAGATTTGCGAGTAACTGGTCTGGGGTCCACTGTGGGGGAATACGGTCAGGGTCGGAGGTGGAGGCCAGCTTGTTAGCTTGTGGTCCTACATCGGCATCACCATCTTCCAAAGTGTCGACTTCAAGGTCTTTCATCAGCGTATCTCCATCAGCGTCATCGTCAAGAACCTCGTCAGCAGCATTCTCGGCATTATGATCCTGGCGTCGAAAACGGAGATTCATAACGTCCTCATCACAAGGTTTACGCAGGACTTGTATGCAGGTAAGCCAGCTGTCCTCTGACTTCTTCTTGCGCACCCTCAATCTCTTGATCATGCCCGTTTGGTCAAGTCTGATCAGGGCACCTTGGGTGGCCCTTTTGTTCCAAGTCGTCATCGGCACACCCTACGAAAACGTTAGAGAGGGGTCCTGAAGTAAGCTAAGAATGCACGTTGGATTACCAGTCTGGTCCTCAGCTCGCGAGTTGGGACTACGCCGGCATCCTTGAAGGTGTTATAGAGTAGATGGACAAAGCCCGAAAGCACGAAGCTATCTTCTCTGTACACATCTTCCTGTGCGCTTGAAGCCAAGAAGTGGCTCTGAGAAGCGAACTTGTTGTGTACACATAGGCTTGTACGAACTTTGCCAGCTTGCACAGGAACCTTGACGATATAGCCTTTACGCGCAAGCTCATCCGTTCTATGAGGGACTGAACGTTTGTCTTGACCACTTGCCCTAATTAAGTCGGTTTGAGCGATCCCTTCCGATCCGCGAGCAGTGATGAGTGAAAGTAGTACGAATTCCATGCTAGGAACTTTCTTGAGATCGATACCATGACCAGTCAGAGCCTGCCAGATCCTGCCTTGGCTGGCATAGAGACGCGGCGCAGTGATGGTGGATTCCGGGTCATCAAAGACAGACTCTGCATCATAACCACTGACCAAAGCATGGCGAGGCTGACGAAGGGGCGCACGGTCGGGAGTTAAAGTGGCAACTATTGCACCAGCTCTGTCGTCTTTTCCCTCTTTCACCAAATACTCTCGGATGGCCTTACCCATTGACAATAAAGCCTTGGTGGGTCGTTTTGATTTGTTGTCAGGCCTACAAGCTGGCTGGTCGGAAACAGTCATGGAAGTACCACCACAAGTCCCAGTCTCGTGCAATTCTGCTGCCTCAAACTCTGATAAGGTGTAGTGCCGAACCTCTTTCTGGTAGATGATGCGCATGTCCGCATGGCCCGACACCCAGGTCCATACGTTCTCGTAGAACTTGCGACCAAGTCCCTCAGCTGGTAGGCTAGGGCGGGTCGAGGTACCATATGATGACTGAACATCGTCCTTGAGAGGCTCGTAAAATTTCTGTATGAAGCGATAGAATTCTGCACTGCCAGCCCCTGCAGTCAAAGCGAGTCAGCAATTAGACAGTGTATGTAGTGAAGAGAGAGGAACCAAATGCAAATAGGCAGTAACAAGGAGTCGGGCTGAATAAGCTCGTTATTTTTGTTGCTCAACCATGAAAGCCATCAGGTTTCATAGACCGTGCAGCACTGGCTTACAAAACAGCACTTGCACTTGGACCGACGACAGCCAAACGTGACTGCGAACCATGAAAAACTTACCGTGCACGCCGCAGAGAGCAATGTCAGACAAGACTGAGTCTATGAGCGCATCGAAACCTGTTGCCATGACTGTCCACCCGTCCCCGTCTAACTACCAAACGCCAGGAGGAAAAAAGTGCGCAAAATGCTTTATTGCATGGCAAGAATGGTGCAAGGGCGACTCGAACACGCGCAATTCTGGGTCGATTCAGGCGAGTCGGGTGCGTGCAGCGAATCGGAAGCGTGTGGAAATGGTATTATTGGCGTCGTGAACGAAACGGCAAAAAGATAGCAAACCTTGTCAATTGGTCAGCAAAGCAATCGACAGTGAGAATCGAACTGGCGCTGGTGGGCCGTCAAATGGCCACAAGTTTTGCTGCAGATGAAGTGGGGTTGTGAGCGGCAGAAAACGAGACTCAAAAAGACAAGCGGGGTGTCTTGGCATGACGGCCCGCGCTTCTACCTAGCCGGAAGTCGTTTATCGCAGTCAACTTGTCGCGATCAACCTGCCCATTCTAGGTATTGTTTGGCTATTGTCTGTTTTCAGTCTCACGACGCCAGAAACATGTTGGCTACGCGGATTCGATGATTCTCTTGAGTTTGTGATATCCTCTAGAGATTTCCTGCTGCTGTCTCGAGTCTAAAACACACACCATGTTCCACTGTCGATTCCTATACCTAACACGTCAACATGTTCTTCGTATCCCCCTTCGGCTCGTCAACATCTAAACCTGGTCATGGAAACATCACGCTCGAACTTCTTCCGCCAGATCAGCCAGTTCTTCGTACCTTATCCTATCAATATCCACTGAAGTTAGTCGCACCCGATCCTCTGCCTCCACCAGATCAGAGCTCAAGTTGTTTGACGACGACAACAACAACAACAACAACGACGACGACAGAGAGTGATCCTGTGCAAGATGTGCAGATACCACGGCTCATTCACACTGTCTTCCTTCTCAACTATGGCGGTGGCGTCGTTGCTGGAGATACCATAAACCTCGTCGTAAAGCTGCAGAGCAACACGCGGCTCATTCTTTTGACCCAAGGCTCGACAAAAATCTTCAACACGCCCTCGGCGGACTTGGTCTCCCATCAGTACATGACTGTCAGTCTTGAGAGGGACTCAGCATTGGTATACCTACCGGATCCAGTACAGCCATTTGCCCACAGTGCTTTCTCGCAGTGCCAGACGTATCACCTCAAGAAGGAGCATGGAAACCTGTGTGCCTGTGACTGGGTGACCAGTGGACGTTCGGCTAGGGGGGAGAACTGGGACATTTACGAGTATAAGAGCAAGAATGAGGTTTGGACCGTGGATGAGGGCGGAAAGAAGCGGTTGCTACTACGCGACAACCTAATTCTGGATGAGCACGGTCAAACAGACATGCGACTGTCATCACGAATGGATGGATATGCTGTGTTCGGAACATTGATCATCCGTGGGCCTATATTTGCTTGTCTGGCAAAGTTCTTCTTGGACGAGTTTGAAGCACTCCCGCGAATCGGGGGGAGGAACTGGGGAGATGATGCGCTCCCAGAGCTGTCACCACAAGAGCAACGCCGGTTGGAGCGGCAGCAGAGAGAAGTAACGGATGGGCTTGTGTGGAGTGCGGCGAACGTGCGAGGCTTCGTACTCGTCAAATTTGCAAGTAGGGAGGTGGAAGGATCGCGGAACTGGCTGAGAGACATGCTGAAAGAAGAAGGTTCATTGCTCCATTCATTTGGGGAGAGGGCCATTATCTGCCTGAAGTGAAGGGACAAGAAGAAGGAGAAGGAGGCGGAGGAGGAGGAGATAGCACTACCATGTAGAGAAAGATGAACAAGATGGAAGGAAGTACTGTTATACAGCCCATGTACCGTCTTGGTCTCAGGTCCTTGCAGCAGTTGGTTTGTGGAATGTCGTGGCCACAAGGCGATTGATTCCAGGCTGAGTGGATCTGGGATGGCCTACTATGCACTAACGTTAGTTGGCTACCTAGTCAGGTTACCCAGACCCTTGCCCTGTCGTGTCGTGTCAGTGTCGCCTAAAAGTGACTGTGACGTGCATAGCCGCAACTTCAACCCTCGCACCCAGTACCTAATCTCAACCAACGAACATCACGACGCCTATGATCCCACCACCAAGAAACCCGCTGTCTTCTTCGTCACCATGAGCGGCAGGCTCGTCGCGACACGGCTGGCCACGCTTGCGCGCCGAACACCGCTCCTCACCCCACGCCTCTACACCACCAACACCCTCCCCGCCGGTGGCCTTCTACGCAACGAAGCCGGCCTTCGACTCATCAAACGGCGACCATGGCCTCTGGGCACCTACGCACTACATAATCTCCCTGCAACAAGATCTATATCCTTTGTGCGAGTAATACCAAAGCTTGTTACGAAGCTTGCAACCGCTGGCGCTGCTGCTGGTGGCGCAGTTCTTGCAGGCGTCTCATATATACAGTACCAGGCTGGCCGTGTGTACAAAAAATACAAGAGGCAGCCAATCATAAAGCTGACAAAGTACAGAGGCTGGAAATTTTGCCGTCGATTTATTCCATCGCACCAAAGATGGCGCCTCTGAGCTTGCAGGCGGCGTCTTAGGCACGGCGAATGGATTCTTCGAACAACTGGAGCAAGGCTGGAAAACCACCAAAGACGAACTCGAACAGGTCCAATATCCCGAATGGCTCCAAAAATTGATGGCCAAGGACGAGTCTGGCGGGGCGAAAGGTGGTGGCGGTGGCGGTAGAGGGCCAGAGGAGCCCAAGCACAGCGGTGCAGGAACAGCGGCTGCAGGTGCTTCCACAGCAGCAGCCTTTGGGTATGCACAGGAGGACGATGAAGACAAATATGAGGCGGAGAAGATTGCGCGAGACGAGCAGATGATGATGCTCACCAAGAAGATGATTGAGATTCGAGGCCTACTACAAACTGTTGGCCAGTCGGACACGCTCACACTGCCTTCGATTGTCGTGATCGGGTCGCAGTCTTCAGGCAAGAGCTCTGTATTGGAGGCTATCGTTGGACATGAGTTCCTGCCCAAGGGACACAACATGGTCACCCGCCGGCCAATCGAGCTTACGTTAGTGAACACGCCGGATGCGAAGGCTGAATATGGAGAGTTTCCTGCACTTGGCCTTGGGAAGGTCACAGACTTTAGTCAGATCCAGAAGACCTTGACAGACCTCAACCTCGCTGTGCCGGCTAGCGATTGCGTATCAGATGACCCCATCCAGCTCCGGATATACTCGCCCAATGTTCCGGATCTCTCTCTCATCGATCTGCCGGGGTATATCCAAGTGGCTGGCCGTGATCAGCCGCCACAACTAAAAGAACGCATCTCTGAGCTTTGCGAAAAATACATTCGGCCGCCGAATCTCATCCTTGCCATCTCAGCAGCAGACGTAGATCTGGCCAACAGCACAGCGCTCCGTGCATCGAGAAGAATGGATCCTCGTGGTGAGCGGACAATTGGTGTCATAACCAAGATGGACCTTGTCGACCCTGAGCGTGGGGCCAGTCTACTAAACGATAAGAAGTACGCTCTAAGACTAGGATACGTTGGTGTGGTCTGCCGCGTCCCTCCCAACGCCGGCGGCTCAAAGCTTTTCACCCGCGGCAACGGCAACATCACCAGTGCCATCGCTAAGAACGAGGCTGCATACTTCTCGGCGCATCCCGAGTTCTCATCAGAAGGCCACCTTGATGTCGGTACCCAGAATCTCAAGAAGAAGCTCATGCATGTGCTCGAACAAACTATGGCTGCCAGTTTGAAGACCACCAGCGAAGCCATTCAGAGAGAACTCGAAGAAGCTCGATACGAATACAAAGTCCAATACAACGAGCGTCCCATTAGCGCCGAATCCTATCTCGCCGAATCTCTCGACAGCTTCAAACACTCCTTCCGTAGCTTCACCGAACAATTTGGCCGTCAGCAAGTTCGCGAACTACTAAAACACGAACTTGATCAGCAAGTCCTGAACCTCCTCGCACAACGTTACTGGAATAGGCCATTCGATGACCTAAACGTGCCCTTCCCCGATACCGATCCTCTCAGCGGGCTCGCGAAAGCTGATGTAGAAGGCGAAGACGAAATCTGGAAGATCAAGCTCGATAGCTCCAGTGCTGCGTTGACGAAGCTCGGTGTTGGACGACTGGCCACCACGGTCGTCGCCAACGCACTACACGCACAGATCGACCGCCTCATTGCGAGCTCGAGATTTGCTGCCCATCCTTTCGCTCGCCAGGCCATCACTGATGCATCGACCACCATCCTCAAAGATCTTTCATATGATATCTCAGATGAGCTGGAGATCTGCATCAAACCATACAAATACCGCATTGAGGTGGAAGACAGCGAGTGGGCTAGGGGTCGCGAAAATGTCGCCCATGTTCTCAAAGATGAGCTCAAGGTCGTGGAGGCGGCTGTCAAGCAGCTTGAGGACCAGGTCGGCGGGCGCAAGAAAGTCAAGGATGTCATGTCCTTCATCGACCGCGTGCGCGCGGGACAAGTCGTGCTTGAGGGCGATGGTGTTGGAGGAGCTGGAGGATTCAGCTCTGCACTTCTCGCAAAGGGTAAGTTGACAAATTAATCACTTGTATTCGGGCCCTTGCTAACCTGAAAACAACCAGGCCGTGAAGCAGTCTTCCTCCGCGACCGCATCGACGTGCTCAAAATGCGCATCCTCGCGGTAAAAAGCAAACAATGCGCGACAAAGAAGAACAAATACCACTGTCCCGAAGTCTTCCTCGACGCCGTAGCCGACAAACTCACCACCACCGCTGACCTCTTCCTCGACGCCGAACTACTCAGTAAATACTTCTACCTCGTAAGTAATCTCCCCTTCATTCAAGAAAAGAGTCCAACCAGATCTAACACACCACCCAGTTCCCCCGCGAACTAGACGCCCGTCTCGGCCGCAACCTCTCCCGCGAAGAAATCGACCGCTTCGCAAAGGAAGACCCGAAAATTAAACGTCACCTCGATGTCGTGCGTCGCAAGGATCTCCTCGAACACGTGCTCAAGGAAATGGAGGGCCTCAGACAGCTTGAGCAGCGCGAGAAGAGGATTATGGGGCGTAGGGAGGAGAGGGGGCTTCGGGATGTTAGGGGCGAGAGGAGGAAGGCGGGGTGGAGTATATTCTAGATGGGGGAAGGGGAGGGTTTGGGTGGATAGTAGGGGTTGGGTTTTGGAGGTAGGGAGGTGACGGTTTTATGGGGTATGAGCATACGTACGGGATTTTTCTTTTCTTTTACGAGCATCGTTGGTATAGATTGTTTTGTTTTGTTGCTGTGGTTGGTTTTGGACACTGAGGGATGTCGATATGCGTGCATGCCAATGAGGAAAGTTTTGAGAAAAAGTGAATCTTTTTGTTGGGGGATAGGGTGGGGGGTTTATGTCTTGCTCTGGCTTAGTTTGGCTGCTGTTGCTGTTGTGTTGGGATCGAGTATGTCAGATAGGATACATGGGATGGGATGAGATGGGATGACTTGAGACGAATGAATCAATGGACACATGAACATTGTGTGAATCTTCTTTGACGCCCACACACTTTTGCAAACATGTATGATTCATACACAGTATTCAGCTCATCTCCCGACTCATCTCACCCAAGCCATTTATTGAAAACCTTTCTATCTTTCTATCCGGGTATCTATCCGTCTATCAATTAATCAATCAATCAATCAATCAATCCAACTCGCTCCCCCTCCTCACCCTTCCATACTCCCCGCTACTCCGTCCCATCCCACCCTACCCTCACCATACCCCCCAAATCGTCTCCATTCAAATACCCCACCCCCTCCCGCACCAACAGCCTCCACACACGATTGCGCAGGCCAACAGGCCACTTGGGCGCGCTCCAATAGCGAGGACGCAGGCCCCTTTCGCGGGCACCCCTGATCTGGCCGCGAATGGTGCGGAGTTGTGCGGGCGATAGGTAGCCGAACCAGAGCCAGCCAATGGAGCGGCCAAAGTTTGTGGAGGCGTAGAAGGAGTTGGCGGGGGTGAAGGAGGAGTGCGGGGTTGTGCCTACAGTGCCTTGGCCGGCTGAGGAGAGGGGAGGTGGGGTTGGGGGGTTGATGTGGTGGTGGTTGTTGTGTTGTGGAGTTGAGAAGGAAGGGGGAGGGGAAGGGGGGGAGTCTGGGTCAATATATAAGCGGTCGAGGGGGGCGTCGAAGAAGATGTCGCGGTATGTGGTGTTTGCGATGATGAGGTCAAAGGGGGCGTTTCCTGTGGCTACGATTGTGATGGGGCCGGGGATGGTGGCCGTGCCGTTGTAGTATGTGAGATAGTGTTTTTCACGCAGGGCGGAGAGATGGGCGGATACGACTGGGAAGATGTTGTGGCCGTTGTTTTTGAAGTCGACGAGGAGGACTACGGTTTCCGACGGTCTTTTTGGGAAGAGGCCGTTTTTCGGCGTCGAGGATGTGGATGGGGTGGTTGGGTTTTGGTTTTGGTGGTCCAGCAGTTTTACCAGTGGGTCGACGTACATGGATCGAAATGTTCGGTTGGGTGTCAAGGCGTTGGTGCTGTGGCCGACGTGGAGTTCCTCGTCGAAGAGCCAGACGTCGGCTTCGACGCCTGTGCAACCCCAGCGAAGGGCATCGTAGAGGGGAACCCGTCGCCAGTAGTCGTTGTGAGAGTGGCAGTGGATGGGCGTCACGTCCCGCGTGATGTCCAGCAAGTCTTTTTCTGGTATGTTCCAGTCGAAGTTGGGTGGACTGGAGTTGTCCAGGAAGATGGGTACATGGCCCAGGAAGATGTTGAGGATGTGGATGAATCCACTGAGATAGTCAGCACGTCTGCGTCTCTTGTACATATTCTAGAGTTTCTTTGCATCTCAAGACCAGCAAAAGCCAAGATGTTTCGGCTTATGCACCACACCGAGAATGGGAAGTACTGTGTTCAAAGTACGAGATCTCGCAGCGGAAAGGGGCGGAAGCTAAGCACCATGTCAGGGCTGGACTTACTATAGGATGAAGATTAGTAGTGGTATTAATACACACGCCTTCGCTGCAAGACGTCGGTTCCTGAATCTGAACTCCCTCGGCCTCTTTCTCTCGTCGTGGAGGAGTAGTCGGACTGTTCCAGACGCCTGGATCTTGCGTGAGTTGTTCCGCCGCCGTATGGCCATTCGCAGACGTCGCCAGAAAGTAGTCTGCGAGTTCACCTCTTCGTCCTCGGACCCAGACACTGAAACATCGGCATCTTCCAAGGATCGCAAGGAAACGTTGGCTGGCGATTTGAAAAGAGAGGCGCGGGCATGGTCGAAGCCCTGAAGCAAAGGTTGAGAATCGGGGGTAGCAGCACGTGCAGCCATATTCAGGCACGGTGGGGGGATTTCCTAAGTAGGCGATCCCGGACACAAGCTGGACCCTGAATTCTTGAAAGAAAAGACCCTGCGCTCCACGCAATGATCGTCCGGCAAAAAACCTCGGGCCTTGAGAAAAAGAGGAAGAAGATTGGAAATATAACGAGGAATCCCCTCATTGAGAACCCAAGCCTTGGGGAACTTCAAGGCGTACAGGCACTTCAAGACACCTTCCTAAAGAAAGGTTGTCACAGGCGCCACAGGCCTACCAGAGATCCAGGCTGTCTGACCCCCGGGTTCTTAGATGAAGAATCGGTGCTAAGGTGGCGCATGCGGCACACGCAACCGTCGTTTATCGTGACAATAGCCCCGAAGTGAGGTCAATTCCTCGAACACGTCGCACAAGCCCTAGGACCGCTAGAGCGCTGTTCCAGACTCGAATTGCCTCGTCTTTGATGGAATCGCAAATTTATCCGGGAAGAAGAATTTGAATTTGTGCTTTGGATTCAGCAGAGAGAGGGAGGCGACGCAATCTACTCGAGGCATCATGTCGCATTCTTATTCATGGGAGGCCTTCTTTCGACTCCTGAGACAAACTATGGAGTGCCGGACCCCAAGATCTGCACGAAATACGGGGGCCCAATTGTTGGAGCCACGCGGCTCAGCACTGTCGCCTGGCTGGGTTGCGATGATCGGTACGCAACTCGGCCTGACTTGTTGATTGGCTCCTCAGCCGTGCGTGGAAGAGATCAACTGATGTGGCAGCGGAGAATGGATCGTTTCACGGATGGTATGTGTGTGTATGTGTTACATTGTGGAGTGCATTGAATGGACAATGCCAGATTGATGATCCTGAGGCATGGATGTTGAAGTTGGGCAAGTCGACCGACGAAAACACTGGATGATTTGGATTCATGGTGGAGGCAGGCAGGTAGGTACACGTGCTGCTAACGGCAGGCGCCGTGAGTTGTTCCCCTCTGTAGAGTATGCCTCAAGGTTCTTGCCAGGGGATATCTTTTAACGAGAGCCATGAATGATTTCGCCGACTATATATATGTTCCCTATACATGTGTGTATCGGTAAGAAGACCTTCCGCCATGTCAGTCAGCCCCCGTGAAACATCTCCGACTCGCTTCCTGACTCTTGGAATGGATCATTTCAACAGAGCTTGCTAGTATTACTACGTAGAGGAGACAAAACATATCACAGGCTGTTGCAGCCCAAGTGGAATGCTATCGCTGGCTGTTGGGGAGAATTTAGGAGGGTTTCATCATCACGTGCAGCATCTGCCAAGATGTATGAGCCCCACAGCTGCCGTCCATGATCCCTGCATGCCAGGTGCCCTCCGCAACTTTTTTTTTAGATCTCTATCTCTACGTTTTCAATGCGAAGAGCCTCAAACGTGCGAATAATACCACCGCCACCATGCCTCACAAACACAGACGAATAGAAGACGATAAGACACAGTATGTTCTAAATCAACCCCTTTTTTTAGACCTTCAATGCCCCGACTCAATCGTACTAATTACCCGTCCCCAGGTTCAACCTCCCACCCACCGAACAAGCCACTTCCCTCCCCGTAGGCAAAGCCCGCACCTTTAGCACCGCAACAAAAAGCAAAAAGCGCAAGGCCGCTCACATAGACGGCTATGGCGCAGACGACACACCCAAAGCCTTCCAACGGCTCATGGCCCTTACCAAAGGCGGCATCAAGAAGCGCTCCATGCTCGATGACGGCCTCGTAAAAACCAAGAAACAGAAGAAACAACAACAACAACAACAACAACAACAACAACAACAACAACAACAACAACAACAACAACAACAACAAGCGCTCGAAGAAGACGGGCGAAAAGCCAGCATCAGCGGCAAAACGGAAGAGCAGCAGAATCCAGCCGCCACTCCCGCACTAAAGATCCAACCCGGCGAGTCCATGGCCGAGTTCCGCGCACGCGTTGACCAAGCCCTGCCCCTCTCCGGTATCTCCAAGTCAGGCAAAAAGGTCGCAGGTGTCAGCGACCACCGCGTCACAAAACACGAGCGCCACCTCAAGCGGCTGCAAAAAGGCTGGCGGGAAGAAGAAGCCCGAATCCGCGACAAGGAAATGGAAGCCGCCGAGCTCGCAGAGGAAGAAGAGGAAGAACTCGCCGCAATGTGGGAAGACAAAACTGAAGACCTTTCCACCCCCTTCACCGCCACCAACAAGAAAAAGAAAAAGTCCAACAAAACCGCAAAGCGCAAACATTTCGTCGGCGAAGTCGACAATGGCAGCGAAGACGAATGGGAAGCCCTCAAGCGCAAAAGAGGTCAACCCAAGGGCCTCCACGATGTCGTCTCCGCACCCCCGACCTTCACAAAGCTGCCGCGCGAGATCTTCAAGGTCAGGAATGGGGCTGGCGCCAAGGTGGGCAATGTGCCCAATAGCGCGGGTAGTCTGCGCAAGAGGGAGGAGCTGGGCGAGGAGCGCAAAACGATTATCGAAACGTATCGTGAGCTCATGGCCGCGAAGAAGGAGAGACTGGGCACGGCTGCTGCGGCGGCGGTGGCTGCAGAAGCGAAGTAGTATGGCTGGCTGGCTTGACGGGGGGAATAGATGGTTTTTTGATACCCATGTTGTTTGGTTCTCTGGGGATATGTCGTGTCTTGGTTAAGATTATTCTTACTGATGATGATGACCTGCATTTATAGAGTGCAATTGATTTCGCACCTCTGTTCAACTACGCATAAAATTGCCCGGCCACCCAATAAACCCCATATCCAGCCTCAACACACAACCCGCACAACCATCGCCATAAACCCACTCCCTTCATCCCGCCCCAGAGCACAACAAACCATAGCTGCACCAAACAATCACAGCACCCACATTCCCTATCCCATCCCACCAAACCCACCCTCAAATCCTCACAATATCCACCCTCACCCTCTCCCAAACCCGATGCGCAACCGCAACACCCCTCTCGCGCTCCTCCTCCCTCACAACCGCCGGTTTAACAATCAACCTCGCAAACGAGCCCGCCGCACGGCGTTTCGCCAGCGTACCGGGGTTGACAACGAGGACGGATTCGACGACCTATGTAAGCGGTTTGATTAGCATTGGAATTGTTTATTGTGGTGGGGGGGAAATGGGGTTGCTGGGGGGGGGGGGGGGGGCAGTGTTGGCGCTTCGGACAGGTAAAGGCTTGCTTACTTTGACGGTGCCTTGGAGTACGCTGGGGGTGATGAGGATGTCTGGTCTGACGTTGAGCATGTCGGCGAGTTTGAGGTAGCTAGTATCGAGCATGGTGCCCAAGGGGAGAAAAGGGCTTGGACTATCATCGTCTGGATCTTCGTCCGCGGCGGTGGCGGTGGTGCTGGGTTTAAATGGTTTTGCGTCCACGGGGGTAGGCGCGAGTTGTTGTTTCTGCCGTGCGGTAGGGGGAAAGACGGGTAAGAAGTTGCGTTGTTCGAGCAAGTTTCTGGCACAGCGTTCGTAGAGGTTTACGGTTTTTGCGGTTCCGCCTGTGAGTTCTTCTCTGCGTAGCATGTCTAGGATGTCGATGCTGGACATGCCGACTGTGAGTTCGTTCATGCTGAGCGTCATGGGGTTGGTAACGCATTGGACCATTTTGGCGGCTGGGCCGAGCCCGAGTTCTTTTTTGATGAATTTGTCTTGGGGGAAGGCGGCGTGGTGGTGATGTGCGTCGCGGAGGTTGGGGACGAGGATGACTTGGCAGGTTGGGTTTCTCTTGTGGAAGTTTTGCAGGGCACTGGAGATGTGGTGTTTGAAGAGGTCCGTCATGGTGGCTTGGTCGGGAATCGCGTTGGGAGGAGGGTCAAAGTCTCCTGAGCGGATTTGGGGATGTTCGGCGTCGAGGAAGGGCCCGATGAGGATGACGGTGTCAGCGTAGGCTTCGGCGGCGTTGTCAAGGAAGGTATGGAGCGGGAAGAAGTCTAGGTTTTGGTCTGTCGTGTAAGGGCCAGAGGCTATCATTATAGTCAGAGGGCGAACATTATCTGGATCGGAGTCGGGGGTGTCGAGGTATCGTGAGCGGATGACGTCTAACTCGGTTGGGGTCGTGGCAGGTGGGTTGAGGAGAGGAAGTGCGATGACTTCTGAGACGACAAAGGCATCACCTGAGGCATTGGTACCACGGAGTGCAACGATCTGACCAGGAAAGAAGTTATACGATGAGAGTCCCTCAATCTTAAGAGGTGTTCGCCGACCTGAGCCATATCGTCGCGATCCCTCCAGCACTACCGTAGAGGGATTGAGTTTGCCTTCGCTAGTATCGCTTGCTATCCGGCCAACAGCAATGATTTCGTTCGGCGACTGGTATTGTGGGTTTCCAAAGGCACTATCATCCAAGCCAAGAGAGTCTTTGACCGATTCACGAAACTCGTCGATCCTGTCGTCGAGAACCTCTGACGCTTCTGAGAGTTTCATAGCCATGGTGCGGTAGGAAAATTTGGACATGTCCGTATTGGCTTTCAATTTGACTCGAGGCTCCTTTGGTTCTTCTGACGGGGGTTCAGGGATAGGTATGTCCTCGCCCATGAATTGCTCAGTGATCTCATTGGCGTTGGTGCGCGATGAAAAGTCAAATACGCTGATCCATGATTAGAGGAAGACTTTCAAATGTTCAATATACCAGCGTGACCTGTGCTCGTGATATATGGCATCATGGAGGAGAGGGGTATAACCTACGATCCAGCAGAGCCCTCGACTTTCGGTGTCAAGATACCTCCCGGTGAACTTGTGTCGTGCACTTTGCTGGCTTTGCCGCCTGGTGTCTGGAAGTTGGCCTTCCGCTTGACCGTGCTACCATTCACACCGCTCGCTGCGCTTGGTCGCGGTGTGTTTGGGACAATTCCTTCCAAGCTGGTCCAAAGTCAGAAAATTTCAAGAAGCATTCTCCTATTCAATTCCAACCTACATATCATACATGTCACCCCCCTTGGCCCTTGGGGCCGGTTGACCCCGCTTGACATCATGTCGCTGCTGTGCCTTTCCCCTGCTTTCCCGTTCCAGTGCATCTTGTATCGTTTTCTTAAAGTCGCGCGCAGTCTTGACATCCATCTTGTTCTCCTCTCCTCCCATCTTCATGTAATATGCCTGCCATTTGAAGTCGAGTTCTTCGGGCGAGATGGCATACAGCCGTATCATAGACTGTAATTCTGCGAGGACTTCGCTAGGCAGCGCATTGTCCTTTGTATCGCAGTAGCGTTCGAAGCGTTCGGTAAGTTCTGTGGTAGGGTCCTCCATTGCGATGCTGACTTGTATTTGTCTATGTCATGGCACTTTTTGCGAACTTCACGCGTGTGGGACGACGCGTCGCGCGACGTTAAAGTGGTCACGCTAGTCATGTAACTAACGTTAAGTTGACGATGGCGTGCAGGGATCCATGGCTGGTCGACGCCAAAAGTTATGGCACCCTCAACACTCTTGCAGTTACACCGCTCCTTACTGAAGAACTGAACACCATTCCACCATCTTGCAAACCCTCATAGTGTTCGAGATGTCAGCAATTGGCCCCTTTGCGGAGCCTGTACCGGGATGCAAGCCCGCGGCTCCCCCGGCGTTGACCGCAGACCAACAGTCCAAGTACGACCAGCTACTCGCCGACATCCGATCATGGGACTCCATTCCCACCACCTCTGCAAAGGGAGCCGAATCGACAACCCTGACTGATGAGGAGCGCATGTGGCTCACACGTGAATGCTTATTACGATATCTTCGTGCCACCAAATGGAATCTTGCACAGGCCGCAGACCGTCTCCGCTCGACATTAATCTGGCGTCGTGAATTCGGTACTGATCGCTTCACCGCCGACTACATATCTGAAGAGAATGCGACCGGCAAACAGGTTCTGCTTGGGTTCGACAATGAAGGTCGCCCATGCCTTTACTTACTTCCTCAAAACCAAAATACCAAGGAGACCCCGAAGCGGGTGGAGCATCTTGTATATATGCTGGAACGAACTATCGACCTCCACCCTCCTGGCCAGGAGAGCCTTGCCCTCTTGATCGACTTCAGGAATACTGGCGCAGGAGGACAACCTAGCCTAGGTATGGCTAAACAGTGCCTCAACATCCTGCAAAACCATTACCCTGAGCGGCTTGGTAGGGCTTTGCTTACCCACTGTAAGTCGTGAGCTCTACACTTGCATTTGAATGTATACTGACGCAGTATGTAAGTGCCTTGGTATGTCAATGCCTTCCTCAAACTCATCAATCCATTCATCGACCCCGTCACGAAGACCAAGATCAAGCCTAATGAGCCTTTGCCCAACCATGTACCCACCTCGCAGCTTATGAAGGTATCTGGTGGTGAGGTAGACTTCAAATACGACCATTCTGTGTATTGGCCAGCTCTCGAGAAGATGACCGAGGAGAGGAGACAACAGCGAAAGGAGAGATGGGAGAAGGCAGGGAAGCTCATTGGAGAAAGCGAGATCTACCTTTGGGGTGGTGAAGAGGGCAGTGTAGGAAGCAGTGAACAGGTCCCGCTCAATGATGGCCAGGCGGAGATGGTAAACAAGGTTGACGCTGATGCTCCTCCAGCCAACAACGTCGCACAGCCCGAAGTCAGAGACGGCGAGGCTGTCTCGGCTGCCACCTGATGGTGAACAGCTTATATGATGCATTTAGCCCGGAGCATAGCCTTGATGATTGCGATGTATTCTCCTCCTATAGACACAGCCGTTGATACCCGCTTGAGTAAGTTTATTCGGTGAGCTACAAGTACATGCGTTGGTTAGTAATGTCGCATCTGGCAATCAAATCCACATGGGCAAACCACTTTTATGCTCCTATGGTGAATGCAAGCATTCGCCCCGTATTCTGCATCGTGCTTTCCTTGCATTTTTGCACTATGGACGGTTCCGCAATAGGGTTCGCCTAACGACTGCATCCACCCGTTCATATTCGAAAGCACTACAGCATTCTATCTTTCTGAAAAGGAGCGCATTTCAACTCTCTTATTCACATCGCGCGTCGCCAATTTATCGAGAACCATCACAGCCGATTGCATGATCCGACGGGGTGCATGGACCAAACGGCTCCTCCGCTCCAGACACAAAAGCAAGACAGACTCTCACCCGCTAGATCGCGACCCTGGGAACGCACATTCCTTTCGACCTAGATTCTAGCCTGCCTGATACCAACACCGGGTCGTCCTCAGGTCCATTTGACCAGCTTGGCAATTGTTATTGTTTCAACATCTCGATGCCGCCCAAACGCAAAGCACAGGACATCGATACGGCGCCGAAGCGCTGTGGGAAGAAGTCAAGGGCAACAATCAAGAAAGACGAAGGTAAGTCAGATCCTTGCCTATACACTGTCATTATCGTCGCACCTGTCGTCACACAGCAGTTGTCCTCCCTGTACCGGTACTGTACCGCCGGTACTTTTGCACAGCACAATCGCAGGCCGCCGGCATTAGGTATCGGTAACTCCGAGGCAGGGCAGGGGTGCGGCAATGAGGGGCCGGCCAATGGTGGGCTGTGGCAGTCTGTGGTCCGGCTCCAGTTGCTACCGGTACCCCAAAGTCGAAATGGGTCATATCTGAAGCCCAAGCTATCAAAGTCCATCACGGTCACTTACACGGCTCCTCGGGCTTCGGCTTCACTTTCAGCGTTCCTATTATCGCAGAATCTTGATTTCCCCATTATCACGCTGCCCTCGTATCATACCGTAGCTACACGGCACGCACACAGACTCTGACCCCGCCATCGTCGGTCGTTCGACGTCGAACTGCTTGTTAGGCTATTACGGGAGCTAATATAAGATGCCTACAGTCTACAGCGCTCAGCAGAAGGCTGCCATTACTCAGTTCATAAACTTCACTCAGCTCGATCGGAATACAGCTATTCGGGCGCTCAAGAGCAATGGCTGGGATGCCCAGGCAGCTGTCAACGCGTGAGTATCATGTCTGTTTTCTTTCTCATACCTAACCAGGGACTTCCTCTTTGTTTCTCTTGTACTGCGCGAAGACTTCGGAACCGGGCCTGGCCGAGGCGTCGAGCCTACGAACGACCAAATACGACCGCGATAAACAAAATGGACCTGTGAAATAAAGCTCATATGGGTCGCACAAGCACACGATATGCATGGGGAAGCAGCCCGCGGATATGGCAAGAGACACCTGCCAACCAACTTCAACCTTTTCAGGAAGGGTCGCAGCTGGGAATGCTTGTCTGTATCAAGGCTCCTACCGCAGCATAAGTTAGTCCACTGCTCTTGCACGACACAATACAGCAAAGCTATATCTCCAGCTTTGTCACACGCTGTCTCGTCGGCTGTATTCTCCAACTTTGGACATTATACTTCCTAGGATTGCTACAAGTCAGACAGTCTATCCACGCCTTTGCATCGACCAGCCATGTTCGGATCATCCCAGGACAGGGCTAGACAACTTGCAGGACGCAGGCGAAAAGAAAGACTTAGCTCGAGCGGATCCAGTGCTAGTGCTACCTATCGCTCAATCAGTTCTTCCAGCCAAACATCTCAGCTCAGCCATACGACATCGACGCTTGCTCACAACGCTCGTCGACCATCCATAATCAAAGAGCTTTCGCACATGCCCAAGGAACAGCAGATACTGCAAGCCGAATATCTGAGTCAGGTTCTTTATGACAAAATCGAGGTACCTGACTCCGCGAATCCACCGTTGAGTCGATTCGGAACTGGGTACAGCGGTATGAATTCGCTGCCAACCATCGCGAATCACTTGCACAATGTCACCGCTCCCATATCCGGTAGCGAGAAGCCCATTCAACAAGCCTTAGAGCACCCAGGTTGCCACCTTGTATCCGTGCCACGAGCCCTGGAACGATCTACATCGGAGCACCAATTGCATCTGCGTACAGCCGTTTCGTTACGCGGTGGCTACACTGACATTTACATCGACAACCCTGCTGAAAGGAATGGAGATGGTCTCCATAACTTCGAAGAGAATGCAAAGCTCAAGCGTCTTTGTGCGGAGCTACTCCACGCCAACGCTCTTCAAGTGGAGCATAAGAGCACCCTGCTTTCGCGACCCTTTACAACCGAATTTCCATGGGTACGAGAAGTCTGCCGACATCCACAATGGCATGCTCCTATCTCTTCAGGCGCTTCGTATGATGCCTTTGCGGAATCTCTCGCGACGGTTGAACTCGGAAGATTCGGTGATCTCTTTGGTCCAAAACCAGCCTTTCTATCTGCGTCTGTAGCGACGGCTCGACGGGTCTTCTTTACGATCCTCACTGCTCCACAAAAACAGGTGTTCAAAAACATGATCACTTCGAAGGGCATGTCACTTTTGGCATTAGTCGAGAACGGGGCCGGCGCCCAATGCATATCCCCACCGAAGCCGCAAGATTGCATATCGAAGCCTATTGTCTTGTTGGAACATCTGCTGGAAGCGACAGAAGGTCCAGAAGTTCTTTCGGGAAGCACACATACGTCCTTGCTCCCCGAATCTAGTCCGGACTTCACATCGTGGTTCGTTGGGAACGCACCACAGATCGATCTGTCAACGGAGCACGGATCGTATGCTTTCATTGAAATTTTCATGTTGTAAAATTTATGTATATGCTGACACTAGAATGACAGACACTATGGCGGCGGTGGTGGCGCCACAGGAGGCTCTGGAGCGGCTAGAACTGCACTCAACAAAATCTTTGACAAGTACCGAGAGCCCAACACCACAGAGCCAGATACTATCGGAGCCGAGGGCACGATGCAGTACTTTGCGGACACCGATGTCAACGTGGAAGGTCTTGAGTCGTTAGCGGTCCTCGAAGTGGTACAGGCGCCTACCATGGGTGAAATGAGCCGGGAAGGCTTTGTCAATGGATGGCAAGAACGCGGGTAAGTGCCGCAGCCATTTGATGTTGACCAAATGCTAATTCTGTCTCCAGCTGCGACAGCGTTCAGAAGCAGAAAGACTACATCAAAACATTGAAGCGTGAGCTGCCCAGCAACAAAGACCTATTCCTGCGGGTCTACAAATATACCTTTGCTGTTGCCAAGGCTCCGGGTCAGAAGGCTGTTCCACTTGATATGGCTATCGCGTACTGGGAGTTGCTCTTTAGCTCTCCCCTATCTCCAGTCCAATGGTCGAGTTCCAACACACCATGGTTGAGCTGGTGGACAGAGTTCCTCACGTCATCGTGGAAGAAGAGCGTCAACAAGGACATGTGGAACGAGACCCTCAAGTTCGCACAGCTCACACTCACTGATGAAGCCATGAGCTTTTGGAACGAAGAGTCTTCGTGGCCATCAGTCATTGATGAGTTTGTCGAATGGGTCAAGAATGAGAAGCGTGGAGGTGCCAAGGAAGAGCCAATGGAAGAGGACTATTGAGGTTCCTCGCGATTCTTCGTTGCGGCCCTCGTCTCTTTTGCGAGTTCGAATCGTTGTTGAACAGGAGTTGGGTCGGATGTTATGACTTCTCTTCATGGTGCCTTGCATACGTGGATATCGTATGACACGCAGTATGACTTTTACGGAAGCATGACATACCCTTTGCTTGCTTTAATGGCCCATCTCGACCACGAGTAGCATTTGCTACCAGATAGTTTAGTGCAGATATGATCATGAAACAGACATCAGTTGTCTTAATTACCAAGTTCTTTGAGCTTCACAGGAAATGCTAGCAGTTCCAAATTGTTCACAGCGAATCACTAGTCGCGGCTCTAGTTGTACGAGCGTATGCTCGCCACTGTTTTTAAACGTGCCAGCACATGCGCAGCGCTCTATCCTGAACAGAATTCTCGACTATTTCAAACAGAAGATGCATATACTTGTTGACAGCAATGAGCAAACTTTTTTCGTGATAATGAACACCTACAGATGGTGACGGCTGGTGGTGATGTTGGTGGTTGCGTAGCGCCTGCCTGTCTCGCTTAGGCGACGCTAGTGTCTTGGAACCACACGGATTCTCGATGTTCGTTTTTGCGGCCATCACATTGAACGTCCACCCATCGACAACTAACCACACAGCAGTCAAAGTACGTTAGCACACCCGAACTGCTGCTGCAGTACTGACGAGGATACAGATGGTTGCCGCTAAGAAGCATGTCGCGATCGTCAAGAAGCGTACGCCGGATCTACCAAACTGAACTCGAAATTTCGCGACTGACGTACCCATACAGACGCAAAGCGCTTCAACCGTCACCAGTCGGACCGCTTCATGCGTAAGCTACACTGTGAACTGGAAGGAAGGAATTGTGTTTTAACACTGGATAGGCGTTGACCCCTCATGGCGCAAGCCCAAGGGTATCGACAACCGTGTCCGCAGACGCTTCAAGGGCCAGGCTGCTATGCCCAAGGTACGGACTACCTCATCGCGCGAACCTCGACGACGAAAGACTTTGAAATTGGGTTGCTGGTTGTGTGGGCGAGAATGTCACGAACAGAGACTGACGGAAGTGCGATTGATAGATCGGATACGGCTCCAACCGCAAAACCCGCCACCTGATGCCCAGCGGCCACAAGGCTTTCCTCGTCAACAATGGTACAGTTCACCAGCCCAAGTAGCTTGATAGGATATAACTAACGATATCAGTCGCCGATGTTGACCTCCTCCTCATGCACAACACCACCTTCGCCGCAGAGTACGTCCACTTGCGATGATCAACAGAGTCTGCAGCACGGACAGCTTGCTAATCTGTCGCAGGATCTCTCACTCGGTATCGGCACGAAAGCGTATCGACATCCTTGCCCGCGCCAAGCAGATCGGTGTCAAGGTCACCAACGGAAAGGCTCGCGTCAAGACTGAGTCGTAGAGGAGTGTGGATTTTTACTTCTGGGCGGGGCATACAAGGCGTCTCTCTGATTAGTTACGATCTCAATGGGAAGGCTTTTCATCCTCTTTGGCTCGCATTCTCCTGAGATATGCGAAGAGGAGCATATACCACAAAAGTTCATTGCGAGACGGACCTGCGGGATGGCGGACGGCACGAAAGGAAAGAAGCTGTAGGAATGCAATGAAATCAAGCCAAACCAAACCAGAGATGGTGCCCAGTTCAATTCGATGGAGCCAGTACAGAGGACCGCATGCTGTTTAACGCGGAACCAGAGGCGGATGCAAGTGCTGTGAGAGATGAATGAGATGATCAGGCATGATGTGTGCTCACGTGAAGGGCTCCATTGTTGTTGGATCACGTGCGTTGAAGATGATGCCGATGATTTGATGAGGGTGGAATGCTGACGGTCCATGCATAAGGCATGGGCGAAGAAGTGAATGATAAGCAAGCTTGGTCAGGCCATGACATGTGAAGATGACGAGGAATGCATTTGTTGAAGGGTTTGCCAAGATGGCAGAAGATTGCACCGACGTGGGTGCTTGTGTCATTTCGATAAGATGTTTTACTTGGGTGGCATAGGTACAATAGATGGACATGGTCCAAGCAACAGCACGGTTGCACATCTGGTGAGATCCCCAAGTCACCCCAACTGGGCGGTGCTGCTTTCCCATGAGGATCCAGGTCCAAGGGAAAGGAGTAGGGAACAGTGCAGGTGGGTAGGGTAGGGTAGGTAGGTAGGGTAGGGACTCGGTACGTGTTCAGCGAGTGTCCAAACTCTCTACCAAGTAGGGTTTCCCAACACGGCCGACGTTAGCCATCTGACTTTGTACTATATGCATTCTCGTGTTTCGCTTGGCTTGCATACGGATAAGCAGGACCGCAGGAGGCAACCAAGCCACCACCCTCCGTTGTCACACACTGCACACTGCACCGTTGCAGTCACACTCACCGAACAGGAAGCATCTTAGATGAGACCCTGACAAAAGCGTACGAGGTAAAGCCGGGCGAGTTTGGCAGGCGGTGCGCACCGACGGGAAATGGGCGCTTGGCTTGTCGCGAGGGAAAAGGAGTGGCAGCTTACCCTGCAGGAGAATGAAAACTGGGTGGTGTGCAGTAGGAAAGGAATAGGGTGCCGGTGGGTGGGAGAGACGAGGGTGCGCAACGCATTGTTGCTCGTTGATGGGGTTGATCTACACCCAGACTGTGTGTGTGTGTGTGTGTGTGTGTGTGTGTGTGTGTGTGTGTGTGTGTGAGGAAGCACACGAACATCTCCTCGCTTGGCGACGCATATACTAGATTCAAGCTTTTTGCTGCTCGTGTGCGTGCTGGGTATTAAATGCCTAGTTGGACAGATGCCGTACATAGTAGAAAGGCAGATGGATCCGGTCTGCCTGGAATCCCGGCATGGCCGCCTTCGCTTAACGTTATTACGGATGCGCTTGTGGCTTCCGCATTAGTCTGCCTGTGTGAGGTCCACACTCACTTTCTCTCTCTCTCTCTCCCCCCCCACAACCGACCAAGCGTCCGTCCGTCCACTCTCTAGTCTCTCATCCGCACGCCTCCCTCCCCTCCCCTCCCATCTGGCCAGCTTCACACCGCTCGCTCTGCCAGGACCACTGTCGGTGCCTGCCCGGCTGCAAATCCGCACAGATGGATCATGGCTGGCACCTGCTGTGAACCCCCATGGCCCCCGCGCCTCTCCCGACAAATTCTCTTTCTCCCTCTCTCTCCGACCATCGCCTTATCTCCCATCCTTCACCCACGGGTGGCCAGAAAAGCGGCTGATTGGCCCGTGGGTGCACTTCTATCTTTCGACTGCCGATGGCTGCGAAAGGGAGGCAACAGAGGGACGAGCACATGCGATTTGCAGTGTTGAGCATGTTTTTATTGTATTTACCTGTTGATTTCTTCATGCAGCAGCACAGAATCCCACTTCTCCATGGCTGGGCTGGGCTCGGCAACAGCTGAGAAAGAAAAGCCCCAGTCGGCGATGACGAATGCTCATGTACAGCCACCTTATTGGAGCTCTTCAAACTTCAACACGGTAACCTGACCCTACCGCACATAGCTGCGAGGCGGAGGACAATGCCCTACCCTTTCCTACCTGTTGTATGACACCCAACTAGTATTTCAACCCGCCACCCTCTGCTCTGACCCACACTTTCGTGCGTACTACGCACTCACACACTCCTACCACCAAAGGCTTCGAGCGCCCTGATAATTTCTTTCCGCTCGCTACCCTGGAAAGATTTTCAGGTCCCAGCACTAATTTAGCTCCCGTCCGATAAATAGTCTGGTCTGCCCCCAGAGCCTTTGTCTCCAGTTTCTTTTTCTTCACGCACACTGGTGAACTACAAGTCAAGGCTCCGTTCGCTCTTCTCAGCGGCCAAGTCGTGCTTTGCACGCTGCTGGTTCGGCAGTTCACCGCCACCTCCTGTAGTCCCCTGGACTACTCCCTCCACAGTACGCCTTCTGTCCAAAATCTTCGCCTGCCACCTCGGGCTAGGATCGCGGTCCAGTTTCCGACTTGACGACTCTTGCGTGTATACCTCGCCTCTGGGAGTACACGTTGTGCGAGTCTACCCTACCTATAACGATCACGTGGTCTACTCTATAGCTCAGGTAGCAGATTCAACGACCCAGTCGAGTTCTAGGCCTTGTTCTAGTGCACCAAATTCCACCGTCCAACATGACTCCCAATCTGTTGGTCGTTACCCAAAAGGCTTTCTCCCCCCACAAATGGTTCAAACGCTCCAACAGTGGACGCACGGAGAGAACGATCGAAGAGTGGCCAACCCCAGTGCCTGGACGATACGAACACATTCCTGGCCGCGGATGGTACCTCATTGCAACACTCAAGGACGCTGCTGCCCACGGTTCAGACGTAAAGTCTTCTGATGGCGGCCCGGTACTGCCCGTGAAGTCGCCCATGGCCAAGGAGTATGTCAAACTGGACCAACCCATTCAGGTCCACAAATCCAAGGTTCTCACGGGACGCTGGTTTCTGGATCCCGACTACAAGATGCGCAAGAGGCAGGGCATCATCAAGAATGAGCAAGGCAAGCAGGTCGAAGTCGGCTTCTTCCAGCTCGACGACGGTACCTGGGTCAACTGCTGGGACCATGAGGGCAACTTCATCCCCGGCGACCCCAAAATCCGTGGTTATCGGAGATGGTGCATCGACGCCCAAACCAAGCAGTTCCGTCATATGCTCAAGCGTGATGATCCAAACTATGTGCGATCTCGTCAGAATTCCCCAGAGGGCGAGCTCGATTCACATAGCCAGGATTCCATGAGCGATGTGTTGCGCGGCAGTCGTCCTAATAGCACTCGAAACGGACCGAGTGTGCCTAGCACACGAGCCAGCAGTATCCGCTTTGGTCCGTCGGCTCCGTCCTCCAAGGCACCGAGTCAGCGCCCTTCACGGGCAAACAGTCCGCTGCGCAACAACAGCATCCCCCTCGAGGAGGCCAAGATGGCTCTGAGACGCATGGCCAAGGAACAAGAGGAAGCTGTCTCTGCCATTGCTGCTTCACGCGTTCGCACCATCTCCAAGGATCGTGTGGAGCAGATTGAACGTGGCCGACCCACTGTTCGTGTGGATGGTTGAATTCATGCGCTGACTACTTTGGCGTTTGGCTCCGGTCCGTTCAGCCACGAATGAGCTTCGGGCGTTTGATGGCGAACAAGACCAGCCCGGATACATTTTCCTTTTTTTTTTACGACGATTCTAAAAATTTCTGTGCTGATTGATGGGCATGCCATCACGGTGTTGCCTCGCACTTTTTCTTTATCACGGTATCGGTTTAATAGTTGGCGCACGTCTCATGGGGATTTCTCACATCTATTTTTAGTACCCGTTCATTTCCTTCACTGGTCGGGTACTTCCTCTTCCACTTCTACCTCTTCCATGGCGCACGTTTTCCAACAGGCAAAAAGTTATGGTATACCCAGACAACGGCTGATGCCCTCACGGCTCGCTTTCCAGTTTTTCAAGGGTGTTTTTACAGGTTTTTCTTATAGACATAAGGGTATTTTTTTTCTCTTTGGTATGCACAGCGTGGTAATGATGGCTGCTGTTTAGTCTTCCCACCTCTTTTTTGCTCCCTAAACCAATTCACTCGTTTGCAATGCTCGTGTCGTTCTGCGCTGCTGGCTTGATGGGTTTGGTGTGCGCGTTGGCATGGGTCTTACACACTTCACACGCTTGCAACTTGTGAGTGATTGTGCGCGTCTTGCTGGCATTATACCGCAGGCTTCACGTCGCTTGCTGCGCTGTTGCGATATGCTGGGCTGGATCGTGTGCTGTATGCCGTATGCTGTGCTGTACTGTGCTGTGCTGTGCTATTCTCCTATTGTTTCCCTGCCTTTGGGTATCCAGCATGCATGCCTCCCCGTTCCTGAATAGACAGGCTGTGAAGTCTTGCAGGTTAGACGGCTTGATGTGTTTTCTTCTTCACGCAAGTAGCACTTTTTGAAGGGGGGGAAGGGGCGGGGAGGGTTTGGGTATGCGTTGGGCGTGCGTTTGGGTGTGACGGTGGAAGTGTGATGTGTGATGGGGTGCGCGTAGTTTATATAAAACCCATGGATTCGTATAGGTTGGTACTACATCTAGGTCTGGGCTTATATTTACATCCACGTCCACATCCATGTATGAATCTGGAAAGTAAACAGGCTAGCACAAATTACGAAGTGTAGTATACAACTACCATCCCCCGCCTTGCCGCCTTTTTCTGGTCTCCGGTATCCACGCTTTCTGTCTTTGTGAAGCTGGGTTGGCTTTTTGGGAGGGGGAGAGTACGGGATTCGGAAACAGGGTGTTTAGGAATTTGGGAATTTAGGGGAGGAATTGAGAGGTAAGGGTGTAAGAGTGTAAGGGGAGATTTGGAGATTTGGAGATTTGGGGAAGATTTGGAGGACGTGGGGTTTGAATAGGTCGGTTTTGAAGACGTACGCTTGACGTCTTATCGAAATCTATTTCGACCTCTATCTACTCTGCTCAGCCTCTATCCACTTAACGTCCATCGACATCCGCCTCTACTTCAAGAACCCGTGGACCATGTGTCCGCACACTGGCCTCAATACCTCGGACTCCATACCCTCGTCATCTTACTTCGGACCCGTCTTCGAACCTACCTTCGAACCGTATCTATACGCGGACGACTTCCTCCAAGCGCAACACCTCGAACAGCAAGTCGTGCACCTGCGCTATCTGAACGCAGAGCTAGAAGACGAAGCTTCAATTAGAGAGGAGGAGATTGACGCCTTGTATGCATGGATCAAGCGTGCTAAGAGATTGAATGGACAAAACTACAGACAAGACTCTATCCCCCAACATCCCACATCCTCACAAATCCCCGCCCCAAGCAGCAGCATGAGAAGCAATCCTCCTACCAAGCGCGAGAGAAACGGTGGTCACAATGGTGACAAGGTCCAGGTAAACAGACCCCACGACCAGGATCCCGGTTTCCACCAAATTCAAATCAAACTCGCACTCCTGGGCTTTCAGGCTCAAATCGATGGCTTGGCTGCGCAGATTGCGGCTTTGCAAGAGCGGTTCGTGCTGCTTGGAGGGGATTTTAGTGAGTATGATGGTGAGGACGATGGGGGGAGTGGGGTTGGGGCTACGGAGGCCGGGGGTTGCGGACTCAGGGCTGGGGTTCAGCTTCCAGGTGGTGTGTGGTCGCCTGCGGATTTCTCGCTCAGGGGTGGGAATGGGAATGGGAAGGATGTGGGTTGGCATTTGGTTGAGAAAGAGAAGTCAAGGGGTGTGATGGGGAGTGGAAGTCAAGATGAGCTTGTTGGGTGTAATGAAGACCAAGGCTATCGGAGCGGCGATGGCGATGCTGAGGATGGTCCTGAGGAGGAACGGGTGGTTGAAGTGGATAGAGAGTATATCTATGCACTTGAGCGCCAAATCGATAGGCTGGAGGAGAAGGTGCAACGGCTCAGGAACTGCTCCTCTTCAGCACAGCATGGGAAGACGCAGTCCTCACCTCTACAACCACCATCAATACCTCCTAGCCCGCAAGCAGAACATCCATCAGCAGATCCCACCCCTCACTTCCGCGGAGAAAGTAGCCATTCCTACTTCCCCACTCCTCTCCGAACCCCCTACTTCCCCAACTTCTCACACAACAATCCCACAACACACGCATCCTCCTCCCACGATACAAACCCACTCCACCCACAACCCCTTCCTCATAACTCCACAGAGTCATGGATCCATCGAGTCACCGTCCTGCAAATCCACAACGCGTTCCTGGAACGCGAGGTGCAGGACTACAAAGACATGTGCGAGAGTCTGATGGGCGATGTAAGGTGGCAGATGGGGACGCAGGTTGAACTGGAGGAGTTGTGTGAGGAGCTTGAGGGGGAGAGGGACAAGCTGTTGAGGGAGGTGGAGGGGTTGAAGAGGGGGATCAGAGGGGGTGGTGGCGAGGCTGAGGGTCGATGTGTAGGGGATGGCCAAGGAGTTGAGGGAACTGCAGAGGGAGTGGGTTCATCGGCTGTTGATGGCAATGAGCAAACGAGTACCTCGTCTTGCATCTCGCACAGTCTCGACTCCGAAGAATGCTCGACATCAAACATCCCCTACACAGCATTCACATACCTCCAAACTCAGTCCTACATACTCTTTCCCACCACTCCCCCGCGAATCTTCCACTTTCCATGCGCCCCGACTCTCCCGCTCATCCACGCGGCGCTCCATCACCGCGCAAGATACGTTGGCAAGGATAATCCGTTCCTTACTCGTGCATGCGAGATTCTGGATCGGCGCGAGGCCATGGGGATTCGCTTGCCGGATAGGTTTGATGATGACCAGGTTGTGGTGGGCTTACCGGGGGGAATGGGAGGAGAATGGGAAGGAAGAATGGGAGGGCATGGGGATGTGGAGATAGCGGCGTGGGTAGCTGGAGAGCGGGACTTTGGAGGGATGGCGCAGTTGATTGGGGCAGTGGTGCTTGGTGGGGAGGAGGATGAGTATGGAGACTCGTTTGATGGTGTGGGGAGTGAGCTTCACGCTGAGACTGGGACGATCATGAGAATCTTTTGTGGTTGTCTAGATTGCACTGGGGGAGCGCAAGGGGAGTTGTATGGACAAGGTCTGCGCGGTGGTGGGTATAAAGGTCCTTCCAGTTCCTTCGCCAACTCAAACAACAGCCTGCACTTCGAGCATGGCAGCCCCGATCGCGCATGCAACGAAGCCATTTCACCCAGCTCATCCACGAATATCAGCATTCCACCAAACTCCCCTCACTCAGCCGAGACAGCAAGACCGAGCCCTCCAAATTCAACGCAAGTCCCCAAACATGAGGACCACACCAAACAGTCAACCCCCAAGGTCCCCCGAGCACCAACCCCCACCCACGAAGAAGACCTCTGGCAATACCACCCCAAGGGCAGAGGCTGCGAGGAATGGACGACCAATCTCGACCGAAACCGACAACAGTGTACATATTGCCATTTACCATTTCCAACCCCAGACTTTCGGGGGAGATGCAGTTCGGTGGAAAGTACGGGGCACGAAGACGAAGCACCGATACCAATGCATACATTGGTATTTCCACACTCGAGTACATTCGACACAGCGATCAACACGACAAACGGTTTAAACAATACTCCCTCAGCCTGTGGAGATGCTCAACCCCCAACCTCCCTTCCCCCCGCCAAACCATCCCTCTCCTCCCTCTCCTCCGCCCGCTCCAGCCAACCCTCCCCAAACACCACCCACAAACACCACAAACACAAACGCACTCACCCACCCCCCCAACCCCAGCCGCACATCAACATCGCACGCCCCAGCGCCTTCGACGAGCGCGGGAATAAGCGGTATAGTGCCCGGTATACAAGCTACGCCGGCGTGAAAAGCTGCACCAATGCTAATAACGAAGCCGGCGCATGGGGACATGATGAGTTTTGAATCAATCTTTCGAATGACACTGCTGAACTGAGAGAATGCATTGACGACACAGAGCCCAATGGTGCCGTGTCTGCACGATGCGAGACCGGATGCAGATACAGGGCTTTTCTGCATGGTGATTGAGATTGCAGCTGTGAGGCAGGTGCAGAGTAGCATTTGCATTTGCATTTGCAGTTTCCCATTTATCCGTGATACTGGTATGCGTACTCGTACGTCGTGTGGGCTTGCTTTGGGAATACGAGGCCTGTAGCCTTGATATCCATGCGGCGTCGAGAGGTCGAGAGGTGGATGTGCAACGGGGGATAGATAGGGGGGAGAGGAGGTGTGATTGTGTTGTTTTAGGGAATGTTCTTGGAACTAAGAGTGTAGTGTTGAGATGAGATGCCTTGTGTCATGAAGGAGTGATATGGTCCGTTGATTAGCGTAAGAGGCGGATTGACCAACAGCCACCATGTACAAAGTCCTACAAGAATACCAACACAACCAGACTCCACTTTCCACAATTCACACAAGAGCACGATAAGCCTCATTCTCAAAAAATATATATATGGTCCCTCCAAATGTAAAAATATTCCCCACCTCACTCCCCATCCCAAACCCAACCCCAAACTAGGCAATATAAGCATACAAGCCATCCTCCTCCCGCTCCAAAAATTCCTTCTCAATCAATCTATCAATGTTCCGCTTAATCCCACTAACCTCGAGCGTGCCCCGATTCCTCGTCGCCTTGATCGTCTCACTCACCAACTCGGCATGGCTAATGCGCTTCCTCGCCTTCAAGATGCGCACAATCGCCGCCTGGGTTTCGTAGTTGCGGTCGGCGGCCACGCGCTCGTGCGTCTCCTTGTTTTCGGCAGGCGTTTCCTTGAGCTGGACCGTGTTGATCTTGATGCGGTATTTGGGGTCGGAGAAGGCCGTGTTGAGGGTGAAGGTGTCGGTGGGGGAGATGTCGCGACCTTTGGGGTGTTTGGTTAGGGGGCGGATTTTGGCGCAGGCGAGAGATTGGAGGGTTCTGTTTAGTTCGGCGGGGGCTGGGGAGGCTGTCAGTATGGGCTTCTTGGGTAGAGGGAACGGGGTTCTTACGTAATCCGGTGGCTTCCTTCATGTAGTTGTAGTCAATGTGCTCGTCATCCTTGCGTTCGTTGAAGAGTAGGAGGACGATGGCTTGGAAGGAGGATACGACTAGCTCCTTGTTGCCCTTGGGGAACTTGGCTTTGATTTGACAATGGGCAAGGGCGTGCTTGAACTCTAGTTTCCGACCCGAATGCTTCGACTTGTAATGCGATTCAAACTTGCTTATCGCGGCTTGAATTTCTGGTGGCAAAATGACTGGCACAGTCGGGTATGTTGGCCACGACGATGCTGAGAGGACGTTGACATTCAAGTCTAGACCGAGCTTCTCATTGCGCTCCTCGCTGATATTCTTGTATGACGCCATTTCCTCTCGGGACAGCTCAATGTCTCGGAACATTTGCTCGAGATTTGCTGTGAACCCAGCACCACATTCTAGAGATTGTCAGTTGGTTCCTTGTTCATTAAGACGACTAGGTATTCACCAATCTTCAACCTCGACAACATGCTCCTCTCAGCGTCAGCACTTGCACTTCTGCCCATCAATAACCTCCTGGCTAAATCTTTCTTGTAAAAGGCTTCGAAGACTGCTTTGCCGTGCACGAAACGGAACAGGTCCAGCACTTGGTCAAGTTGGTTGTTGACTTCGGTATCTTCATCAAACACAACATCCTCATTGTCCTCTTCAGCATTCACTACAGCCGGCTTCTCGGCCTTTCTGCTCAATTGCGCTGGTATAGCTTTTGCGCCACCTCTCAAAAGCATGTCCACGTATTTGGCGATCATCTCACCCGTCTTCGAGTTGTCCGTCCCCCAGCTTGCATTCGTCTTTTTGGTCTTGTTCATAAAGGTTTCGAAGGATTCTCGCAGACCATGGCCAAGCTCAGCATCACGATGGAATGATACTTTCCATAGGGTATCGAGTTGTCGTTTCAGGGTGAGCAACTTTATTACCATACCGTCCTGCTCTTTTTCATTGAAAACAATGGCCGTACCCTCATCCTCGATCCATTTCGTGAAACCTGGTTTCAGATTCGCACCAAGCTTGCGGCGTTCGAGGAGTGTGTACAACAACTCGAGGTCTTCCACCGCGTTCTGCTCTAGCAAATCAGCCAACTCATCTTGGTTCACCAACTTTGACTCTTGCTTCGAGATGAGATGGTCCTCCAATAACGTCAAAAGCTCTCGCTTGGTTGTGTTCGGCAGACTAAACATCTCAATGCGCTTCATCTCACGGTCCATGAGTGCTCTGGCACTGCGAACATATTCGGGTAACGACTTCTCACTGCTCTCCGTAGCGGCCCACTTCACGATGTAGTCTTGGCTGAACTCCATCAACCGTGGCTCAAATTCCCTTGTGTAGACTTGCATCTCGTGGAACATGTTGATCGTCTTGGAGAATATTTCGCTGTCCAGATCACCGCCTGTTCGTTCGATAGCCACAAGGTCGCATGCGCCATCGACAATACGTTTGTTGAGCTTTGCATGATCGAAAATGATGGAGCGGAAGAGGTTGATGGAGTTTTCGCGCAGGGACTCATGTCGTGGTAGTAGATAGGCGCGGTCAAGATAACAAAATATCCAGTCGAGGTATTTCTGTAATTTTCAGCATGCGATAGCCATTCTTAGATATAGTTGAACCTACCATTTGACTGTTCCACGTCGCCCAGGCTTGTAATGTCGCCCTCAGAACATCGACATTAGTCCTGCCCAAGCTCTCCTTGACCTTTGACTTGATGCTCCCACCGACATAGTCTCTGCACTTGATAACAAGTCTCTCCTTGACATCCTTGGCCAAATTTTGCCGACAGATATTCTCCACCCCCCTGTAGAGCTCCTCAAGACTGAAATCAATGTCTTCTTGTCGAAAGATGGTATCCAGCGCCTTGTCGATCTTGGCCCATGTTTGATCCAGGAAGGCCTTGGGATCGACCTTGCGAATAGGCTTGAAGTTCTTGACCATCAAGCGCTTTGGGCCTGTGTTGGCGTGCATGTTCGGCGCCGCCTTGCGCATGCCATTGCGCTGTCCGTTCGGCTTCGCGGGGCTGTTATCCGGACTTGACCCAATATCCACAACTTCCGCATTGCCTGGTATACTCGCCCTCTTACTAGGGAAACTGTACATATCGGCAGTGCTCATATTGCTGGCTGCAACAGGCGTGGCGACTCGGGTAGTAGCAACTGGGGAGCTCTCTCGGCGGGTGCGTTTGCTCGTCGGCGATAACGGCGCTGCAGTAAGGTTGGGCTTTGACTGTGACGTGAAGAGCTCCTTGATCGTCTTTTCAGAGTGCTTCCGTTTCAAAGCACCTGGATTGACGGACATTGGGCGGGTGGGGAGTGGTTAGGTCGTGGAGCTACCTATGCCAATGCAGCCACTTAGTCTCACCAAAGCCGCGGTGATGGCAGACGTCCAGGATGACGCGCTTGCTCCTTACCGCTTCGGGGGTAGTGATGTTATCGATAGTAACGACGGTGAATTTTCTGGAATCGTTCTTGAACGTGTACCTTATACACAATGTATCTTTTGATGGACGGTCGTTTCAATCGGAAACAGTCAAAGCATGAATGCCAATGCTGTCGCAAAGTTGCGCAGGATGGAACAGTGTGGCCGCGTAACGACAGCCAGATTCACAACATCATCGCATTCCCGAACACAACTTGTCGATTTGGTCGCATGAATAACGACTGGATCAATTCGACTTCAGCATGACGACATTACCTTTAATTCGTATCTCCCTATATCACCGTCTCATTACTGACTACCCAGGCGATGGGTCCAGCTCTCAAGCCTTGTAACGTGTGTAAGATGTGCACGAATAACTGCCACCGCCCAGCCTCTATACTTTGGTTTCGCCCAAGGCTGCAGGCGGAATTCCTGATTGTCTCCCGTGAGGACTCCTATAGTTCAGTTACTCTGAAACCTTCCATCGTATTCTACCTGAACCCAAAGGGGCGTTGGCAAGCCAGCCATGATGAGTACTTGATTACGCTGTGTTGTGGTGCTCTATCAGTGACATATCTCGCTTGTAATTTACTTGTAGGATGATTAACACATGTTATCTGCGACGGCAGCCTGTACTGCGTTGCTGGCCGACCTCACCTACAGTGAATGACGTTGCGCACGTGGTTTCGCGTCAGAGGTGAGATTACCTAACGCGCAAACCATGATGGACTAATTGTTGGCTCTTTGCACCCCGCGCAAGTACTGCCTCACCTGCAATCACATCAATATCTCATACTTTTGGGTCGTTTTGGGTTCTCTGAGAGTCAAACCATCCCGTCACGACTATCTAAATTTATATAACCCCAAACATTCACCTTTGTAGCCCAGCGCGTTCCACCAGTTCGCCACACATGCGTAGGGTGGGCTGCGAGAGCACGCAAAAACAGTGAGACTGGAATAGTAAAGCAGAAATAGTATTGCGAGGCCCCATCATGGCACCCAAATCTGCGCGTGGGCGCAAACGGCAGACCAAGATAAGCTTTTCGCCCGCCACGAAACCTATGTCCTCGACTCGATCATCTACAGTCGCAAAGATGGGCAATGCGCCGTCGCAAACTGAAGACCACACTTCAGCATTACCAACACCTCGAAAGTCGACTCGAGCGGCGAAACCACCCCGACCTGATTCTTCGAGCGAGGACGAGTTGGCGGGCGAAATGAATGCGGGCAACGCACGGCTGAGCAAGAAACTGCATACGCCTGTCAAGCGCAAACACAAAGGCATGTTCGGTAGTTCGAATGTGATGTCCACAGGATATGAGAGCTCAGAGGAGCAACACATACAGCCTGTCGCGAGGCCAGCAAGACGCAAGCGACAACGGGCATCCTCGGGCAGCGAGTCGGACCATGCCAGGCCGACTGTCACGATTCTTCCGCGGAAGAGGCAACGAATTATCGAAGTGATTGAAAACAGCTCAGAAGAAGGAGAAGAGAGTGAGGATAAGGATGAGGAAGGCGAAGATCAACAGGAGGTGGAGGGGGATGATGAGGATGAGGACGTGGACGAGGACGTGGACGAGGCACCAAAAGCACATACGAGGCGACAGGTCAGGCGGCAGCGTACATCAGAAGACGAAATTGAGGTGCAGGTTCAATCGCGAAGTGCACGGCGCAGACTAGCTAGGAGACCATCTCCCTTGTCTGATGAAGATGATGTGCTGGTCCTGCCTCGGTCTCGAAGGGCGAGACCTGTCCGGGTAGAGATCCCAACAGAAGAAGAGTCAGAGGCCCAGACACCCCCCAAAAGTGCACGGCGGAGAATTAGAAGACGAGCGGCTGAATCAGCTAGTGAGGATCAAGATACAGAGGACGATGGCGTGGAGGTCCAAGACGACGATGATGACGATGACGAGGAACGAAACGAATTGAAGGAGGATCTTGCTTTTTTGAAATCGTCGCCAGTGCAGGATCGCGGTCGTCTACGAAGTACACATGACAAGCCCAAGAACGAGCGACAGAAAGCTTTGGAAGCTCTGAAAAGAAAGAGAGCTGGAACCACCGAGCCACCTCCTTCGGCAACCCCCAGCAGGAAGAAGCCAGTCGTAACTGAGACTGACTCTGACTCGGAGCTCGAGGTTATCAAAGAAGAGCCCGAAAGCGATGGTCCGATAGGAGACGTGGTCGATGAAGACGACGATCTTGATTTTGACGAGCATGAGCCAAACGCATTGGACATATTCCAAGAAGGCGAGGACGACATTGGCTTCATTGATGACAATGCGGATGCAGTCATTGGCGAGCCAGCCCTAGATGCAGATCTAGACGACATGCGCCTCACCTTCAGTCTCTCGCGCGCAAAGACCAAAGACCTCTTCAAGCACGCCGTAGAGTGGATGGTTATGAAGAAGATCCACCCCGCCTTCGACTCGACGCGAAATTTCTACGTCTTGACCTTCCGCAAACTCGACGACGAAGTCAAGGGCCTCGCGGGCTCCAAATTCACCTCGTCGGCCTGGACCTCGGAATTCACACGTGCAATCCGTGCAAGACCCGATCTCATCACCAATGAAATCCGTGGCGCCGCAGACTACATGTCTCCCCACTGTGCTGCTTGTAATCGCAAAAACCACCCTGCCACGTGGGAAATCATGCTCACCGGGCAGCCCTACGACAAAGACACGCTCGAGCCCCTCGAAAACGATAGTTCATCAGAGTCAGAGTCAGAATCAGAGTCCGGCTCCGATAGCTCCTCCCTCTCCGCCTCCCCACCCCGCAACACCACCACAGAGAAGCCCGAACGCGACGCCTCGGGCGAAGTCCTGCCCCCGGAATCCCACCGCTTCTACCTAGGGTCCACGTGCAAAGCCAATGCACAAGTCTCACATACGCTGTACCACTGGCGCCACCACCTCTACCAGTGGGTGAAGCAATATCTCGCGCAGCAGGGCCATTTGACGGCGGAAAAGCTGGTCAAGAGGGACAAGGCGAGTAATCGGAAGCGCGAGAAGGCGGCGATTAAGATTGTGGATAAGATGGAGGCCGAGGGTGAGATTAGGAAGTTGTGGAGGTTGTATAAGGAGCAGGTTACTTTTGCGGTGGAGGCGAGTAATGAGTACAAGGATGGGTGGGGGAGGAAGGGGCGGTGAGGTGGCGATGGGTGGAGTAGATAGACTGGGACTGGGAACGGGAGTGACTTGGAGGTTGGATGGAGATTCAGAGGCTCACATGGTTATATGCAGAGGAACGTAGTGACTTTCTTCTTCCTTGGATATTCTCTCTTCATGAACCTCCAGAATAATACTTTCTGTATCGCACATAGCAGAGCCCAACATGCCTTGTCCTCCACCAAACAACTCAAGCCCACACAAACCCTCACACCACCACCTTCTCCCCCCTCCACCCCTCAGGATACCAAACCATACAAACCTCCCACCCCTCCCCCACCCTCTCCTCCCTCAAAACCTCAAACCCACACTTCTCATACAATCGCCTCGCCACCACACTCGACTCCAACACCATCGGCACCCCCGTCCCACCAACCCCCTCGTCTCCACGCGCTAGCCGCTGCCCCTCGCGCACAAGCAGCGCACCCAGCCCGCGCCGCTGGTACTGCGGGTGAATAGCCAGGCCGGAGACGTGCCAGTAGGGTGCTAGCGGGGCGTACAGCGAGGTGCTGGTTTGGCGGACGGCGAGGTAGGTGGACATGTTTTGTGGAGAGATGGAGCGGTTGTGGTGGTGGTGAGGGAGGAGGGAGGTGTAGGTGTTGTTTAGGGAGAGGAGGGTGCGTTCGAGTTCTGGAAGGGGGGGGGGGGGGTTAGATGGGTTGAAGAGGGGGCAAGGAGATCTTGTCAGGTCTAACAAAGGAGTAAAGGAAGCCGATCAAACTTGAGAAGAAACGAGAAATCATCGACCAAACAAAAGAAACCACAAAACACACTCTTGAACCAAGAATCCCGCATCCACACCTTCGCCCCCTCATCCTCCACACCCCCAGCCACCCTCATGAAAAATGCATACCCCACCACCTCCCCACCATCACCATCGACAACAACAAACCCATGACAGCCCGGCCGAACCAGACGTGCGCGTAAGCTGTTGATGCGGCTGCGGCGATAGTCCTGCGGGTACTGCTTTAGGCCCGGGTGTAGCCAGTGGTAGAGTTTGTCGTCGGTGTAGGCGGTGTAGGAGATTGTGGCGATTTGGGGGATGTCGGTGTGGAGGAGGGGGCGGGTGTGCATTTTGGGGGTGGGGGTTTTGAAGGTATGGTGGGGGAAGCGTTGGGGGGGGGGGGATTGTGGATTGTGTGGTGGTGCGGTGGTGTTTGGGTGGGTGGAGTTGTGGGGTGGTTTGTTTTGAGGAGTGTGTTGTGGGTGAGAGGGTTACCGGTACTGGTAATGAGTTGCTGGATTTTACGAGGTTTGATCTGGCCATCACTGCTAGGCTATCAAAGAGATGTCTATATGCAGAGCAGGTACACCCAAGTAATAAGCACCACTGATGATTCCTCATGTTCAACATGCAATAGCATTCGATCCTACTACTCTCCATGACTCCTGGCTCCAGTATTTACAGTTGATGATTGAGGTCGAGGTTGCAACATCAGCTCACTCGCTAGACTCGAAACAGCATGGGGCGATGACGCTCCCACTTCCAACCCATTCCCAGCCATCAACGACATGCCCTAACATTGACTACTATGGCTGCAATGCACCCAACAGCCGGCCATCGGCTGGACATCTCACATCTCACAACATAGATCTATCAACCCGAATAGCCTCCAGTCCGCTCTTGGTCTCTCCATTCATCCCCTCCTTACTCGGCCTGCGACTATCACGGTCAACAAACACATGAATGAATTCACCCACTGCCCTGACATGCTCATCCCCCTGCGCAAAGACGCCAATCTCATAGGTGACCGAGCTTTTACCCAGCTTATTGACCCTCAGCGCGAGATCTACAACGGCTGGGAACTCAATGGGAGCGAGGTAGTCGCAGTGGGAGTGGACGACGAGGCCAATCTGAGGCGAAGTGGGAGGGTGGAGGGCGCAGTGCTGGATGAGATAGGTGTTTACTATGGAATCAAATAGGTAGTAGTAGACGGAGTTGTTGAGATGGTGGTATTGGTCGTTGTCACTCCTGGCTGGGCGGTTAGTGAGGTGTCGAGACTATAAAGGTATTGACAAAGTAGCGTAGATGAGGTATGTAGGTGTGTGAGCAGTGCACGCTTACCATCGTGTTCGGTACGCAAGCTGAAATTTGTAATCGGTGCGCCGACGCGCTTTCAGTGCTTCCAACGCCATGGCAGAGGCTTCCATGGGAACTTTCTGGATACGGACATAGGGAAGACGCGTCGTCGGCGTGGTAGGCCACTGTATGGCATCTGGCCTAGTTCGTTTGAGCCTCGGCTATTTCCTTTTGGGGACTTTGCCCCCCCCCCACGTCATCCCATCACACCTAGTACCATACTACAGAGAGTTCTGTTACTACTGTATCGAGTGTTCTTTTCTTCTTACCGTGAGCCATGACAACTACAACGGGCGGCGAGAAATAATGCCTGTCAGTTGCTTGGCCATGTTGACAAACCAGAGACACGCGTAATTGGCAAAGTTCTCGACACAACTGGTAGCGTTAGGTATCAACCGTACCCGGGATCAAACTCAAACCCCCCCACCAGAAAATAAAAATGACCAGCCTTGAAGGTTGAATGACATAGCACAACGTTGGCCGCCCGCGCGCAGTTCTGGCTCCCTCTCCGCGCATCCTCGCATATCTCGCAGCCAAAGGGCGCTTGCCCGTTCCAAAGACTTCCATGGCCCTTGTGCCTTCCTCCCCGCGCGACAAGTATCCGCCCCTGCCCGACGACGATTTCCCATGGAAGGAGCCACCCGCAGTCGTCATCACGCCCTGTGACCCCTGGCCACCGCCATACTACCTCGAGGACGGGCTGAGAAAAGTGAAGCCCTATCACTTCACCTACAATACCTACTGCAAGCAAAGATGGCGCGGCAGGGAGATTCTGGAGATTTTCGCCGACGAGTTTCGCGACCGGCCCAAGGAATACTATGAACAGGCCATCAAGGACGGCCGCGTCGTCGTCAACGGAAAGCCAGTACCGAGTACGAGCACGATGATCAAGAACGGCGATGTGATTTCCCACACGTTACATCGACACGAACCGCCATGCACGGCACAACCGATTGGCATTGTCCACGAAGACAATGACCTGATTGTCATCAACAAGCCCGCAGGCATGCCCGTGCATCCTGCTGGCCGGTACAACTTCAATTCCATTATTGAAATCATGCGTGCGGACAGAGGATACAACTGGAACCCATTGCCGTGCAACAGGCTGGACAGGCTGACAAGCGGCATCATGTTTATTGGCAAGCACCGCAAGGCAGCCGAGCACATGAGCGCGCAGATTCGGGGCCGCACAGTCAAGAAGGAGTACATTACCCGCGTCGTCGGCGAATTCCCAGAGGGCGAGGTCGTCTGCGAGAAGCCGATTCTGCAAATCAGCCCCAAACTCGGGCTCAACCGCGTGCGCGCCGATGGCAAGGAAGCCTTTACTGTCTTCAAGCGGCTTGCGTACTACCCGCCCAAGGAAGAGGAAGCTCCACCCGAGAAAGATGCTAGGGGCAAGGCGGACTCGGATGGGCAGCCCTGGAAGCGATTGCGCGGATATTCCATTGTGCGTTGCTTCCCCGTCACAGGCCGAACACACCAGCTACGGGTGCATCTCCAGTTCCTCGGCCACCCCATCTCCAACGACCCCATCTACGCCAACCAGCGCGTCTTTGGCCCCTCTCTCGGCCGCGGCCAGTGCGAGTCGGAAAACGACGAAGACATCATGGCGCGCCTCAGCCGCATGGGCAAGGAAGACGTCGCAGACGCCGTCGCCTACCACGACGAGCTCGTCGATGCCTACAACAAGAAGAAGGCCGAGCGGCGGACGGGCGAGAAATGCAGCATCTGCGACACGGATCTGTACAGCGATCCCGGCGCTCACGAACTCGGCATCTACCTGCATGCGCGCAGATATCGGTGTGAGGAGGGCAAGTGGGACTATCAGACTGGCTTGCCGGACTGGGCGCTGCCGCCGCCGGGCTACCAAGGGCCGAGGGAGGGGACGGAGGAGAGTGATCCTCTGGCGGTGGATTTGGCCAAACTGGGGCTCAAACATGTGTCTGCCGAGGCGGACAAGGAGGCGTAGGTTGTCGGCATTGCTTCTTTTTGTAAGAAGCCAAGATGGTGTACTGTAGAGTAGAGTACTGGTACCTGTTATGGATGGATGATGGATACCCATGATGGAAATATCACGTGACTTGAACACCTGGCACCTGGCACCTGTCTCCTTATACTAGTACTAAGTTAGTAGCCGGCGGTACAAGTACAAACAAGTAGCGGGCGGGCGGGTATGTGCAAGTACAGTACCTAGCGCATCCTTTCCTTGGCCCCCCCCCCCCCCACGCCCTTCGGGTTTTTTTTTTTCCGTCCACGTTTTTGACACCTTTGGGCGCTGCTTGTTTGTATTTTTTTTGCATTCCCCAGTTTGAACACGCTAACAAGGTTCCACCTGGACCTTTCCCCCCCCCCCCCCCTTCGCAGCAGACTACCAGCAGAACTACTCACCGCTACTATCTTATCGTACCGTACCGTACATCCTTGGGAATCCTCTTACTTTTTTCTGAAAAGAAGAAGAAAATTGCAATCGTGCCTGGCTTTAATTGGTTGTCCAGGGAAAAGTGAGTTGTGCATAGCTTTGATCCTGCATACCGGTTCGCCAAGTGGGATTGGGGTCAAGTTGGGAAGTTGGCGAGTTGGAATTGAGCTACATCTCATTGCAAAAAGAGTTTACAATCAAGATACGGTAGACGACGATGCGCGTCGCAGGCTTCTTGGCTCCGCTGGTGTTTGCCGCCACGGCCGCGGCTCAGGCTGTCGAGGAGGGCATTGCGCCGGCTTCGGGACCGCCAGAGGGATGCAAGACGACGGTCGAGGGGCGCTTTATGATCGGGACCCTGGAGAACCCGAGTCTGAGCAAGCGCGAGACGGCACAGGAGGTATGTGGTCATCTTGGATGAGTTCTCTATTCCCCCTTCTCCTTCTCTCTCCATCAAGTCTTTTCTCTCCACGCTCTCCAGACCCGATGCTCATACAAGACACTAGGCTGCTGATGGCCAACTACTCTGCACACTCAAGGACGGCATCCTACACGACCAGTACAAGCGCACCGGCTCCGTGGTTGCAAATCGTCAGTTCCAATTCGACGGCCCGCCCCAGGCTGGCGCCATCTACACGGGCGGCTTCTCCGTCTGCAGCAACGGCTCGCTCGCGATTGGAGGCTCCACCCGCTGGTGGAGGTGCATGAGCGGCGAGTTTGGCAATCTGTACGACGAATGGATTGGCGCACAGTGCCATGAAATAAGGATCCAGACCATTTTCCCCGACGCCTCTTCGTCGTCCAGTCCGGCCGCTTCCACGTCCAAGCCGGCTACAGCCAGCGATGCTTCGTCGCGCGTGTCGGCTTCTGCGTCACCCACGGACACAACCACCTCAATGGCTACGCAATCAGAGGGCGCTTCGACCATCAATGGAACCCTCTCTGGCTCGTCTGCACCCACTGCCTTTTCCACCGCCTCGCCCTTCTCCCCCACCGCCTCCCCAACCAACAGCGGATCCACGCCCTCTGGTACCGCCTCCGGAACCGGAGCCGTAGATGCCCCTCCAGCCGAAGGCGTAGCCTCAACCCTGTACATGGCAGGAGCCACCTTTGGAGCCACCCTCGTCTTCCTCGGCGCCACGTTTCTTCTCTAAACCAGCGTGGACCACGACTCCGCGGTTTTCCCTTGCCCACGCTCACGCTCACGCTCACGTTCACGTTTTCTTCTTCTTCGCTTCTGGAAATCCCACCGCTTTACTTCGTTTATAAAAGGCCGGGGCGGGGGGGCTTGGTGTACGCCATCCATCGTTACCACGCTTGATGCATTTGTACAATGGAGGGGTCTTTTTTTGCATGAGGGGAGATTGGGTGTAATGCGATACATGATTCTGGATTAGCCCTTTGCGTTGGGGTTTGTTTTTGGGCACTTTGCACTTTACGTTTGGGGTTCTTTGTTCTTCTTGAGAGAAGGGGCTGAGCGGGGAGGATTGCTCAGGGGGTTCCGTTTGGACTACGGATTGCCGTGCATACCATTCTAGAAGCAATGCCTGTTGTAGATGCAGGATAATGATAATACATTTTGCGCGCCATGACATGGCTACCTCCAGTCAAGCCAAGCTAATACGTGCGATTCCATCTACCAGATGTCTAGTAAATATACAACAACCTAGCCCCAACCGCCTCCCATCTCAAAACTCACCCCCCCCCCCCCCCCCAACATCCTCCTCATCCGCCCCAACACCTCCCTATACCCCCTCCACCTCCCCACCGCCTCCTCCACCGCCTCCCTAACCCCCTCCCCCCACGCCACCGGATCCCTCTCAAGACCGTGAAACCGGGGTCCAAAGGACAGACACCGACCCTCCCACTGCTGCCGCCCGGGAACCCCAAACCGGGACCTAAAGGCGGCAAATGCTGCGTCGACGAGGTCGAGGTCGTGTGTCATGGCGGCGTAGTCGGCGGCGAGATGGCGGAGGTGGGCTAGCTGGGTGGGGGAGATGGCGGCGTGGCGGCGGAGGAGGAGGAGGGTTGGTAGGGAGGTGGGGTCTGTGGGGAGGGGTGAGGGGGAGGGGGATTGGCATGTTGGGGGTGAGGTTGGGAGTTTGGAGGGATGGGGGGGTAGGGTGATTTGTTTGTTGGTGGGTTTGAGGCCGGCTTGGAGGCGTTTGTTGCGGAGGAAGCGTAGGCTATCGGCGAGCGGGGAGATTGTTGATGTGGGATTTTGTGCTCGTTGCTAACGGGGGAGAGCGGGATGTGAGATGACTTCTGATCTTGACGGAGGAGTCAAGCGGGAAATGGGGAACCTAGGGCCACGAACCTCGTGGACCAGACGCCGAAGACAACCTTCGTTCCTAAGAAACCCAACCATCATATCCCGCCACGCCACCCTAATCTCCCCGCGCCCCAAACTAAACGCAAAGAAAAACGGCATCCGTCCAGTCTGAAGCGGAAACGCCAGATCAAAAACCCCATGCCCGAGTCGAACACACCATCTCAACGAGCCAACCCCCTCATCCCCAACCAAAAGCTCCAACCTATGCAACGCCCGCCACCACAGCGCCGGCGCATCATGAGCCTCGAGATGCTCGGCCAAGCGAAGCGTCTCAAAGTCGCGAAACCACTGTTCTTCGACCCGGAAGACGGCGTGGTGAGCGCTCCACACGGGCTTTGCACCCCGCGCCTCGGCATCCTGGGTGCTGTGCTGCATGTGCGAAAAGTGCGCGCGCAGCAGGTGGAGGGCGTCGTATTCAGCGTCTGTGAGGCAGAGCATGGGTTTTGCGGTTTGGGGGCCGAGATAGCCGAGTAGTTGGGTGTTGTGGAGGTGGTGGTGGAGTATGTGGTTGTTGATTTCATTGTGGAAGGTGCGGCATACGAGACGCCAGTCGAGGAGGTGGTCGATGGGTACGTGTTGGATGATTTGGAGGATGAGTTCTGTGGGTAGGTGGGTGATGGGTGGGGATGTATGCGAGGGTTGGCTGTAGTTGGTGGAGGTTTGGGGTGCGGTGGTGGAGTTGGGATTGGGGTTGGGGTTTGGGTTTACGGGGTCGGGTCGGGGGGTTGGGGTGTCAGTGGTGAAGGCTGGTGCAGTGTGGTTCATGGTGGCGATGTGGGGTTATTGAGAAGGTGAGTTTGTTGACAGTACCGTACCTGTAGGGTAAAGAGTAGTGAATGGAGAAGAACAATTCACTGTGAATTCCATCGACTACGTGGTATCGGCTGCTGCATCCCCGTGTTTACCCCAATATGCGCTTGTTTTCTCTATTTAGCGCAGCTTACTGTACCAAAACTGTCCGCCGAGGGAGCAAGATAGAGCTGATATTCGTGCATTTCTGCTGTTCGGCCAATCAGAGGGCCGGCGCTACCGGTAGACCGCGGGATCTCCCGACGCTAGGTAACCCAAGCGATGATCGACGCGCCAACACGTGACTACTTCGACGTCGGCGTTTCAAACTGACTTTGACTGGACTGCCTCAAAATCTAGTCGATATGGATACTTCTCTTAGTCGAGATGGAAGAATTAAGAATCTCTTTTGATCCAAACGTGCTGTTCATCTCCATTCCTACATGACATGGGCAATCGTTCAACGTACAACAGCAGTCCTGTGACTCCTGTCCAGACCTTGCATACTCGACGATATCTGATGGTTGAGTAGACACACTAACATAGTACGTACAGTGGGTTTGTATTGTGATTACAGACTGCTTCCCATTCGTCATCTTCGTCAAAGGAATGATGGCAGGAAAGCAGCGCATCGCTCTTGCTACGTTGTGGTGACGGTCCATGTGCGCCGGAAGCATTGAGCAGGTCCGCCATCACCTGCAACTGTCATCCGTGTCTCATTCCATCCTTCATGAGATGGCTGTGAAGATTGTTGCCTTAGTCCAGAGCTAGACGATGAATGTTGCAAGATGGGAAACGACCAGGTTCGCCGCTCCTTTTAGTTGACAAGACCATGGTAGTCGCAGCTCACGAGGCGACCAGGAATTTGGCAATCACCTCTCAACAGATTGAGAAGCAGTCTTTCAGGGTAGTAGCGGCCCATCCATATGACTTCTACCACCAGGCATAGTACACACAGACTCTCACACCAGCCTTGTTGCGAGAGTTCCGAACACTCACTATCGTTATCCCTCGTACGTTTGTCACAACTACCAGCTATCCATTACCCTCTCCACAATGGCAAAAGACGAGCCGCACACAACCATGTTCCATCTCACTTGCAAAATGGGAAAACTTACACTGAAGCTTGCGTGCTCGGCATTCGCTCCCAGCTCAACACAACACAAACGACATGCTCAGGTCTTCGCAGAAGTACGCACTGCAATGGAGGGCCTGGAGAAGCACTTTGCATCTGCAGCTGAAGGAACGGCATCGGCCGCAGCACCTGAAGCACCGGTACCAGAAGACGGCGCTGCGGCAGAAGGCGGTCTAGACGGCAGTGGAGATGTCAAAGGTGGTAGCAGCAATGGAAAACAATCCGACAACACGAGTTCCAGGGCGACAGGCAGGTCGGGCAGAGTGGTCCGCAAGAAGAGAACCTCCCTCACTCACTTGGGAAGGATCGAGGAAGACGTCCAATCGTCAAGCGGTACTCCAAGAGAATCAGTGGCAAACTTGGAAACCGAAAGCATAGCAAGCCCGAGACCCTCACTTATGATCATCCCCCCCACCGCACCGATAACAGGTCCATGGAGCGATGCTACAGCATGGGAGGATAAAGGGAAAGCCACAGCCACCTCGTCAGACCCACCATCGAGACCCCACGACCGAAGTACTCACAGCGCAATCGCCTCTTCCTCAAGTCGTCCAAGGCAAAGAACGCACTCAAACAACGTCCAATTCGTTCTCCCCACCCGCACCCGAAATAACACCTTCCCCACTGCAACACCCGCCCGCGGTCCCAGGAGACCAGTCGCAAACGCCCCCAACCCCAGTGCGTACACCAACCCATCCTATCCCCCCCCCTCCCAACCACAGGAACTAAATTCCACATCGCAGACCCATCCGTCCTATATTCCGAACGCCCAGCAGGAGCAGGCAATACCATTGTAAGACCCGAATCCACACTCGACAGTATGGCCAATTTCGCGCTAGTAGATACCCAGGAGATCATCACTGTAGCTATGGATGTGGCTGAGGGTATGCCGCAGACGCAGAATGTACTGGAACCGGATCCGTGCCAGGAACACGCTATTTCTAATCCGTTGGTTCGGCGGGGGTAGTGATGTGGGTGTATGGGGTATGGATGGTTTTGTTTGAGCATTTGTGTGGTTTGGTTTAGGCAGTATTATGAATTGTGCGTGTTGCTTTTCTTGGGTGGGTTTGTGATGGGGTAGGGTAGGAAGAGGGAGTTGGGTTGGAAGAGAGGTTATTGCACTTGCGATTGATTGCTCAGTTGACAGGTGATGTGTGTGTTTTTGTGTTGCCGTGTTTAAGAATGCCATTGTACCTCTATTGACGAAGCGTGAACAAGGGTTGTATATAAATGGGGGTTCCGTTTCTATATTACTAATTAGGATACTGGATCTATTATTCCTGTGGATATGCCTCGACGACTTCTTGTTTCTACCCATTCTACTAGTTACCCACCCAGCCACCCTCCCAACCCTCACAAAAATCCCAACACAACCCTCCTTGACCCCAACAAGCGCCTCGATCCCATCCTCGACCAAATCCTCCAACGCCATCTTACTCGAAATCATCTTCTCAGGCCTTGATTTCCCTGTACTCTTGTTAGCTAGCTGTCAAGCATGCATGGTACGGAAAGGAGGGGGGTGGGGGGAGAGGAGAGGAGAGGAAGATGATGAGGGCGACATGGGGGGGCAAAGGAAAAGAGAACTCACCGGGAGATGAATAAGTAATGACACACTGCAACATCACCCCTCAACACCCCAAAACAGCCATATAACGCGCCTCGCAGACGACGACGGAGTCGCTGAGCTCGCTGCTGCTGCTCGAGAGCCCGATGAAGCCGCTCGTGTGGCACAGATTTTGTGCGCTGCGGGTGCAGGCGGGGCAGGCGGTGCGGTAGAGGGTGAGGTTGGAGGACGACGTGGTTGCCTGGGCAGAAGGAGAGAGAGGAGGCGACGCCTGGACCGAGTTTGCGAATGGTGCCGGAGAATTCGTGGCCGAGGGTGGAGGGGATCATGGCGTTGGTTATGCTCTGGGGAGTTGTGGATGCGAAAGCCGGGCCGTCGAGGTGATCAGGCAGGGCGGTGCCGCAGATGGCTACGTTGGCCGGGGCGATCTGTTTGTGCTTTTCGTGAGTTGTGTGGGCGGTGGGATGTATGCAGTGTGTTGGGAAGAAAGAGTCCGAGTCCAAGAGAAAGAAAAACATACTCTGATCTGTCCCGTGCCGCATTCCCGTTTGTCCACATTCTGAATCCGTATCGCGTCTTTGCCATGGTATCCTGCCGCACGCATGTCGAAGCGGTGCTTTGAAGTCGCGGACTAGCTCGTTCAGCGGACGCAGATGTATCCGTGTCTGTGTCTGTGTCGCGAGTGACCATGCTGTTCATGTAGGCGCTTTCGATGGCAGACATGGCTACGTCCGAAACGAATGAAGTCTGCCTGAGTTACCGTATCCCAGATGGCTGGCCGAGTGGCCAAAAGAATAAATCGACAATTTTCCCGGGAGCAATGTGAAAAAAAAATAAAATCTACAACCTGTACCGGTACGGTAGGTATGCCTCGCCTGATATCATGTAAACACAGACTATAATCTCACAACGCCTACTTATCAAGCCCAAACGTAACCCAAGCCAAATACCCACGTCGGCGGCGGCGAACCTCGGAAGCGGCAGCGAAGAAAGCCGGGGAAGAGGCATCCCGAACATTCCTTGGGACCGGATGGCTGGTCTTGGGGGACACCTGCAGTATGACGCTGGCGGCGAGTTGGGTGTGCGTATAAGCTTTGCGGGGTTGTGGGGTACCGGTAGCGTGAGGATGGATACCCGGATTTGGCCGATTCCAAGAATCTGGCGAGGTTGGTGTTTTGCGTATCGAACCGAATATGTGCCGTTGTTTCAACGGATATTCCTTGCTTGGAAAGTAGTTGCGTTGAGGTATTGTGGTGCGGCGGGGTTATCGCTTCACTTCTGTGTTGCGGTCTGCAGTTTGCAACTTCTGTGGTCGAAGCCAAGTACACATTGAGACTGGATGAGTAGCTCACAGGAGCAGTAGGCAGAGAACTGATCCAATGTGTCATTATTCTTCAAAGGGAACTCAATCCCACATATCTCGTGCAAATCTACGACTTGAACCTATCCAGTACTTCTGCAATCTTTTCCCGTACACCCTGCTTGCCCTCGTACTTCTCGAGCAAACTCGCGACAACGTCCTCGCTCTTCTTTCCACTGGCTTCCCTCAAGATCTCATCCTCCTTGGGTAGCCCGATCCATGAATGCGGATACTCTGTGTAATCTGTCTGGCTGATCAGGGGTAACGGACCATATTGGCCTGGATTGAAGAATGCCTCGACGTCTTTCCTCTTGACATCATCGAGTGTGCTTGGGTTCCAATTGGGACGCTCCTTCTTACGCTCAATCAGCCGTGCGGTAACGCCCTCGATGAAATCCCCATGCGACATGAATTGCGTTGCAATATCGTATTCGCGCTGGAAAGTTTGCGCAATAGACCATTGACGACCGACGCGCATTTGTTGTAGGGTAACGGCTACCGAAATGGGAGACCGGCTGTGGATCGTTTGGATAGTCCTGTCTGCCCACTTTTGAAGGGCTGGCGCACTGGCATCGCTCTTGACATCCTCAAGAGATTGTATGATTGCTTTGATGCTTGGCTGATCCACGTGGAATACGCGGTCAATGGTCTTGCGCAGTGCGCCAGACATGGTGGGCTTATCGGCTGGCAAACCTGTGCTGTACTCTTCGATGGTGGCGTTGATGATCTTGAAGCGCTCTTGCAGGGGCATGTAGTCGGGGAATTGGAGTTCGGCGAGACGCGATTCGAGTTGCTGCAAAGTCGAAGAGTGGATGTAGTGTGTGCCTACGCCGGCGTAGAAGGCATCGACGCCCTTGAGCTGTTCCGATGTAAGGGCGAGGTATGTGCCTAGGGAGCCCTCCATCCGGGGTAGGAAGAAGGATGCGCCGACATCAGGGAAGAAGCCAATGGTGGTCTCGGGCATGGCGAAGAGCGTGTTCTCGGTGGCGATGCGGAAGGGCGCGTGAATGGAAAGGCCCACGCCACCACCCATTGTGATGCCATCCATAAAGGCCACGTAGGGCTTCGTGTAGGTCGCAATCAGGTGGTCTAGCTTGTATTCGAGCCCAAAGTAGTCTGCACTTCTTTGCTGTCCTTCAGGACCCTCCTGATTCCACTTGGCCAACGCTGCGACATCCCCACCAGCGCAGAAAGCTCGTCCTGAGCCCTTGATGACCACGACGCCTGCCATGTCCGACTTGGCCCATTCCTGCAGCCTGGGAATGATCTTGCGAGCCATGGAGCCATTGAGCGAGTTTAGCTTCTTGGGGCGATTGAGTTCGATACTGCGGACGCCGTAGTTGTTGGTGAAGATGACATCATCGGGATCGTCGTCTTGTTGCGCCTTGAGGAGGTCTGCTGTAGGAGTGGCATACTATCATGGGTCAGAATCAGTTTTGGTGCTGACATAGAGGGGTGGTGGTCGAACCTTGCGTGACCCGCTCATCCAAGCGGGGTGTGTGATGTTTGCGCGCAGAGGCATGCTTCTTGTCGTCTGTACTCGCGAGCCCCAGCTCAGCGGCGTCCTTGCTATTGTGCGGAGCGACATGTGTAGTCGTCGGGGTCAGCGCAAAGCAAAAAAAAAGGTGATGGCAGCTTTGTTATGGAAGCTATAGAAACAGACGCCAACTGAAGCCTCGGGTATCCCAATCGAGTGTACCGGTAGTGGGTGCTGGACGGGCAATTGGGCGTGTTGCCGTGAGCTGTTGGTATCAATTGCTGCTGCTTCTTTTGGGTTGAGAGTTTATTATTCAACGCGAATCGAATGACCGTCTGGCCAAGGCATAGGTAAGATCTTGAAGTGAAATTCAATGGGAGAGGTGCCCCCCAGTTCATCTTCTCTCGATTGACTCGGACAAGCCGTTCCCATCCCGCGCACATGATTGGCCGGTGCAGAGACGTCAGCACATCTCGCGCTAAGAAAATGATTTGAGCCTCTCCCAAGTCTCCATACGAACAAATCGCCATCAAGCCAATCGCCCTCCTCCTCCTCCTCCTCCCCCCGTGCCTGTTGTCGGCGCTTGTACTGTACAGCACAACATGTCGTCTTTTTCAAGAGTTTTCCTGCGCACCTCGCGCTCTGCCCTGCAGTACCAGCGTGGCGTCAGTCCAGTGCAGAATGCTTTGGGTGCACAGGGAACCAGCCGATGGATGAACGGCGTGCGGAACTATGCGGCCTTCACCCGAGACAAGCCTCACGTCAACGTTGGTATGTCCTGCATGATTACGGCCTCTTCTTCTGTCCATGCCATGCTAACAATTGAACACAGGCACCATTGGTCACGTTGATCACGGAAAGGTAGATACACCGCCCGACCCCACCTCCACCACCCGCACGAGGTGGTAGTCAAGTTGTGCATGTGGACATGGACGAGCATGAGACTGACGGCAGATACACAGACAACCCTCACAGCCGCCATCACCAAACGCCAGGCCGAAAAGGGCTACGCAAAGTTCCTCGAATATGGCTCCATTGATAAAGCGCCTGAAGAGCGCAAGCGCGGTATCACCATTGCCACCGCTCACATCGAGTACTCGACCGACGCCCGCCATTACGCCCACGTCGACTGCCCTGGTCATGCTGATTACATCAAGAACATGATCACAGGTGCCGCCAACATGGACGGCGCCATCATTGTCGTAGCCGCCTCGGATGGTCAGATGCCCCAGACCCGTGAGCACTTGCTGCTCGCCCGTCAGGTCGGTGTTCAGAAGATTGTCGTCTTTGTCAACAAGGTGGACGCCATTGAGGACAAGGAGATGTTGGAGCTTGTCGAAATGGAGATGCGCGAACTGCTCAGCAGCTACGGCTTCGAGGGTGACGAGACGCCCATCATCATGGGTTCGGCTCTGTGCGCCCTCGAGGGCAGACAGCCCGAGATTGGCGAGCAAAAGATTGATGAGCTGCTCCAGGCTGTCGACACCTGGATCCCCACGCCCGTCCGTGAAACCGACAAGCCCTTCCTGATGGCTGTTGAGGATGTCTTCTCCATTGCTGGACGTGGTACCGTCGTCTCTGGTCGTGTCGAGCGTGGTATTCTCAAGAAAGATGCCGAAGTCGAGCTTGTTGGCAAGGGTACCGCGCCCATCCGAACCAAGGTCACCGACATCGAGACGTTCAAGAAGTCTTGCGACGAATCCCGTGCGGGTGACAACTCTGGTCTCCTTCTCCGTGGTGTCAAGCGCGATGATATCAAGCGTGGCATGGTCGTCTCTGTTCCTGGACAGGTCAAGGCACACAAGAAGTTCCTCGTCTCCATGTACGTCTTGAACAAGGAGGAGGGCGGTCGCCACACTGGTTTCGGCGAGAACTACAGGCCACAGATGTTCATTCGAACTGCTGATGAGTCATGTGCATTGAACTGGCCCGAAGGCACCGCAGATGCTCACGACAAGTTGGTCATGCCCGGTGACAACGTCGAGATGGTCTGCGAGCTCCACCAGCCTCATGTCCTGGAGCCTGGCCAGCGCTTCAACATGCGTGAGGGTGGTCGCACTGTTGCCACTGGTCTCGTAACTCGTGTCTTGGAGTAGAGGATGGTGTGGAAGCACGTGAAACATGGAAGAAATAGGGAGTACGGCAATGAACATACCCAAATGTAAGATCTAATGGGAGGATTTCCTTGTACAATACTTGCTGTGCTTACTGGCATATCTACGCTCTCCGCTTTCTCGGTTGATGAATGTACTTTAGCATGGCAAAATGGGCTCCTAGATGGCAGGCGTTGAGTTGATCCTGCAATGGTTGGAATGGAGAAATGAAATGCAACGACCAGTTTAATCACTTCTCCAGCCCCGGTCCCGGTCAGCACTACTGACGGCGCTTGACTCATGTAATACTGTCTCTATCGCACTCAAACACTGTCCGAAATAAGTAAGCGATCGAACGTTGTGGCGGATCTCCCAGCACGGGCGGCCGGGTCAATGACAGGCATCATGTATGGCTTGCAGCTTGCAGGGCCGGAGAGACCGTGATTGACATGCACCACGGTTTGTGGTGCAGAGCTCGTGTTAGTATTACATGTTCGCCGACCGAGAGTAAAGGCTGACGCAAAATCCAAGCCTTGTACGCAAGACGCAAGACGAACGCGGCATTGTGCCACGCCTCCGGTCAGAAGTTTACTCATTACTCTTGTCCCTGGACACATTTGCCTGGCTGCCTGGCTGCGCTGCGGGTGGCGTGCATTCGATTTCTCGGGGGTCCATTACCTACCTGCACTCCTCGTCATTGAGCGGGATTTCGAGGCCGTCCACACCGCTGGATGGAGGCGCAGTACTCTGAGCTCACTATAGCAGTGGCCTGTCTTCCTGGCGGTCACAGAGACGGCTACTAGGGATCACCATTGACAATGCAAGGAACAGTAGTACAAGGCAACCATAAGTACGAGGGCCAAGCTGACACAAGCGAACACGAACACGCGGGGGTCTTGGGGGAATCAACTTGCACCACCCTCAGTCGCGTGCACAGTACCATCACCGTCCCATCCTACTTCGCATCAGCTTTTTGCGTTATGGAAACAGGCAAAATCTGCCTGACGCGGCTATCGTGGAGATGTTTGACACATCAATCTCACGCCGAGTTCTATGATGCGATTCAGACTCTTGTGTGCCGGCGGCTAACACGAGTCCATTGGCCAATTCGTGGATGTCAGGTTCATGGGGCTGAGTTCAGATACATCAGCCATTGTCCCAATGGGGGTATCATGCGGGCTGTCCGCAGATGATGCGAGGAACTGCACTTCCTCGAAAATAACCTAGTGTGCAGTATGATTCTTGTGGCAGAACGTTTATAGAGGTATTGTGGTAGCTGACCTCGACTGGCCATCTTCACTTTCCATCTGCCATCTATTGCTAATTCAAGCATACCCCGACATACCAAGCAAAATAGGCCTTGATCGAAGCATTTACACCAATTCAAAGTCTACACGCCATCACCATGGCCATACAAGAGTGGGAGCCACTGATCGATCAAAAAGCTGCTGGCTTCGATGAAGCAGAGAATCACCAAAGACCGGCTAGGAGGAGACATGGCCAAGGTTGGCAATCAAGTGGATTTTCTGCTCTTCTTTGCATCTCCGCGCTGTACGGTATCTACAACTTGTGCGGCAGGAGTTTTTCTCAAACGGGAAACCAAGGGCACTTGTACCCGGACAAGATACCAACAACCTTCAATTACACATGCCTTCCTGGGCAATCGTGCTGGCCGAGCACGAATGATTGGATCACATTCAATCGGAGCATTCAAGGTCATTTGAAGGCAACCATCCCGTGGGCTGCACCATGCTACTCTGACCCCTCCAGCAAGGAATGTGAAAATATAGCGAAGCAATACGGTGATGGAGTCTCACGAACGGCACAATACGGCTCGATGGAGTTTCTTGACTGGGAGGCATGTGGCCAGTCACAGTGTGCACTCAACTCGACCAACCCCTTGACACCTGTCTCTGGCACATGTTCATTGGGAAGGCTGTCGACATACTACATCGACGTACGATCACCAGAAGACATCAGCAAAACACTGCAATTTGCTCAGAAGCATCACATCCGTCTTTCGATAAAGAATACCGGTCATGACTACTTTGGCAGATCTAGTGTAGCCAACTCACTAGCCCTATGGACACACAACCTCAAGGATACGAGATATCACAAGACTTTCCAACCAAAGGGATGCTTAGCACGTTACGAGAACGTTGGCGAAATCGGTGCTGGAGTACTAGCACAAGAGGCCTGGAGATTTTTCGAGCCCCTTGGCATGCTTGTTACCGTAGGTGCTATCGGCTCCGTTGGCCTTGCCGGAGGTTTCGGGCAAGGAGGTGGCCATGGCCCATTGGGTCCGGCCTACGGACTCATGGTTGATCAGGCAGTAGAGTTTGAGGTCGTCACAGCCGATGGACAACAACGCACCATCAATGAGTGCAATGATCCAGATCTGTTTTGGGCGATGCGTGGAGGTGGAGGTGGCAACTACGCTGTGCTCACGTCCTACAAATTCCAACTCCACCCATCGGTACCACTCAATGTCTACAGCTTCCAGGCTCATTGGCCCAGGCCCAAAGACATTACAGAGTCAAAGGTTCTCCGTGATACTGTCAGAGCGCTGGCCTCGAATCAGACTCTCTTTGCGGATCACGGTGTTGCGGGCTACAACTTTGTTCATCCCGATCACATAATTTCGCTACAAATCCTGCCTTCCAGCGATACCGAAGCAATCAAGAAGGTTACATCGCAATGGCACGACTTTCTCACCAACCATCCCCAACTCAATGCTACAGAGAATACCTACTACACCTTTGATACCTTCTCTAAATGGCACAAATTCACCGAGACGCCTGAGATTTCCCGTAACGGTCCCGTCGGTCTTGGACTCATGGAGGCTGGCCGATTCATCCCCCGGGATCTTTTTGCATCTTCGAATGATATTGAACAGCTCACCGACGCCGTCCTCACCGCAATGCAGTTTTCCTACACAAACAAGGGTGGCGGAAGCGTGCAATTATATGCGACGGGCCCGACCAATCAACCTGACAACAGCAAGACTGGCGTCAACCCAGCTTGGAGGGATGCACTCTGGGAAGTCATCATGGGTGCAGCGTGGACTAGCAAAGACTCGCGACAGGCCAGAACTCTAATCCAAAACACCGTCTCCGCTTCAATCCAACCATTCAAAGCCTTGACACCTGGTGGCGGTTGCTACATGAATGAAGGTGATTGGACTGAAGAAAACTGGCAGCAAACATTCTTCGGTACAAATTACGACAAGCTCCTGACAGTGAAGAGGAAATATGATCCTACGGGTCTCTTCAACTGCTGGAAATGCGTGGGGTGGACAGGCTACGCTGAGTAAGAGCTTCGAAAGTGAGATCGTAACACAAAGCTAATAGGTGGCAGCCCAATGTACTCTTGTTACACACAGAGTCGGAAAGAGCCGAATCCGTCGGTGCCTCTTGATCCCGTCAACTAAATCATGTGCTTTTATACGATATCATATTACTTCTGATTGTGAGATTCTTGTCACATTCTCTTACCGGTTCTGAAGCTTGCTATCCATTTACTCATATACTCATATTGTACTCATATCCCCGCGTTTGGCAAGTTACGTTGCCCTCCCTATCTTTCCGTAGTCATTCTCTAGGCGGCACAGCTCGGAGCTCACAGTGCCCTTTACAAGAGTCACGCTCTTTACAAGGCATCTAGAACCCAACTGTGGTTCATCTGTCACACTGTCGCCCTCATTTCCCTACGTCATCTAGCAATGAAGCGCTACTCTCAGTTGGTAAACAAGGCTCAGTACAGGCAGCAAGATGACGCTACGAGCGTTTGCACTGGTTGTAATCAAAATTGCAATCAACAGAGGCACCCACGCCCGCTCAGACGTATATTTTCCATCATAGAGGCGGTATTACCCCTCCTCGCCTTGTTTATAAGTCACCTTCACGTCCCCAACGCTGGCTCAACAAAACCATCCTGCGTCAATACGAACATAGCAAATACAACAAGCGAATTTTGCACCCACGATCCTTCGACACGTGCACACAAATATTCGCTAACTTGCCTATCACCTCAAGCTCTATAAGCCATCTTCATTTCAATCAAGTTATATCACCTTAAGCCTCTCTACAAGCAATCTTCATTTCAGTCAAGTCAAAAAAGCGACTACATCATCGAAGATGCGTTACGCCTTCAGTACTGCGGGTGTTCTGTGTCTGCCTCTGCTTGCAAGTGCACAACATGCTCGACACGGTCACGTTGCGGCTCATGATCACGGTCTCCATCATCGCGATCTTGAAGCCGGGGTCGTCACCGCCACGGAGGTCGTCTATGTGACCGTAACTGTCACCGCTCCCGTTGCGTCAACTTCGTCAACATCTATGGTAACTCTTCACTGAATATTCGACACCTTGACATGCACTGAACATAACAGTCGCCTACAACATCAAGCGATGTACCCTCAATTGCCGCACCAGCCACTGGCGGCTCGTCTTTCCACGAGCTCAAGCCTGTGCCTGGCTCCGTGTCAGTCAAGAACTCGTGTGACTACCCAGTATACATCTGGTCTGTTGGTCACAAGAGCTGCGGAGAGGGCAACGAGTGCCAGCTTATCGCTCCCAATTCGACCTACACAGAAGGGATGCGCACTTGCACTGACGGCGGGATCTCACTGAAGGTGTCCAAGACAAAGAGCGCGGAAAAGCCCATGCAATTCGAGTACAGTGTGTGGGCTATACGAACAACAACAGTCTCTTATGATATATCTTACTTGGACTGTATGGTCGGACAGAAGGGTGCCAAAGATTTGAGCGGGTGTGCAGGTCACGATGGCGGTATACAGGTTGTCGCTGGGGACGCGAGTTGCCCAGACTACCACTGCGCTGCCAATGAATGGTGCGACGTCCAAGCCTACGTCGTCGCCGAGTTCGACTACAAGCCTGGCGCTCCGGTAGGTGCTTGCGCCGTGGAAAAGGGCCTCGCTTTCGAGCTTTGCGCTGGCACGTAGGTGGTTGAGAAAGCGGTCTACACGACAGACAGCGCACAGTGATGGAGCTGATGTGCGAGAGAAGAGCTGGGAATGAATGCCAATTCTACTACCCCACGGCCAATGAACGGAGGAATGGCGGAGTCATTTTTTCTTGTCTCATTTCCTGAGCTGGTTATTCATACTGGGCATGTCTTGTGTAGTCTTTGGATACACGGAAGCGTCTTGCGCAGATAGCTCAGCCAGCCAATGGGCAGTCGAGTAGAGGCAATCTCCGACAAGGGTGCTGTAACAATACACAGTCAGCAGTCTAGGCTTTATTGGTCTAAATCACATCCTTTTCTGTTCCATGTCGTTTTTTCTTCACACTCTCTCAGGCACACCAATTGTGAATCGTCCTGGCTGCAAGGTACCGTGGTGCTACGCAAGCGCCGCCCGCCACGTGCTGTCATGTTGTTTGTTCCTCTCCTACCGTTCACCGGACTTACTCAAGACACCACACACACTTGACGCGATCTCGCCAACAAAACAGCGACAAGGCCACTAAGTTAATCTCCCGCACTTGGCCATGAGATGCGGCTTGCCAATCGGGTGGCAGCACGAGCAGGATATTCCTGGCTCTGCAGATGCCGCTTACGCAGCCGCGCTACCTCTACGCCTTTTCAGCGCCTGGACCACGACATGGGGATATCTTGGGCGATGGGGGTGAATGCTTACAGCGTGGCTTTGGGGCAGTACCCAGGCCGTCCTCGGTGAGCAAGTTTTGCTCCTAGGCCGCTGTGCCTTGAATAAATATCCAGTCGAGCCGTCGACTTTGGGGCGAAATTCGGCTCTCTTCAGTGCAGTTCATTGTCACTCTTTCGGTCATTCAACGCGCAGTCATTCCTTCAAAGACATTGTTACCCTCCTTTCCACCCACTTCACTCTGCCAAGTCTTGTTTCTCTAGGCACTCCGCTCTTCAAAAAAGAATCTGAAGTATTGCCTCAGCAGTATATTACCATTGCGCGTCGCTACACGAACCACCTTTTCCACAGTGGACTGCTCCATCGCTCGTGCAAACATTCTTTATAGAACTACCTGTACCAGCCATCTTATCTTGTCAAGAAGGAAATTGGCGACATCTCAAGTCAAGAATGATGTTTCTACTCCCAACAATCCTTCTATCTTCCGCCGTGCTGGCAGTACCGCACGGGCACCAGCATCGCCATATCAATATAACCCCCGATCTCAACAAGCTTGTAGATGACGTTGTCGACACTGTCGGTGACGTTGTTGACGATGTCGTAGCCCTGGCTCGCATGTCCAGCGCAGAGGTTGAGGCCATTTACAAGACATGCTGGAATGGCAATATCCCATGGCCGAGCCGCATGCCATCCGCCGATGTACCGCCCCGTCAACTCAACCTCTTCAGCAAGCCAGCGGCCACACCTAACCAACTTACAATCAACAACTACTGCTCTTACCCGATCAACTACATGCACTGGGATGGTAGTGCAACCCCTGTAAAGGGCGTTCTCGATGCCGGAGCCACGCTCAACAGTGGGCTCACTGGAACCGTCTTCAAGGCATCGAAGAAGGCCGACATGAGCAACGAATTGCTCGTCGAGTACAGTGTTACCGGCGGTATGCTGTGGTACAATCTTAGTCTGATTACCTGCATCAAAGGCGAGGACCTCAGCGCATGTGCCGGCCACGAGGGAGGCCTACAGCTCGGCAACACCGAATCCAAGAGTTTCCAATGTGCTGCGAACAGCTGGTGTGATGATCAGGCCTATATATACCAGGTAAGTTAACCCCCCCCTTGATAACTCAGCTAAGCTTCGCTCTCGCTGTAACGGGAACTGACCCATCTCTCTACAGGAAAACCTCTGCAAGAAGGAGAACCCGGTGTCGCAGTGCAACCCTAGCTTGGGCTTGACCATGGAGTTTTGCGCTGGCGCGAAGCCCCAATGATTGTGTCCCCTGTGGATGGAGTCTTTTGACATATTTCACGACTTTGACGTTCTTGTACACATCTTCTTCTTCTTCTTCTTCTCTTCTTCTTCCAACGTTGGACCTGGTAGGTTTACGGGGTGTCAACGTGTCCTTGATCTTGCCTCTTTTGCGTACGCATTTTGGCTTGCGGCTGGGTGATGGGTCACGGCTTTTGTGGTTTAATGGTTCTTTCTTTCTTCGGTGCGTTTGGATATCAAAATCTATCCTCGCTCTTTTGGACAATATTGTTGATTGAAAGACTCGTGATGACTGAATGCAGTGAGGCAGGTCAAGATGAGCATCATGGTAGTCGCGTAAACAATATCTTGACATGAGCTGTAGGAACTGGTGTAGTTGAATGTCAAGTATATTGGCCCAATACTGACCTCGTCACAACTAAGGATCTCTATGCTTTGCCAGCCCTATGCACACCGCTCTTTCCACCAGCCATAAACTCTTCTACAACAATGTACAATCATCACCTGAGAGATCACCAGATATACCACGCACTGATTCCACGCCTCGACAACTCTGCGCAAGAAGCGCGGATACCGATACCGGTAAGCCCGTGGCGAAATAAATTTCAAAGCTACCCGGACCATCGCCGACCAACCGACCCCAACCATAACCACAACCACAAAGATACAAATCAGATACATGTAATGCCACCTCCAACCCTCACTCTCTTCCAACCCACCACCCCTTTCTTTCCTAAAGACTTTCTAAAAAAAATGAGCACACCGTGTTCACGACGCACCATACCACGTCCCCAATGCTCAGACACGCCGGCCAACACCACAGTGCAACGAGAAGCGAGAGCGAGTGAGAAGGAGCCAGCGTTGCCAAAATGGTTGATATCCTCTGAGCGACGAGGTTGGCGACGCGTGGTGCAGAATTTCACGCCGTCTTGGGTGCGTATTTGCCCCCTTTGCAAAGAGGTGATGCGGGTGAAGTCGGTTTGAAGAAACGAAGCTGATTGGTTTTTCTTCGGTGAACAGTTTGCTGTTACCATGGGTACGGGCATCGTTGCGGTACTGCTGCATACGCTTTCAGAAGTGTATCCACGGTATGGCGAGAGTTTGAGGCTGCTTGGGATTGTATTTTTTGTGCTGAATGTGTGTTTGTTCGTTGCAATTCTGATAATTTCCGTACTGCGGTATACGCTGTATCCGGCGACGTGGGGATTGATGTTGCGGCATCCGGTGCAGAGTTTGTTTTTGGGTACGGTGCCGATGGGGTTTGCGACGATTGTGAATATGTTTGTGGTTGGTTGTGTGCCGGTTTGGGGTGGGTGGGCGGTGTATGTGGCGTGGGCGATGTGGTGGGTGGATGTGGTGGGTTCTATTGCTTGTTGTTTGTGGTTGCCTTTTCAGATGTAAGTTGGACGGTTTGTGTGGGGTTTCAGTTGTATAAAGGAGAAGAGAGATGGCTAATATACGGCAAAGGATGACGAAGCATCAGAACAAGCACGAGACGATGACGGCAGCATGGCTTCTGCCCATTGTCGCATGTATTGTTGCCGCCGCCTCCGGGGGCGTTGTAGCCTCGATTCTACCAGACGCGAACCACGCACTCATTACGATTCTAACCAGCTACGTGCTCTGGGGCATGGGCGTGCCGCTCGCGTTTGTCGTAATGGCCATGTACTTCCACCGGCTGGCCATCTACAAGCTCCCACCTTCAGAAGTCATCGTCAGCGTTTTCCTCCCTCTCGGACCCATGGGCCAGGGCGGCTACGCAGTCATGCAGCTAGGTGTACAGGCCGCGAGGGTGTTTCCACTAACGGGGACGCTGCATCCCATGGCGGGCGAGATCATGTATGTGCTTGGGTGGGCGAGTGCGATGGTGCTGTGGGGGTTTGGACTGGTGTGGTTGTTCTTTGCGGTTGCGTCGATTGCGCGCACCAGGTTTCCGTTTAATATGGGATGGTGGGGATTTACGTTTCCCATTGGGGTGTTTACCATGTCGACGCTGACTATGGGGTTGGAATTGCCGTCTGCGTTCTTCAGGTATCTTGGGACGGTGAGTTTTTTCTCTTTCAGTCACAGCAGTTGCTTGGTCAACTTAGGTAGGCTGGTCATGTGCTAATGAGTTTTGTAGGTACTTGCTGTTAGTGTCATGTTGCTCTGGTTTATTGTTGCTGGGGGCACGGTGAAGAATATTCACAGCGGGAATCTGTTTGAGGCGCCTTGTTTGCGGGAGATGGAGAGGAAGGCTAGGGCTGAAGGGGCGGAGAGGAGGCCTCAGGAGGCGTGATGGTCATTTTGGGTGGAGATGAGTTTGAGCTGCAACAATGTATTGATATTCTGTGCAGTGTAGAATTAACACTGGATGCTTTTGTTCATGATTGTGTGGTCAGTGTCTTTGTTTTTGGCCATGTGTAGATGACAAGAAATGGAAAAAAGAAATGCAAAAAAAAGACAAGAACAGACAACCAAAACGAATACAACATGATCAGGCCAGGTGTACTACACTGTAGCAGGCAGTCTAGTAGTCGATGGCGGTGATGTGGAATTTGCATCACTCCTTCTTGGCGTGGCGTAGATGAGGCTGCAGCAGGCTCCAGATGAACGCGTAGTCGACGCCAGATCCACTTGCAAGGCCGCCGCGGTCACACAAGGCCGTAGTCGATTGGCTATGACTCTGAGAGAGAGAGAGAGAGAGAGAGAGAGAGAGAAAGAGAGAGAGGCAAAGGGGAGGCGGGTGGATGCAAAGGGACACAGTTACACTAAGGATGTATTGTATTACTATGATGTACCACGTATGATTCAATACCCTACTCTAGAGCGCAGTACTAAGCGTAATAGCATAACTGTGTACTCGGTTGTGCTGCTCGCAAGGCTTATTATCTAAGCGATTTCCAGTGTTTCCAGTGGGTTCCACCGTGGCGCTGAGAGGTTGCCCCGAGCTTGGACCGCCAGATGCCAGCCCAGCTTTGAGCTAAGTCCAATTCACCTCGTCACCGCTATCACCGAACCTCCATCATCTTACTTAAACCATCAACCCCCGGCCAGCCAACACCACTTGCCTATCAAGACCCCCCTCCCCCCTCCCCCCTCCCCCCGGCCTACGCACACATACACTTACACACACCTCCACTCCTCCACTCGCGTAGCTGCAACCACACTCTTTTCCGCTCCACGACAACAACCACCCCGCCACAGCTGCACAGCGTAATAGACCAGAGTAGACAGGCAGAATGTCGGCTGAACCAGACCACACCAAGCCAAAGGTGGATTTGTCAAAGTAGGTTGCTTGCTTGCTTGCTTGCTTGCTTGCTTTTGCCCCGACGATGATGTGGAGAATCACAACAAGAGGAGCCTGAAGAAGAGTCACTGACAGCTCGCAGAGATCCATCAGGCGCTGAACACAAGGAGGCAAGTCATCACCCAGAAAACACGTGGCCCCGCTGCTGGCTCTCATACTGACCCGCCACAGCACGACGAGACTGCAACCGCCATTCTCAAGAAGAAGAAGAAGCCAAACTCGCTCATGTCAGTGCAACCAGCAGCCCCCGCCTCCCCCTCCTCTCACCGTGAGTGAACCCACTGACAAAATCCTCGTAGTGTCACCGACGCCGTCAATGATGACAACTCGATCATCGCCCTCTCCAACAACACCATGGAGACGCTCCAGCTCTTCCGTGGCGACACGGTGCTTGTCAAGGGCAAGAAGCGCAAGGACACTGTTCTCATTGTGCTCGCCGACGACGACCTAGATGACGGCTCTGCACGGATAAACCGCGTGGTTCGCCACAACTTGCGAGTCAAGCACGGCGATGTCATCACCATCCACCCGTGCCCAGACATCAAATACGTACGTGTCTTCATCAGCCATGAATTCGCAACACGATCTAACAGATACACAGGCCAAGCGTATCGCGGTTCTCCCCATTGCCGACACGGTCGAGGGCATCACGGGCTCATTATTCGACGTCTTCCTCGCCCCATACTTCCGCGAGGCCTACCGACCCGTCCGCCAGGGCGACACATTCACAGCTCGCGGCGGTATGCGACAAGTCGAGTTCAAGGTCGTAGAGGTGGACCCACCAGAGTTTGGCATTGTCGCACAAGATACTGTCATCCACTGCGAAGGCGAGCCGATCCAGCGCGAGGATGAAGAGGGCAACCTCAACGAGGTCGGATACGATGACATTGGTGGCTGCCGCAAGCAAATGGCACAAATTCGTGAGCTCGTCGAGCTGCCCCTGCGGCATCCTCAGCTCTTCAAGTCGATTGGTATCAAACCCCCGCGTGGTATTCTCATGTACGGGCCTCCTGGTACCGGTAAGACACTGATGGCGCGTGCTGTTGCCAACGAGACGGGTGCCTTCTTCTTCCTGATCAACGGTCCCGAGATCATGTCAAAGATGGCTGGTGAGTCGGAATCCAACCTGCGCAAGGCTTTTGAGGAGGCAGAGAAGAACTCCCCCGCCATCATCTTCATCGATGAGATCGACTCGATCGCGCCCAAGCGTGACAAGACCAACGGCGAGGTCGAGCGTCGTGTCGTCTCACAATTGCTCACCCTCATGGACGGAATGAAGGCTCGTTCCAATGTTGTCGTCATGGCCGCCACCAACCGACCCAACTCGATCGACCCTGCCCTTCGTCGTTTCGGACGTTTCGATCGCGAGGTCGACATTGGTATTCCTGACCCTACTGGCCGTCTCGAGATTATGCAGATCCACACCAAGAACATGAAGCTTGCCGACGACGTTGACCTACAGACCATTGCAGCCGAGACTCACGGTTATGTTGGTTCGGATTTGGCATCGCTCTGTTCAGAGGCTGCCATGCAGCAGATTCGTGAGAAGATGGATCTCATTGATTTGGATGAGGACACGATCGACGCCGAGGTGCTCGACTCGCTCGGTGTTACCATGGAGAACTTCCGCTTCGCTCTCGGTGTCTCCAACCCATCTGCTCTCCGCGAAGTCGCCGTTGTCGAGGTTCCCAACGTCCGATGGGAGGACATTGGTGGTCTTGAGGATGTCAAGCGCGAGCTCATCGAGTCCGTCCAGTACCCCGTCGACCACCCCGACAAGTTCCTCAAGTTTGGCATGTCTCCTTCGCGCGGTGTGCTCTTCTACGGTCCTCCTGGTACGGGTAAGACGCTTCTTGCCAAGGCTGTTGCCAACGAGTGCGCGGCCAACTTCATCTCCATCAAGGGTCCCGAGCTGCTTTCCATGTGGTTTGGTGAGTCTGAGAGCAACATTCGTGACATTTTCGACAAGGCGCGTGCAGCTGCACCCTGTGTCGTCTTCCTGGACGAGTTGGATTCGATTGCCAAGTCTCGTGGTGGATCCCAGGGCGATGCCGGTGGTGCTTCGGATCGTGTCGTCAACCAGCTTCTTACCGAGATGGACGGTATGACATCGAAGAAGAATGTCTTCGTCATTGGCGCCACCAACCGTCCCGAGCAGCTCGACAACGCGCTCTGCCGTCCTGGACGTCTTGACACGCTCGTCTACGTTCCCCTGCCCGACCAGGCCTCGCGTGCCAGCATCTTGAAGGCTCAGCTCCGCAAGACTCCTGTCGCGGACGATGTCAACATCGACTTCATCGCCGCCAACACGCACGGCTTCTCTGGTGCCGATCTGGGTTTCGTTACACAGCGCGCTGTGAAGCTCGCCATCAAGCAGTCCATCTCAATAGATATTGAGCGCCGCAAGGCCCGCGAGGCTGCCGGCGAGGATGTGGACATGGAGGACGATGCCGAGGACCCGGTGCCCGTACTGACCAAGGCCCACTTTGAAGAGGCTATGCGCTCCGCTCGTCGTTCCGTCACCGATGTCGAGATTCGCCGGTACGAGGCGTTTGCCCAGTCGATGAAGAACTCTGGCGGCGGCTCCAGCTTCTTCCGCTTCCCCGACGCTGAGCAGGCTGCTGCTGGCGAGGGCAATGCGTTTGGTGCGGCGGCCGAGGATGAGGACCTGTACAACTAGGGAGATATGGAAAAAGGGCTCTATGTTTTGGGACGATGACTAGGAAATGGAAGATTCATATGTGTTAAACGACGTATGGAAAAGGAAATTATAGGTCTGGGATTGGTATCTTGTTTGATTTGATGATTTGATTTGATGTGATCTTCCTGGCCTTGTGTGTGTGTGTGTGTATTCGTCGAAAGATTGAAAGAGTAGAATGATTTGGGAGAAGGGGGTGGATGAATGTAGACTGATGTGATGGAAAGGAAGGGGAAGACCGGGATGCCATGATCTTTACGGATCGTGGATGAGTGTTGACACTGCTACCGCTCTTTGTGAAATAAATCAGGATAATGAAATACCTTGGCCATTGATGTTTACTCTGTATATCTTCATTCTTCTAATCCTAGAAAGATTTGCGCATACTCGATTGTGAGAATCGGCCAAAGTGTAAAAATGAAAAGAATTCTTGTATTCTTGGTGAGTACCGTGTAGACGGTATGTTTTTGTATGTACATCCTTATTTACACTGTATACATTTCCTCGACCATGGTATCTTACATGTACATGCACATGCACACGTCTCCATTATTCGCATGTATTCTACATGCAGATTCTTCATGTCCACAGGAAAGAAAAGACTAGCTCGTCTTGTTCGGTGTGGAGTGTTTAGTCTGTTGCGCTTTGCATGTGTTGCGCTTTGCGTCCATGTGTGTGTGTCTGTCTCTATTTTCAAGCATGGGAATTGGGTCCTCTAGAGTGGGTCTAGCTGCATGTGGGGCATGCGTGTGGGAAGGGGGAGACGTTGGGTATGGTGTAGATTTTGCAGTGGAGTGCTGGAGATGCCCATGCATGGGGCTGTTTGTTTGTATCTCTTCTTTTGGCAGCAGCATGGGAAGTAGGCGTAAGAGGGCACAGATCATCTGTATCTCTTCCTTTTCCGGCAGCATGGGAGGCAGGAGTAAGAGGCTGTGGCGCCACTCACTCTTCATAGGTGATTTCACAAATCTTTTCCAACTCGCGCAAGACGACCTTTGTGCCTTTGGTGACGACCTCCTTTGGAATGTTGAGGTGGACATTCAGACCTTCTCCAGCGGCGTCGTCGGGGTTTGCAGACCCATGATTTGCGTCGTTGCCGTTTGTGGTGGTGGCGGAAGGGTCGAGGTCGGCCATGGCCTCTTTGATCTTTTCAATGGCGAGTTTGTAGGCTTCCTCTGCGGTCGTGGCTTGGCCTGAGCGGAAGAGATGGGTGATGTAGGTCTTGAGGTTGTCGCGGAATCCAGAGCTTCGGAGGCATTCGTCGAGGGTGGCTTCGATGTTGCGGATGCCGGGGCCGGAGAGGAGGGCCGAGTAGATGTTGTTGCGGAGGGAGAGGGAGATGCCGGAGGTGGCCTGGGTGGGGGTGATTTGGACGGCCATGGTGGGCAGGGGGTGTTGGATGGATGGGTAGATGGTTTGTTCGAAAGATTGAGTTTCCTTGTTGGCGCCAGTGGTGTACCGGTGGAGATGGGGGTTATGACGCGAATGGACAAGTGTTGACGATTGGGCCCAACAGACTGATTCTTGGTTTGCACGTGCAGGCTGGCGAGGGGTGAATGAGATGTGACTACGACGACGACGGCTGTGTGTGAGCAAGCTGATAGAGACGAAATAGACCAAAAGAGGATAGATGGCGGGGGACGCGGCAGCTCGAAAGAATGAATTGACTGTGTACCTATGTGCGATGTGTTGCTGGATGGGGATTACGGTGATGATGTGTGGATGGATGGATGGATGGATGGAGTGATCAAGGCGGTGAGCGAGGCGGTACCTGGATGCTTATTCCTCTGTGTGGGCCCGCTACTCCCAATCCGGCTGGCTTCGGGCGCAGGTGGCAAGCTTGCGGCGGTTCTGGGCAGGTGCACGGGCCCCAGTCCCGCATCTAGGCGTCGGGTGCTCTGTTAGCCGCCTGTCCCCTGCCGGATTGGTTGGATTGGCTGGTTTGGCTGGATTGGAAGTCAACTTTTGGCTGTGGTGGGGGCCCTTCTTTCTCTTGTCTCTTGTCTCTTGTCTCTTTCTCTTGTCTCTTGTCTCTTGTCTCTTTCTCTTTCTCTCTCTCTCTCTCTCTCTGTCTCTCTCTCTCTCTCTCTCTGTCTCTCTCTCTCTCTCTCTCTCTGTCTCTCTCTCTTTCCCCCGCCCCCCCCCTAAAAGGAAAAAGGCCGTCTACTAGATGCTGATGGGCTTGGATGCCAAGGTCCCAAAGACGACGTAATCGTGTCATGGCTACTCTAGGTACCTACTTACTACATACTACGGTACACGCTACCCGCATCTACATACCCTCTGCTGTCTATCATCACTGTACATGACAAAGACGTGAATTTTGACACTTGTCGCCCTGAATCTTCCTCTCTGCCTGTGCAGTGTGTGTATACATGTACTCCATTGTCTCGCCTTTCTCTCCTCTCCCCCAACACGGCACGCGGCGCTTCCCCGTCACCATCAGGCCTCGTCGACAACAAAGCTGCAGCGCTTAAGAGTTGGGTTCTGTAGTATTATAGTAAGACGTCCTCCAAACTAGAGTACAAGCACACAAGCGCACACCATAGCCTACCCTGCCTATACCTACCTAGGACCCACCCTTCCCCCTTGGCAGCCGTCGAGCTATCCATCTACACATGTACTGGACGGGACTGGCACAAAGGCAAAGGTAAACTACACTAGGTTCACTTGGAATCTTGGAATGGATTGGATTCCCATCTGAGACTGCGCCTGTCTTTCCCCCCCGCCCTGTCTCTCGCTCTCTCGCCTCGCCCGCCAGCCCAGGCCCACGAAACCACGAAACACGGCCGCTCAATCTCGCTTCGTCTCAAGACAGGGTACCGTGCTCTCCACAAAGCCCAGTCCGACAGCTGCACCCAACCCGCGCCCACACCTTCACCCTCCCTCCGCCCAACGCCACCCCAATCTTTCGCCGCCTGCCCTCGAAACGAGCCCTGCACCCGGCCTTGGCGCCATCGTCCTCGCTCAACTTCCCCAACGCTGCTCGTCAACGCGACCGACTGCGACGTCATCTCTCCCCGCCTTTCGCCATGGCCTACACCACAAAGTACCACGAGGACTCAGACGCCGACGACGAGTTTGAGCGCCAGGGCCTCCACAGCCCGACCCAGCCCGTCGAGTACGAGAGCTCGCCCACCAGCTCAGGCCCGCTGAGCACCGAACACACGCCCACCACCTTTACCCATTCGCGCGACAGCAGAAGCCTCCCGACCGAACACATCATGGAGTGGTCGCCAGACCAGACGGCCGACTTCATTGCCGACTTGGGCTTGGACCAGTACGCCGATACGTTTGTGGGTAAGAGAAGATGCCCTTGTCTCCCTTGCCCACCTAATTACTGCCTCCCCAACACAAAACTACCCGGCTGGGCTAACCATTCCCCCGTGAAAACAGAGGAGGGCATTTCGGGCGATGTATTGGCCGCCCTACAGCACGCTGAGCTCAAGGAAATGGGCGTCGGCAGTGTGGGCCATCGGCTCACCATCCTCAAGGCTGTCTACGAGATCAAGGTGCGGCAGAATGTGCCCATGGAACCCGACGATTATATACCACTGTGTCAGTCTTTTCCCTTTCTCTTCCATCCTCTCCTTCCCCTTCTTCCCCCCTCCCCTTCTTCATCGTCCTCTCTCGCCCACCTGATTCTAATTCGCAACATTAGCTGCCGACACTTCGGCACAGGAAGCCCCACCGACACAGGACGACTTCGCCAAAGTCATACGGGTTGTCCAAGCGCGAGACGAACGGATACACACAGCCGAGTCGGAACTGCGACACCTGCGCGAAGATCTCAGCCGAGTCATGGACGAGAACAAACGGTTGCGCGAAGAGATTCTCCCACTGGTACGGATGCTAAAAGATAGTCAGCCACTGCCCACGCCACACGAACACTCCGTCACCTCCCCACCAGCGACTCAGGAGCGACCTGGCGGAAGCAGCCTGTCGCGTAAGTTCTCCACCAAGAAGCTTTTCCTCGGTTCGGCTCCGAAGAACCCTTCTCCGACCATCCAAGAGCATCGCGCTCTTGTCGATCACGCCTCATTGGATCCCTCCGCCGCAGCCATGGCAGCCTCCTCACATCTCACAGCGTCTCTTGGCAACAGCCAACAAATGTCGCCCAATTCCGTTGCCCAACCCTCGCCCACTTCGCCCGCATATACCCAGGCCCAGAACCGGCAGTACAACCGTGACGTCTCTCGAGCCGGACACGATCACGACAACAACTCGGGCTGGGGTCAAAACAACGCCTGGCCGTCGGACAATGCATCCATGTCGGATCGCAACCGCGATCCTCGTGCTACACCCGCACCATTATCCTCTAGGCCGCTACGAAACAACGCTGCGCCCACAACCAATCCCGAAGATCGGGACCCTCCTAATTCAGCCGGCTCCAATACGCAAAACACCTCGTCCAGCTCGACAGCGCCGCCATCGACGAACCCACAAGTCGAGATATTCAAATCCTTCCGCGTATCCATAGACGACCCCTGCCACAAAGTATTACCTGTTGCGCTCAAAAAGTACAATATTACAGCAGACTGGCGGCAGTACGCCTTGTATATTGTTCACGGTGACCAAGAGCGCTGCCTAGGTCTGAATGAGCGGCCTCTGATTTTGTTCAAGCAGTTGGACAAAGAGGGTCGCAAGCCCATGTTCATGCTTAGAAAGCATGCTGCACCGCAAGAAGGACACGTTAGCACAGTGGGCGGGAATGATGTTCGGCCTGTCAATCCACAGGCAGAGAGCTTTGGGTGGGGGAACCAGAATAGAGGGACGCCATTACCGGGAGGTGTGTTGTAGTGAGAACTTGTACAAGTATGGGATGAAGAGATGATATGGGATGAAGAAGCCATGACTCGGCAAAAAAGGAGAGTCGCAGCAAGGCGCCGTTGGGGTATGAGCAGCGTGCATAGCCACGAATGACTCTCCCAAAAGAAGCCGGACTGGAGAGATCCAGAAGGTTTCAAAAAGGCTCGACGCGAGAAGTCGATTGACCCACGGCCAAGTTGGCCAACGCTTTCCCTTGGATTCAAAATCGCGTTCCTCTCCAAAGAGCCAGACACCGTTCACGAAGCCGCCTGGATTCATACACCTACACGGTTTGGTGGCTAGGGGCAATACACTCCACAAACGCTGCAAAAAATACGAATTTCCAACCAAGCGCGGAGAACAGCAGCGCATTATCAGCACAACCTTGTACAGTCGCAGGATGACTCAGGGATGCCTGCCTACGAGGCCGTGTTGTGAAAAAAAAAACGCAAGTACGAGGGAGGAGTTGTAGTTAATATAAGCCCCCCCACATTTAGTACGCTTTTGTATCGCGCTAAAGGACCAAGGACATGTCAAGGTGAATCGTGACTTGTGCTACGTAATATTTTGCAAACTTCAGTTCGCTGCGGTTGAAAATCCTTTTGAGGATGCCTTTTTAGGATGGCTGAAGCGTAGTGAGTGAGTCACTACCAATGGCGTGATTGTCATAGAGGGGTAGTTTTACTAATGAGTTACGCTAAAGCTATACAAAAAAGCATTGGGACGGGGTACATCAATCGCGCCTAAGCCGGCTTCGAGTCTACTAATCCACCACTCACTTTCTTGCCCTCTAGACGTACATTGTCTTTCCACCAAACATGGCCGGGTCGTTGTCTTCACGAGGAGCCGATGCTACAAAGTCTACCGGAGAACTGAGCGTACGGCCAAACCAAGTCTTCTTGATCCATCCCGTCACTGACTCAATCTTCTTCCCTTAGCAACTATGGGAGATCATCTCGAATCCCTGGCATCCGGAGACCAATCCCACAGGCTACGTTTCCCTAGGAGTGGCCGAGAACATGCTGATGCACAACGAGCTACGCGACTTCATCAACAGCAAGTCTCTTGTCGACCCGCATGGCAAGGCCCTAACCTACGGCGACGGACCATCCGGCTCCAAGCCTTTACTCAATGCTCTCTCGGCCTTTTTGACAAGACACCTCAAGCCCGTTACACCCATTGAACCTGACCACCTCGTCGTCACCAACGGCGTAACCACAACCCTAGAGCACACAGCCTGGGCCTTGACCAACCCCGGCGAAGGCATCCTCCTCGGCCGCCCTTACTACCGCGGTTTCCTCCCAGACCTCCAACTGCGAACGGGTGCCAAAGTCGTGCCCGTCTCCTTTGGCACCACGGATCCATGCGGCCCAGACTGCGTGCCACACTACGAAGCCGCACTGCTGGCATCCAACCGCGCCGGCGTCCCCATTCGCGCCTTACTCCTCTGCCACCCACACAACCCCCTCGGCCGCTGCTACACCCGCCCCACCCTCATCGCCCTCATGGCACTCTGCCAAAAATACGCAATCCACCTCGTCAGCGACGAAATCTACGCCCTCTCCACCTGGGAAAACCCCACCCCTCCCTCCCCAACCATGGACGCGGAACCAGCACCAACAAGCCCACCCTTTGAATCCATCCTCTCCATTCCCCCAACTGACATCATCGCACCCCACCTCCTCCACACCCTCTGGGGCCTCTCAAAAGACTTTGGCGCAAACGGTGTCCGCCTCGCCACTCTCATCTCCCAAGCCAACCCCGCCTTCCTCGCCGCCTGCCGCGCCCCCGCCCTCTTCTCCTCGCCCTCCTCGCTCGCGGAAAACGCGGCGCTGGCGCTGCTGGGCGATGCCGTCTTCGTGGACGGGTATATTGCGGAGAATCGGCGTCGGCTGGGGGCTGCGTATGCGGATGCGGTGGGGCTGTTGGAGCGGCATGGGATCGAGTATATGCCGGGGGCGAATGCGGGGTTTTTCTTGTGGGTGAGGCTTGGGGGGAAGGGTGGGGGCAAAGATGGGGCGCACGGCGCGGAAAGGGAATTGCAGGCTCGGTTGCTGGCGAAGAGGGTGTTTTTGGTGCCGGGGGAGTCGGTGGGTGCGGAGGAGGGGGGCTGGTTTAGGATGGTGTTTTCGCAGCCGAGGGAGTTGGTGGAGGAGGGGTTGAGGCGGGTTAGGGAGTGTGTGGGTTGAAGGGTGGTGGAATTGCAGGTTGTGTGGGGTGGAGTTGGGGGGAGGCTGGTTGTTTTTGAAGAAGACAGGGCTAGATTACGCTTATACTTGATTCTAGATCTGAGGATTCTGGTGAGAAGACTAATGTCTCCATTCACGACTCTGACGCGCCTGCAAATTTTCCCATGGACTTGATGGGAGAGTCCCACTACCCATACCTCCCATGTCCATGCATGTCTCAAATCCCAAATCCAGCTAGCCCATCCCATCCACCCACAAAGCCAGCCAACTTGATGTCACAAAAGAGTAGGATGTAGTAGCATATCTTGGGATGAGAAGAACCAAGCCGTCTATCAGGTCGCATGTTGGCCATGCCCTTGGGGTATCATTGTAGTACTCTGCGTGTCTATATTCCTTCCTCGTTCGTTTTCTGTCTGGTGGAAGAAGCCGTGGACTCTTGTTCTTCCTTTTAGAGTCGGATGTTCTTCCTTCACCATCTAGCCATGGCTTTCTCCAGTAGGCCCTCAAAACAACCCACAACGACCCCTCAAAACGGCTTCGCCGCCTTCCTCCTCTCCGCAACCCCACTAACCGGATCCACAAACTCCCTCCAACTAACCGGGTACATCAACCTCCCCTCCTCACTCCTCGCCAACACAACCCCCAACTCATTCCGCTCCGTGGCCACATAGTAATTACTCTGATCACCCAGGCTAATCACGACCCCACGCACCAAGTCGCCAACGCGAAAGCTCTCCTCCATCTTGATCTTGTCCTTTTCCGTGGCCCGAATGTCTTCGCGGCGGATCTGGCCCTGGAAGGCTTCGCGGCAGACGACGTCGTCGATGACGAGGATGTCGCAGGTTGCGAAGCGTGGGCCTAGACGCGTGATGCGGCAGAGGACAATGGAGGATATGGTGGGGAGGAGGGCGGTGCCGCCGCCGGACGAGGGGCCGAGGATGCCGGGGGAGGAGGTGGGAGGGGGTCGTGCGACGGAGAGTAAGGGTGTGGGGTGTGCTTTTGAGGAGGATGGGGTGGGTGGGTTGTGGGATGGTGGGCTGGAGAGGACGGGGCCGGCGATGGAAGCGTAGATGTTGGACTCGTGGATGTGGGTTCCGGGGCCGGGGAGGTATTTGTCGGTGTGGCCGAGCAGTTGGCCTGGGAGGGCGAGAGAGGGAAGTCCCATTGCGGGGTTTGTGGCGGTGATGGCGATGTTGGACGACGGCGGTCGATAGGTAGGTGAGCAGTTTCAACCCGTCGAGGCAATTTCAGATGCGGAGCGCGTGCAAGTCGTGCGATGTAAAGGGGATTGTGGGCGCAGTGTGTGGTTTTGGTGTGGCAGAAGAAAGTTGGTGATGTCAAGCTCGGAACTTTTTGACGCGGACGAGCTAGCTCGCCTATTCCTGCCCCAGACCGCTTACAACCGCCCAGGCACGATTCCCCTTTCATCTTCATCACCCTCGTATCAACCAAAGCAGACAGCAGTATCCAATATCTCAATAAGACACTATACTACTGTATCAGAAGACCTCCATTATGCCGGGCGCATCTCGCGCACCAGCACGGGAAGCACCCAGCAGTCCGAACTCTCAATACGCGACTTCAAATCGTACAGGCCAGCCCTTGCGCAAGATACAAAGCTACAAGTAAACGCCAGGTTGTGAACCATCCGTATATGTAGAGTAGCACATTTTTTGCTCCAATCGCCAAGCGTCATGCATGCCCACGCAAGAAAATCATCAAAGTCATTCGCTCATGGTAACGTTCCGGGAGAAGGTCGGTCCGGTCTGTCCTTTGGGGACGAGGGCTTTGTGCGTCACCTCTGTCTTGGGTCTGACTCTGCGGTCCGGCGACTAGACGGATTGATAGAGGAGAAGTGGCTCGCCGACGTTTTCTATCTCTGGGATGGTGCACTTGAGATCAAAGGCTTTTGAAAGTACAATCTTGAAGATCTAGCCACAGTTAGTCCCTGACTGTTTGCTTCCGAAGATACTGCATGCCTTCTGTACGTTGATGCTATGGCTGGTACTGCTGAAGATCAGACTGGCCTTCATTGCCCTCGCAAATCGCCGCGCCTGTTGGAAATCAGTAGGGTGTGGTCCAAGTGTTGAGAGCTTTGCGTACTTGATTCGAAATCTCCTCTTGTTCGTCTCGCGGGAAGTTGACAAAGTGATCGTACTTTGTACCCACGAGAAATGGGATTGCTGTCTTATTGAAGCCGCGGCCCTGCCTATACCATTCCTTAATCGAGTTCAAGGTGCTCTTACGCGTCAAGTCGAACATGAACAGTATAGCGACGGCATCGTTGCACACCAATGGCAACATGTTGACAAACTCGCGCTGACCTCCCAAATCCCAGATGGAGAAGGTGATTTCAGTGTTTCTGATTGAAATGGTCTTTTCCATGAAATTGACACCTGTGCCTGTTAGTCATGCTGGCGACTTGAATGTCGCACACATACCCAGCGTCTGAATATAGTCTTCGTCCCAACTACCCTCGACGTACTTGACCATCAAGCTGGTCTTGCCAATCTGCGCGTCTCCCACCATGCCCACCTTGATGACCACACTCGCATTCTTGTTCGCCGTCTCCTGCTGCTGTGCCCCTCGTTGGTTTTGGTCCTGGTATGAATTCGATCTTGAGCCGCTGTCTGAAGCCGGATAGCGTCCCAACTGCGAGCTTGGCCGTGAATGTGACTGTCCCATGTGTGTTTCCTTGTTCGCGTCGTAGTAGCCCTGTCGTGGCGGTGTGTCTGCATCGGACGAGACATTGAAGCGCGAGCCATTGTGTGAGGTGTACTGGTAGGCCGTGTCAGAGTAGGATGTGCTGGGACGGTGTGGTTCTGGGGTGTGGCTATGACTATGGCTATGGCTGTTGTTGTTGTTGTAGTTGCTGGTGTTGTTATTGTTACTCTGGCTGAAATCGGGCATGGGCGCTACCGAAGCGGCGGTGATGGTCGTGTTCATGCTGTTGTCATCGATACCGTCGGTAGTCTGGTCCATGTGCTTTTGCGCTGCTTGTCCTTGGGCGGCTTGGTATTGCGCCACTTGCTCGTGTGCGACCTGCGGTTGTGTGTTTTCTGGAGCGGTCTGAGCTGGAAGCACATGGTTCTGAGGCGGTTGATCTTGGGTGACCTGTTCTGCTTGCGCGACTTGTCCTTGGGCTATAGGGTTGTCCTGAGGAGGCAGCTGACTGTCCTGGACAGGGTTTTGCATGGGTTGTTGATCGTTCATGGCTTGGTGGCCATTTAGGTCTTGACGGTAGACGTCGCTCTGCTCTGGTTGCGTCTCCATGGCGGTGTGGCGACGATGTTTGTGTTTGCGCCTGACTCGAGGCTTATAGGCACGTCTGGGATGGCAGGCTGAGCGAATAGGAAGGATGCAAAAGTGGCTGTCTGTGTGTTGAGCAAACAGAGCCCCGCGATGACCTGCTTTGGGGGGAGAGGGGAGAGGAGGACGAAGAAGCGCGCACGCGTCAAGTGTAATGCTTGACCGTCTAGTCAACTCGCACGGTGTTGCTAGATGTTATGCGACGCGCAAAAGATAGATGCAGCTGGTGCCCAGCAAGGGGGAAGGCTTTGTTTGGGTCTGGAGGCAAGGATGGCGTCAATGTCTCTCGTCTTGTTCGGGATGGGATGGCGGACTGTGATTGCCGGATTGGCTAGTGGATGAGATAGAGTAGCGTTTGGAGACTCCTCAAGCTTACCTACCTATTCCGAGTTTGCAATGGAATACACCATCGACTATTGTAGGTATGGTTGCCCTTGGCCAGCCGGGGGGGAGTGGAGGCGCTGATATGATGCACAGAGAGGTTGGCCCGGGAGCGGCTAAGCTAAGCCAATCTAATCTAATCAATCTAATCTAATCAATCTAATCGGCGAGAAGCCCGCAAGAAACACCAAAACCACAAAAAAAAGGTTGTAGTGGGGCGGGCTGGTTGCGACAAAATCATCCACACACAAACACCATCAACCACCGAATCACCGAGAATTATGGCAAAGCGACCCGCAGATTCGGAGCAAGAGATTGATGCGATCAAGAATGGCGACCGTCCCATGGAAATGGACCAGAATGAGGCGGGAGATTTTGAGGATGAGTTCGAGGATGAATTTGAGAGCGAGGATGAAATATTCGAGGCAGGTGTAGACGGGCGGCCAGACGAGGAGAGAGAAGCCGAGGAGCGCGAGAGTACGTAGGATGTCCCCATTCTCAGCAGCCAATTATCTCCTCCCGGAATACCGCATACTGATAACTGCGCAGATGGCATGGACATTGATCAGGGCACATTCATACCCGGCCGACATAAACTTTCGCCAGGCGAGACTCTCAACCCCGATCTGTCGACATATGAGATGCTGCACACCCTCGAAGCGCCATGGCCCTGTCTCTCCTGCGACATCATCCCCGATAATCTCGGCTCCGACCGCAAGACCTACCCAGCGACCGTCTATGCGGTAGCAGGCACACAGGCGGCGCGGGGAAGAGACAAGGAAAACCAGATCATGGTCATGAAGATGAGCAGTCTGTCGCGTATGGACAAGGACGACGACGAGGAAGACTCAGATGACGAAGACGAAGACTCAGATCCCATTCTCGAGACAAAGTCAATACCCCTAAACACCTGCACGAACCGCATACGCGCACACCAAACCCCCCAAAGCACGTCGGCGCAACCACCCAATACTCTCGCAGCTGCCATGACCGAGTCTGGCCAGGTCTTCATCTACGACGTCACACCACACCTCACATCATTCGATACTCCCGGCACAGTCATCACGCCCACACAAAACAAGCCCGCATGCACAATCCGGGCGCACAAGGCCAACGAAGGATACGCCCTAGACTGGTCACCGCTCATCCCAGAAGGCAAACTTTTGACAGGCGATATTGCTGGCAACATCTTCGCAACCACACGGACTCAAGGCGGCGGCTTCGTCACAGACACGACGCCCTACACCGGTCACAAAGGCACAGTCGAAGAGCTCCAATGGTCGCCCACAGAAAAACACGTCTTTGCCTCTGCCTCGAATGACGGAACCGTCAAGATCTGGGATGCACGCTCCAAATCACGCAAAGCAGCCGTCAGCGTCCAAGTCTCAAAAACAGACGTCAACGTACTGAGCTGGTCGCATCAAACCGCACATCTCCTCGCTTCCGGGGCCGACGATGGCGAATGGGCAGTCTGGGACTTGCGGCAATGGAAACCCTCGACTTCCATGGCTAGCGACACAAAACCCACTCCCGTTGCCAACTACACCTTCCACAAGGAGCAGATTACCTGCGTCGAATGGCACCCTACAGATGACAGCATCGTCCTCGTCTGCGCTGCCGACAACACACTTACTCTATGGGATCTGGCGGTCGAACTCGACGACGAGGAGAGCAGAGATACCGCTGGTGTGCAGGATGTGCCCCCTCAATTACTGTTCGTGCATTACATGGACCAGATCAAGGAGGCGCACTGGCACCCCCAGATTCCAGGGACGATCATGGCGACGGGAGGATCAGGATTTGGTGTATTCAAGACGATTAGTGTGTAGAGTCGTCGGACGAGAGCAAGAAAAAAATGAAAGCAAAAAGCTAGGTTTTTGTTTTAAAGATTCCACAAGGAATTGGGAGTACTACTCAAAAGACTTCCTATATGAAATGATTTCCCAAAGGATGTTTTCTGCTGAATATCATGTCGATATTTGACCTACAGATTTGTGATTGTCAGTATGTGGTCGAAGGAGGGTAGTGCGTCTTCCAAGCAGGTACAGCTTGAGACTATAAGACACTAGCTGCGGGATAAGAGTGAATGCTGTTATCGATAGCATGACGTTGGCTGAACTTTGAAGTTAGTGAAACAGTGGTCAGATTCACGCGCGCGCACGTGCGCCTTGAACGCGCCTCCCCACCTGCTTCGCGCCCGCATTGTTAGGATCGCCACGAGATTTGCCCAGTTTCTCTGAACATGTCGCCAACACGCATCTTACGCTTTATATGACAGAACATGCCTACCCCGGAAGCGGCTGTACTTCGACCCGTCGATCCCTCCATTACCGACTCGGATGACTGGGATATATTCATACTGAGCGATGCACGCATCACATACGAAAGCAATGGCAAGCCCGCGAGTCTGTTGGCTGCGTACGCCGATACCCCGCTGAAAGTGGAGGGCCTTTTGGAGACTCCAGGTAGAGAGCAATGTCACTACCGTACGTACCTCGGGTATCCTCGCAACAGCGCATGCGGACATTTGTGGAGTGGTGGGGAGAGAGAAGCAAGGCATTCACTGACACCACAGTAGTCCTCAAGAAACCGTACAAGCCCATGGAAATCGAAATACGAAATGTCAATCGCTTCTCGTATGGGGAAATGAACGATGGTACACTTGCTCTCTGGGCAGAAGGCGGCGCAGGCTGGTTCCAGATACAACCCGCACCACAGTACAAGGCCATTTACGATGGCATGATATGCGCCGTACAAATCCTCTATTTTGTCACCGACATATATAAAGAGCCGCGTAAGAAAGGAGGTGGGCCAAGCGCTCAACTGGTGTTCCAAGAGGTCAGTTGTAAGAGCTCGGAGGCTGGCTGAGTATCGGAGAACACTAAATCTGACTGTCACCAGTATGCAGAAGACGCACGGTTCCCATGCAACAATCCCGTTGTAGCAGAAGCTATCTTTGAGGAGCACCATCTCTTTCTGATGATGTGCTTTCTCAATCGAGCGAATGGCATTGGTTGGAGCAACACACCACTGTATCAGTATTTTAGACGAAGACATCCGGTAGGGTAACCTTGTCTGGCATGCACTTCAACTGCTAATACTCTAATAGAAAGATTTCGAGATGTGTAAAGCGCGCATTGAAGGTCGTTATGTGGATATACGACCGTCAAACCCGGCCCCAGCAACAGCGCCAGTGACGGATACCATCACAACTCATCCAGCGCGCTCACGAGCTTTAACAGGAAAGACTGCGGCACCCAAGGTAGATGAAGCCCCACCCAAAAAGGACGAGAACTGGTGGGAGGCAGCTGCATTATTCGAATTCGTGCAGAAAATCGTGAACCAGCGTGTTCTGCGAGTTGGGAAGAACCAAATAACCCTGGAACGAGTCGCAGAGCTCATTGTCAGGCGCTACGAGATCGAGGAAGTGCAAATGGCTCAGCACGTCTTGCTGGTGCATGCAGAGAATTTGTGCTATATGATGGCGCACCCGCGGCGGAAAAGCATCAGCTACTTCACCTCGGAACCAATATATCATACGCTGGTTGCTGGCCATAATCTCTCGGCAGCCGAACAACGAAGAGCAGGGGCTGTGGAGCTACGGCCACGTAAAGACCACGCAACGCTCAGAGGTGATGCCAGTGACTCCTCGGATACGTCCGACGAGGAGGAAGATGATGATGTGATCACAACACCGATTCGCCGGCCTCCTGGTCGGCGGAAGAATGGAAGATTGTCAGTCTTACGACCTAGGAGCAGCAATTTCTCGGTCAAGAGGCAGGGCGAGAGTACGAAAAGCGCCAGAGGCGTTGCTGGCAAAGGGAAAGCGCCTGTCCTTGACCAAGGGGTACCGAGCGAGGAATCTGATGAAAGTGAGAACAGCAGCAGCGACGACGAAATGGCCATGGATACGCCCACACAAGCCCTGTCCCCCGGGCGAGAAAAACGAAAACTCGACACAACACACGACCACCTCAACGACGATGGAGAACCCACACGCCGAAAACGCAGCAACAGCGCAGCTTGCACGCCCGCTTCCCCACCTTCATCCGCCCACTTGAGCGACAACGACCAGACCCAAGCCGTAGCCGTACCCCCTCTTCCCCTCCGCAAACCACCGCCTTCCGGCCAACCAGGCATACTAACGCACACCGTCACCACCCCATTACCCACCTACGAATCCAACGGGCCCCGCGACTCGTGGATCTGCAGCTTCGATGGCTGTTCGCAGCGCATCTATGGCTGCAGCAAGGAGCTGGGGCGCCAATTGATTACAGAGCATCTCGAGGATCATACCAAGGGTACGGAGAAGGTGGTGGGTATCTTGTGGCGCGAGCAGGATCGGTTGAATTTGCCTGTTAGGTATGTGTTTTTTCTTCAATTTTCCTTCTCCTTTTCTTCCTTCTTCCTATTTTCTTTTGTGAGATTTTGTGTGCATGTGCGTGTCAAGTGAGACGACGAAAGCTAATCAACGGTTTTGACATGCAGCAATTTGATCAAGAAGATTCGCGAAATGGGGGATGCAAAGGCGGGGCTTTTTCCTGCTCTGGGTGGACAGAAGGTTGAGCCTGTGCGGCGGGGTTTGTAGAGGGGATTGTTCTGTGGGTTAGGTAGTGTTGTATTGTGTTGTGGTGTTTTAGTCTGATTTATGTTGGCTATGAGCCCCTTTTAGTTTGCGGTATCTGGCATCTGGCATCTAGCCTTTAGGAATAACAATAACGAGACGCACACTGGGTTTTCCTTTTTGTTCTTGCCTTGCACGTATCTACCTACCTAGCAATTACACATGATCTATTCTTCACCCATTAAAGGATTTCTCTGGGGGTTTGCTTATGTCAGCACGACTTTTTCTGGTGGTTGAGGTACATGTTGTTGGTAGATGTGTTGATGCGTTTTGTCACACTTCTTTTTTTCACTTTTGGGTTATTTTGGATAGCGGGTTGGGGTTGTGTAGGAATTTGGTAGTGCTTGAGGTGGGTTTGATGTGCGTGTGGGGGTACGGGTATGGGGGTGTGTAGTATGTGTTGAATGGGTGTTGTTGTATGTTTTATACCGGTATGCTGTAGAGCTGTAGGTATACTACTTGTGATTTCCTCCACCCCATCTTTTGCTGTAAATCTGTTTACGCGATATGGACACAGCATCTGCATCCGCTCAATGTCTCTCTTGGGAGGTTGACTAAGATGTATACCGTTTATAAAAAAATACATTAATATAGATATCACATGGGCATTACCATCGTGCCTTCTTGTTGTTTTCACTAGATAAATGGCTCAGTGTTAGGGTCTAGGTATGTTCTAAGTGAACATTGCGGGAGATTGTTCCCACCTAGCCATCCCATCTTCGTCTCTTATCAATTATCCAATCTTCAGCATCCTCAGCACCACGTTTTACTCCTCTCAGCCTTTCTGAATCCGGCTGACCTTTGCATTCCTGTATCCCAACCCCAAAACCATCAACATCATCAACGATATCAGTACCCCTCTTCCACATACCCACTCTTCCCCCGCAAAATCCTTCCTCTCCGCCCTCGATACTCTCAAGTATCACATCGCATTCCGCATCCACAGCCCCGCTCATAACGGGGCCCTTTTCCTCCCAGATAGGAGGCTGCACGTGCAGTGGCTTTGCGAGAGGTTTTGTAGCTTGAAGTGTAATTTTGGATTCGGGCAGAGGTGTACGGAGGTAGGAGAGCGGGTACGATATATTTGCCAAGTTGGTATATGGGTTTGAGTTTGTGGTTCTAGTGGCATGTAGGATCCGGTCATGGAATGCTGAGCCTGTATGGGTAGATAGCAAGGGAGAGGAGGAATGTGCGAGAGAGTGTGGTGGCGAGGCTTGCTGCGTCGTTTTTTGTCTCTTGGGTGGCAGTTCTTGCTGGAGAGATGGAAAAGGCCGTGGTGTGTCCCGGTGTGCTTGGTATTGGTGTTGAAGTTGGAGATGCGGGGGTGCGGGTGCAGGCGCGCTGTGGACTTGCGCCATGACAAAGGGATGTGTCGAGGCAATGGAACAGTGAATCAGTACACCACCTGAGATATCGATAATAAATCAAACGACTGCGTGAAGATTAAGATTCAGGGAGACTCGAGGATTATTAGGATATTAATTCAAGTTTCATGATTTTTAAACCTGGTTGCAGACATCTCACGTTGCGCTACGGTAGCTTTGTTCTTTGATGACCGGATTCGGAAACTCTTCACACAAGGACCTGTGATAGGTACCTACTATAGCGTGCTTGCACACCACCAAAGATTCAGGGAATGAATGGATATATTTGAAGTCATTGAAATGAATGGTAGGATGCAAAAAGGTGGTTAAAAGCGAGTACTCGGTGTATTTCGATAAAGAATGAATGTAGATAACAATGTTTCAGAGGACCATGTCTTGTTGAAAGACAGTGTGCTCTGGTGCCCAACTTCCTCCGTTCGGCAGCTTGAAACTGCTCCTACATGAAAGCGTTTGATAGTAGTCCTGATGCGCATCCTAACTGCAGTTGGCCGTGCGTCCAGAGATGCTACAACGGCTTCCTTGTGCACGGCATGGAGCACTCTGTTTAAATGTTAATAAGTTCCTTCTTCTTTCAGAACAACAGAGAAATAAATTTGAGGTCTACGTACTGCACTGCATGCAGCGGACACGCTGCCTGAAGTACACACTCCATTAGCACCCGACACTCGGCAGGTCTATGTTGATTTAGCTTTTGAAACTGATGCAATATTATGATAATCGTACACCGCTTTGGGCGAATACGCTTGAAGCAAAGCCAAGGATGGCAAGAGTGATGAAGGACTTCATGTTGTTGATTTGGTGAAGATTTTGGGGTGCGAAGAACGTTAAGGTGGTGTAGATGACTGTGAATGAGGCTGATGAGAAGGCAATGATTTCGAACTTGGGCTTTTCGTACATCTTATATACTATATGCCAAGTGAATGAGCTGATATAGTACCCAACTGATCCCGAAGCAGAGAGACACTATGTGTGTGTCAGATTCACTCTACCTCCTTGATCCGACGGCTTCCTTCATCCGACGTTGACAAAACCTCCCTTGTTGCTCGTCCGTCTGACATAATTACGGCAGCGTAACCTCAGCGTCAAATCTCACAGATAAGGCAGGAAGTCCACAAAGTTTGATATTTGTGCAAAAGTCGCCACATACTGGAATGGCTCTTGTTGATCCGACAGCCTCCTTCATCCAACGTGGACCCTACCTCCCCTGTTCCTCTTCGTCGGACATGCACACGGCCGCGTAACATCTTTTTCATCATCACATCATGAGCAGGGTGGGCAGTTTACAGAGGTTAAAATTTGTGCAAAATCCACTACACTACACACTGGAACGGCTCTTGGTCGATAACCATCGATCCGACGGCCTTGCATCTGCCGTGGTCATTACCTCCCCTGTTGCTAATCGTCTGGCATGAAGACGGCCACATCTCCTCTTTATTGCAATCGGAAGGGGGGGAATGATTGACAAAGCTTGTACTAGTGGTTTAGCAACGAACAGTGGCATGAGCTTCGCAAATGTCAAGCAATGACAATCGTAAGAGTGGATAAATTGGAAAGTCATGCCACTGTCTCCGTGGCAAAGACTAGAAAAAAGTACATGGGCAGGGTACCTAAGAAAGTTTGACATGAAGCTGGAGAGGTAATGGCGTGTTTGGGCAGTGAGCACGGAGCTGATCACGCGTTCTACCTGAGCCTTGACAGTTCCTATGCTCCTGTACGGTCCTCTGCAAAACATTATCATATCTATTCATTCTCAAAATGTAGACCATTCCTACATGTATCATCACGCATAGATGATTTCGAATGGTTACTTGGGCGTATAGATGTCAAATCATATGTTGTCCGAGCATATTGTCCAAAAGACGACCAACAACCAGGTTGTTCCTGGTAAATAAGACGGCAGGCACCGTACCAGGATTCTTTGCCGGAACTTCCTCTCTTGCGCCTCAGCAGTTGTTTGAGTACATTTGATTAGATGGGTTCTAGTGAACTTATATACGAAGATTATAGCTGCCAATCACACTTGTATCAGATCTACGAGGTAGCGGACCAATGAGTCCATCAATTGGTGTACAAATTTCAGGAATGCAGGCGCAGTTTTGGTCTATGGTTTAAATAATTATCTAGCATTACTTGCTTTTTTCTATCTCTGCTTTCCCTTATATATAATCTGTTTTCTACGCAGGCAAAGCCCTGCCGTCACTGGATTTTGTCTATGACATGTAGCTTGGATTCCTTTTTTGGATCCCCAGTATATTGCTCCTTGGTTTCTGACAGCTAAGAAACGGTGTCGAAAAAGGGTGCCGATGATGCCGAGACTCGTACTTTTTTTCATAAACTATCCGACCTCAATAAAACCGCAATCGCCACCTAAAGCACACACAGGGAAACATGGGCGAAGGCAAGGAGAAAAGAATAATTTCCGATTTTCGGTCGAAAGATACTTTGAGCAGCTCAACGCAGTTTTGGTAGTTTGAGGGTCAGAACTTAGTTTGATAATTCCCCAATAATCCCGGAAGTTTACTGTCGTTCGCCAAGCCTTGAAACTATTTAGTACGCAAAGAACCGTACCGGTACTGCCGAAGTTAAAATCTTTAGTTTCAGACATAAGCTTTGCCTGGGATTCTTGAATAAGTAATACTCGGTATTGTAGCTCTCGTATCATACCGTGTTTTTGGAAAGGACGACTTGGAAGAATCACAGCCTAGTGCCATTTTTTCACTTACACACTGATTCCGTCTTACGCCCTCTAGTAGTCCCAGTTGCCCTAGGGTCTTAATTATTGCCCCAGCGCGTGACTCAACTGTGGCTGCGCAGCCTTATGGCTGTGCAAGCTAGACCGCAATAGCAGAGGCACATACACAGGTGAACTGCGGGACAACCAAGTCTTCAGCTCAGCGCCCACTCTCCAGCCTGGCCTTTTCCACCCCGCTTCCACGTCTCTTCACTATGTGCCGATATACTACAGCAGATATTATTTATTCCCAATGCCGATTACCAGCTCAACATAAGATCGTAAAACGTCTTCATAAGAGATGTGAAGCTTCTCCGAAGCCTGGACCAAGGTGTAAGGAATCCGTGTTTGATCCAAGTCTTGGCACCCATCTGCCTTCGAACAGAAACGCTCCGTGCAGGTATTGTCGAGACTCAGGCATATCGGTTGGACAGGAGCGTTATGAAGATGTACGTTGTATTATATGCTTCGTTTACCTGAAATCAACTGATCGTATAAACAGCATGATCTTCATGGTTAAGCAGCCAGCCAGAAAGATTATAATTACAGCATGTGATAAGGGGCCACGATGGATGCCATGTCATGCAAAGTCCCTATGTATATCCACCATAGATCAACAAAGCATCTCCTAGCCAAGCACATTTCTATGCGCTGAACAAAACCCTCATTGACCTCAAAGCGTTGAAGAACACCGCTTTCACGTACCAGTAAACACATATTACTTTCCTTGTAGCTAGCAAGCTAGCTTGAAGTTCCTGAAAAACCTCATGCATAGAATTGAAGGTACCATTCCAACAACCCTGCATCAGTTTACCTAGCGGTATATTTTCGACGTCTGGAAACTGATTCTCAGCATATAGCTTTTGGACACGGATCGTTCGATCCTCGAATGGATAGAGTTCGTCGTATGGTGGTCTACCTGTTATGACTTCGTATATAGCGCAACCAAATGCGAAGATATCAGTTTTCCGGCTAATTCTTGGTGAAGATTCCTTGTAACTAAACCACTCATAGCAGGCTCCTGCATCTTCTCCATCAATGCTACTACCTTCAAAGTCAATAATCTTTAGATGCCCCTGAACTATAATCCAATTGTTACATCCAGTATCAGCATGGATCATGCCATTGTCGTGCATGTATCGCGTTCCCTCCGCAGCTTCATGTAGCCACCGAATCTTTATGTGCAACGGGATCTGGTTTGTTCTGCTTCCTCCAATTACCTCCCGGATAGGTCTACCACGTTCGAGAATAAGGCCTTTTTGTGTTGCACCAAAACATCTCACAATATTTACATGTCGTCCTAGGCGTTCAAGTGCTCGACGCTCAACATCAATTCCCTCTTCGTGAAACTCTTTGAAGATTCTTTCCTCATCGATCGCATATATGACTCCTGATCCGCCAGCCGTAAGGAATTCGAGACTGTCATAGTCTAAAGACGAGGCCGATTGATCTTGGATGTGCTCCTTCGTCATTCCGGAGGCCATGATTTCTTACTGCTAGGGCGTGGAGCGAGAAGCGCGTAGGTTCTCTCGTGTGAGGCGCAGTAGGCAAAGGGTTTTGATCAAGGGAGCGGATTCTTCGACGCTTCAGGGTCTGCAAACTTTGAGCTGCGAAGCGTGAAGGATATGATCGCTGCGGATGGTGGGATGCAGGCGAGACGGATGGAGCTTGTACGTCAAGCGTCAGGACGTGGTCTTTCGAGAAGTGCGACAGGCGTAAGCGTTCGTTTTGCGGATTAGGTTGCCTCGTTTTCGTCGCTATATGTCGTTAGCATCGACTGTGAAAGTCGTTGACTGCGTTATGTACTGACGCGCGACTTTGGTCGGCAGCGCGCCTTCAAAGGCTCGAGGGCGACTCAGCCCCGGTTGTGGCAAGGACGTGTCACGTTATCTCGGGATATCTTCGGTATCTATCTGATTGGATGATCCTTGGTCGGATGTCTGGGGTAGGGATAGCGCCAAAGCTTGTTGTGGCGGTGCTAAATTGGTAACTCAAGGCAAGCAAATATCATAAAAGCATCTCACGATATGACGGATACTGCAGAGATCTTGTTCGGATCCTACCCATAACGGAGTGACAGCTATACATATGTATCTGCCAAAAATAGCCCATTGTCCATGGATGCTTCTAGAAGAGCGCCACACCACGCGCAGATCTGGCATAGCGGAGATATTCAGTACTGTACCGCGCACTAATGCTCTGATACTGACCACGTAAGCGCGCTAAGCCAGGAATTGTTAACAAATGCATATGGACTCTATGCTGAGTGTTGCGCGATGTGTTTCACAGATCATTACTAATTACGAAAGCTCCCTGTGGAGTCTGATGTTTATTCATGCGAGAATGGATAATACGATAAAGGAATACGATAGACACATGTAGCCTGCCGTGATCGTAATATCAATGTCACCGTCATGTGCAAATTCACCAACAGAGCACACATTACAAATGTATCTTGGAGCTCTACGGTACAAAACCGGTTTACAGTAGCCATATTTATCTAAAGTAGACTAAGAAGTGGTTTAGGTAGAAGAAGTAAACCTAAATAGGGTTTACTATACTATGTATTCCACTTTTACTTCTACTTCTATTAATCTACTAGTTTCCTACTAACTATCTAAGTATTTTACCCCTCCTTTCTTTAATCTTCTTCACCACCTCTACCACCTCTACCACCTCCACCACCTCTATCACCACCTCTATCACCACCTCTATCACCACCTCTATCACCACCTCCACCACCTCCACCACCTCTATCACCACCTCCACCACCTCTATCACCACCACCTCCACCACCTCTATCACCACCTCTACCACCACCTCTACCACCACCTCTATCACCACCTCCACCACCTCCACCACCTCTATCACCACCTCCACCACCTCTATCACCACCTCCACCACCACCTCTACCACCTCCACCACCTCTATCACCACCTCTATTATCACCACCTCCTATTAGTAAAAATATCATGACTAATTATTATGTCATATGTGCGTATAGCGTGAAGCTAATCTTTTCTACCCCTTTTAGTCTTAGTTAGGTATTATAGCGTATAATAGAAATAAAACTACTTTTTATACTTAATTTAAACCCCTACTATAAAAGTAAACTACTACTTTAATAAAAGTAAACCACCACTTTAAACCTATTTATAGGTATACACGAGGTCAGTTTACACCTATATAGTAAACCCCTAGCGTACCATTCTACAGTAAACAATTTTTTACTGTAGTGGAGATAGTCTGGACATTTGCAAAAAAAAGTCGAATAAAAATCAATTAATAATGTAGTCTTGGAGATACATTGACCTTCAAGACGATCAAGTAAAAGCTACTTTCGGATGAAGAAATCCATACCAGTCAGCCAGTACTTCATGTTCCTGTGACTGCCATCGCCAAAAGTATCCAACCGCAATTCTGGCTCCAACACGTGGTCACTGAATCCTCGCTTGAGTTTTTCGTAGCCAGAAGTAATCCAGTGTGCAACATGAGGTGCCGCACGATCCGCATAGCAGTAGTTCCGCTTGTTGACGTCCAGGTGCATAATGTCGCACAGCAGCATCGCCGGTCCTGTCTTTGCATCATCCATGAACAGGTCAGCGAGTATCTGCATGAGCGGGACACTGACTGGCAGGTGAGCTGTGACCACCATGGTATTCGCGTCAACCGCAAGAAGTCCTTGAGGGTCGGAAACAAACTCAACATCGTCTCGTGCGGCATATAGCCACTTGAACAATTGATGATCCTTTTCAACATAACATGGATCTTGCAGTATGATCTTGATAGGCACTGCGTTTGGATCATTCTCTTTGTTGATCTTATTCAGGCAGGTTGCCATTGTGAAGACAGCCATGTGCTGGATGGCTGACGAGTAATAAGCTTTGTCGTGGCTCAATTGACCAAGACCAAAGCAGACGATTTTCTTGATGGGCGTAGTTTGTGTCGCCGCCGACATCAGTTGGACAAGTTTGCTCCTTGAGGAACTTTTTTGCCAGAGTGATTTAGTACGTTTCAAGATGTTGACCCAGTTATTCATTTCTTTGTGCTTGTTGAGATGTTCGGTGTCGAAAGCACGAGCTAATGTCGTGAAGAAGTATGGTACGGGTATCCATTTCTTGTCGACTTCTGCTTTGTCCGTGTTATATCGAAGTAAAGGAGAAAGGCGTGCTGAAACACTACCAAATTTAGCCTGGAAGGCACGCAGGGAGTCAATTCTTGTTATATATTCAACAAAGACTGTGTTTTGCCGCTTGTCCTGACTAGCGGTCCAGAGAATGTAGGGTTGTCCATTTGAGCCCCGACCAGTGACGGAATCCACGGTAGATGGGGTTGAACCTTCTTTGAGCCGCTGCTGGATCGAAGCTTGCTCTTCGGCGAATCGGTTGAGGATGTCTCGAGTGAAGAGAGGTTGAGTGTGGTTGTCTAGTTCCACCAAGTCGTATAATGTGTCGAACATGTCATCGAGATCATCATCATCGAGATCATCGTCAGAAGAATCTGTCTCTGGTCCCCCATCATCTAGGCTTTCGCTTGCGTTGCTTCTTTGATACTCAATGCCATCGTTCTCCGTAACAGCGTTGAAAGGGAGATTGCTCAGGCTCTCGAGATTTGCAAAAGCTCTGCTATCGTTTTGGAGAGACATATTTAGTTAAGTGTTCAGGTGGTTCGTCGTCGTAGAGTTGAGATTATTTGGTTGAGTGATCAAGTCTGTGAAATGATTTGAGCGTTTCGAGAAGAAGATATATAGGGAAAAGGCACGAAATGGTGTGCCAACATGATAGTATATTAGCTGGAGTCCTTTGGGCGTAGAATAGTCCTGGGTGTGAAAGGCCATAATTGACATAGTGCGTTGACAACACGATCGCCCGACTATGGAAGTGCGACACACAAAGGGTTCAGAAGTGCAACAGGGATAGTATGGGATCAGTTCGCAATTGGTTCCAATAGATGGTCGTAATAGCAGATAACTCTGTCCTTAAGGATATAACATTGTTTTATATCTTGTGGGATGCGAAATATTCCTTGATGGTTGGGTAGGTACTTAGGGCCACTAGCATCGAGGACCGTGGAACGGGAGAACACCATTCCAAGGCAAGGACCCATGCTTTAAGATCACATGGTAGATAAAAATATTATCGCAAAATATTGAATGATTTCAATGCAGGGTACTGGGCTAAGATTTGCTGCTGCAGATGTTCTTATCTTTGATGCATCATTGTCTCTAATCACGGCAGTGCGACGACAAAGTCTCACTTGCTAGTCAACACCAAACAAATGACAAAGATCGTAATGCTTTCCATGTATTTCAAAGACAATTCATTGGCAAAATGCAAGACCGTAAGAGGCTCATGTTGATAATAATGTCGAACTACGTTTTGCCTATGCACCCAGCAATGAATCGCTCTACCAGGACCTGGAGGATCTGTTCAAAGCGATTTTTAGAGCCAATTTGCCTGGATTAGTTTTTTTTAGGAACAGTTCTATTAAAATCAATATATCTTAGACTGCAAATGCATCTGTATAGGTCTAGCAATGCTTGGTGGAAGACATACGCCGAATGTACTTCGACTCATCGCGAGTGATTCGTTTTCTCCCCAGTGCGACAGCTGCACTGAGCTACTTGTAGTTCCTGGACTGAACATGTGATTAACGTATTCTTTGAAGACGTACAATTTTTGGACAATGGAACTAAGATTTGGTAAGAACGGTGATGCACGTGATGCATGAAGATTTGCGTGATAACAAAGAACTACGATTAATACCGTATAATTTGTTCCGCTACCGGTACGCGACCCAACCAGGTATGCAAACAATTTGTCAAAACTCTACACCCGCCTACGTACATGCAAATCCATCTCGGAGAGCCAGTAGCAGGGGTCTATTTTGCCCTTTGTGTTCTGCTTTAGCCCTATCTCGTTTTCATCATCTGGAAATCCACGGTCTAGTCGCAATTATCGTTGGGCAAAAAATCTCGCCACCGCGGGAGAGTCACGATCGTGCAATTTATAGTACCACTTAGTGGTATCCAAGGCCATCTTGTCGCAAATAAAAGCAGCCGGACCTGAAGAAGAGGCAAACAGATCTGCGACGATCTGCATTAGCGGTACTTTGAAGGGGAGAAAAGCTGTAACAACGAACGTGTTGGTGTCCACAGCGAGCAGACCTTCCGGGTCAGTGACTGAGTACACCTTGCTGATTTCACCGCAACCCATGGCCCGATGTAATTCCCGAACGAGAATCCAGTCCTTCTTTTCGTATGATGGGTCCTGGAACAAGATGTCAATAGGCCTATTGTCCAGACCTGATTCCTTGTATCTTGTCTCGAGTACTTTGATGACTGTAAAGACGGCTAAATGCTGCAGGACAGAACCGTTCCATGCATTATCAGTGAACTGGATCTGACCTAGACCAAAGCAAACTATTCGCTTAATCGGGTTGGATATTATTGCAGCTGCTGACATGATCATTTGAAACTGGTCGCGCGCGTCGCTTTCTAGCCAGATGGCCATGGCTATCTTTAAAGCTACATGGTACGCTTTCATGACGCCTGGATCCTTGTGTTCCTCCAGTAGAATATAATTGAAGGAGTTGGAAGATTCAAAAGAGTAAGGCGTAAGTAAATGCGTAACCGAATCCAGATCGCTGTATTTCTGGAGAAGTTGAATATGCCGTGAGTATTTGCCAAATCTTGAATGAAACTCATGAATCAGCTCAACACGTGCTGGATACCGCACAAGTAGCCATTCTGGCACATCTTCCTTGTGATAGTCTTGCCAGACTTTTGTGACTTCAACACTCGAAAAGTGATACTCAAGATGTCGGATCGTCCTTTCTTCGTCTTCCAGATCGAAATCGCGCACGAGGGTTCGCTTCTGGTCACATATGCTTTCTAGCAGCACACGCGAAAAGACTGGAGCAGAGCTATTTTGTTCTTCGTTGACAACAAGATCGTAGAATTCGAAGAACATTTGATCGTCTTCTGACAACTGTTCGATATCGTCAGAAGATGCTGTAGTGGTGTCGCTTGGATACGACGTGTCTCTAGCATTGGAGTGATCATCGTCCTCGATGGATAAATCTTGTTGAAGACCAGCCGAAACGTCGAAGACATTGGTGGCTTGCTGTATTTTATTGACTGGGCGCATCTTGTAGTTTAAACTTCTGTTCCTGAAGGTTATGGAGATATGTCGAGTTGGAGGAACTCATGGGTTACATATGGCCAGGGCAGACTTTCGTTTTCCTTTCACATAGCTGAGCATGGGCCCAGTCTGATGTGAACGTTGCATCACTATGCACGAACAGAGCTTGGAAGAGTAGACTGCTGTTTGGTCGCAGGATGTATTAAAAGTGGGTCTTGATGGTGAGAGTGCACGAAAAGTCCTGACGGAAAATTCACTGGCGTTTGACAAGTGACCTTGGCTGATATATGAATGAATTTGCTCAACGCTAATAACGACGTTGGACGAGAGGAAGCTTTTTGGACGTCAATATTATTTGTAGTGCTACATCAAAAGTTTGGTGATGTATAAAAATTGCTCAAATAATACTCCTGAAGTGTGGTATTGCGTTCCCAGGGTTCTGCTCTGCGAGGTTGACCAGCGTCCCGGAAACTCGAGGTGCTTTCGCCATACATCTAAGGCTTGTGAGAATCTGAGGAATGGATAGCACGGGAGTTTAGCCTGAGCGCAGGTTATACAGGCGCTAAAGGAGGAAGTTTGTTCGGATCGTCAATGCGATGCTTGTGTACGAAGATGAAGACGCAAAGTGGCAGACAATAGACAAATAGGGTTTTCACTGCTTGTTCTATCGATACTTTCGAGGATACCATCGCCATCGACTCTGTGTAGCATCATCGGCCATTGAGAAGCAGATATATGATAGGGTGTTGGTCAAGAGGATTGTGATATGATTTGAACTGGGGATAGGCAGTTGAAACCTTTGATTCAGGTCAGGAAGTCCCACAAAGAGGCGTCATTTTTCAATCAACAAAATCATATCAGAACCACAGACTCGTCCATAAAATGGCCATATAGTTGAGACAAAAACCTAATAATAGATCGCACAATTCCTACCGGCGGCAGTGCCAGAGACCTCCAGCTAGATGAATCAAAATTCTGGCTCCCTGTACTCAGTTAGGGTCATATCGGAGTCCTTATTTTTTGCTACCCCAACCGAGCATACGTACCCAGAAGTCTGTTGAGCAAAGCATGTCTCAAGTGTCTCGCCGACTGTCTCTCCTTTTCTTCTCTCATTTGCCAAGAATGGTCGATGCCGCATGGTTCGAAGTCAAAGCGCAGGGTCCATACCGGTACCTACCTGCGACCATGATAAGCGAATGCAAATAGCAAAAAAAATGATGCCACTCAGAGGTACCGAACCTCTTTGCATTCATCAGATCCTCATATGTAGAAGGCAATCGCTTCGATGAGAGACGCGCATTGTGTGTGGTATCGATGTTGAACCATGCGACGGCAAGCCAACTGCGGCCCTTTTCGAACACGAAGGCGTCGCGATGGCCCGTGTCCCGAGTATGCGCATGGTAGTCCAGGGCGATAGATGAGGTAGGATATGTGGCATACAAGAAATATCTTTGGCATTTTATCTCCGAACGCGACCAATTCCAACATAGCTACTCTTGATTGTTTTGATTACGTGCAACTAGCGTGAGCTGACCCATGTACCTATGAAAAGATTGACGCGGGTCCTCCAAAAGACTGCCGGCGCTGCCGCTCGCGTTCGCCTCCTCCCTCGCTCTACCGGCAACAGCAATTTTTGCATATCGAGGCTGATCACAGGAGGCCTTCGACTGATTCGTGACATTTCTTTATCGCGATCGGCTAGTTCACGCTTGCTGTAGCCCTTATGCCACGTCTTGGCCACAAAAAGTACGCCCCACTGTTCAGCCACTCCCGCCCAAAAGCCCGAGAGTGGCTGGTCCAATCTTCACCGTCTGCAGACGTTTACCTATATTACCTGACCTCTGACTAATTAATCTACCGAATTTAGGTCTAGACTCGGCTGTAGGCAATGCAAAGCTCGTCATGTGAAGGTATGTGATCAACGTCATGCCAGGGCTCCCAAACCGCCCAAAACCTAAATCTAACTTCAGTGTGTCATAGTGTGACGAACTCAGGCCATGCTCAAATTGCGCACGACATGGCGTCCTATGCAGCCTGGTAAATGCTGAGTCTCAGCCATTGGCCGGTGCGTCGTCCGGAAGCAGCAATCTTCACAAGGGCCCAAAGCAGCCAGCGAGTGAAGCATTTGTGATAGTGCGTGGCAGTAGCCGTGGTCATACATATGTACTAACCATGCCTTAGAGGAATGACTCGACAACACCATCCTCATCTTTACATACTGACCATGCTCTGAATACGCCCACCACTTCCTCTGGAGAAGGGACTTCTACATCAGCTATCTCGGAAGGAAGCTCACCAGCCTCCCAACCAGATCAGTTTCCCTTCTTGTCGAGGTTTCTTCATCGTCCTGAAGCTATACAGTCGGACATATGGGTAATGGACTTGGAACTCATGCACCATTGGTCGACAGAGGCACATGAGGTGCTCTCACTGCGGGACGATATGCGTCACGCGTGGAGAGTGGAGACTCCAAAGCACGCTGTTGCTCACACCTTTCTCATGCACGAGATCCTTGCCTTTTCCGCTTTCCATAAAGCTTTTCAGAGCCTGGACCAAGGACCCGGGTACTACACATGTGGGATACATCATCAAGACCTGGCGATTCGAGGAGTCCGGGAAAGGTTGCACAACGTAAAGCCGCACGAAGCCACAGCGATTTTGGCAACCTCAACCTTACTCACATTGAGTGTGTTTGCATCCACAGGATTCGAAGCTGGGCAGCCTCTCGCTGATAGCTCAAGCTCTGCGGTCGAGGATATCTTGAACATATTCAGCCTCATGCAGGGTATGGGCCATGTCCTTGCAATCGCATATCAGTTTGTGATGGGCTCGTTTCTTGCTCCCATGCTTAGTGATTCGGAAGAAGATACACCTGCCCAGCCTCTCCTACAAGATCTAGGGGAGCTATTGCCTGCTTTGACTACATTTGTCCAGAATAAGCAGGACCTTGATGCTTCAGAAAGAACAACATACCTCGAAGCAATCGCCAGTCTAAGGGCGACTCTTGCGATTGCAACACCTCCAAAAGTCGACAATCGAGAATTGCGATTCTTGTTCAATTGGTCACTCCGTCTGAAGCCGACATTCTTGACGTACATGCGGCAGCAACGACCTGGTGCGCTGGCCATACTAAGCCACTATGTCACAATGTTCTTCGTTGCGGAGCCACGATATTGGTATCTGCGGGGATGGGGTGATCGCCTCATGAGATCTTGCTTTAATGGCGTGGATGAGACTTGGACTCCTGTGATGCAATGGCCCATGTCATTCCTCAACCTGGCTGCAACAAATGAAGCCTTTCCAACAATGGAGCCAGCGAGATCAATCGATTCGAGATGAATAGAAGTAGCAAAAACTCAGCAGATCCCACTGTTCATAACTCACAGGCAGCAGCCACCTCGAATTCTTCCTCTCTCAATGGAGTTCAGCTCAAACGACTTGCATACTCAGCATAATGTGGTTTCTTTGACTCATTACAGAGGAGTCATAGTGCCCAGAGCCTTCTGAGCTTGTACCTACCGAACGTCTAATTAGGCTTTAATTCGACGTCTACAAACTACACCAATAGACTTCAGAGAGGATCCATATGAACATCGCCCAAATTCAATACTCAATGATGCACGAGTCATGAAAAAAGGAACCAAGATATCTGTCGACAGCGGGTATATCCTATAAGCTCCGGTCAGGCACCCGCACTTACACCGGTACCTTGATAATCCAACGTACATAGTATGGCTTATTGCGGCACAGGCGTGCAATATCACTTCACTATCTAACCATCTTTCTCTCATCCATACACCCTGTTAATCGCGCTCACAAAATAATCATCCTTGAGAAGCTCCAGACGTCTAACCACCCATCCCAACAGCATTGTGCCAAAATTACTGCCTCGTCTCTGCAATATGTCATGAGAACATCTACTCGGCGGCACCTTCCCGATTCATATCGTCCGATATTCCAATCACATAAACGGCTAGAGAATACCTAGCCTTACAAGACATCGGTTTTATGGAGCCCTGGCCCCCGCCTCGGGACGACCAAGCCACTTATATGTGGCCATGCTTATACGCCCGTCAGCTGGACACGCAAAGCCCAAGCAGTAACCAAATTCTAGGTACGGCCGCCCCGGTTGACAAATTTTTTTTCTTTTTGGAGAATTCAAAAATAAACACCGACTGCGTTTACCGATATCTTTTGCCGACCTGGGTAACTGTGCCACGCACCTACATACGTTACTGCACTCATATGAACGCACGTACCGGTGCTGTACCGCTAGCTGGCCGTTGAGGTTCTCAATGACTGAATTCGCGGTAGCTTTGAACCGCATTCTAGATGAAAAAGTGGCGAATGTTTAGCCACACGTTGATATATATGGCTTGGCTAAACGTACTGCAGGGACTGCGGAGGTTACTTGCGGTATTTACGCACATGGTGGAGGTATTGGGCTGGGTTGACTGTGGCGCGAGAATCGTGGCTCGCTCTGACAGGATCTACTAATGCGAACGGCTGGCCAATGGTGGTGGCATGACATGTTGTGCAACCACACTTGACAGCTTGGAGACCAAGTGGTTTGATGAGAGCAGCAGGCTGTTAGCGCGGAGTATATGGTGGGTTTTCAGCCTTGCGATTACCCTTCTTACAACATATGCAGTCATCGTTACAATACGACCTAGACGCTTTGCAGTTGCAGTAAGGATCAGTGCTATAGAAGCTATAATAGCATATGAGCACACTTGCATGGTCGTTGCTGCAGACGTAGTGCTTGTTCTCCTGTGCGATAGGAAAGCGAGCCTTTATATTGATTATCGATTCCCTGTATGCAGTGCTGGTGTTGAACTGGTAGCAATCATCACGGATGCAGGTGAAGACGGGGGTAACATGAGTGAGGTCTCTGCTATTGGTGTGTTCTTCGATGATGGTGGGTCAGATGGCTGCAGATGTTGTGTATACTGCTGGAACGTTGGTGTATGCGCGAAATCGCGAGATCATGCTATATACGAGAAGTACTTATGCTGTATAACATCAAGAAGGCAGTTTGTTGCATTGAGGTTATGCTAGTGTAGTTGTACTACATATTATCTAAATAATGAGTGTAGTGGTGGGTATCATCGCGTGTCAATACATATACGAAGGGAATTATAACAGGGAAGAAGTGTTGTCAAGAACACAAAAAACAGCCAAACCAAGGCTTTCCAAGCACGTCAAGGTGACATCGGTCGCCTTGGTCCTTGGTTTCCACTTCGCGCCCAGTGCTCGAGCTCCCCGGGTGTGGGCTGTGACACGGCAGTGCTATCGCTCTGTATGGTGATATCGCTCAAGTCTCTGGTGTGAGAAGGTCTCCGCTCGGTCGTAGACTGTTGTCCTTGTTCATCTTCGGTCGAATTGGCGTCCGTACTGGCATCAACTTTGGCCTGAGCGATCCCAGTCGCTGTTGCTGGCTCACCAGGCTTGACACTTGAGCTCGCGACTTCCGCGCTAGCTTTTGTGTCTGAAGATCGCTCGTTCGCAATTACCTCGTCAATGTTTGTTTGGAGAGAGATGTCGCTGGGCCCTCGATCCTTTTCGTTGAATGCTAGACTTAAAGCACCTTCCCCTGATAGTTCGGCAATGGGCGTACGTGGCGTATTGTTGCCAGATGAGTCTCGGTCTCTCGTCGCGCCGCGCCGTCGAACTCTGCCTGCAACAAGGTAATCAAAAGTATCCCTACCGTCCGCAGGCGGGCTGTACAATTCGGCAGGTGTACTTTCGGGAGACATCTCGCTGATAGGAGGGATTGCCTTGGGATCAGAACTATAGTAGCCTGCTGCCGAGCCTTTTGGTGACTGAAGCTCAGATCCAGTGAGCTCAGAGACACGTCGATATTTGACTTCGTTGCCAGCATACGTGGCGTCGACTTCAGAACTCTCGTGATATGAATCCTTTTTGTTGGCACGACGTCGTTTTTTGAAAAACACTAACCCTGCAATGCCAGCAATGATGAAGGCTAGCACTATACCCACGACTATACCGGCAATTCCGCCAGCGGCAAGTCCCTGACTTCCACCACTTCCATTGTTCAGGGATGGAGGGACATAATCTTGAGGAAATATGGGAACGAGCTTCGAAGTGGGGACATCATCAAGTGCCGCCCGGGCAATTGTAAAATTGACGTGCTCATAATCAACAATCAAATAAGCTTCCTGCAAGAAAGTTCGGCCCAAGACAGATTTGCCACCATCCGAATGTCTGATGGGAAAATACCGTGTTGTTTGGTTGACCTTGGGCGAACTGAGTTGCGAGTCAAACGCTGCGTACGGAAGGGCAATGTTTGTATAGTCCTGAGCGCTGTCTTGGTCCCCAACTCCAATCTTGAAAGATACCGTTGGGTTCCGTTGAATATTGCTTGTATGCGCAGAGTCATTGACCAGATAGTATCTGGAGACTTCGTCGTAAGTCAGCTGGAATTCCTTTGCGAAGAAGCCACAGATATCGTTGGGTAATATGAGATATGGTATGGTTGAGTCGATGACTGCCATGAAGCCCCCCTCGGGTCGCTCCTCATTGCTTGTGAAAGACCGCGTAATCGTCGATACGGCTGGATCCGTTTTATATAAGATGGATTGAACACCAACTACTAGGCTGTTATCCTGTGCGCTTGGCATGTTGATCGAGACGCCATCTCCTGTGAATCGGGAACTGTCGAAGCCGCCAAGTACAAGTGATCCAGGAACACCTCTTTGATTATTCCCTGATACAGGTCAGTACAGCTGTCGCGAATCCAGTTGCATTCCCGTCCATGGTTAGATACCGGTCTAATGAAAAGAAGGGATACTGACGATAATGCGCTCCCACAGAGTACCCAAATGAGCGACTAGGTATTACTGGATCGTCTGTGGCGACGAGGTTATCCAGGAAATTAAGGAGACTTCCATTTGTAAGACCATTTTCGCCCACTGCAAGTCCAAGCCAGCCCATATAGAAGTCTTTGTCGGGATATGCGCCTACAAACTGCTTTGGGGACTTCCGAGTACTCGCCACACTTTGACCAGTTGCAACATAGTCCTCCCCAAAGGTTGCTCCTGGGAGCAGGCCCGAGGGATCTAGAGTCAAATTCGCTGTAAACCAGTCGGGTAGAGGAATTTCGTAACTTCCTAGTTCATTCCATGTTTTGGAGCTGGTGATCTCTAGTCCTCGAGATGAAGAACCTCTGAAGAGCTGTACGCCACGCTGCAGCGCGCATTCGGTGTCACACCAAGACGCTTGTTGTGGCACAAGTGTTACTGATGAGGATGTAGATATCAGGACTTTGAAATTCTGACCCGTGCCTGTGCCATCGTTGCCGATATTGATGTGAAAACTGGACCATTTGCCGTCATCACCATCAAAGTCTCCGCTCACAGGTACATCCAGGGGGGTAGGTAGCACTGTGACTGCCGACGCACGTTTTTCGAAAGCCATAGTCAAATTGTGTGCATATTAGTTGAAATACCGAAGCAAGACCTCAAAGCAACGACAAAAGGTGAAGAAACCACAAGAGTCAACGATCGATAGGTAGGATGACCTAACGCTGATATGACTAATTTGGCTGGAGTCAAAGCGATAGATGCTTGAAAGAGCCGCGTATTTTTACAGAAGGACTCACTGTCCAACGAGCGTGAGGCAGGGTTGCTTCTAGGCCCACTGCGCTGGCCGAATGAGCCGCCTGGCTGGGCACATGTTAAAGGCGCTCACTTGGTTGCTTTGTCGAATGATCGCCGGTGCCACAGGCGCGGGGTTAAACCTCCACCAGTGCACCTTATGGTTGCAGATTGCCTGTGGTGACATTGGCAACGACTCTACCGGTCAGGTCCTGCATCTTATGTAACCAATAGTGCTATTGGGGGATAATTGGGCTCAGGAAGAAGGCTAGTGCTGCCGTGTACTGTGCATGAGGCGATTGTTGAGCAAGGGCAGGTCACAGAATCGCTGCTGAAATGGTGAGGTGGCTGGGGGAACAAAGAGTGTCGACGTTGATAGATGAAAGGAGACGACTGTTCTTGATCGCCGCGACGCCCCATGCCCGCCTAACTATAGGTAGGTACCTAGTGCACGGCTACGGGTGACGATTGCACGTGCATCACTACCTTTAGCCCAAGTGTACATTTCTCGTTCACACTACTTTCGTGCCACTATCCCCGGGCGTCGATGATTGCCACATTGACTCTAGGAATACTATTTCATTGTTGCGAGCGTGAGAATCTAGGTCATTGGGCAAATTTTCAAAGGCTGCCCTTGTTCTCCCGTTCCTTTCATTGTTACCGTACCGGTAGGCAATTGGCCACTGCAAAAGCGCCCCTCGGATATATCCTGCCAATGACCTCACAAGCGGCATCAATGCAGATGGCAAGATGCATATTCTCATTGCACATGGATAAAGGTAGTAGCTTGATCTGGCTCTTGTGATGACCATGTCAGCAATCACCACATATGCACAGCGCTCTAGATTCATGGCTCCGAGCAAAACTGTGTGCCTGGTGAGGTATACGGATGCTATACCGTCTCTCCAAGCATATCCTGGCATCTCATCTCTCATGGTAATCGCAGTCTGCGGTGATATAACACTCACTTTTGCCGATATGTTTGGCTTCCGAGGAGGCATTACTAGGCCAGCTACTTTGATACACATCCGGCCGCCTCGCTAATGAGCAGCTCCCAAATGAAAGTCGATCACTACCCCGGATTGGATATTATTCTCTCCGCGCATGTGGATCAAGTCCCAGTAAACAGGATTGCCAACAAGGCTGGGAAAGTCCCCTTCGCTCGAGTCATTTGTACGCTGCCGTTTTATGCAATTGCCCACTAGTTATACCATTGCTTTATAGCCACGCACTTCTGCAGACTCTCTCTCTTTGTCAAGTAATAGCATTCAGTCCGTCGTTTCCGGAAAGGTATGTATCATTTCATCGCTCTCATATTGGTAGAGTACCAAAGCGTACGCACTCGACCAGGACCTCTTCTTCCATGCTTTGTGCACATCAACAATGATATGTTTATACTCTCTCTAAACTTCAGACTATTCAGACCATCTTGCATGTCCGAAGCGCGCCATAGTTGTCACGTGCATCACTGATTCATTCAGCCTCAAACCGCGTGCCACTCGTTCGGCGGGCTCAGCAGTCTCTCACTTCAAGCATGCACATCCGGTGGCATTTCTTGCTGACCTGTGGCGTTGTAGTTCTTTCTCAGAAGAACAAAATGGTACTTGGGGTCAAGGCGACAGAGTCATCCGAACCCTCTGTGACAGCAATCCCGAAAGAGAAGTTTCAAGTTGCTGCATATGGTGACCCTGCTTCTGCACATGGATACCCAACCTTGAAGCCTCCGACATCGAATACCTGCAGCAGACAAACAGTCACCATCACCAATGGAGGAACTTCGGGCTGTCCGCGACCGTCTACTATAACGAAGAGATTAACACTTACCTCGCGATATGTCACCACCTCTATCTCGACTTCCAAATTTACGACGACATGTACAGAGTATATTACAGTGACGAACACTAAGAAAGTAACAACAACGGAAACCAAGGTAAAGAAGATGCTTATCGACTTCAAACTCCCTGCTGATTCTGACCAGACTGATGTATCAACAATCACCCGGCCCGGTGTCAATATAACCACTGTAGGTATAGAGTCGTTATAAGATTCCGCAGCATCGTACTCACGCCGTTCATAGACAGTTCCGGGACAAAACACTATAACAAAGTACACGACATATGTGAGTTTACGAGAACCTAATGAGAAGAATTTCTACTAACCTTTCAGACGACAACTTTCACGACTATTTCCGTAAGCACCTCCTCTTCACACCCCCTGGCCTTCGGCATTGGGCTTTAGAATCAGCAGTCGAACCTTGTCCTGTCCAAGAAAGAGTTTCAATGGAATCGATTGCGCGCAGTCATAGCTGACCACCCTGTAGCTCGTACCCACAACTCAAACTAGTTTCCAGCCAACAACGGAGATCTCGCTGGTTACGACACTAGTGCCGACGACGGTAGAGGTGACTGAAATTATACGAACCACGGATTTCAGCATCACAACAACAACTTATACCTCTGTACTTTGGCCTTTTTCCACACAAGAAAGAACATGCTGACTGAAGCTTAGGTCACGACTTCAGTAACCACTGAATATGTCCCCACCACTATCATACGTAAGAAAATCTCTTGACAATTCGTTTTCATTCATTAACGTGTAGTAGTGTCTGGAATGACATCGATTTCAACACAAACTGTCGTTGCGACAGTCACAGAGACCCTGACGCTTACTGACACTATCTCGCTAACGCAAACGGTTGAAATCTCCATTCCTGGGCCCACACAAACTCTACTCGAGACGACGACTGAAGTTTCTTTTAGCATCAGCACACAACTTAGTACATTGACCTTACCACCTGTAGTCATTGTAACAACGACGACATTGCCAGCCTCGACTCAGGTTATCACGACAGAATTACCAGCAAGCACAATCGTGTCAACGGTAACATCAACCTCGACACTTCCGCTGGTTACCCTCACTACAACTAGTGTTGCTCCACCCGAGACCATAATCAGCACCACAACACAGCCAGGACAGATGGTCACGACGACATTGCAAGTCCCAGGAAGCGCTTCAATCATCACAACACAGCTACCACCAAGTACCATTTTGTCAACTATCACATTGCCTCCTGTTACATCGACAATAACGACCCAAGTTCCAGTGACCACTTCAGAATCGACGCTACTTTCGACCTTGACTTTACCTGCTTCGACAGTGGTCACGACGATCACATTGCTGCCTATTACTTCCGTAACAACGCTCACACTCCCTGGTTCTGTCTCGATATCCACTGCGCTTATCACCAAAACTGTGATTATAACCCAAGTCTTGCCAACGACAACTCCACCGACGTTGACACCCAGTCCTTCCTCAACATCTTCAGCGTCAATTTCTTGCACAAGCGACTGCCAAATCGACGTCACAGCAACACAGTTGGGGTATCCGGGGGTTGTAGTGGTATCTACTGTCGAAGTTCCTGTTGTCACCTTGTTCATCACAACAAATCCCGACGGCATCCCAGTCAGCTCCTCGCTCTTCACCAGCGTGATTCCGCCAGACCCAACCCTCACCTGGGATTATTCGGGTATCACTCTGACCTATCCCACAACCTATGCCGTGTACGAAACCTTCAGCCACATCTCCGTCGAACCCGTTGGCACAGTCTGCCTTGGCTCCACACTCACGTTGGCTTTGCCCTCGCCGACGAATTACGAGCCGCTGATCGTCGTGTACGATCAAATCCCGAATCCAGACTTTGTCGCCCCGACAGTGGTTGAGTACTTGAACGGCCTTGCTACCGTTACGGAACAGCTGGGCAGCACGATTGGAACAGGTGCATGTGACCCAAACGCCAAAGCCACGGATAAAACGAGTACCTCGTCACGAGTGACGACCATGTTCAAGACACGGGGAACCGTTGGCACGTTGACGAAATTTGTCGCACAAGCTGATGAGCTGCCAACTTCTACGGGAGCTGTTTCAGTCGTGGTACCTTTTTCAAGTGCGGCGCAGCGTATTTCATCAACACTACTACCGCCACCTTCCACTGCGGTCATGTCCCGTAATCCCCCCTTTCCTATCCTGTCCTCTGGCATTGTTTCCAGCAGTCAACCTCCCATGGCCATGAGTACACCGCGCCTCACCTCATCCAGTGCAATGGTATTGTCTAGTAGCCATGTGCCTCCCTCAAGCAGCATCGATACTTCATCCTCATCCGGTTCTGCGCTTCTTTCGAATAGCCTTGCTAATTCCAGTTCTAAAGGTATCTCGACGTCTCCCGGCCCTTCGTCTTCGTCCAGCGCCCCACTCCTTTCAAGCCTTGCGTCAACGCGGTCCACCACTAGCGCCATCAACCGCACAAGCAGCGCGCTCTTTTCAAGCACCAATTCTTTCAATTTTACGGCTGGTGCTGTTGTCCCCACGGGCCATATTGTGGGTATGTTACTTGGTGTTGCAGGGCTTGGTCTTGGACTTTTCTAATCGGGGAGGGGGGTTTTTTTTTAAAAAAAAAAACACCTTTTGGAGAATATGAGGAATGAGGACGGTGTAATTGGGTTACCGATGATACATGAGAAGGAGAGTTTAATTCTTGCTGGATTTGGTGTTGATACATGAGACCGCGAATTTCTTTTTGCTGGTGTAGTGTGCATGATTCAATCTCCTACAAAACGCGCCTTGTTATTCCTCGAGCAATCCTCGAGATATATGAAAATCAAATCAAATCAAATCAATCCGATCTAAAAAGCCGAGATACTCTTGCTATTGTCAGCTGCCACAAGAAGCAGACGTTAGACGCCGACAAAGCAACACTCCAAGTCCGTTTCCGCGCATATATTGTATCGCGCAACACCAACACCCCTCCCCCGGCACAAAAGATATACAATATACAACGGAAAAAAAATTAATAAACCTGAGTACCATGTATATATGTATACGAAAGAAAACCCAACATGGTATATATCGCATAAGAAAAGAAACGCCCATCACCTAATCTTTACATCCCCAAACCCACTCTTCAACATGCTATCCACCGCCGCGCCTTCACCTACCAGGGGTCCCTGCATCGCGACCGTATCCCCAGAAGTATGTACTCTCCTCCTCACCAGATCCCCAACCTCCTGCTCGCGTTCCCGACGCTCTTTTTCTTCATCTCGAGCAGCACCACCTTGCCGCTCCTCTTCCATGCGTCCACCAACACCCGCACCCCCATCTCCCACCCTCCTCCTAACCCCCCTCCCCCTCTCCAACCCCCTAAAAACATCCTCATCCGTCGGCACAAGCACAACGCCCACCGTCTTAACACCCATCTCAAAAACCATGACAACCGCCACAACCAGCAGCGTGACACACCACCAATGCGCCGTATTTCCAAAGCGACGGAGAAAGGTGGCGCGGACGTAGTAGATTTTGGAGGCGGGGTTGTAGAGGGCCGAGAGCAGGATGTTCCAGAGGAACCAGCCGCCGATGGAGAGGACGAGGGCGAGGGCGTTGGTTGCGGTTTTGAGGGAGGTTTCGATGAGTCTGTTGGGGAGGGTGGGTTAGTTTGGGGGTTGGAGGGGGGAGGGGTGGGGGAACAACATACTGCATCTTTACAGCGATCAATATGACGACGACGGTATACGTCCCCATACCCATGGGAAACACACTGTCATCGGCCAGCCAAGCCGGTCCCTTGGCCCAACCCTCAACCATTAAGAAATACACAGCCATGGCCTCGGCCGTCGCCATGACCATCCAGCGCAGGTAGACCCAGACGTTGAAGCCGCCATTGCGCTGGCCAATGGCATACAGCTCGGGGACCTCGAGCAGGGTATCTGCGCGCAAATCCTGCTCAAAGACGCCCATGAAGATGACGGGGAGCGAAGTAAACAGGGTATTAAACATGCTAAGGCTCCAGCTCTCGTACAGACTTGTACCCGTGTAACCGACCTCGCGCTGAAACAGGGCCTGTGTGAGGTAGAAGAGCCACTCCTTCCAAAAGGTGCCGACGGTGTACTTGCACGTGCGGACATAGTTCCATCGGCCGTGGACGAGTAGCAGCTTGGTCAGGAAGCGGAACTGGGCGATGCTGTAGTCCGAGGTGCGGGCGGCTTGGAGGCCCTCTTTGCCTGTGATGCCGATGCCCACGTGGGCTTCTTGGATCATGGCGATGTCGTTTGCGCCGTCGCCGATGGCGAGGGTGATGGAGTTTGTCACGCGTTTGCGGATCGAGTGGACGAGGAGGGCTTTTTGCGAGGGCGAGGCGCGGCAGCAGAGGACGGTGGAGGCGAGGATGGCGAGGTCATGAAAGGGGGTGGAGAGGGTGGGATCGTCGGTGATTTTGCTGAGGGTGAGGCCATCGATGACGACGACGGCGTGGGCGGTGCGGCCGTGGGAGATGGCAGTTATGGCGGTGGTGAGGGTGGTGAGGAGTGGGGTTGGGGACTCGTGGTCGAGGATGGTGACGGTGGAGTAGTCCTTGATGAGGCGGCAAGAGTAGCCAATATTGATTGCAGTTTCGCGTTTATCCCCTGTGAGCATCCACATTTTGATCCCAGCCCGTCGCAGCTTGTCGATGGCTTCAGGAACGCCGTGTTGGAGTTTATCTTCGATTGCGGTGGCGGCGCAGAGATCGAGGTCTTGTTCAATCTTGTCGCCAGCCTCCTCAATCAGCCGTGTGCGATCTACCAGACTTGTTGTCGCGGCCAGGTATCCTCGCTTCCACGTCTGATACTCTGCTTCTGGCAGGAATTTGTATCCATAGAGAAGAGTTCGCAACCCTTCTGTTGCAAAGTCGTTGAGATGTTGCAAGCAGCGTTCAATGGTTGCAGTCTCATCCCCTGCCACATTCTCATCGACCAGCGATTCCACTTCCTCAAGCTGCATCGAGCTTCGTGCCGACGCAGTGTAAGCCATTGAGAACCGGCCCAGGCCCGAGGGACGAGGCGTCTGCGCAGGGGTATCCTCATCAACGGAGTCGCCATCCCGGAAATCGTTCTCCCTCTCCCTCAACCACTGATCCACGTCATCCCTCACAGACTGCGAGCCCCCTCCACCCATACTACTGCGTGCAAAAGACGGGCGACCCAAATTCAGACTCGCACGCGCGGCTTGGCTCAGTGACATACTCTTCCGACCTCCAGCCAGGCCACTAGCGCGCCGTTCATTCTGCTCACTCATACGAGCAATGACACGCTGAGCATCCATACTCTTCCTCGCATTTGCGCGGCGCTCAATCTCCACCATTTTCCTGTTCGCAAGGGTGGCAAGTCTGAGACGCTGCAGGACGATGGAGTCCGCGCCTTTGCAGATGATGCAGATGCGGCCGTCCGGGAAGCGAAGGACAATGGACATGCGTTTGCGCTTGCTGGAGAACTCGATGACATCTAAGATCTCGTACGTTTCTACGACTGGGTCGGCGTCGGGGCCAGCGGGCGTCGTCTTGAGCGTGATGGATTGCACATCGCGGTTGATGAGCAGGAAGCCCATGTCTTGTGCTGCTTGCACCAAGGCGAGTTCATCGGGCGATGAAGCCATGAAGTGGGTTTCGCCGTCCTCCTGGGTCTCCGGGAGACAAGTATGGCACAGCGCCAACGAGAGCAGAAACATGTGTGCCTTTTTCGAAAACGGGGTGTGCGGCTTCCGCTGGATGTATCGCAGCATATCCTGCGTTCTCAATTCTCTCGATGTCTTGCTTGGCTTCGCACTCGATTTCCACTGTGGTCCTGCTTCTTCTTCTAGTATGACATCCGACACCGTTTCGACCACAGCATCAGTGTCCTCCTTCCCACTCTCCTTCACCTTTGCAGGCCCTTTGCCCTTCCTCCTCTTTCCCTTCTCCTTTTCCTTCATCTTGACTCCTCTCTCCTCCTCCTCCTCCTCCTCCTCCTTCCTCTCCCTCCTCAAATCCTCATCATGCAACCACGCGACCCCACCCACACTCAACTTGCGAAACTTCATCGAATTATCCGTCAACGTGCCCGTCTTATCCGAAAAGATATAACTGACTTGACCCAGCTCCTCGTTGATCGTGCTCGTGCGCGGTTCACACGGAGTATCGGAGACGGGGTCGTACATGTCCACGTCGGCGTGCAAGAAGAACATTTGCGCCAACTTGACGATTTCCAAGCTGACGTACAAGGAGAGTGGAATCATGGTGTTGAACATGATGATGAAGGAGGTGAAGCTGGGGAAGAAGGCGACGGAGGCGTTGGACAGGTAAAACATGTCGTCTTCGTTGCGCTGCCAGACTCTGTAGGCTACGGCGTTGAAGATGGAGAGGGCGAGGACGAAGACGACGATGAGGATGACGATGCGGTTGACGAGGCCTTGGAGCGCGGGCGCCTTGATTCGCGGGTTCTTGTTGGCGTTCATGCGGATACGGCATTCTTCGCCAGAGTAGATGACCATGCCAATGGCTTCTGGAGTGTTGCGCAAAATACTGCCGCGGAAGATGATTTCGTTGAGTGTGAGAGGGGCTTGCTTGCCGTCTACGGCGACACGGCCTTCGAAGCTGTAGAGATCGCGGTTGGGGTCTTCCACGACGAACTCGGCAGTAGTTCGAAGCACATCTTCGGCGTCGAGAATGGTCTTGGAGACTAACGCGGGTGTCTGTTTGGACTTGAGATTGGTCTCTCCATCAAGGGCCATGGTTTCGACATATGCCACGCTGTTCTCGCCCTTGGTATGGAGGAGAGCTAGATCAGCAGGCGCGGCATCATTGCGGTCGAGTTTGATGATGTCGCCCACGTTGATATCCTGCCACTTGATGGGTTCCCAATGCAGTGCATCTGGCGAGGGCGAAGGCGAGGTGATGCCATCTGTAGATGCACGCTTCAACTCGACCGGAGCATTAGCACGCAAGACGTGGGCTTGGCGATTATTTTCCGCCTTGTCAAGTCGATATCGCCTCAGATCGTCATAGCCTTCCTTTGCAATCGACAGGGTGACAAAGAACAGCAGCGGGACAATCGTCGTAAATTGGCCCGTCGTGCTCAGACCGGGAATCATCTGCAAGATGGAAATGACCAAGAAGTAGAAATTCGCCAACTTTGAGAATTGCGCCACCAATTGCCGGGGCACAAAATTCCAGGCCGAGTAGCGTGTCGATCGGATCCAATTGCTGGTATATGGCTGCTCAGTTCGCTCGTCTTGGAGTGGCTGACTTCGATAGGCATCGAGCAGGATGTGTCGTCCGTCTTTACTCGGCGGTACATCTTTGATTCCAAGGATAAACTTCCTCGCCTGTTCGGCCAACTCCTTCACTATCGTGACGTATCGCGCCTTGATATCGCGTCCCGTGCGACGATGAGGTAGAGCAATAGGTCCCGTGCCAAGCGCCGTCTTTGACAATTCCGAAGCACTCGAAACATAGGCCTCGTACTCTGGCGTGACTGTCACCATGGCATTTCCACCTTTTGACGGTCCCCGTTCGTCAATATACTCCATTTGCGCCTTTGCACTACCAACCCCCTCTTGCAATTCGATATGTCCATCCGCCTGCGCCGTATCGTGTACATTTCTGCGAAACAGAGCGCTGCGTAGTGAGTAGCCCCGACTCCGGCCCTTGGATGCTGTAGGCGGCGTGGGTGAAAGCGCCGCTCGATTCGTCACATGTGAAGGTGAAGACGAACTGGGATGCACACTTTCACCGCTCTGCTCAATCCCACTTCCCTCATTCCCATCCTCTCCCACCTCGCGTGTCTCGACCCTCAATTCCGACATGCCAGCACCCGCCGCCACCTTGCCAGCACCCCACGTCCCATGCGCACGCCCAGCGCCGGCCTCCCCATCCTCTGAGAACCTGATCTGGCGCGCCTCCTCGTCCGCGCGCGGTTGTAGCCCGGGGGGGTTAGGAGCGCGCAGTGCATCTTCGTCTGCGCAAGTCTGCGTCGTCTGCGTCGTCGGTACCGTGGTCGTCGTTGTCGCTGTCGTTGTCGCAAACCCCATCGCACCCCCACCAGCATCATCAACAGCATCACCATGCGATGCAGAACCTCCCTCTCTCATCGCCGTCTCGATTACTCCATGCACACCAGCAGCGCGCTCATCCTGCGCCTGCGCGTGTGTCTCTCGAGGTCCGTTTTCCGTCTCACTTCCAGTAGGTCCATGTGCGGCGTGATTTCCAGCTCGTGCCATGGTGTGTGGACATGTCAATGTCAATGTCAATGTCGATGGTAAGGGTAAGGGCGAGGGTAATGGCGCATATCATATCTCGTTGAGTTCGCGCGCGGTTGCTCGTTTGCTTTTCCTTTTCCTTCTGCTTCTTCTTGCGCACCGTCTCGTCTCTCTCGTCTCGTCTCGTCCCGTATGGTATGGTATCGTCCCAGCCTTACATCCACCTCAAATCCACACCCACGTACAATACCCAGAACCCAGCACCCAAACCCAACCCACCAACCCACCTCACACAAACCCCTCGCAACCTCCTCCGGCGATCACTTCCCCGCGAAAACCCCAAAAAAAAGCGAGACGTCAAAGATGCGCAGCGCACCTCGCAAAGCAGCAAGGCCGTGGGGGCGAAAACGTACGCTGTGCAACGCAGTAACGGACCGCGCAAGGACTTGTAAACGAACAAAGGACGGCACAATGTACGTATGTGTAGATGTGAGTATCCGTCAGAGTCCCAGACAACAACAAAAAGCCGTGCAAAGGACCAAGTCCAGCACACAGGATCAAGTCCCGGCTCGCTCAGCCCCGATTCAATTCATCCCCATCCCGCGCGGCCAAGACGCGGGCGTTCCAAGGAAGTTTTGCAGCTGGGGCGGGTGCGGGTTCCCCCGGTAGGTCCACGGTCACGGGTAATGTAATGTAACTGGACGTGAGGTGACGTCGAAGAGCGAAGCGAAGCGAGGTGGGTGGGTGTAAGGCTGGCGGTGGCGGGGTTGGGGCTAGTTACGTTCATGTACACGCACCGTACTGTACTAGTGATGTCGGCGAGTTTGAGGATCACGTTACTTGTCTTGTGCTCTGAAAATAGCCAGGATGTAGCAGTGGCAAATCACATGATACTCAAACTACCCGAGCGCATGAGTACTGTCTCGAGTCTTTGCTATACATAGCTGTGGGGGCATATTCTAGGGGCCGGGGGAGGATTTCTTGAATAGGTAGTGGAACCGTGCGTCTAGCAGTCTACACAGTACTCTACACTCTACTCTCTATAGTCTGCATGCCTACTCTAGTCTAACAGGAAATCGTTTCGAGAAAAGGGAGGAAAAAAAGAAATCAATACTGTGCAATCAATCCTCTCATGTGCCATGGCTTGATTCAGTTTGGGTTACAATCTTGGTAATGTGGATTGAATTGCCTACAATTACATGCGCCAATTCATGCATCTCTCTCTCTCTCTCTCTCTCTCTCTCGTGTAGCCACACTCTGACCCACAAGATCCCCTCAAGTCCATGCACCCAATGCCCACTTTCTTCTCTACTCCTACTCCCCCTCTACCTCACCCCACCAACCAACCGATTCCCCCCCCAAAAAAAAGAACAGAAGCATTCTCAAAGCCAATATGTGGTATCCGGTTTGTAGTAATCGTGACGCTTCATAAAAAAAAAGACGAGGTATGGCGCACAAGAACATACATGCACATATGCATGTGCATGTGCATGTGCATGCAAGCCAAAAAAAGATTATGATTCGAGGAAACAACAAGGTCCAGAGAATAAAAAGAAAACGCCCAAAAGAAAGAGGGGTAAGCCAAGCCCTTGTGAATGCGCCGTGCAATATGCGGCCCACTTTGAGATGGGTAGATGATGAGATCCAGGGGTCATGTATGTTGACGATGATGCGCACGTGTGTGTGTGTGTGTGTGTGTGTGTGGGTGAAACGGTAAAGAGGGTGAAATGGATGCGGCCGTGTTTTGCTGGACTGGGTCCTCAACTCGCTGCAACACACCAGTGGCGGTGGAAGACCCAGGCGCTCTTTTGGCATTCTTTGCTGCAGTACTTTGTCCGTCTGCAACGTCGGCATTTGGCGAATTGCCGTGTGTATTCTTCCCAGCGGCCGCATTGGTAGTACGCACATTGACGAATGCCGCCACGCGAGTCGTCTTTCCGGCAAAGGTTGCGCATAACCACGCTTGCCCAGTACTGCATGTCCGAGGTGTGGTGGCGGACGGTGAATTGCTCGACCAAGGGGAAGATGTTGAAGTCGTCTGGTAGTTCGTACTCCTCGAGCTCCTCCTCGAGCTCCTCATCGCGGCATGCCTTGGGCGTCGATGTTTCGCCGTCCAAGACTTGCAGATCGGTGCCAATCTTCAGTTTGGGCACCAGATGGGATTTCTGGAAATAGGTTCGGAGGTTGCAGTACTTGGACACGTACGCAAGCAGCTGCAGAGACATGAGGACGTCTTCGTCGCGAGGCATGGCAGCCAGGACACCGGCTGTAGCATTGCGGTCCTGTGTGTAGCGTGGGTACCAAGGAGGTGGAGGGTTGGTGGCGTTGATGACGCTGATGGCGGGCTGCATGGGCGTGAAGCCTGGGAGGGCGTTTGTGGTGGGCGGAGTGTTGATGGGGTTGATCAGACTACCATCCAAAGACGGGACATGGGTAATGTTGAACGTCTGGTTGTTCTCGTCCGTCTCTTCTGAGCGTGCGGCCACGGGCACAGGCGTGGCGCCGCCGTCCAGCAGCTCTCCATTGTCGACAATGTCCGCCATGTTGATTTCGTTGTTTTGAATGCCCACAATCGGCTCGCTCACAGCTGGACCTGCGGCTGCGACGGCTTCCGTGGACAGTTCATCTTGTTGTGCTTCGAGATCAGAGTCGCCCGAGGCTGACAGCTGGTGTCTGATCGAGGGTCGTCGGCGGGTACGGGCGAGGGCTGGCCGCGGGCTCGACTGACGTGCCAGTGGTGCACTGGGTGTGGTGGGTGATTCTGGTTGCGAGTGCGAGGTAATCTCCCTTTGCAGGGCAGGCAGCATCGACGGCAACCGATCCGCATCTCGAACCGGTCGTAGGGCAAAGGCATCGGGCGTCGTGTCCATGGAGGGCAGGGCAGTGGCGAGGGGCTGCCCGATGTTGCGAGAGGTAGTGCCGACAGCGCCGAAGCCAGCTCCTCGGGCCTCGTGACTGCGATGATGGTGGTGATGGTGGTGGTGGTGGTGGTGGTGGTGGTGGTGGTGGTGGTGAGGCGGTCGTCCGCGCGTAAACGTGGTTCGCTCGGGCGGGGAGCTCAGCGAGAAGGAGGGCAGTGGTTGTGTGTTTTCGGCCACGGCAGAATCGACGGGCGTCGGGGGTATCTCGATGGGTGGTGGGATAGAGCGACGCGTGCGATCTGCTCGGTGGCTAGCGCTCGAGGCCATGTCACCCGAGCGTGAGGAGTGGTGACGATTCGAGCTGCCAAGACGGCCGGAACGATGCAGGTCTGCTTCAGCCCGCGCCCTGCACTTGTCGACGACCTTGATGTAGTTGTCGAGAATGGTGGCAATGACGGGCACCATGTCGGCTTCGACGACGCGGGTGCGCACATTCTCGGAGCCGCGGACGCCAATGTTGAAGATGCATTGGAAGGCCAGATTCCACTTCCACATGTCCATCATCTCCTTACTCCGGCCCTCCTTGAGGATGCAGATGAGGCGCTCGATGCCGCCATCGACGGTCAGGATATCGCGGATGCGGGCCGACGAGGTGGTGAGGTAGGCGAGGTGGTTAAGCGAGTTGATGAGCGGCAGGGTCGAGGTGCAGTCGAGGGCGCGGCGGTCATAGAGGGCGGTGGTGATGCCGACTGAGGCCTTGTTGGCATTGGGGATGCTGAAGTTGACCTCGCGCATGTTTGGTGCAGTGGATGCAGATGCAGTTGTAGTGCCGTAGCAGACGGACGGGATCGAGGGAGGCGACGGTCGGAGCTAGTGTGGCATGTGGTGGTGGTGGTGGTGGTGGTGGTCTTGGTGGTGGTTGGTGTAAGAGGGTAGCGGCGGCGGCGGCGGCAGTAGCAGCAGCAGCGTTTGTCGGGCGGCGGCAGTGGCCGGACAGCAAACAGCGAAAGCAGCAGCCACAGCAACAACAACGACAACAACAACAACAGCAGCAGCAGCAGCAGCACCAGTAGCGATGACAGTGATGTTGTGATGGTGATGGACGATGGTGTGAGGGAGGTGGAGTGTCAGAGGAGAGGCCCGTGGGTTGGCGAGCGTTTTGGGTGTGTCAGTCCAAGAACGGCGATAGCCCAGGGCAGGGTGGAGGCGTGGGTGTGCGTTGTGCAGGCTCGGCGATGTCACTTTGCAGTCTCAGGTCTCTCTCCCACGACAGCGCAAAGTCGCTAGCAGCTGCAAACTAGAGGAGAGGGTGCAGCAGAGAGACAGACAGACAGACTATCAATTATCGACGCAGCCCAGTACGCACAGGGTTGGCGGTGGTGGTGGTGGTGCAGGTGTTTGCTTTGCTTCGTCTGCCCAGTTCCACTTTAGGGGGAGGGGGGTTGACCGTGACGGGTACTCGTCCACAAGCACAGGGTGTAACAAGACGTGGGCAAGAGCAAGCGAGCCTGGAAGCCAGCGAACAGGAGAGGGAGAGGGAGACGGGTGAGAAGAGGTGATGGCGGTGGTGGAGTGGAAGAGGGTCGGGTGGTGGTGGTGGAGGTGGAGGAGGTGGTTCTGGAGAGTATAATGCTCGAATGGGAATGCGGGTAAGAGGATGGCGGTGATGGTGGAGATGGTGGTAGTGGTGGTGTTGGTGGATGGATGGTGGATGGATGGTGGATGGATGGTGGATGGTAGTAGCTTTGGTGGATGGTGAGGCTGCAAAGACAAGAAGACTGACTGGCCACTGGCGGGATGAATGTGAGCTGGGCTGGCGGCTGGCTGGGCGTTGCAAGAAGGGGGTCCTTCTCCCAAGGCAGAGGACTGGGGTGAGTGTGTGTGTGTGTGTGTGTGTGTGTGTCATGTCATGGCCTGGCCCGCCGCCGGGCTCGAGTCTGCCCACTTGCCATCCTCTGCCATCCTGTGCCATCCTCTGCCATCCTCTGCCCACTCCACTCCACCGTCCCACCTGCTTACTCTACACTTGCGGTACTACTATCTCTGCCCACTCACTCACTCACTCACTCGGCCTAGGAAGCCCTTTTATGCGCTCTCGCCCACACAGCTGCAGCCCTGGAGTTGAAAAGGCGAGAAGAGAAGGGGCAGTCCAAGGCCGCCCAGGCAAAGGGAGAACGCACGCCACTGGTTGCCGATGCATTGCCAGCACTTTGATTGCTTGATGCCCCCCGTCTCCCTCATCCACCGTCCATGGTAGGCGTAGTACTATAGAACATTCTCTTGTAATGCAATCCAATCCACCTGCCGACTCTACCTAGTCATCTTCCATCATGCTGATAAGGATGATGCTCATCCTCCTCCTCTAATCAAGGCTGATGCGCTCTCGACCCTTCTCTCCCTTGCAAATTACCGATCCGGCCGCTGACAGGTCGCCTCGCCACTTCGCCAGTGGATTGAACCTGGATTGAACCTGGATTGAACCTAGGTACGGATACTCTGTTGGTAGGTTCAGTTGGCAGCATCTACTATAATACTAGTCCTGGTCGACTGTTCCACTACTGCATCTACACCCTCTGCCTACCCTCATCCTTTCTGACCACTTCAACCACATCAAACACAAGATACCCAAAGAAACCTCGGCCTCACATCTGCCACCACCACCATGTCCGTCTACGCGCCTCTACCGTCTGCCGCTCTGCGCGTCCACCGTCTACCATGTCCACCCGCAGTAGTGCAGTGGGGGTGCAAACACTACACTGCACCGTAGATGGGTCCAACTGCCACCCTGCCACGCCTTTCTCGTGTTTTGCCCCCTCTGCCAGCCTTGCGCTCGAGAACAGAGTTTGCCCATGCGTCTTTCACCATAATCACCCGTCTCCTAGCAGAAGCACAGATCACTGCAGTTGCTTCTACTCTACCCTCTACCCTACTCCCACCCTAGAGTACCCCCCTACCTACCAGGACCGCTCTGCCCTGGCTCACCCCTATCGACATCAGACCCACCACTTCGGATTCTCGATGCACCGCCTCCACCACGACAACGACAATCACCCCAACCTCTGATTCTAGATGCACCACCTCCACGACAATCACCCCCAACCTGCGGCCACCTAACCGCCTCCTTCTTCCATGGCCGAATCTCCGCACGAGACGCGCGTGCAGGATTTTGCAGCGCCTGCGCCTTCGCCTGTCTCCCCCACCGACCTCGAGCGCGCCACTTCCGACCCCACCGCCGCTCCCCACCTTGCCATTGACACCCACCCCGTCGACGGCCAGAGAACGCGAGGCCGCTCTGCCACCTCCACCACCGCCACAGCTGCCCGGTTCGACACCGACCATAGCCCTTCTTCCGACCGCGCTTCCTTTGACTCGACCCTGCGCAGACGCATCACCCGATCGCACACCGTCCGTCATTACCGCTCCCCGACCCGGCCCTACCAGCATCAAGAGCCCGGAGCAGAACCTGGTGTCGACACCAAAAAGGACACGGCCTCCAAGTACCAGAACCTCCATGCCGACTGTCAAATCACCGTAGTCGACTTTTCCGACGAGAGGGTCGAGTGCTACGAGCTGGACAATGACTCCCTCGAGGAGTTTCTCGCCCACCCAAAGGAAGACTGGGCCTCGTGTCGCTGGATCAATGTCAATGGCCTCAGCTGGGATGTCATCAAAACACTGGGCAACCACAAGAATCTCCACAGCCTGGCGATTGAGGATCTCATGAGCACCTCGAGCCGCACCAAAGTCGATTGGTACTCGGATCAAGCCTTTTGTGAGCACCTGCACTTGTTGCCCTCTTGATACTACCATGTTCAGGTACTAACCATCCGCAGTGTTGCTCACCCTTTCCAAGCTGGTCAGAACACCAGTCGATAGCGATTCAGACAGCAGCGACTCGGATTCCGACTCGGACGAGGAACGCAGACGTTATGCCCGCAAGATGCGCGAGGGCTCGCGCTCTCGACGACACATGCAAAATAAGAAAAAGAAGGAGAGGACGCAAAAGAAGCGATCCTTTTTCAAGTCGGTCAAGGACAGGTTGACCCCCGGGCCCTCGGCTCGTCAGAGGAAAGATGACATGCTCCGCACCTTGGACGGCCTGGAGAAGCAGCTGGACGGCACCGCGCTCGAGAAGATGACCATTTCCACTTCCCCAGCCTCCACTTCTGTCCGGACCCTGCAACGCTACCGAGGTGGCTACAATCTAGACCGCGTCGTCTACCTCGAAGATCACTCGGCCCTTACGCCCAAACACCTCACCGTCAGCGTGGAACAAGTCTCCATCTTCCTACTCGCCGACAATAGCGTCATCTCCTTCTTCGAGCACTCGGCCGACGAGGTCGAAGACATGATTCTCAAGCGCCTCCGCACGCCCGACACCATCCTGCGCCGCAGCCAAGACAGCAGCATGATGGTCCAAGCCATCATCGACGCCATCATCGATCTTGCCATACCCGTCGTTGCCGCCTACGAAGACGCAATGGGCGAGCTCGAACTCGACGTCCTCCAAGAACCCGAAATCCACCACTCGCAACTCCTCTACCTCCTCACCTCGGAACTCTCCATCCTCCGCAACACCATCCAACCCATCATCTCCCTCATCAACTCGCTCCGCGACCACAAGGCAGACCCCATGGCCCAAACCCTCCTCCAACACACGTCTAGCGGCCTCGCCACCCGCAAGACGATGAGCTCCATCAACATCTCCCCGCTTGCACACACGTACCTTGGCGACGTCGAAGACCACTGCATCATGATCACCGCCTCGCTCGACCAAATGCGCCGCGCAGCCGACAATCTCATCGACCTCATCTTCAACATGATGGGCGCCTTTCAAAACGAGAGCATGAAGATTCTCACCGCCGCCACCATCTTCTTCCTCCCCCTCACCTTTCTCGTCGGCTACTTTGGCCAGAATTTTGAAAAGTTTGACGGCATCAAGAATTCGGATTCCTTTTTTTGGGTGATTGCGGTGCCGGTCATGGTAGTTACGCTGCTCGTGCTGTTGAGCTACCGGATCAAGCGGGCGCTCGTGCGGTGGGTCGGCAAGTTGCGCAGGCGGAGGGTTCGGCTGAGGGAGGCGAGGAAGAGGGGTGGGAGGGCGGAGCAGGGGTTCGAGGACCGTGATGGCGGTGAGAGTGTGAGGGCGAGGAGGTTGAAGAAGAGGCAGACGTTGTATACAAAGGGGAATATTGGCTCTTTTTAGACATGGACAGGTTGTGGCTGAGGAATGATATCCTGAATACAGGTATGAATATATATATATATATATACGAGAAAGTGCGCTCCGTTGTTCTCTGTGATTTGTATGTCTGGTGATGTCCTGTGTTGTGTGCTTATATTGCTGGATAGGAAATGGATTAGAATACCGTCCTATCAACTAGCCCAAACTCGAGCTACGAAAACCACCCACACCATCCATACCATACAACATGGTGTACTGTGTACAAGTACTGTGTACAAGAAGCAAAAAGGGCTTACGAGGTTTGTATTGAGGATGATTGTGGTCGTGGTTGCTTGTGGACTGATTCAGTGTACTCTACTTTATTCTGCCTTGCTCTGTGCGACTGTACTCTATTTCACTCTACGCTTTGCTCCTCTACCTTTTTTTTTTTTTTGATATTTTTTTGGTCAACTTTACGGCACGCTGGCTTACGCTGCCGTACACGTACGTACCCACGTGAACGCGTTGCAACCGCAGTCCCAGCCTAGATCAATCATATCCAGTCCAATCCAATCCGATCCAGTCCAATCCAATCCAATCCAACCAAATCCCAATCCCTTACCCCTGACCCCTCAGCCGACCCCGAAGAATGACAAAAATAACAGCTAGTGCATGTCCGTGAAGAAAGATTGCATAGCGTCCTGCTAGTACAGTACAGCAGTGCATTGCATTGCTACAAACCAGAAAGAAAAAACACAACTAGGGATAAACGCCCAATCACCAGTATCTAGCATCTTGCATGATGAAGCATTTCCGACCGAGAAAACTTTCAACCATTCCGGGATGGTATGGTGTAGTATGATATAGCATAGTATAGCATAGCGTGAGATATACCAATATACCAATCCAGTGCAACACCGTACCGACCCGATTTTCACACGGCCCATCTCATGGCGTGAATGCCAACGAGCGCGCGTGAAGAAAAAAAGAGTCTGGGATGAGAAAAAAAAGCAGGTCGCGTGGGGGTCTACTGGACCTGTTTGATCTTGCATTGCCATCCGGAATTGGCTTCGAGGAGGGGAAGACTGGAGGTGTTTGTTAGCGAGGATCCATGTTCCTGTGTCTCATGGCAGCACCACCAGTACCACGTCTACGGCTGATTTGCGGGAGAAAATGGAAAGAAGAAGAGGAAAGCGAAAGAAAAACATACCTTGCGCCCAGACACCATCCCAATTCATTCCCCTTGATCTTCTTCGCAATCCGCACCTCGCGGTCAATCGGCATCCCATAGCCACTGCGCAGCAATTCATACATGAAGTTCAAATCCAGACACCACTCGGGACGATCCTTGAGCTCCTCCATCGCACCCGGAACCGCCTCAAAGGAGTCCCAGCCCTCGGAGCCGGCACAGACCTTGTCCGCGAGCTGCATGAGCTCGCGCAGGGTAAACGTCTCGGGCATGCCGAGGTCCTGGGTGCGGTCGTAAAAGTAGGAGAGCAGGTAGACGGCCTCGCGGGCAAACGTTTGCTCAAAGGGGGGCTGGTGGACGCCGCGGAAGGCGCAGGGCGCGAGCTTGCATTCGTCGTCCTTGTGCAGCGTCTTCTCGGCCCAGCCGCGGCATTGGGTTGGCGAGGCCGTCTTGGGGCCCGTCATGTTGACCGTCACGGTTTTGCCGAGGGGGTGGTTGGCGGGGAGGGCGACGGGGACTTCGCGCGACATGCCGGGTGCGATGCAGGGGTTTACAATGGGCTTCTTGAGGAATTCCGTATCCTTTGGGTTGGCCTGGTAGAGCGAGTCGACAATGGCGGCGTGGAGGTTGTTGCGGGCTTCCATGAGGCCGTAGCCCAGGTAAGAGTGCTGGTAGAGGTCAAAGTTGCGGTTGCCAAAGTTGAGACTGTATTTGTGGTCACCGTCTGCAAGTTTGGTAGGGAGACCGCCGCGTGGGGTGTCGGGAAATGTGGGCTCGAAGATGATTTGGGTTGAGCCACCGCCGAGATCGAGGACGGCGGCCGTGGGGTTCTTGTCGGGTCCACCAATGTGGCCAAGGAGGTAGTTCACTGTGATCCAGGCGTAGACCCCTTCCATCTCGCCAGGCATGACTTCCACCCCGTTGCGCTCTTCGGAGACAAGGGGAAAGGGGTATGCTGTCTCGAGGCGGCGACGGACGGCCGCGAGCGTGTTGTTTGACTTTTCCTCGCCGAGTTTGCGAAGACCGGCGGTAGCTTTGACGGCAATCGGGGAGCATGACTGGTACTCTGGGGGCACGCTTTTGACGGCCACGTCCATGAGAACATCCAGCGACTTTGCCGCGCCTTCTGCATCGTCGCCGTAGGCCGAAAGACCAGAACCGCCCTCCTTCTTGGGTGTTTGCTCAAACACTTCGCTCTCGAGCTCTGGGCTGGGGCCGCAGTTGTTGAATTTGTAAACGTGGATGCGCGAACCGGTGCTGCCTGCGTCGATCATGAGGGCGTATTGGATGAGCGGCTTGTCCTTGGAGTATGACTTTGTACATTCAGCCTTGACACCGCCAGCCGCCGTGTTGCCTCCTGATGGATGCGATACTGTGCCTACCGTCAACCTAGCCAAAACATACAATCACCCGCTCTACTACATACCGCTCTTTGACAGCCCATCCCTAGGCACAACAAAATACAGTACCAGCAGCACAAAGGCCACCAGACCGCCCGTCTTGAGGTAGCGTAACCGCTGCCCCTGATTCATTGTCGAGGATCCCTTGTAGTCGTTCATGAAGCCGTTGGAATGGTCGAATCGACGTCGAGAGTGTCTGTCTGCCTTTTCGTGCGGATCGTCGCGTTTCGGATCAAAGTTGCGCGGGAGAGTGACAGAGATGCGGCGGCGGGGACCCGGGAAACTAAAATAAGACCAGATGCCGGGACGTCGTTGGCTTCCGCTTGCTTGGACGCCGCTGGACATGGAACCAGGGGAGGAGGGGAGGAGGTTGTGAGGGAGGGAGGAAGGGGTCCACAATTTATTGGGACCTGAGCATTTAGGTGGCTGTCCCAGAACGAGCAAGAGTGGCGAAAAGTGGTCGAATCAGGGTACAGTCGTTCGAAACGACAGCTGTCCACACAGAAGAAACGTGAGAGAGATTCAAGAGGGACACTGTGTTTTCCGGTAAAGGCGATTGGTGTCACCAGAGAGTCGTCGGGCGTGCGTCTTCGTGTTCTCGGTGAGAGTCCCTGAGTCTTGGCAGTATAGGAACGTTGGGAATCTCTTCAGCCCTGCGCTATCGATAGACAAAACGTGATTGGTACTGAGCATGTTTCATGGTTCCTGTTCTATACTTCCTGTCATTACGCAAATGAATAGCAGAAGGGATATTCACGAGTGATTGTTTGTACTTTCAAAACTCCCTCATCGTCATCCCCGTTTTGGAAATCATCAAACTATTTGTGTATGGTGTCCAAGGATTCCCACCTTGCTCAACCGCGCTTCAGCTTCTGCAGACTGCTCCTTATTCTGCTCTCCATCTTCAATAACGTACAACGTCCATCTACAGTTATAGCTCGGGTTGTAAAGCCAATTGTCCAAGTCTTCGTCGAAAAACTGCTTCCTCGTCCTAGTTGACCCTCCTCTCCAAGTGCGACACATGACTTGGCCTTTCAGTCCCTTTGGAGCGATGCCGGTCATCGGCGACTGATACTGGCACAGCCACGTTCTTATGAGTCTCTGAGGCGAGAAATCGACATATCGCCGATTGCAACAATCTCTCCAGTCGATCAACAGTAGCCTTTCAGCCAAATGATAGTCCAGCTCGCTTTATAACGCTCTCAAATTCCTCCAGGCTGACGCCACCAACATCTCGGTTTTTGCCCTTGACACCACCGTTCGCTTCGAGTATCATGTCCTTCAAGATGTCGTCTGAGACGTCCTCTCTCAGTTCTTTGGCCACTCTCCGTAGATGCGCTAATGTGATGGGTCCCGAGCCACCGTGGGTGAACAGCTTGTAGGCAGAGTTGACCTCATCTGCGTGACTCTCGTCTGTGATGCCACCTTTGTATTCTTCGTCGTCCTCTTCCTCTTCTGATCCCTCTTCCTTGGAATGCATCGCTATTGCCGTATACGCAAAGAATGGAACAAACTCCACAAAGCCAGTGTTCAGCGGATCGATGGTCGAAAGGATTCCAGGTACTTCTGACCTGTCGGGTGCGAGATTCAAAGAGCTATTTGAGCGTTAGTGAAGGGAATCTTGCCGGGCAAAGATGGCCTACATGAGACATCGCCGAACGTCATCTCTGCGTAATACACCCTCCTCTGACGCCTCGTGCTCTGGATGCTTTACAGCAAACAAACCAAACGCCTCACGAATCTCAGCTTCTTGTTCTGCAGTCAATCCATTCTCTTTCGCAAGCTTCGAGGCCCGCTTCACAGGTGCACGCGCCTTGGTTGGCAGCGCGCGTCGTTTCGCAGGCTAAACAAACAAGATCAGTCATTACTTTTAAAGGCTCTTGTTTGATTCAGTGCTTACCATGTTGTCGCTTGGAATCCCACGACACTCCACTCGGCCTCTGTCGTTGTTCGGTTCAATGACGCGCTTGGCGCTTGGTCCATGTCCTTCACTAGTGCAACTAGTGCGAACACGGACCCACACGAGCTATCCCATAAAAACTCCTCACTTGTCATCAACCTCTTCTTCACGCCGTTTCCAGCCCTTCTTCGCAGTGGCATAAATCCTGCACGCTACCTCCGTTACTTCACTACATCACACTCATTCATTCCCTTCTACCCTCAGAGGCACTCTTATCCTCTTTTCGTTCACCGAAGCCAACCCAAACGTGTTCTCCCTCAGGACTATCACCACAACCAACAACCGACGCCATTCATACTTCACCATCATCCCCAACATATCAATCGATTAAACAGCACCACCCCATTCAGCACTATCCCTATTGTGTCTTGGACGCACGCGCTATGCCAGGACACGGAATTCGCTCCTGTCAGCATCACGGCGCAGCAACTTTCATCGGCTTGACCTCCGTGTGGATAGTGTGAATCTTTCCAAGTACAACCAATACCTAGTACCTCGGGAGAGGGTCGCAACTTGGTGGAAGTAGCTTGGGGAATGAGGTCACCATACCTCAAAGTTTGGCCATAGATGGTAGGCTGCTGTCTCCGTCGGCAATTGGCATACTTGTAAGGACCACAGTGCCTTACGGCTCTTACGAAGCTGGGAGACGTCCCACGATCCCCAGCATTCTCTTGACGAGGGCTGGATGAACTCAAGCATGAGGCTCGCAGAAGGGTCAGACCCAGAAGAGACTGGCCAAAGACGAGCGTTGACTTGAAAAAGACAAGCATAGCTTGCAAAAGTTGGGCGAAATGCCCATATTGTTAGCACCCTTTGGGGGCTGATTAAAACCGAGCAGAAACTCGCAAAAGTCTAGTAGTACGAGCGAAAGACGAGAGGACAGCTCACAAATCGGCATTATCCTGAGACGGGATTGCCACGATATGGTTAAGCATGTGCTTGGAAGCGCTGCCTGTTCTTGCGAATGACCGGTCGGACGATGCTGGTGGTCAGGATGAACTTTGTTCAAACTGCAACTTGCCTCGCTGAAGAAGGTTCGCAAAGCACAAGAACGCTGGACGAGCCATGTCTTGACTGAAGCCCGAACTTGCAGATGGATGGAATCTCGACTGCAATGTTCACAAACACGAGGAGTACGGACGAGCCACGAAGGATGAAACCAGCCAATTCGATTGCCTACGCTGCGGAGTTACAGACGACTCGAGCCTTATTGAGGCTCCCCTTGTGTCAACAACGAAAGGGTTGTCGATCTCGAAACCCCGGCGAAATTTCTCGATCGCGCTGGTCCCGTTGGCAAGGAGTCGACCCTCTCGTAAAATGGTTACGACCTAGAACGCGCGGTCGCTCCCACTGGCGTACACCATTCAAGACTACAGCCTACGAAATGTGCAAAGTCTACAATATCTCACCAAAAAAGATGTGAATACCACTGAAATGTGGTCATTGTCCGTTTGGTGGCCTGCATGAGTAGGGGGTAACCCCCAGTGCTTTGTGTAAGGACCCTTCAGAGGCTGGCCCTCGCAAGAGCTGCTGGCAATCTGGGAGTCCTCACTTAGTCACAAGAAGCCAACAGAAATGGAGTCGCCTCTAGGCGACTTTGACAGACCGAATGGTCCTTGGCGTGATTACTCCGTGGCACCCACAAACAATACATTGTACCGCCGTCTTGGCCAACGTATTGGATTCAAATGGTCACATCTTCGGATGAAGATTTCACTGCGCCATCCTGGCTGAGGTGCCCGCAACTGTTTGACATGTTTCCGACATGTTGTGTGGTCTTCCAAGACATACTCTTCCTTCATCGGTCGAGCTTTGGATGTTCCACTTGAGCCCTTCCCGGGCCCGGAACCAGCTAAGATTTGTCTTCATTGATAAAAACATCATGAGACTCCCAATCATGGCAGGTTGCGACTTACTGGAATTTGCATTTCTGACTTGTGACGTCTAGCTGACTGTCATCTCGTCAAGTCAAAAAAAATCAATTCAGTGAAATTGGGTTGTGAAATGACTAGTCTTTGGCATTGCTGGACTCTGAATACGGAACGGGTTTAACCAGCCTTTATAGAAGAATTGGTCACAGCGTCCTAAGTGATGCATCTGAGAGATTCAAAGCGCTGACTTGTCGGCATAAGTGGGGTCTGGGGGTTATACAGTCGTCTCTACTGCTCTACTTTGCTGCCTGCGCACGCAGCTCGCGGCATTTGAGCAGTGAAACTCTGTTGTTGATCGAAATCTAGCCATGGCTGGTGTTTCTTGAGACGACTATTCCGCTTCCAATTAAGCTAGAGCTTGCCACTACGTTTTTTCCATCGTTGAGCAAGTGTGGACAGGGAAGCAAGATTGAACAACGCCATCATCCTCTTACCTCTGGATGGTGCCGCCTTTGCCTTTCGATTCGTCGTGCCGATTAGTTGGCGCGGGGGAGAGAGGTGAAGGAGACATGAGTCTTCTTATTGTATTTTTGTGATGTTTATCAATACCATATTTTACTTTGCTCTTCTGTGGCGGACTGTTGTGTGTGCTATGTTGACATGATCTGTGTTAGGTGCGTAAGTGTATCCTTGCTCGCGCTTGAGTTCTCCTAAGAGTAAACAATCTCTTGAATTCAAAGAGACTACCAATTGTACTCTGTTCTTCTACCACGTTGCTTTTTTATATATCGACGCCCGTCAAGAATACAAAATCTTCCCCTATCCTCTTTTACACTAACCTCTTCACGCTCCATCTTTTCTTCTCTTTTCATCTGTCACTATCATCACTAGCCTGTCTTGCACTGAAATATTAATACACAATTTTCCTTTGCTAATAATAACCAATCAAAAAATGCTTCTTGGTGCGATTTGCGAAGGTACGGATATGATGGACTGTGCTCGGTTTGATTGTAGGAGGAAGAGGAAGAGGAGGCAGGGTAGGGCAGGGTAGGGCATTGTGTGGCAAGGATTTAGAAGAGACTCTAGAAGTCTTTAGAGCGATGTTGGTACCAATCATGTATAACCTAGACTGCGCAGAAGATGTATTATATCTGTGATTTGCAGGAGGATATCTAGACTCCTGCTGTACGATGAGTAGCTTGGCCCACCCATTCGGCCTGGAAAGTTGGGTCTCTGCCGAAGATGGTTTTTGTGAGGGATCTTTTCGTCGGAGTGTCGAAGAAGTTCATGACTATCATAGGTGCGGCGAATTGCGCTCCGTTATCTTCGACATTTGGCATTGGTGGGGGTATTTCAGCTGCTGGAGGCTCCATGTGTTGTGGTGGTGGGTGAGGGTCTGCTGGTGCAAAAAAGTCTTTCAATTCCTCCCCTTCGTTCGGAGGTTCTGCATGGCTTGTCAGAGTCTTGATGGCGTGTATGAACATTGATTGGGACTTTTATTTACGTCCACCGTTATTCCTGAGCATCCATCTGGTCAACCGGTGCTTCTTTATGAAATTTCTTGGCCCCGTGAATGTGGTGCTTGCTGCCAGCCCATTCACGCATTTTGGCTCGTCCTGACTTTGGGTATTTGGGTTTGGGTCTGCTGTTTCCTCATTCCGGCGATGAGCTGTTAATCTGGGCAAGCCTTCGCTAATTTCAGCTATGATCTGACTCTCAGTGAGAAGGAGCTGCTGATAAATTACCGTCCAATTAATAATCATGTCATTAAATGTCTTACAGGTTTTTCTTGAGAAAATGAATTCTGGTGATTCGGTGTCATGCCATTTTGGCGATGTACTGAAGACTTTTGTTTGTCGAGCGCCACACGCAAAGACAATGCCAGCACGACCCGAATTCCAGACGCTATCACGTATATTGTTGGGGTAAGCTAAGAGTCTATTCTGGAAGATATTACCATACCCGTGGTTCCTACAGAGACAAATTGCCCTGCCGGGGCTTTGCCAAAACCCGATGCGTGTAATTGTGGTATACCATAAGTATCTTGAAGAGACATTGTGTCGACGAGCGACGAAGTACAGGGAGCAACTAATTGACGTGGAATGATGATACTATGATCTCGGATATAGGTAGCTAGGAGCTGAGCTACCTGGAAATGGTACGCATGCGATGCCAAGGCTGCAATGCGATGCAATGCATCGCACTTGCATAATCACACCTGAACCTGTATTCTGGGGGGATTTTCTGGAGTGAGATAAATTCTACCGACATGGCTGAACTCCACATATGCCTGTAATGTAAAGTAATGCATTAGACCTGTACAGTTACACCTAAAGAGACAGCATGCAGCAAGCATTAACTCGTAATATTATTGATAGACACGCCTAGCTTCTACATATGTCGCTGCCTGCAGAATTGAATCAAGTCTTGTCATTCGAGCGACCAATGATCATTCCTACCGGTACTCGATTGGTGTGCGAGCTTCAACTTCAGGTTCAGCTCCAGCGGGGTTACGAAGAGCAGCCTTGGCCTGAATGTTTAGCATAGCCTTGTGGCCTTTGATAATCATCGCAATTTCCAAGAGAAAACCTTGCTATATATATTAAGACAGCGCAACTTGTCAATATCCATACTGTGAGTGGCGTTGAATCACTATATCGACAATGCCACCTAAACAAGAACCGCTTGTGGCAGAACCACTCAGACCCGCTCACGAGGATATCGAAGCACAATCAAAACGACATCGTCATACCACCAATTCCTCCCTTTGGCACGATCATACTCCATTATTCATGTTCTTCAAAGATCAGTCGAGGCGTCCAAAGCTTCAAGAGAGGCTGGAGAGGATGATGCTCACCGAGAATTTTCTCGCCCAGGAACCCCCAAAATATGCTCAAGGTTACCCGAACGTTGCCGGCTTCATGGCCATAGGTGGAAATCTTGCCATCTTCAGAAGGTTCGATCGCATGGCCTACCTGTCAACCTTGCATCAGCAATCTAGGCTCCTCGCTGTGGAACGTGAAATCGATGATATGGATACACTGGACGACGATTTCGATGCAATTGTACTTGGATTTATGAAATTTTGGAAGCTGGAACTGGAGATGGTAGAGCAATACCATGCAGAGCTATTCCCGCCCACTACAACTGAAAGCGACCTGGAAAAATACCTCACTGTTTCGGATTCGACCAAAAAAAGAGATTCTGTACTATTTACACCCCTCGAATCACTTCGATGGGTCGAAATTGTGCTCAAGACCTATCCTGGTAAAATAGCTCCATATGTTGTACTCCGCGGAAACTGGCGACAAAAAGTCAAAGACATGGACGAATTCGCCATTTCACTTGTGTTCACGAAAGATGATCCCTTGGAGTTGCCCATGGTTTTCAAGCATACAAAAATACACAAAAAGGACTTCACTCTGGCAGCGACCTGGAACTTCAAAGGGACAGACATTCGGGATGGGGGTCCCTTCCGACCTTCTTATCTTATGGGTAAAGAGTTCCAAGAGCGAGTGCATCGATGGTTTAAGTCATCTTTACCGTCCACAGAAGACCCGTATGATTCGAGAACTTTGCGGGTGGTTATCTGGTATGATAGAGATACCGTGGTATCTCCGTCAGGGATATCTGGTGCAATCGCTATCGCATCGTGCAACCAAAATTTGAAAGAGAGCATCGAAAGCGTAGAGAAACTACGATACGTCTGCCAAAATGACTGGAAGAGTAAAGTCATACCCGATCAAGGGGAGCTTTTCTCAGGAATGGAGCAGAAGTATGTTGCCGTCACCCTCAACTATATCGCATCTCAAAACCTAGCAGCGCTCAGGGATAGATCGGTGATGGCCAACAGCACCAGGCAAGAGGATATCACAAGACTTAATGCCCTCAATCGGCTCGAGCCATTACTGGCCGCTTATAGTAAGCATAGGACATGTACATCAAACCAACGGATGGTATGCTAAGAAGGCATCTGCAGGGAGCAGCTTGATGACCAACGCTCAAATGAGTCGTTTCGAAGCCCCAACTCATCGTGGACTAGCCGCGTTGCGGCACTGGTTCAGAGGCGGAGCAATGAAGGACGTCCAGCTACATAGGCTAGAGTTGCAAGGCTTGTCAAAGGGCGTCTACGGCCAGAAAGAGCACAATGAAGATCTTGTAGCCGTAGGCGCCCCATCTGGACGGGACTACCTCTCGCGCCTAACCAAGATCATCTTGCCCAAGGTATTCAAGGTCCGGAGTCAGGCGCCCATGCAGAGACTGGATGGAATTTACTTCTACTCCGATACCAAAATTTCCACTCTGGTCTCCGTGGTGGGTGCTCTCCTCGGCGTGGGTCTGCTCATTGGCGCAATTGTTGGGCTGGATCAATTGGACACGAAAGCCGCTAGATTGGGATTGATATGCGCGCTGACGGTGGCATTTGCGATGGTGTTGTTGTTCACTACGACGACTACACGAGGAGAAGTCTTTGGCGCGACTGCAGCGTGTGTATACCATCAAAATCTTGTTAAGAAGATTGCTAATCAGGTTCCTCAGGTATGCAGCCGTACTAGTTGTGTATGTTGGAGGTGCTCTCGGGAATACACCTGCGAAATCGTCTTAAGGCATTATATCCATAATGTGCCCCTTGCTGAATTCACTATCTCATGGTTCAAATGTGTTCCAAAAACTAAAGAAGTGCTTTCAAAAACACTTTTATGACCGAATATTCCCTTTGCACTACGGTAAAAAATTGTTTACTGTAGAATGGTACGCTAGGGGTTTACTATATAGGTGTAAACTGACCTCGTGTATACCTGTAAATAGGTTTAAAGTAGTGGTTTACTTTTAATAGTAGGGGTTTAAATTAAGTATAAAAAGTAGTTTTATTTCTATTATACACTATAATACCTAACTAAGACTAAAAGGGGTAGAAAAGATTAGCTTTACGCTATACGCACATATGACATAATAATAAGTCATAATATTTTTACTAATAGGAGGTGGTGATAATAGAGGTGGTGGTAATAATAGAGGTGGTGGTGATAGAGGTGGTGGTAGAGGTGGTGGTAGAGGTGGTGGTAGAGGTGGTGGTAGTGATAGAGGTGGTGGTAGAGGTAGTAGAGGTGGTGGAGGTGGTGGAGGTGGTGGAGGTAGTAGAGGTGGTGGAGGTGGTGATAATAGAGGTGGTGGTAATAATAGAGGTGGTGGTAGAGGTGGTGATAGAGGTGGTGGAGGTGGTGGAGGTGGTGATAGAGGTGGTGAAGAAGATTAAAGAAAGGAGGGGTAAAATACTTAAATAGTAGGAAACTAGGTATTACTACGTAATACTAGTAGATTAATAGAAGTAGAAATAAAAGTAGTTTACTTTTGTAGAATACATGGTATAATAAACCCTATTTAGGTTTACTTCTTCTACCTAAACCACTTCTTAGTCTACTTTAGATAAATATGGCTACTGTAAACCGGTTTTGTACCGTAGTGTTGGTTGTTCTTTAATACCACTCTTGAATACTTTCACGCCCAAATGCCATTTCCCGCTGAAAATCTAAATAGCCTTATCCTCACCAACCAATAACGAAAGATCAATGCTCACCCCTCCCCCCCCCCCCCCACTCTTCCTCCGTTGCACTCTCCACAATCCGCAATGGAGTCCTCCCAGGTGTAGCATCTAGCCGACCCTGCTCCAAATCCTCCGCCGTCTTCACATACATGACCCGCGCCAAAGGAAGCCTGTTTAAAGCCCCCGTACGGTAATTGTCACTGGGAGATGTTTCAACCGCATCATTGTTGTTATCCTTTTGAATTTGCTTGTTTTCTCGGATATCTTATCTTCCAGAAAGTCTTTCAACGCGAGTCGGCGCTGGCAGAGCGCGTTCGAAGCGCGGGTGCGGTTGCGTAGGCCACGCGAGGTGAGACAACCGGATGCGGAGGACATTTTTGTAGGTGTTTGAAATGTTGGGATAGAGGAGAAGGCCGGGGAGTGTGGAGTGCCTAGACGCGTTCGACCGGATATTGAGCCTGTATGGAAACGGTGCTGGCGTGACATTGTTTGACGTGCCACTGGGGAGTAGGAGTCTGCATCAAGATATGCTTCCCCGGCTTCCATATTAAATCTTGCGTGAGCTATACTAGCCGTAGCTCTTAAAATTACAGTGGATTTTCGTAGACGTAGGGCTTGCGTGGTATAGTGGTACAGTATGAGCTTGTACAAGTCCCAGTTGTTGACGTCGCGATGGTTGCGAGATTTCACACAGAGAAGATTCTTAGTGGAATAGAATTTGAAGAATAGAATAAAAGGTACCAAAAGGAAATAACGATATTAGGATGGAGCCCAATTGTGGGGCAGGTGGGAAAACATTGTATATGATGTAAGTGAACTTGAAAACAATAATGAAATTGATACGAAGGAAGAAAATCATGGTAAGAGTACGAGGTGGAGGATAACAATGCGATCACACAATGCTTTCCCCTAGATGATTCTGGGCTACCACACAATCGCCTGAATGTACTTGCGCTTTTGGATGTTCTAACCTGTCGCATCTCTACCAATGATTTTGAGAACGACATCTCCGGGTCGTATTAGAGTCAGATCATGTCTCCTTGGTGGAACAATTTCAATTATCAGCTTATTGAAGATGCGTTTTCTGTGTCTGTGCAACTCTTATCCAAAATTTGAGATCAGAAATAACACCATTTTTTGCGAATTGGCAATTTCGTCCTATTGTCTGAGAACCCCCCCATATAAGATGCACTACCCTTTTGGAACAACCAGGACGGCATCTGCCCAGGGGCCTGCTGATGATGTGGGTATTTTTATGCTGAAAAATTGACCCTGCGTTTCGAGTCCGTGTGCACATAATTGTTGTTTGTACTGACATTTGAAAAAGCTGTTAATTTCCTCTTTTCACCTTGACAAACGTCGTGTTTGGCTTGAGTTTAGAGCAGACGAAGAAAATTTCTCACGAGGGCATCATAGGGACTGCAATCTCATTATATGTAGATGATCTAGAAGGGCGGAAAGGGCGATTTCTTGCAAACAACGATTAGCTAGGGCTACAAACGTGCTGTTATATTGGTTGCTGTTGAAGTTTGGATGTTATCTTCGCTGTTCCGCTTCCTGTATGACGGCGCTTGCTTACTATGAATTTGATTTGATACCTCACCGTACCAAACTTTGTCTTTGTATCACTTGCGTCCCATACCATTGATAAGATGCTATTGTGTCACTCGAATAAAGCTTGACACCAGGAAATTGGGAGTTCTCCATGGTAATCTCCATTCGATTCACTCATTTACAGTGCGCTAACATAAATAAGGGACGGAAAATCTGTAAACTGGAGTGGGCTCTCCACTGCTATTATCTACAGTGGCTGGCCTGGGTGCCCGTCGCCAAGAGTGTGAATTGTAATCGTGCATGGACCAACCGACTGCCTTCTGTCAGATGTAGCGGCGATTGTGGATAATCACTGCGCGCTACTGTGATGTAAATAAAATAACCTCTCATCTCCACGGTGTTCTCCCATACTGAACTTGCTTGCACGCTGTACTCAAGACATCCGCATCAACCTTACGCTTGTAGCAAGCTGATTACCTCCGTCTACAAAGAAAGGAACTGACGTCAAGTCAAAATGCCCTCTAGAGTGTGCAAGGCCATTGTACGCGCTGAAATCAACGCCTACGGCTATAATAAACGGTATGAGTGGGTTGCGAACTCGTCCGCGCGGGAGAGTGGAGACAACGATTGGCCTGAGTACCGGTACCCTGAAGTTGGTAGCAACAACGACAATCCTAATACTAACTTGATGGTCACTGACAAGTTGAACGAATCCACTATCAAAGTCAACCTCGCCGAGAAAACTGTTGCACATGACGCAGCACGAGCGAACAAAAAACCTAAGGCTGGAAATTCGGTGGAATGTGGCACTAAGCCTGGTAGTCGTGCCGAACAATTAGATCTAGGTGCCTCTGACGATGACTGGGAAGTCTGTAATTGCGAGGCCTTGGCGAAGGAAGCTCAGGACGAGCAGGATCGGGTTGAATGGGTCCTTGTGGGAAAGACTGAGGCTGAGAAAGCGTGTGCTGCTAAGCGATAGATGATGCTTTGGTTGGTAGAGCCAGGTTGAAGATTGATAACCCTGCCAAAAAGCTGCAATGTCCAGCATTAGTACAAGGTCCGCCATAGGGACATCATTGCAAACAAGCCTCTGACCAGTGTCAGCGCACCAAACTATACAGAGCAGAAGATGATTTCACGATAGCGTTGTGATTGAGACTAGCTTGGGGTATCATTTTTCGGTAGCCTTGTAATACATACATGCTCATCACGTGCAAGTTGCCCCCGCAATTACTGTATGCTTGCAATGCGATCCTCGAAGCCTTGATGGCTACACGAGGGCGACTTTGGCCGTGTATGGCGAGGTGTTAACAACGCCTCCGAGCGTACTGTAATGGTAATGTTACATCTCTCCAGCCTCCGCATGGTTCATTTCTTGCCCTTCTTTTTCTTCTTCCCAGCTGTATTGGCACTAGCTTTTGAATCCACAGGCACACCACCCATCTTCACATCTCCACTCTCGTCCAGGGCTGGTGTTGACGCTCTCTCTGGCGCAGGCGCACTTAAATCCTCCGCCACTTCTGGCAAAGCAGCCATGTGCCTCCCTAGTCTTCCAAGGTTGCCAATCAGACGTCCGACTTCAGCTCCTTTGTTTGTTTCATACTGTAAGCAGGCCCCAGACACTGGGTCATATGTTTTCAGTTTAAATGTGACGGTCACTTCCTCTGGGTTTTGCGATTGCGGTGATGGCGATGAGGCGCGCGTGGTATCGGCGGGCTTGGCCGGGTGCTTTTCGGCATAGCTTTTGCGTTTTTTTATTTTGGATGCTGATGGTTTGCGGACGCTGTATTTGGAGGTGATTCGTGTCTAAGGCATGCAATCAGTATAGGAGTCGCGTGCACGATGGAACACCTGGATTACCGATGAAGGCCTAGCTTTGAGAAGTAGTGACGACTGCTCGTACCATTCTACGCTGGTTTGGAAGTAAGGCATGGTGATGTGAGATTGTAGGCTTCTGGGGTAATGGCCTGAAGTCGTGGTGGGCTGGAACTGCGGGCAAGTATTGGCGGGGTCGGAGAAACGTCGGCCCAGAATTACCGGTAGGTACTTCGGCTCTGTCGACTTAGGAATTTTCCAACGCATGCAACATAATAAATGTCGCTATAGGCTGTCTAGAAGAAGGAGTTGTATGCACTAACAGAAGAGCAGAGGGTTGGGTGCACGAGCAACATAGATAGCACGTCAAGTTAGCCCTTCGCAGTTCTGCTACCTAGGCCTGTCGAGTCACAACCGCTGCCTAGAATATCGCATGTTAACTAGGTCCCTAGGTACCTCTACCTACCAGTACCGGTACCTATCGATCCTGTCTATTGGGATTTGTCCAGAGTTCCTCATTTTCGCATAACATCAGACTTGACTTGAGGTGCTGCAGCATCTCTGTAGAACTTCAATCCCTTGTAATCAAGTGCACAAGCCTCGATCACAGTTCACTTTCAGAGATTCACAAGAGCCTCTCAGCGCCATCCTATTTCAGCAGTATGACAACCTCAATCTCATCGAAGGTTCAAAATCTGGAGCTGGTTGCAAACCCCACCGATGAGGACCATAACAGCAACAAACCATCACAGACTACGGTTGAAGGTCTCGTCGAGCGGGGCAAGTTGCTACACGCAGAAGTAGAAACGTATGTGGCCGCAGTCCTGGAAAAGCAAAGGGTAGGGAAAGTCTACAATCCAGTCGAGTATCGAAATCTGCGCAACGATATGCGCAACGAGCTAGCTTTCCTCAAGAAGCTAATAAGTACGAACCTGGATGAGGAGAAGGCCCGGCACTACATCGTATCGTCAAATCTACTCTACTATGAGGCACTCTGGAGTGCAGCAAAACGATCCTCTGGCCTACAAAGTTTCCGCAAATATTTCTTCTGGGATAGGCACAAGGCTCCTGGAGGCAAAAATACGATGAAGGGACTGAGCCTGAAGAAAGGCAGCCAGCAGAAAGGGAAGACTGCAGCACTCGTCGACATAGTAGCAGAAGAGGGAATGGAGTGGATCCGAGTCTCAACTGTTTCGGAGAAACGGATCCTGTTCGATCTTGCAAAGCTGGGCTGGATGAACGACTCCGACTCTGATGACGAGGTTTCCGATATTAGGCCAAGTGTCGACGAAGAAGAGGATGACGAGGATCAAATCGATGTGGTGAGGAACGCACGCGATTTAGCACGAGCTGCGAAAGCGAACCCAATCCGCGGTCGGCCACCAAGAGTGCGATTCGTTCTGACCAGAATCGAGTCTGGGAAGATGGAAGCCATTGATATGATCATCAACAAGATTCGGGCCACAGGTGCGGTTGTACAGTGTGCTAAGGACATTCCAGCCGCAGTACCGTTGCAGTCGGTTCTCACTCAACTACTAGTCGACCGATCACGAGCGATATCCCAGACAGTGAACATTGATTGCACCATACTACTAGCTCTGATATCTGATATCTCTCACAAAGAGTGCCCCATCCTGGACTGGTACCCTGGCGAAGTGCGAGCTCAAATAAAAGAGGAAGCTGAGGAGCATCTGTTGCCAACACGTCTCTATCCAGCAATCGCTTCACATCCAATGGTGTGCACTAGAGAGGCTGCTGATCAAATGAACTTGATAGTGGAGACCCTAGCTACGGATACCGAGAAACTTCGAGCGAATCTCCTGTTGGCACAAGGTGATCGCCAGGGACGTACATCTGAAGAGCTCGTGGCAGAATGGGTATCTTTGTCAGATCACAGTATTCCCGAAGGCTTTCAACTGCCTATAGAAGTCAAGTCGGTCGATCTAGATCACATTACAAATAGCCTTCCTACGGTAGCTGAAAAGGTTGCAAAAGAACTGGGCACACTGAACAAATCCATTTTTCTCTATGGATGGGCAGAAAGTCTCACAACTCTGAGTGCCAATCGTGGTAGAGCGCGTCAAATAGAGACTATCATTAATGAGCATGGATTGGAGGATGGTGAAGCTGGCCCACACATCTGGCTATGCGGTGAGTCGAGGAGCTTGATTGCAAAACATGGAAGGCGAATTTGAAGTCATGAAGAGGGGAAATGGGTGTATAGAGGGCAGAATCTAATAAGTAACAAGATTGCGGTAACAAGATTCGTAAAGTAGACGTCACGACATCTGTGTAATGTTATTCTACACAATACATAGAACCGTTGCCCACTATGCCGATATAATGCACACGCATCCCGATGTATTTTAAATCACCGATCGAATGCTTCTTTGCTGTATCACCGAAATTGACTGGACGACTTTGAATGCTTAGATTATTGTAGAACCGATTGGAAATTTGCTCTCAACCAGTGATCAAGGCACCGATATCAAATACTCTCGTTGTCGCCTACCATGGAAAAAATACCTCAAGACTATTTAGGTGGCATCATCTAGTTTGTAGGTACACTTACGTGGAATGCAATACTAGGGTGCGACTAGTATCATGGTCTAGGGAGTGAAATGTCTTAAGATTCTTTCGCTACCAGGGTTAGTCAACCATTCGTTTGTTACATTGTTACAGGACATTCAAATATCACACCCTAATCATCATAAGGATGGACAATCGGCAGGAATCACAAGATCTACCATGCAACTTGCTATCACTCACATTCAACCCGACATGGCTGAAGTATCACGATGTACTTTCGGCCTCGAGGCCACCTTCACAGATGGTGCCATACCTATTAAAATTCCCCCTGCAGAAAAGAACACATTACATATTTCGAATGAATTAACCATCGAGGTGTACGGAGATGGTGTATTGTTCCACTGTCCCATAACGGCAGCAAGAGTCGTACTACCCGCCGTTGGTCCATTTTTGCAGACCTGGAAGACAGTTTCTAGCACGAAGACAGTTACTAATAGGAGGTGGTGATAATAGAGGTGGTGATAGAGGTGGTGGTGGTAGAGGTGGTGGTAGAGGTGGTGGAGGTGGTAGAGGTGGTAGAGGTGGTAGAGGTGGTGAAGAAGATTAAAGAAAGGAGGGGTAAAATACTTAGATAGTTAGTAGGAAACTAGTAGATTAATAGAAGTAGAAGTAAAAGTAGAATACATGGTATAGTAAGCCCTATTTAGGTTTACTCCTTCTACCTAAACCACTTCTTAGTCTACTTTAGATAAATATAGCTACTATAAACCAGTTTTGTACCGTAGTAATACGTAAGCACACAGTAGACATATAGGACACACTAGTACGACTGTGCGTAACTGTAGCGAATAGGATGGCGTCCAGGCCACACTAATGCGCTTGTCGCAATGCTTTCTTCTTCTTAAAATGCAATGCTGCTGCTGTAATATAAAATTTCACAATGTGTGTTGGAGTCCGGATCTTTATCAATGTCGCAGACTTCAAACAACAATAGCGTAAAGTGTCATTCTGACTTGCGATGTGCCTAAGGATTCACTCGGATCCAGGATATTGTCATCTACATGCCCTATACAGTTGAAGTACAATTAGCGATATATCATGTATCTCTAAGAGCACAAAAAGCCCTTTGAAAGGTTCTTTAGATGCAGAGCGAAGACTGGAATGATGTTGTACATGACTTGGTGAATTTCGAGCGCTATAGATCTACCAGTGATGCTACCCATACTAAGCACATGAATGGAAAACGTAGTTTGGACGTTGAAGTATGCTCGCACGCAAGGTTCAAAGAGGCCTAGCAGTATGTTTAGCGAGGGATTTAGATACAGCCGACGTCACATAACAGTGCAAGCTGCAGCCCGCGCATCTCTTGTATGTAGAAACAGTTCAAAGCCGCCGTCCTCAGATTCGCCGATACAAGTGTAACTGCATTCGCATATTCTCCAACTCGATGGGATATTTCAATCCTTCGTCCATCCTGAACCATTTACTCTCGTCTTCTTGCAGCTTCTCCCATCTTGGGACCTCCTCTTCGCCTCTGACTTTCTGATTCCCATTGGCTTGCTTGAGTAGAGTGTGATCTAGTAGCCACTGCATAGGATACTGCTTCTCCGCGCCGTTGAGAGTAAGCAATGAGTAGCTACCAGGACTGTCAACAACCAAAAGCAGACTTCCCGGTGTCATGGCTGCCGTCAAATCGAGGAGGAACTTCTGGCTAAGCGGTAAAGATGCCGTGTACAATTCGTTGAGGGTGAACATCAGTGTCACAAGACTTGCACTCTTGAGGTACGAAGAAAGATCCGATGATTCTGGCGCAAGGACGTCATGTTTGTCAAATGTGACCTCGAGACTCCCCGGGGCAAGGAGCGGGGCATTCGCAGCCTTTGCAATAGCAGAGGCGTATTTTGAAAGCGTTGGCGTGGTTTCCAGTTGCGCCGCTAAATTCTTCACGACAGTACTCCAGTCCGCAACGTCGATTGCGGTAATGTTGATTTTCGGTTCTCCTGATGCTTTGACTTCGTCTCGTGCAGCAGATAACATCTTTTGAACGCCCGCCAGCGCTACGATCTCCGCACCAGCGCCACCCCCAAGACAAACAACCTTCCAACTCTTATCCGAGTTTTCATTCTCTGAATCCTCATCAGAAGGCCTCAAATACTCCTTGATGTCCCAGAACACTTCTGCGTATCCCAACGCGCGACTTGGACTCCATCTCGCCGCATAGGCTTCCAGATATCTCTGACTACCAAATGCAGTCGCAAAATCGCGATTGTAAAGATGTCCCTTTACTTCCTGTAGTAGCGGGTTGATATCTGTCTCAAATCGCTCCGCGAATGTGCTCCGAAAGATGTTCAAGAGAAGTTGCTGCAGTTCCAGAGGGATTGGTGACGCAACAACCGGCTTCTCCTCTTTTGGCTTTGGCAATTTCACTTTCAAAGGCTCTCTTGCCGCTTTCCTTTTTGCGTTGAGTTTTGAGTTTGGCGCCATGATATCGTCTCACTGTGCTTTGAAGGTATCTTAGGTCGGCGTAGGCGAGAACATTGGGAGCGAAAGACTCGTTTTCCACAACTTTTATCGTAGCGCAGAAATTTCATTGGCCAATGGACAGTTCACCAAATCGGAATGTCGGTACAGTTTCTCCTAGCGTCATCGCAGTCAACGTCGAAAGATCACTTTGAAACGAACAGGAACGACTTCTGGGAGAGAACAATAGTTTTAAGATAGTTCAATATGCGCCTCGATTACATTCCCGATCCTCCAAACTTCAAGAGTCCAGAAGACCAAGCCGTTGTAGAACGTGTCCTTCAAAGGCGGGGCGAAAAGGGACTCATAGCGCTTGATCGAACGTTGCTTCACACGCCCCCAGTTGCTGATGGCTGGTAAGACTCCATATGAAGTCTGATTATATGGATTTTCACCATTCCATCATTTCAATATCCTCACCCATTTCACTCTCGTCTATTTTTCATATAGCTTTTTCGCTCAAACGTCCAGTCAAAGCAGGTACCTCATATAGTATATTCACTTTCCGTCCCCATATTATCCTGCCCTTGTATACCCAAACAACAGACTGACATCTATTCCACCAATAGGAACGCTTTCCTCGGCGCCATCCGTACAAAAACCTCTCTGCCAACTTCGATCCGCGAAATAGCAATATGCCGCGTCGCCGTCTTAAACAAAGCATGGTATGAATGGGACTCTCACTCTCCCATCCTCGCCTCTGCCCCCGGTAAGTAAATCTCATTCCGCTTTGGCAATCGCTCCTCCACATTAGCCCGTTCTATTTCTCCATTCCGTTTCACTGCCCCAGTCCCCAATCCGCCACCCCCTAACCACCCCCTCAATCAGACCATTAAACCCTAACTCCACCCAAGGCATAACCGCCACCCAAATCTCTGCAATCCTATACTCCCCTCCACACCAACCCGACACCACAGTCCTCGATCCCGCCCATGCAGCCCTCCTCTCATACACCGATGCCATGACGCTCGACGTCCGCGTCAGCGACACCGTGTTTGCGTGCCTGAAGCAGGAGTTCAACGATCAGGAGATCGTAGAGATTACGGCAACGATTGCGAGTTATAACTGCGTGAGTCGTTTTTTGGTGGCGCTGGATGTGGGGGAAAGGAATGCGCAGGCAGGGCCAACGAAAAGGGCGGAAGGGGGTTAGGGAGTTAGGTCACGAGTCGGATGAGGAGGATATCTAGTTGGCCGACTATTTGTATGGATGGGTGAAGGGTGGCTTGGTATGTATTTCATGTTTCCATTCTGGAGGAACAAACCGAAGGTCTGAATCTGAAGCTGTACTGCTCTACTTTCATTTCAACTTAATAAACATACATAAATATACCTGCAACAGCCGCAACAATCGCACCAACACCAACCTGCGTACGGCCAGCAGCAGCACCTTCAAACTCAGGGCCCGATCCAGCCCCGAATTTATGACTGTAGGCTCCACTCAGTGGCACAGGACCCTGCGCCGTCTGATTCGTGCCCAGCACAGTAATGTTACTTACGACCAGCTCAGTCGCGTAGCCAAATTCACCCGACATGCTGAACCGACCATTATCGTAAAGGAACTCGATGTTAGAAACGCCATCCTGCTCAATACTGTCACCGTCATCAAGGTACAGTGTTCCATACGCTTGGTTGGTAGCATTGGGTGCGATCCAGAGGACAAAGTTCTTTTTGCGCAGCTCGGTCGTGGTGTTTGCTGAGTCCTCGCGGAGGGGCAGGATAGCGCCACCCCTGATGTGTAGAGGAATGGTGTCGAAACCGACTTCAGTTAGGTTGATGTATGAGCCTATTCCTTGAACCTTCTGGAGGGTCCAGAAGTCATAAAATGTCTCGTTGGGAAGGTAGATGCTGACGCTTGTGCTGTTCTCCTCGAGCACGGGAGACACGAGGATGTCGTCGCCGTAGAAGAATTGGTGATCAATGGTGAAGGTGTTCTTGTCGTCCGGGTAGTGGTAGAAAAGAGGGTTGAGAGATGGAGCACCGCTGATAGTTTGACGGTGGAAGGCGGTGTAGAAGTAGTCCAGGAGGCGGTAACGGACGGGAATGACCTTGCGTGCGGCGGCTGCCGATTGGGGCCACCTGTAGTACTCCTGATCGATAGAAGTGTCGCCAGCGTGATTACGCATGAAAGGGTAGAAGGCGCCAAGAGTGGCCCAGCGAGCACAGAGGGTCTCCGTGGTGTTGCCTGCGAAACCACAAATATCAGGACCAACCATGGGAATCTGGAAGATGGAGTTGAAGTTCAGGATGCCGGCAATACTGAAGCGGTACTGTTCCCACAAACTGACATTGTCACCAAGCCATTTGCCGACATAACGTCCAAGACCAGGGAAAGTTGATCGTGTAATGACGAATGGCCGAGATGCGGGGCGACGAGCCAGCATGGACTTTTGTGAAGCAATAGACATCATAGCTCCCCAAAAGTTGTGGGTATCATAGTGGTAAGTACCATCGTAGTTTTGAATGTCAGTGTCCATTGTCTTATTGCTGATTGAGCCTGCGGCGTTCATGATCTGGTAGCCAGGGTTGATCAAATCACGGCCTGGGAGACCCAAATGCCTGGCAAGTTCTGAAGAATTATTGGAGGCCTGTCGTTTAGCACTAAAGCGCTTAACGGAAGCAGATGTGGCTGTGCGTGAGGCAAGCGAGCGTCGGGTAGAGTTTGAACCAGACTGAGGCTGAAAGCTAGCAGGGAAGCCAGGAATCTCACGACCATCGGCATTGATGCGAACCCGCGGAGGCTCCGGAGGGTTCTTTGATTCTACGGAGTACGCGTCGGGATCAGGGCAAGGGTAAGGGCAGAAGTTGGCAGGTTCGTTCATGTCGTTCCATAGGCCATCAATGTCGACGCCAGTCTCCGGATCGAAGAAACTCTCAAACTTGCCGTCCCAGTACTCTTGAGTGTTTGGGTGGAACCAATCGGGGAATACAGTGGGGCCAGGCCAAACGGCACCCTCGTAAAAAGAACCGTTAGCCCTCTTTTGCCACACTTCGAGCTCAGCACCATCGTTGTAGACATCTCCCTCACCGCTCCAGATGGCGGAGTTAACCATGACAATGTAATGCTGTTGGTGAGCATGGAGGTAACCCACAAGTTGGCGCACGAGGTCAAGTGGGTAACGCTCAGGGTCCAAAGTAAACAGGCGACGAAGCTCCATGTAGTCGATGTCAGTCCACATTGTCTGGTATACGTTAGTCATATGTAAAATGGCAATGTCAGATATTAAACTTACCTCGAGAGGGATTTCAGCAGCAGAGTAGTTAGCTACGACTTCGGCAACCTGCCAAATATCACGGTAACCATACTTGCACTGATGAGATCCGAACCCCCAGTAGGGCATCATGGCAGGAAGACCCGAAAGCGCAGAGTACTGCATGGCGACTTCTTTAGGACTGGGGCCGGCCAAGAAGTAGAGATCTACGATACCACCGAGAGCGTTGTACTCAAGGTACGTGCCCTCACTGTCGTCAATCTTGATGTCCATACCCTCGGAGCTGGCCAAAAAGACACCATGAGTCCCATTCTCGCCCCTGTGGTCAAAATAGACTGGGTGAGATCCATACAGGTTCGTTCCCGTCGGGGTACCGTATGCATCACGATTCCACAGCTGATTTCTGTCAGCAATTGATACGTGGTGATAGATTGAAGTAACTCACAGTGCTAGTATAGTTGGTAGTATTGAGATGAAATGGGTCAGTGTGTTCGCCAAGACCGTAAAGATTTGGAGAGTCGGCTAAGGATGTCCTCAAGCGGAGGTATTGTGTCTCGAAGACGAGACTGGCAGCTGAGGTGTCGAACAGCGTCTCATTTGTTGCTTTCCGCTTGATGGCGAAAGAGAACGGGCTGTCGGTCCAGGAGAATGCCAGAACAGAGTCCTCTGGATTGACGCCTTGGCTAGATGGTCGTGGCCAAACAGATTCTTGGATCTGGTAGACTTGCTCAGCAGCGTCGAAGATCTTGACATGCAACCTCTCCTCTATCACACTTGTTAGGATCCATATTCTTACGAACCAAAGCCGCCAACCTACCTGTCTGATACTCGACTTCGAGTCGCAGATCTGTCAAATCATCGCCATACACATTGCATGCTGTCCCAGCAAGTGCAAGGTTAGCCGTGACCTTGGAGCCGTCGTTTTGGATGTTGCTCGCAGTGTAACCAGGGCATGCATCAAGGGATGCGCTTTGGCGCTTGGCCGAGGAACCTGCCAGGGCAGGAATGGCAGCACCCAGCACCAACAATGATTTAGTGATCATGTTGAATGTGTGGTACTGTAGGTAGACAGCCACGACGACTTGCTCGGTGATGATGCGGTATCGTGGATGTTGAGCTACCTTTATACCTCGATCATGAAGCCTTTGTTAGGCCCATACCGGTATACCAGGATAACCGAGCCAACATTGCGCCATCGGGTCAATGTCAACACTTGCATGGCCTCGGAAGCTCTTGACGAGCGTACTAGCTTCGCTTCCCCACGAATGAACCGTCATCATGGAGACTCGACCATAGATTTGCTAGCAATTTCACCCTGTGCGACGGGAAGTGCTAATTGTCCTCGCCACAATAGACTAATCGTCCTCGCCCTTCCTAATAGGGAAGCGCCAAGGGGTAATCGCCCAAGTACTCCATCTCAGCGTTGAATGTAATTTTCTATAATACAAGGAGATACAATACCTACCTAATTCGCTTTGCGGCTGTTGCTAGCGGTGAAGTCGCGGCTTTCGCCAGCAAACCTAGGGTAGGAGTAAAGGATATACCACGTGATTATATTAACCTAACTACTAATATTAAGGTTAAGCTATTAGTAGCTGTGATAGGCAAGGTAAGGGTTGTAGTAGAGGTAAGGGTTATAGTAGAGGTAGAGGGTAGAGGTAAGGGTTATAGTTAGAAGTTTTAGTATTCTACTCTAAATACACAGACTAAATCTAACTTAGATAGGACTAGCTATAACCTAAATAGGTTAGATAAGACTAGCGGGTTCCTAAATAGGACTAGACTAGGGGGTAAAAATTTTCTATAGAGCTTAACACTACAAAAAATATCACAATATCTTAAACACGCTCTAGAGTTTAGCACCTATTTTAGCTAAACGCGTCGCCTGTTAGTACTGCGCTATCACGTACAGGTTAGAAACTAGTAGGTGAATGTAAGTAATACTTATCCTCTGCCTACTTAACTCGCTACTAACTACTAAGATAGTTATCCGCTACAATCCTACTACCGCTTGCTTAATTTTTTTATCTATAGAATTTTTCCTTACTAGATATTTACGTTTTAAAAGCACGATACAGTTAGTGCTACCTTAGCTTGCTACTAATTTGCTAGGCGGCCGGGGTACCTGGCGCTAAGTGCTTAGGGCGAGGACGATTAGTCTATTGTGGCGAGGACAATTAGCATTTCCCCTGTGCGACCAGTCAAAACAGCCCGAGGGCGAAGTGACTCGGACCGTGACTATGCCTCACAGACATTGCTCATGCGGAGGTGTTCCCGCTTGCAGCTTTGGTATAGCTAAACGCGCGGGAAGCTTGAATTTCTGGGGAATGGGAAGACGTGGGGTTGGATGCATGTCGGACCGTCGAGAAAGTGTCCTTGGCACATTGTCGGCCCGGCTGACGACTCATGTTCAAGTTAGTTGGTTCTACTTGAAGGGCCATACCAGGTAACAGTGAAAAAAGAGGTTTTATCTTTCAGAACGGAGGCTATATCCAGCTAGAGTCATCCGCATCCTCTTGGAGTCGACTGTGTCATACCTAATGTACTTCGTTCGCCGTGATTGATCATTTGATTCTAGACATGCGCAATAAAGGGGAGTTGAGACAATGTTGAGATACAATGGAGCATCAGGAGATTTGACGGAGCAAGTCAATCATACCAGGTTGCAGACTTGTCGAACGTTCAATGTTGGATGGAACCATGATCACGTGGGAGGTTAAATCGAACAGGACCTAGGCCAGCGCGAGAGCACGTGACATGGACACCAATCCGAATCCAATCACTAGCGTCAGCCTGTTCAAGAAATTCGAACGCGACGTGAGCTTGACAAGCCCTCTCGTATCAGCCAACAAACCAACAAAACCCCCCAAACCCACACATGATGCTTTGCGCAATCTCCGGCGAAGCTCCTCGCGAACCCGTCGCGTCGCGCAAGAGCGGCAATGTGTTTGAGAAGCGGCTGATCGAGGCACACATCTCCGAACATCACACTGATCCCGTCACGGGCGAAGACCTCGCGATTGAGGATCTCATCGAGCTCAAGTCCCCACAAGTCGTCACCCCCCGCCCGCCAAACCTGACCTCCATACCGGCCCTCCTCAGCGCCTTCCAGAACGAGTGGGATGCCATTGTACTCGAGACTCACACACTCAAGCAGCAGCTGGCGCAAACACGACAGGAGCTCAGCACCGCTCTCTATCAAAACGATGCGGCGACCCGAGTGATTGCACGCTTGACGCGCGAGCGAGACGAGGCGCGAGAGGCCCTGTCCAATGTCACGATTAGTGGAGCTACTGGCAGCAACGGCGATGCCATGCAGGTGGACAGCCAGGCACTGCCCGAGGAGCTGGTCGAGAAGATCGACGAAACACAGCAACAGTAGGTTTACAGGCGATTCTGTATTGTTCACGCTCAAGTTAACCATGACTACAGACTATTCTCTACCCGTCGAAAGCGTCCCATTCCCGATGGCTGGGCCACGGCCGAAGACATCTCCACATTCAGCCTTACCGCCGCGACCGACCCCCTCCAGCCGGGCAGCCAGAACGTGGCACTTCATGCGTCTGGTGATCTGGCCCTCTTCGGTGGCACTCTCAACGTTGCTGGTGTCTACTCCATCTCACAAGGTGATTTCGTGCAGACGCTCCAGGCTGGCAGCAGAGTCATGGCCACTGCTTGGTGGGGAGATCGCGCCATCGTCGCTACGGAAGCTGGCACCGTCAAGATATTTGACCAAGGAAACGAACTCGCGCAAGTCGGCTCGCACGCGGGGCCTGTCAAGGCGCTCTCGATACACCCCAGCGGAAGGATTCTCGCCTCTACCGGAACAGACAAGCGTTTCGAGCTCCATGACCTCGCGACTTTCAAGACGGTATCGCAAGTCTATGTGGAGGCCGAGATTACTTCCTGCGCATTCCACGTCGATGGCTTACTCTTCTTCGTGGGTAACTCAGACGGCAAGATTCGCGTCTTTGACGTCAAAACTGGAAACGCCATGGTTGAGCTGGAAACTGGTGCGCCTGTTCTCGATATTTCCTTCTCCGAGAATGGAACCTGGTTTGCGGTTGTCAACCAAGGATCCAGCAGCGTCTCGGTCTGGGACATAAGAAAACAGAGCGTAGTCAAGGTGCTTGAGACTGGCAGCGAAGTCAAGAGAGCCAAGTGGGACTACACGGGCACATATCTTGCTATTGCTGGCGAAGGTGGCGTATCTGTGCAACAATACATCAAGACTTCCAAGAGCTGGGTCGAGCTCATGAGTAAAGCGGAACCGGCGATAGATGTTGCTTGGACAGTCAACGCCGCTAGTTTGGTTGCTCTGGCGTCGGAGGGAAGTTTAAAAATTCCTAGGAACGGCGTGAATAAAGGGGAGGTTTTGACAACAAATGCATACTTTTTGCGCAACAGGATCAGGCGCAGAGGCCTTGAGGGCATCATTGCTTGACATTACCGGGCCACCGAGGCGGTAAATGAGCACTTCCCGCGACCTGGCTTCCGGCCCAGCTGAGTCCCAAAAGTAGATAGAAACGATGGTCTTCAGGCTGGATGCGGCAGGGTGGGGGGGGGGGCGCCATCATTGTATAGTGCCAATTATGAGGATTTGACCATTTTCATTCAATTTTATTGTTACTCCACGTCTACTACCCCTGCCAATGACGGACACCCCCCCTTCTAAAGTGATCCATTCGCGCAACCACCCTCGACCTCACATATTCAAGGCTGAATCCAGAAAGAAGTAGAAACATGAAAATAATAATAGAATTAGGCAGAAAAGCGCTTGTGGCGCATGTATTGTGTCGTTCACAATGATGGTGAAAGTTGCTCGACTTGGACTGTAGTCATGTTCAGGATGCACAACGACTTCGGAAGCGCCCTCATCCTTGCCACCAACGCCAACTACTGTCGTCGATCTCACGACTTCATACCCGGAACACCACCTTCTCCTCACCCACGGACCGTCACCCGTCAAGCACATAACAGCCTGTACGCTGGGAAGCACCTGGCGGCACTTCGTATATTGACTGTGAGGATGGCGGAGGCGCCATTTGGGTGGCCGCACAGACAAAAGGTGAGCGCTGGTAGTACAACACAGACAAAGGGTACAAGGGACGATCCACTGACTATATATGCGCAGCGTTCACTGACCCAAATGCAGGCTGACGGTCGTTCTGTCTCGCCTGCATGGTCTTTTGGCTCACTCCATAACTCCCACGAACAGCCGGTACATCCAGAGCGCCTCAGCGACTATCGCTCAGCACAACCACAAGCCTTCGATTACCGAGAAAGCCAAAGCCAAAGTCATTATCACGGGCTAGACTCTACCTTTGAAAACTTTTCTAGCGCTCCAGTTTCCCAGGCAAGCAGACCAACAACGCGATCGGACTCAGCTGGAGCTTCGCCGCCTCTCCAAAACGCACAACCAGCCCCACAGGTGGCAGATATGGCGTCACAGACACCGCGACGCTTTGTCGGGGATGGGTTTGATTACAGACGACCTGCTGGGCCGGCAGGTTTACATGTAAATCATTCACAGGAGCAGGCAGAGGACAATGATGGCGAAGGAGGTATCATGGTGGATTTGAGTGGACCTGAGAATGACAGTGTGATCGACCTGACCGCGGACGATTCGGGTTACGGGGCATCCCAGGACAATAGCATGCGCCACAACATTCAGGCTTCTCGATCCTCTGCCCATCCGCATGGAAGGAACAATGCTACGCCTCGTTTACCGAGGGGCATGGATATCATAATCGATTTGGACAGTGGTGCAGAGGAATGGAGAGAAGTAACACCAGGATCTCCAGAAATCGAATTCATCTCGGCACGGCCATTGGATCCGCACCAACGAAGATCGTTCTGGCGGCAAGCTGGCAACATGAACGCAGACGATGTTCAGTTTGTGAGGGAACAAGCGCTGCCCGAAAACGACGTACGACGTCGAACGAACCGAGATCTGGATCATGCTCTAGACATGCTGGGCATCTTGGGCGGCAACTTTGGGCACCTCCGCGCCCACGTCGATCGTTATAATAACCAGTTGTTGGACGGTGCGGGCGGGTGGCGAGGCCGTGGTCCCATTGCGCCTCCACGGGCACCACGCGCTGCTAGTGTGCCGACCAGTTCCAATTCTGAGCCTGTCCGTGTTGGAGCGTTTGTTGCACCTACTCTCGACTTTGGCGTAATAGGATTTGACATGGTAGGCATGGGCGGAGCTCGTGCCGCAGAACAACAGCCGCCACCGACATATGACGCACCTCCCAAGGCACCCGACGGCTTTACGCGGAGTCCAGCCGAACAAGATGTTCTGGCATGTCCAAACTGCGGAGACGAATTGTGTGTAGGAGACGATGATGCGAAGAGACAGGTGTGGATAGTGAAGGGGTGCGGACATGTAGGTTTGGCGCTGAATGCTAGCGGCTTGATACTCAGATACTGATGTCACAACAGGTGTACTGTGGCGAATGCACAGCAAATCGCGCTGTTAAGAAAAGCTCAAAGGGTAAGGAAAGGCCACCAAATACCAAACCCTTCAAGAAGTGCGTGGTAGAGGATTGCGAAAGGAGTGTAGTTCATCGCAAGAGCATGATCCAGGTCTTCCTATAGTGAGTCGCACCATGGGTTAGAACCGGCATACACAATGCCTCTAGGAGGAAACAGCTAGGATATGGTTGTCTGGTATGCGCTCATGATACCCATATTCCTGGTATAGGTATTTCGATTTTCTCCCCTCCCTTGCCCTCTGATTCTTCTACTTTGTGGTGGTGGTTTGCTTGACTGGTGTTTTGGCGCTGCATCGGCATAGTATAGCGTGCATGTTATTTCTGCTTTCCTAGATTATAACCATATACCCATCCATTACACACGATATCTACAATATGAGCGGGCAGGTTTAAAGAAACAGTTTGTGGAGGGATAGTCAACTTGTGTATATTTTGGCATTGCATGGATAGAATGAAGAACGAGCAGATATTCTGGTACTCTACAACCACAGAACTGTTTCGCATATCACGCCTCACTTGCCTTGGTCTATCCATCGCCAAGGAGACTGTTTAGATTCTACCGTGATCACTTGATAAGCTCATTGGAAATCGCAGAGCCGCAAATATTGCAACAAGGACGATGATCTCACCGCACATGCACCTTCTGGGTATTGGAACCCCCACGCATCAGCGCCAAGCCAGCCCGTGCTTTTTTTCTACGAGTTACGTCCCAAGCTTTCTAAGCCTCGGCTTGAATATATCCAACTCAATAGCTGCCTTCCCGTCTGGCAACGACTCATCACATAAATCCAATGACAGCAAAATAGGATACTCAATATTGAACCCTCCCAGGCCCAACTCTCCAGAAACAACAACATATTCTTGCCGCCGCACCGCCTAAATCCCCAACCACTTGCCATCACCATCACCATAAACATGTCGCCAAACCCCAAATCCAGCCCGAAATCCAAACCACCACCCAAATCCTCCTCTCCAGCAAAATCCGCATACCTGCTCACCTACAATGCCGTCTCCGCTGCGCTATGGGCTGCTGTGCTATATCAGACTCTAACAATTGCGACCCATGAGATTAGCACAGCTCGCGAAGCCGGAGGGTTCTTTGGAAGCGGTGCGATGGGGTGGGCGAGTGCGACAAATAGAGGTCTGGGTAGTGGGAGGGTATACGGTGGGTTGGAGGTGTTGAGCAGGTGGGTTCAGACAGGAGCGGGGCTGGAGGTGCTGCATTCATTGGTTGGTAGGTTGGCGTCTTGTTTTGTGTCCAAAAGAAACTGAAATCATGAATAAGTATCCGTATAGAGCTAACACGGATAATAGGTCTTGTGCGCGCCCCCCTACTCACGACACTGATGCAAGTATCCTCGCGCTTCCTGCTCGTCTGGCTCATTGCGTATCCGTTTCCGCAAAGCACAATGCATAATCCTGTCTATACTACCATGCTCCTCGCCTGGAGTATCACTGAAGTCGTGCGATACTCTTACTTTGTCTTTACGCTCAGTGGGGTTGGGGTTCCCAAGTTGTGGACTTGGCTAAGGTATGGTTTCTCCATCGCTCATGATCATATAGTCCTTGTCCAATTGAATATTTCACTAACCAGCATTTGATTCAGATACAACACCTTCCTCGTCCTCTACCCCCTCGGTGTCTCGAGCGAGTGCTGGCTTGTATACAGCGCTATTCCGTTGGCGAGCCGCGCCAGGAAGGAGTATGGTATTGCGCTCTGGGTTATACTCGCGATTTACGTCCCGGGCATCTACGTTCTATTCACCCACATGCTTAAGCAGAGGAGCAAGGTCATTGGAGAGAACAGGGAGGCGTAAAAGAGGCTGACGGAGTAGGTTTCTCGAGCGGGAACACTCGGAAGATTATAGACAGCACTGAATATTAACTTTCGCTGATACACGAGGGCGATGATACATCCCTGTATATTGTATATTATGGTCCTTTTGTACTGTCCCTGCCCTGGTCAACATGTAATTCCGATTATGCTGATGTAGTGTTGCAATGCCCTAACCCTAATGGCATGCAACGGCACGCCCGAAACAGGATGTTATGGGCTAAGTTCAAACCCTCATGGTCTCAAGCTTAAAGCCACTCTGTGGACGTAGACATACTTCCCCAGGATTCCCTACAGCCCAAGTCAAGACAAAGCAGAGCGATAGTGTAGTATCCTGTCACTACATTACCAAATAGCACACAACTTGCCGCCCACTCCCCCACTTCCCCTGCCTCCTCTTCTTAAAAACCGCGGAAATCATTAGCAACACTCCACACTGCCGTCGCCAGCCAAACCAACGCATTACATTATAATCACATCCCGCCACCCATTCATTCATCTCCCAGTCACCGCGCACTCCCACCCCCGATCTTTTAAATATGCCTGTCCCGGCTCCTCCAACCTCACACTCTCCCTCTGCTCCAATTCTTTCGTCACCAATATACTGTTCAGACTTATTCCCAAATTCTGTTCTTCGCGTGCACCGTCGTTGACAGTTGCGCTGCTTCTGCCGCTGTTGCTGAAAGTATCCCTGCTAATAGATATACCATTGGGAGTGGTCTTGACGAGACGGTTTCGCTCGTAGCGCCGAAGGAGAACGGCGATGAGCGGCACGCACAGTAGGAGGAGGATTATTGCTACGACGAGTGATATTATTGCTGTGGGAGAGAAGCCAGAGCTGGGTTGCGAGGATGTTTGGGCAGAAGGGGCGAGGGGCGTGGTGGGTTGTGTCGAGCGGGAGAGGATTGGCGGGTTGGCTGTTGACATTGTGATGGGTTTTTTCTTATGGTTGTTGAGATGGATATATGGAATTAGGTGGAGTTTGACTATAGTCCAAGAAATTGAGGATTTGGTATTGAAGAGAGCGGTATGAGAAGATTTGTCGTTGGTAGTGTACTTGGTAAAGACAGTACCGTAAGTTGAGAATGATAGAGACGGCAAGTTGAGATAGTAATTCTCGAGTCTCGGTAAAGACAGTGATGCTCAAGCTCGACAATGAAAAGGCAAAAAAGAAAAGCAAACGTTCGCCCAATGACAACATAAAATAAAATCTCAAGCGTCTATGAACGTGTAAAGTAAAGTGATAGATACCGGTACCACAGGTAGTATAAGAACACGAGGGGCACACACCCCTTCCCCCTCCTTAACCCAGCACCCATCTTCCCCAAACCAGGATCCCACAACGTCAACCAGCAACACTCTATTCCAACTCACCGAACCCCCTTCCACCGAAGGACCTCGTGGCCATACCACCTTTATTAGCGTTCTCCCTCTACCAGTGCATGTCTCATGGAATTGGCCCACGCAATGCTTAGCGGGCGTTCACATCCGACCAATCAGAGCGCATAGTCGGCTGTAGTAAGGCAGAACGGTGCGCCACCATAGCTGAGTATTCGAATGCGAATGGAGGGAGATGGGTAAGCATGCCTCGAGCCAAGGGTGCGATGTTTGATTAATCTGATGCGCAGGTGATGGGTTTAGGTGTGCGTGATTTGCGGGGGAGGGAAGATTGCAATGGCGGGCGGTGTTGGTAGTACCGGTACCGGTACCATGTACCCAAGACCAAGGTACCATCTCGAACATACCGTACCCTAGCAAGGTAAGGGGGGCATTTTACTCGGTAGATAAGTGAACCGTCGGCTGGCAGCAAGGCACGTACACAGTACATTCTGCTGCCCCCCTGGACATCATCTCAACCCGCATCTGTTCCCAAGGACTACTTCGGTACCTATTCAATATTGCGGATTTCAATGATTTTGATGATACGACGTTTCGGGTATTGACTTCAATCGTGACCATACTGCTAGGTAACTCAGCTGGAAGAACAGGTCAAAACACACGTATCACAAGATCAAAGCCGGATAATCAAATGAGACATGGTTCGGCAGCGAAATTGATCCTTCATGCGAGATGTCATGCGGAACAGCCCTAATCCCAGCCTTACGAGTCCTATCGTGCCGTACCCCCAGTCTCCAGAGCACGAATCTGATTAACACCAACCCTCATTAGGTCGTTCAGGAAAATTAATAGAACTCTCTCTCCCATAAATGGAAACAGCACTTGGGTATAGGTATGATGCTGAGATCTCGTACGTTCGGCTACCTATAATGGATACACACGACACAGCCCCGTCTCATGTGCTGCAGTCACCCATGAACTTAACATGTCCACTAAGCTTGGGTCATAAGTTAAATCAAATGCTGTGCGAAGCTGCATGATGAAATTGGGAAGCTTTTATTTATTTATGAGTCTGTAAGCCCACCCTGGCCTTTTGTAAAGAGATGATCAAATGACGATGGCAGAGTCTGAGCGCAGATAAAAATTACCCCCGCGAGATAGTCAAGAAAATACTCGCAAGTCTTGTGAGCTGCTACGAAGGGCACGAAGATAATGTTGAGAGGGTGTACTGGTCATGATTGTCGATCTCTATAGCTAGGCGATTGTAAGTACAATAATATTTCTAGATTACTCTGGCTGACGCTTGCATTACCTCGCCGAGAAGAAACAAGTCTCGGGGCGGGACAAGGTGCAGTGATGATCTTGGGAGGCGACAGACTGAAGAATACCAGTGATATGTAAGTGAAAAGACTCCAGACTGTCTTTAGTATGCCGAAAAACAATCACGTTGTCTTGTGTCTAGCAATGCCATTATGAAGGTCGCGTCCCGTTCAGGAGTGTGGCCAGTTCGAAGGGTAGATAACCTGGGCAACAGAGTACGATAAGGGTCATGGTTCATGGAGACTGTAAATCGCTGCCATTTCCTGATTTAAATCTGAGCGGTAGTTCAAACAAAGTTGACTGCCGCTCCTTAGCCTTGTCGAGCTTCTTTGTTCTCATCGTTAACACACGGATCACGACTTCCCCGAGCATGACGCTTGCTACATTGATCGCCCCATCATCGCCGCTTTCGCATCGAAATTGGAGAATTCTTCCAAGTTTCAATTTCACAACTCTATGACGCGGGGGCTTTTTACTGTCCAGAAGGCGGAATGCAATGTCATTTCGAGATTCGACATGCGCGATGAACAACGCTCAATTACTGATATTCTATTAGGGAATTCCTAAGGACAACGCCTGTGCGTCTACAAGCAGTCTCGAGTTTTTTAAGGCGATTCTGAGCTCCCCACGCTCACACATCGTGGTGAAGGAGTTAGCAACATTCCTGCGCTAGATTCCATCGGGTATCCAACTTCATCCCACACCTAGACTGAAGCACAGCAGTGGCGAATGTAGCAATCGTAAAGAGCGCTATGAAGCTGTCTAGGCTCTTCTATACGCCTATGGCCGTGCGGCTTGGATTGGAAATATACATTTTGTCTGCATATGGATTGCGACAAGAGACTACCACCGCATCCGGCACATCGATACTACGTAGCATGAATGTTCAAATGGCCTTCTTATAAGGTAACTCAACTTTGAATTGCAAAGTTTTTCCCATTACAATTCACACCTTGCACGAAAAATGCGTTACAACAATATGCGCTTTTCAGCGCTCCTCTCAATCACTTGCAGCCTTGTCGGGTCTACTCTTGCGCAAATCCAGCTCGGAACCGCAGGAAGCTTTGGAGTCATAGCTAGTGATACTGTAACGAATAGCGGCAATACAGTGATTACCGGTTCGCTCGGTCTATTTCCGAATACCATGAGCTCGATAACTGGATTCCCACCTGGGCGTTCAGGTACCCAATATGCTGGCGATGCTATCGCTGACAGGGCCATTCAAGATGCCAGGTCTGCTTATGGGAGTGCTGCTTCATTAGCACCCACAGGACAAATCTCTGCCGATCTTGGGGGACAGACTCTCGTGGCGGGAGTCTACACATCGGCGTCAGCAGTGCAAATCACAGGGCCACTTACACTCAATGCTGAAAACAATCCCAACGCCCTTTTTGTTTTTCAAATCGGCAGTACCCTCACGACTGCTTCCGCTTCGTCAATTGTACTTGTCAACGGTGCGCGTGCTTGTAACGTCTTTTTCCAAGTCGGCTCTTCTGCTACGCTTGGCAGCACCACCATCTTCAATGGTAACATCCTGGCCTCGACTTCGATTTCTCTTGGGGACGGTGCAACCGTTAATGGCGGGCTTTACGCTTTGAATGGGGCTGTTACTCTCATAAACGACCAAATTTCTGCACCGGGGGGCTGTGAAGCTGTTCCGACATCCACCCTGTCGACATCTACCACGCCAGTGGCATCTACTACGCAGACGACTGTTTCGACCTCAAACACAGATACATCTGTAACCAGTCTCACGTCAACATCGTTGGGAAATACCATCTCCAGCACGGGCAATGTACCAGGGGTGACCACTGACTCTACTACCGGACCCGATGGAGGGACTGTGACGACTCCTACCGACGGTAGCTCGACTACGACCCTTCCGAATAACGACATAACCACGCTATCAAGTAGTACCGGTACTGCCATCACGAGTGTTCCCAGATCTGGGTTCAATACGACAATCACATCGCGCACCACCCCGCCACTGAGCACACCAAATGTACCTGACTTCCCACCCAACTTTCCACCTAATTTTCCACCCAATTTTCCACCTAATTTTCCACCTAATTTTCCACCTGAGACACCCAATACACCGAATGTTCCTTTCACTAGGCCGAGCCAGCCTATGAATACTCCAGAAACAATGACCACGCAATCTAGGTCTACCATGCGATCCAGGTCCACCATGCAATCCGGGTCCACCTCAAAGCCTACGTTATCCAGCGTTCGAACAACGTCTCGTCGTGCGACTAGTTCAATTGCTTCAGAAACTTCATCGACCCTCAAGGTTTATTCTGTATATGCCACTAAAAATGTCACCTCATCAGCACCGGGTTACAAGTCTGCAACAAGTAGCTACCAGGCCAATTCGGCAAACTTCACACAACCTGGTTATGCGCAGTCAAGACAAGTCTTGACTTCGAAAATTTACAATGGGGTAACCACCATCAACGGAACTCCATGCACCACCCTCTCGTATTTCGAGCCGACTTGCTCTTGCACACAGACCACTGTCGTTCCTATCGCGCATACACCTGCACCGCAGGTGGCAACCATGAAATTGACAACTGTAAGCGGTGTACCCTGCACGAAAACGCAGTATTATGAAGAGACTTGCGACTGTGTACGCACATCAAATGTACCAATTCAGGTTGTAGGTGCCTCGGCCAGTATTGCCACCATCATCGACGAAGTGCCTTGCATCACGTCCAAGTACTACGAACCTGCCTGCAATTGCATACAGACGGCGACAATTCCCGTCCGAATCGCTAGCGGTGGTGAGGCGCCCAATCCAGCCGTTACGGCTTGCCCTGCCTCGACAAATGTCTTGTAAGTCCATCTATATTGCATTTCACATTACTTGTAGGCTAACTACTATTAGATTCAGTTGCATGTCGGCATGCATGGAGTCGTACATGCCCGCTTCGACAACCACATCGGGTAGCGCATAGAAAGGTGACAGGTATATACTCTGTTGCGTCAAAGAATCGCATGTAGAAATTTGGTAAATTGAAAAGCAACGTCTTGTAATTAAATCTTTGATAAAATGAGGTTATCTTACTTAGTAATCGGTCTCGTTCCCCAGTCCTTGTGCAAATACACTTCGGTGCTACTGTCCTGCTGCACATATATCCCATTTGTGATTCATCCGTAGCGCTTGTACGTTATACACAGTACAGGATGACATGTCTAACTCCTATAAAGGTGGACTAAATGGACTGTTCTCGTCGAGGGGTAGCACTGGGTATATGGTGGTCGTTATATCACAAGGCTCAAAAGCTTAGACGGCTAGTAGTTCACCCCCTTGTGCGTATATTTTCGATACATTCGGCACATCTGCCCCACAGTAGCTTTCAAAATTTTACAGTTACGTTTTACAATCATGACCCAAGCCGTTTTTCAATGACCGTACTAATAAAATCTCCGGATTAATACTACAATATCAAAGTTTCAAGGATGTATAAACTTAGGAACAGCAAGGTGAAAGCTCACAAACTGGTATTTTATGGAAGGACAATAGTCTAGCCTATCTATCAAATCCGCGTTGTAGAAGGGTGTTTAGCTACTAAGACAACTGGTATCACGGCATGGTAGTTCTGCTAACCTACAAATCCCGCCAGCCTTAAGTTATGCATGATGGCGAAGTTCCTCATGCAATAAAACGTGATATGGTTATCATACAAGTTCTTCATAGTTCTTGACCAAAATAATTCCGTACTTTGTGCATTGTCACTAATTGTTACGTGTGAGCTCATGGTATGCGCATGTGGAAAATATGTCCTGTAATGTGTTGAAGATAGTCGAACAGTCCCCTTGCCGTACCAGCTATTGCAGGATTAAAGCAGCTTTTGCGTCCACAAATCTGGCATGGCTTACCGCACTTAACTTAAAACTCTCTTGACAATACCTAAACCAGCTTCTCTCTTTCTTTCTTAACCCTACCTAAAATATCGTGGAGATAGTAATAGATTTTACAATACTATACTAGTCACCGCCTTAGACAACAACCTGTCTGCGTGCAAGATAGGCAACACTATCTAAGAGAAAACGCAGTTTCAGGATCTAAGGACAGAATCTATGCTAATAAAGATCTCTAGAAGATATCTTAAGTTAAGGCAGAAGATGTTGTGGCATAAGAGTTCAGGTCACCCTCTCCACCCCCCTCTCTTAACTAGACCTATTAGAATGCTAACACCGTTATTAACTAAAAAATTTCTTTTGCGCTTATCTAAACGGGTTGTTTTTATGTAAAATCTTAGCTATGTAACATAAAACTATGTTTTAGCGATATAACAAGTGTTGTATTGCTAGCTATTAGACTAACTAAAATTCAATACTAGCCACACACTAGAAGACTATTTAGGAGATAAGGAAGTATAAATTAAAATTATATTTCTTAGCTCTACCGCCCGTGCTATAGTTAATTTCCCTAATTACTAGAGAAGAGTTTAAAGAACCTAATGTGTCTATATATCTCCTCTATCTTGTTACACTTAATATTATATCCTCTATATATATTTATTACTAGCTAGGCACCTTTATATTATTAGGATAGGTTACCTATCTATAAAATTTAGTCTTAAACTTAGTATAAAGCTCCCGCTCCTGTAAGTAATATTAGCTCTACACTATTGTAATTAGGCCTAGTATTGAAAGTATTATAGAATCTTAATTAAATTCACTAATTTATTTACCTAATTATAGCTATAGAGTGTACTATATTGTAATAGAAACTTATATCTATATATAAGAGAAAGGACGTAAGAATTTTACTAGAAATGCTTATATTAGAGTTAGGGATACTAGCTAGAATAGAAAGCACGATCTGCTACAATATATATAGAATTCCTAGAAGGAATACGTGCTATAAAAAGTATAATAGTTATTATAGTTTTAGGTTATAACTGCTGCTGTTAGGCTATGGCGTGCGCGCATGGTAGGACTATAGGGTATAGCGTGCCCTGCGCCCATATATACTATTCTATTCGTGAATAATCTATTATTGTAGGAGGGATAACAACCGGATCACGGAGCATCTTGATCCAATTAATCCTAATCAATCCTGGTTAATACCCCTATATAACCCACTATCTAATTAACTACCAGCTTACTACCAAGTGCCTAATAAAAAGTAGGAGGTCTAGTAAGGAAGGTTTACTAATTATAAACCTTCTAGTAAGGGTAGCTAAAGCTCTATATATATAAGTCTAATTATAGTAGATATAATCTAATAATCTATCTCCTAAATTATTCCTAACCTTAGTAATCTAAATTTCTATAGTTATAAGCCTAGTTTGCGCTATACTAACTTATTAAAGATTATCCTATCTATTTAAGTATACTACTTAACTTAATTACTAAACTAGTAAGCTCTATCTTTCTACACTATTTCTTAAGTAGAGCTTACTTACACTCTTCTACTATAAGCGACCAAATTCTAAAGTGCAATATCCTACTTACTAGATTAACTAACTAGCCTACCTAGTATATTTAATTTAGATACCATGCCCTAACTAAAGGGATCTAGGTAGAGATAGACCCTAATACTCTAGATACTAAAAACCACTTTAAGAATAGACCTATTAAGCCTAGTATACTAATAGGTATTATAGTATCTTATATAATAAGCAAGTAGTATAAGCTCTAAATAGCCTAGTACTAAGCTTACTTATTATATTATATATTAAAGGTATTAGTAATCTAGAATCTTTTTATATAGGTTTATAATATAGTAGATTAAGGGATCCTTACCCTAGCCTATATAGGGCTTATTAATTAAGGAAGAGTAACCTTATAAGCACTTATCTAAGTGCTCTGTAATAACCTAGCGCTAACTAATTTAAGCGCTGTAACACTAGCAAGATTGCAGTACAAAGCTTATCTTGCTAAGGCAAAGATAAGTAGCTAAGACACTAATTACTAGCAGAAGGAGTAGATAATCCTATATACGCAAGCTAAGGTATATAACATTCCTAATATTAAAGGATAGCTTATAGTAAACTATTAGGGAGAGTAACCTATTTAAACAAGGAGAAGTGGGAGGGGCAAGGTTTAATAGTAGTGGTGCTATGGTAGAGGATATAGTTTAATGCAGGAATATAAGTAAAAAGATAATATTATAAAGTTAAAGTAAAGTCTCTAAGAGTTATTATTATTCTATCCTCTAATCCTTTATACCTTTATACTATTTAATCTGCCTAACCTTTTAGGCTAAGCCTTATTTTTCTCCTATATATCCCTTACCACGGCACAAACCTCCCCCTCCTTTAAGCTTAGCCCTATTAAGCTTAGACCTTACTCTCCTCCTCCTAGTCTGTAACCCTAGTTCCTAGCTTGTTAAGCTTTAGGTAAGGGAGTAGGAGTATCTAGGGTCTCTAATCTTAAACCTAAACTTAACAAGACAGTTCTCCTCTACGCCCTAGCTAGACTTCCTAGATAGCCTAGCCCTAGGCGCCTAGATCCCTCTACCTTCTATTCCTCCTTAATAGCTCCTAGATGCTTTTTAATAGTATCTAGAGTCTCTAATTACTTAATCTATCTATTATACCTCTACTACTCTCCTACTTTAGTAGGCTATACTCCCTTTATGCTAAAGTAGGATTAGTCTAGTACCCTAGTGTCCTTATCCTTACTAAATACAAGCTTCTTATTCTTAATATAGATAGCCTAATTCTTCTTTAACTCTTTTACTATCTTAACCTAACTCTTCCTAATCTATACTCCTATCTTTTCTCTATTTAAATCTCCTATTAAGTACTTCTAGATCTCTACCTTTACTAAAGGGTTATCCTATTAAACCTAATATATAATTACCTTTAAGATCTAGGTTAGGTAGGTAGCCTAGATATCCCTAGGAAACTACTATTAGACTCTACTATATTTAACTAGGTGCCCTAATAGAGTCTTTAGGGCTATACTTATCTATAGGTAGGCTAGTGCAATCTCTATATATATCCCTATCTCTAGCACCTCTATTATTATTATATTATCCTATACTTTTATATACTATAGTAGAACTATACGCTGCGTTTAAGTAGTAGGTCTAGTAGATCTATATAGTATTACTAGGCTTATAATCCTTACCTATCCTTTTTAGTAGATCTCCTTCTCCTATTTTACTATAAGGCACTTCTCCCTTAGCTCTTTAGGCTAGTGCACCCTATCTTCCTATACTTAGATATAGGCCCTCTTGTTCCTCCTTAATCCTCTATCTATCTAATTTACCTAATTCTTCTATACTTCTTTAAACCTAATTAGAAGCTTAGTATAGTTATCTTAGTCCTTATTATTAAAAGAAACTAAGCCTTAGATTATCTTAAGCCCTTGTCCTAACTATGCTACCTTAGAAAGGTTTACGTCCACGTGACAAAAGAAGGTCTAGTCTCCTACCTAGGTGTACTTAGTATAGTATAGGTATAAGATTAGGTTTATAGTTTCCTAGATTATAGTATATTAGAGCTAGTATCCTATATTCCCTTATACTAGCTATTAAATAATAGAGTAGTATATAGTCCTACACTACCCTAAATTAGCTACCTACTTTATCTCCCTTAAGTGCTATTTATATATCTTAAAGCACTTATCTACTATCCTTACTAGTTCTAGGTCTTTATAGATCTAGGTAAAGGTGTCTAGGGTTATGCTTCCTTTCTATAAGAAGCCTTAGTAACTCTACTTAAATCTTATTACCTATTGTAGTTAAGCCTAGTTAATTATTAGTGCTATCTTCTTTAGCTAGTAGTAATAAGCTTATAGATCCTTAGAGGTGTAATCTTAGTTAAATAGCTTAGTAAAAGCTACTATAGTAACTAGGTTAGCTTGCAAATTTCCCTATTCTCTAGGCTTATAGTATAGCATATTTAGCTATCTATTATTTACCTCTATATTTAGAGTCTAAGTGTAGAGCCTTATCTTACTAGTAATAAACTTTAAGTAGCTAAAGCATACCTAA